AATAATATTTATGCAAATATTATTTTATTTGTGTACATATTTTATTTATATACCCAAACAACACCAAGTCCAAAATTGGCGCGTAAGATATCTTTATAAGATGTCTTTTTGATATCATATCATAAGATAGCTGTCTTAAAGATTTCTTAATGCTATCTTATGCGTCAATTTTAGACTTGGTGCTGTCTGGTAGATAATATGCAAATTAATATGTTTATATATATGCACACATAGATTGACAATAGCGTTATCGTGATTTTTTCGATTATTAAAGTTGTATTGTATAATCTCTCTCTTATCTCTTTCTCTCTGCTACATACCCATACAGCACAGAAACTTTTCAGAAATATTTCAAAAATATTTCATGTGACAGATTGAAACATTTCATAAATATTGCGAAATGTTTCTGCAACAACTTTGAGACAACTCTGAAATAGCAAAATGTCCGCGATTCTTGCACTTGAAACCTTATAGAAACCTTATTGAAACCTTATAAAAAGTTTGGAAAGGTTACTAATAAATCTGCAACTTTTCTGAAATATTCTTAAAAGGTTACTGAAATGATTGAACCGTTTCTGAAATATTGCTGAAAACTATTTTAAATAATTCTGAAATTTTTTATAATATTGCAAACATGGCTGCTTTCGCGACAAAATTAAAATATGATCCAGATTAAAATGATCCTGCACTGGGATTGTTCAAATCTGAAATTTCATTGAATACAATTTCAATGAGATTCCATGAAATTTCAGATTTCACTAATCACAGTGCAGAATCATTTTAATCTGAATTATATTATTTTGATTTTGTCGCAAAAGCAGCCCATATTACAAAACTGTTATTCAAATAAAAAATATATATTTCAGAAATAATATTTAATTTATTATATTTATTGCACACAAATATACGACAAAATTTACACTAAAAAGAGTATAAAAAATATATCTAACGTTGTACATTTTTTTAGCTCAGTGTTGCAATTTTTTGTCAATGATTCTCACTAAAAGGTCGAATGTTAGATCTCTAGGATATATATAAATTCTACTTATAATATATGGTATTTTAGCTTTAGGATATAGAAGAAACATATTTATAATTTTTATTAAATTTTTATTTGAGTAGTATATTGTTTTAATAGTTGAATCGTTACAAAAATAAAAATAGTTATCACATAAAATAAAAACTTTTTACAATAAAGTAAAAATTTGAATTCCATTTGGATAACATTGTTTATTGTTATTCTAATAACATAATTAAAACTTCCAACAATTTTTGAATAAATTTTAAGTGAACTTGCTAAACTCTAATTATATTTATTTGATAATTTTACTTTCTTCTAAAAAAAATAAACTTTCAAACAAAATTCTCAAACATAAAATAAACTTTTTCTAAATAAAAAAATAGTATTTTACTATAATATAATCAAACATTATGCAAAATAACATTTGAATTTTGTTTGAATAATATATTATTTGTTCAGGTAATACAATATAAATTTTTAGAACACAAAGTAACTTCTTTTTTAAATTAAAAAGCAAAGTTAAAAGCGAAACATTTATTCCGATGGCTGTTCTTTTTGTTTTCGTTGTAATCGTTCTCTGAATAAATACAACGATTAATAAGTACTGTGTAATATTATATATACATTTATAAATAATCTCACTTTTCATTAATAATATTTACTTACTCATCTCTGTCATGACGTAATTTGCCTGGATGAACCATTTAGAGATGACTTCGATAATTTGTTTGTCATCCGTTTCGAATTTTGCATGAACACATTCTAGATAAACAAGGAAATTTATTTTATTAATATAGAGATTACCTTTTGTTCAAAATTATATTATTGAAAATATTGCGTGCTTACATATAAAATAATTATTTAATTATATTGATACAATATAATGAAATAATTATTTTATTTATTTTGAAAAACGAGAAATTAGTAGTTTAAATATTAACATACTTTTTATGCATTTAGTTAACAATAATCTCTTTGAAAGGCTCTTTCTTCATACTTTTTCCATTCCAGCAATATAACGTTGAAAGATGATTACTAATAAAATTTTTGAGAATAACAATTATCATGTCATGAGACGTTTTATGTAATATATAGAGTATATAAAGGAAATTATAAAAATCTGTACTTACACATGTAACCTCAAAATTCAAGAACAAACAAAAATTAAAATTAGACATATCATCATATGTAAAATGAAAATAGTTTAAATAATGACAAATATACAGAGTAAAATTATGTAGAAAAGCATGCACCGGTTAAAAGTATCCAAAAATATACATGTTAAAATGCAGTTATAACCTCTTTTTCGGTACTTTGAAACATTAATCATGAAAATAATACCTTGAAAGTTTTATGTCTGATTTCGAATTCTATCAAATAAGTAGATATTATTCCTTTATAAAACTTTACTATTTATTAGAACCAGTAGACAGTAGTGCTATCATAGCAGTCCAAGTCTATGCGGTTTAGCAAGCTGTTCTTGTCGTTGCCTGCATTCCACATCCGGAACCTAAAAAGCGGGAAAGAATTTGATTGGTTGTTCCTATATATATATATATATCATTAATATACATTTAATCTGTCCAATAAAATATGAAAATAAATTTTTATAATACATACCGTCGACTATTTTGATTGATTTGTTATATAATATATATATGTATATACACTTATAATCACTATATTAAAAAATCGTTCCAGTTTTTCAAAATTATTTCATATGAAAACTTTTTGCAACACTCATATTAATTTTTCAAATTTACCACATGTAATAGATTTCAGAAACATTTCTGTTGCAACATTTCATATGACATATTGCAGAATTCTGTCAGAAATGTTGCACATGAAATGTGAAACATTGAAATGATTTTGAAATATTTCTGAAAGCTTTCTGTAACAATCGGTGCTATATGGGTAAATACTATTATAATGTAAAAGAACTTACGAGTAACGTATGATGGCTCAATGCAATAATATTCAATCACGTAAAAAACTTGAGTTCAAATATATCAATATCAATTTTTTTACAATATATTAGAATATAGAAAAATTATAGAAATATAAGGCGATAACTTGAAAATTTTTAAATATTGAAAATATTTTAATCATTTTACAATTACATACACTATATATATATATATATATATATATATATATATATATTATATATAAATGCAAAATAAGTCCGTAAATAAATTTATCAAGTAATAAATCCGTTGCATGCTCGCAGCTACATATGCACACACAAATAGCTGGTATGTTGATTTTTATTAAAATTTATTTTCTGTATTATTTTGCATTTATATAGTGTGTATGTGGGTGTGTGTGTGTTGTGTGTGGTGTGTGGTGTGTGTGCGCGCGCGCGCGCGCGTGTAGTAAAAATATTTTCAATATATTTATAAAATTTTTATTGCTGAAATATATTTTTTTATCATTTCTCTGTATTCCAATATATTATTAAAAATTGATATTGATATATTTGAACTCTAATAATTTACTGGGTGATACATACTGAACATCCTTTGCATTGATCAATATTACTCGACATAAGTTCTTTTATGTTATAAGGTATTTATGGAGCAAATTATACAATAACATCAATATAGAAAGAAATCAAGAATAACCAACGCATATTCGTCAATCTATGATTGCTATACAAGCTAATAATAATTTATATTCGTTCTCTTATTCTTGTCTCTCGAAAAAGTATAAGCAATAAATTATCAAACCTAACAAGTACCCGTGTCTAACATTGTAGACTAATTTACTTTCAATTATGCTACTGTTATTATTTATCATTAGACAATTATAAAACATATATATATATAGCACTACAAATTATATATGTAATGTTTTATAATTTATTTTATATTTTATTATTTGACAAGTTAAATCTCTCCGAATCATAATTTCGCTTACATCTTAAAGACGAAATGCTGTAATCTCTTGATATTCCAATCTGTATTTTTGAAAAGACCACATCCCGTATGGTCGAAAATGTTAAAATAAATATATATACAACTTTAATTTGAGGCCAGTGTAGTCAGACCAAATCTATAACCTCTGTTTTATAATTGTCTAATGATAAATAATAACAGTAGCATATATAATTGAGAGTAAATTAGTATATTTTATATATATATATATTTATATATAAATAATATATCCACATATGTGCATAAGCATATATAAAATTTACAAAATGGGGCTTATTAGTCTGCTACGTTACTGCTTTCTGCTACGGAAGGCCAGAAAGCATTTTTAGGAGGCATCTCACGTATACCGGCACGGTAGAGGAACAAGGAGAACACGTGATTATCGGTCCTTGTCTCTCTTACGTGCGTCCGCGTGAGCGATGCAGTGGTGTATGTACGTGTACAACATACACCACTACATAAAACCCGAGAATTGATTTCTCGGCGTTGCAACACTGAAACCGGAGTTTCGCGTTGTCACCGCACGAGGTCTCCAATATCAATTCGGAGTTTGCCTGGGTGTACTGCCGACCCTTAAAAATTTTTTGATTGGCGCTTTAATCGCCANGACCGTTTCAAATTTTGATCTGTCAAATTTGATCTGTCAAATTTTAATCTGTCCAAAAAATATATTTTCTAAAAATTTCTTGTGATATTAAAATCACATATTTTTTAAATTTGATCTTTTATATTTACATATTATAAATACAAACCTTCTCTGTTATATTTAAAAATGTAAGAAGAAATGTTCGAAGATTTCTTCGTCGAAAACGAATAAAATATTTATGTACGTTGTGTCACAGATTAATAGACAGATCGCCAAAGGTCTGGATGAAGGAGAGACCAGCATTTCTCACTGATTTCAGCGCCATATCGTAGTAGTGGTCAATGCAGTAACTATTAATACGTTCCCAAGATAAGAGCGTCTCATGCTCATGAACTCGTCCGGCGGCATGTACGAGATTTATCTTTTCGTAGCGTTCGCGTATTCGGAAAGGACAGAATTTATGATGTTATAAATAAATAAATAAATAAAATATTAACCTGACCTATTATAATTTTTTAATAAATGTTTCATTATTATTATCATCTAAGTCTAAGTCGTTTAATTAATTTTTAGTTTTTTAATAATTAATTTAATTTATTCTAATCATTTAAATGTGAAAAATACTAATACGTATAGTTTTATAATGAATTAATATATTTCGAGAGTCGAATTATATATTTTTAATAATATAAAAGTGTTCAAAAATTTTTTGACTTTTAATTTTAATTATTTAGCAAAGAGTCCGAAATCTCTTACACACATAATAGAGATTTTGTTCATCCATATAATTCGCAATTAAGTATATATGTTAATTATTAATTTTAATAAAATACAAAATTAAAATTAAAGGTCAAATATATTTTTGACATAAATATATTTAATTCGTTATAAAACGTATACCCGTGTGTCAGTATTTTTCTCGTACAAAAATAACTAGAACAAATTAAATTACTCATAAAAAAATTAAAAAATAATAAATAATTTATATTATATATGATAATAATAAAACATTTTATAAAAAACAGATTCAATAAATATAAGTATATATATAACATGTACTTATATTTATTGAATCTGTTTTTTTAATAAAATGTTTTATAAGCTTAGAAAACTTGACTTTGACGTAACTAGCAAATTTTATTTAATTATTTCACGACGGTTGACGTAATAAAATGTTTTATGATATATTATTAAAATATAAGTTTAAATTCTTAATTAATTTTTAATTTTTTTATGATTAATTTAATTTACTCTAATTATTTTTGTACGAGAAAAATACTATCATGGGTATACGTTTTATAATAATTTAATATATTTGTGTTTTAAAAATTATATTTGACCTTTAATTTTAATTTTTATTTTATTAAAATTAATAATTAACATATATACTTAATTGCGAATTATATGGATGAAAAAAATCCCCATTATGTGTGTAAGAGATTTCGGAACTCTTTGCTATAAAATAATTAAAATTAAAAGTCAAATATAATTTTTGAACACTTTTATATTATTAAGAATATATAATTCGTTCCCGAAATATATTAATTCATTATAAAACGTATACGTGATATTATTTTTCTCATATAAAAATGACTAGAATAAATTAAATTAATTATTAAAAAACTAAAAAGTAATTAAACGACTTAGACTTAGATGATAATAATAATGAAACATTTTATTAAAAAAAGATTCAATAACTAGTAGGTCAGGTTATAATTTTTTATTTATTTATTTATAAACATTATGAGCTATTAAGCTCATCATCTCGTTCGCTCTCTGTCTTGCTTTCATTCGGCAAGTCACAAACGATATATGATACTCGTATGTTTCCTACTTCAACTCTCGAGAATCTGAAACAAACGAAACTCGTGTCCAATATACAGGGTGTCCGGTAACTAACAGACCAATGATTACAAATGGATTCTTTGGTCAATTTGGGAACGATTTTTCCTCAGCGAAAATGTCGAAAAAGGTCATCATTTTTTACAACTTTCCAATCTTTGTCATTATGTATCTTTATAACTAAGCCTTAAATTAAAATTTTATTATAGTAAACTCTACCTGAAATTAACTGAAGAATGTAATTATGTTAGACTTTTAACTCCAAAACGTTTAGTTTTAAAAAACATTTTTTTCAATCGCTTATAACTCGAAAATTATTGACTTCTCAACATTTTTGCTAAGGAAAAATCGTCTCCAAATTGGCCAGAGAATCCGCCCTTAATCATTGGTCCGTTAGTTACCGGACACCTTGTATATATTATATAAAAGTGTATAGCACGTCAGAAGCTTGTGAGCTTACAGCGATAAGTAAAAACAATTGCGTATTATTTCATTGCGTTTATCTGTTTAAACGCGCGCTTTAATTTTCCAACGTTTTTGCCTGTTTATATTTTAAAGGTCCTCTCTTCTAAAAATCTTGTTTTAAAGATCCTCTCCGCGAGCAAAATTCGAAAACATAAATTATTTAATATTTTTACTTTATTATTTGTAAATCCTCGGTAATTTCAAAATTTTTCTATTTGAAAATTATTAATTTTCTATTGCCAATTAATTTTATCACAGACTTTACTCTTACTCCCATTGCACTTTCGTTTGCGGTTTTCAGTATACGATTTTTTATCGTAGTTACTGAAAATATTATTGTGAATTATACTTGTGCAGTGATTTGAAGAATTTACAATTTCGTTGAAATTGTTGATTTTTCAAAAAAATTACGAGATTCGCGGAAATTGCGTGCTTTCTTGGCATTTCCGTTCGCGGCAGGCGGTTTATTTTTGATTGTTGCAAGTGTTTTGTTTTTTTTTTTTTAAAATAGATAATAATAATGTGAAATAAATCACGATATTTGACAGATGTGCATATATATAGAAATTGTAATAATAATAATATATATCATAAAATTGTAAATTGTTTCAATTTTTTATAGACTGCGATAAAAGATTTTACATTGGATAAGAAACTGCGGTAAGTAAAAATATAAAATTCTTGAAAACGTAAAAATATTTGATAACGTAAAAAGGTGAACTTTGAAAAATAAGGAACTTAAAAATTGCACTAATAAATGGGCTATATATATGTGAGCCGTGCGCGGATGTAAGGTGTTTATATCGAAATTTAATTAATAGAATTGAGAATTAATCCCAATTTTAAGTCTTACAAATGTCCAAGCTAATTTTTTGTACCTCGTGTACATTTTTGAAAGTTATATCGAAAAAATTAAATTTCAATATGCGTCTTACATCTCACATTTCGCATACGGCTCACATATAGCCTATTTATCTCTTATACTTTATTTCAACCCTTATAGAAATTTATTACTAGTAACGCCAATTTATCACTTATTTCGAGTAATTAATCACTTTTATTTCGAATACTTAAATTACTGTATATTATAGTATTTTAAATACTCAAAATAAGTGATTAATTGGCGTAGTGATAAATTTCTACAAGAGAATAAGGAGCCTTTAAATTCTTAATGTAAAAAATTTCAAGTAATTTTCTTTAATAAAATTTAATTAAAAAATTTAATTAAAAAATTTTGAACACTGTGTTATATCACATTTAAAATCGTGATTATTTCAATAAAAAAACATTTTATGTGTAAAAAATATATTTTTTATATTTAATAAATTTTATATATATACAGGATGTCCGGTAATCTCTTCCTCAACCTCTCGTCTGCAGGTCTCTGAGTCAACACAACAGGAAAACACATCTACCGTTTTGCGATTTTCGCAAAATTTGAGTTATTAAATAAAATCGATCGGCCAATCACGCGAATAGAAGCACGGACGAGAAGAGAAGTCTTTGGTAACACGATCACGAAATTTCTCGAACTGATTCGTAGACAGTCATCGTTCGGTCCTCTTCCGCTTTGCGGACGCGCCGTGTATCGGTTTACAGTAGGAGTCTCTCGTCTCGTCGCGCGCTTCTATTCGCGGGATTGGCGATCTTTTTTATTTAATAACTCAAAATTATTGCAAAAATCGCAAAAAAACGGTACAAGCTTCCTATTTGGTTTAATTTCACTTTTTTTTTTCTTTGACATGCATGGTTTGAGCGACATTACCGGACACCCTGTAATATGCATATGTAAACATATTTCTCTCTCTCTCTCTCTATCTCTCTCTCTCCTCTTCCACACACACACACACACACACACACACACACACACACACACACAACGGGGGCCAAATCTCTCAAATTGGTCTCATGATCAATTAGCCTGGATTCGCACCAGGGCAAAGTCTGTTGGTAATGTCAAACGAATTTAGCCTGGACTTGCACCAGGGGCAAAGTCTTTTGGTCGAGTCTACGAAATTTAGCACGGACTCGAACCAGGGGCAAAGTCTTTTGGTTCAAGTCTACGAATTAGCACGGACTCGAACCAGGGGCAAAGTGCGTCGGTAAGGGCAAAGTCTATCGCACGAAGATGGCGGTCTCTTCTTTAGGCAGGCCTTTGGCGATCTGTCTATTATCTGTGGTTGTGTACAGTAATTCGACTATCGATAAGATTTCCGCGACTAATCGATACATCAATATATCGATACGTACTCTAGATTCAAAACAGAGTATCGATATCTGCAATATCGCACACCGCAGCGCAGCAACAGCGACAAATGAAAGCGTGACGTGATCCGTAGCGCGCGTCGTTCTGCCACACGTCGCGAGGAAGAGATAATGTCGTCGCTCGGGAAAATTTCGAATTGCTTGTAGAGGAAAGGAAAAGGGACGCGCCGATACCGGACCGCATCATTTCGCACGTATCAACACCGGATCGAGAAATGGAAGCGGATTATCAGCCGACGCCACTAAGCCCGTCACGGACGCTGACAGGTAAAGCGTTTGGTGGTCGCGATTGTTGACGTTATTTGTGTCAAACGAACGTCATCTCTCCGCGACGCAGATTATTATTATTTGGCTAGAATCGTATGTATTATTTTCGCTTATTTTACGATCAATGCGTTGTAACGTTCCCTTTTAGAATTAAGAATCGAATCGTGATATTTAGCAGGCGAAAAGCTGTAAATTATTTGCTACTAGTGCAAGTGGCCGAGTTTTCTTGGTAAATGTAGTACGAGATCGATCGGTCATTTTCCAAGACATTGCAGAAATTGTATAAAATATCGTCGATTTGTTCATTTTTTCTTATTATTTCTTCTTTATTTACCTTTGTGTGCATCTGTATGTAACAGGGATAGGTAATGACTGTGAAGATCCTTACCCTAGTCTGTCAGATTATCACGATTATGAGCCCAATCTGGAATTTGATGATACGGAATTGCAAACTACTTCAAACAATGGTAAGACATCTAATTTGTCTTAAGATATATGAGTTTTATTTTTTTATAATTTGTATATCTGCTACTATTGGTTTCAAAATTTTCTTATAATTATACGAGGGATTAATTTATATGATACAGCCACTATTGCATTTCTTTTACACAAAGTAAACTTTGTTGTTACAGCTACACGCCTTCTAGAAGACAAATTGGATTTGGTGAACAGCACCGTTGGTACTGGAGGGATGGATTATTGGAAAGCCCAGTAAGCGATGGGACGATTGAGGAAAACTTTGAGGAAGCTTTGGTAGATGCTCCAGTTATCGAATCTGGTGTGTGACCTTTTACCTTCTGTTAATAGCCACTAAATGTCATGGCATTCTCAGGGCATAGCAGGTGAATTATGTGTAGAACATTGTACAGCTTGTTTTATATTGCATGGTGTAAGGATGACAAAGGAAAAGTAACAATTGTTACGCTTTTTTAATCCATTTTGCATATAATAACATAATGTACAAGCGTTACATTCGAGCCCTATGAAGCAGGATAATGGAATATTGTCTATGGGACATACATTTCTTTGATGAGACAAAATTATTCCTAGAGGGCTCGAATTATTTTTGTTCAATGGTGTTTTTAGTTGACAACAAATTTATTACGAATATGCCTGAAATGTGCATCGATTCTAAAACTTTCTATTACAAATAATCTCTCTATTTATGAACAGCGGAAGATCTTGCTGCTTTGGACAGAGAGCTCGCCGACGAAGAGGATTATTTCGACATATCCAAACACGGTATTGTGGAAGTAGTTGGAGATGACAGTGCCGGTCGCAAAATAATTGTTGTGTCAGCCTGCAAATTACCTCCTATAGGGAAAGAGGTCTTCAATCATGCTAAACTTCTTAGGTGAGTCTGCGATATGCATACATTATAAAATAACACGCGAGACATTTATTCGACACGCGAATAATGATTTATAATTGTCTGTAAGTGTTTTTAAAGATTTTTGTGTCATTCTGCAGTATTGTTTTTATAAATTGTTGCAACATACTTGTTCACTGTTTCGATTATCATGTCTTTTCTTCTCTTTTATTATTAATAAAATAGATTTTATAACAATAGACATTTTATTTTTTGCAGGTATCTTACACATACTTTAGATACATTTGTGGAGCAAGATTATAGTCTCGTTTATTTTCATTATGGCCTTACATCAAAAAATAAGCCACCTTTATCCTGGCTTTGGCAAGCGTATAAAGCGTTTGACAGAAAATATAAAAAAAATCTCAAAGCCCTTTATCTAGTACATCCCACAAACTTTATTAGGTTTGTGTGGCAAATATTTAAACCGGCTATTAGGTATGCAATTTTTTCTTTTCTATGTTAAATACTTCTTTGAATTATTATATACTGTATATGAATAGACGAATTATATTTTTGCAGTGTCAAATTTGGACGAAAAATGATGTATGTTAATTATCTGGAGGATTTAGCACACTATATTAAGTTGGATCAACTAATTATACCTCCTCAAGTGATAGAGTATGTAATTTAATTATGCTAAAACCATGTGTTGAAATCTTGATAAAATTTATGTTGATTCGCAACTTGCATAATTCAATTTACATGATTTTTTCAGACACAATAATCAACTGTTAATAAAGAATAAGAAATATTTGCCAGCAAGTCCGCCACAAAGTGCGGTAGCTACACCAGTTGGCACAACTCAATTCGGTGCTAGTTTGCAGTTTATAAAGGAAAATAATAACGGTGATCCGATACCACCTATCCTGAGGCAGTGCGTGGAATTTCTCGATACACCAGATGGTACGCTATCTAGATATGATAAAAAATTATTATAATATAAATAGATTTAATAGAAAACTATTCTTTTCTTTGGAGATTGAAACAATAATCGTTTCATCGTCGTTTTAGCACTGGAAACGGAAGGTATATTCAGAAGATCGGCCAATGTGGCGGTGATCAAGGAACTTCAGAATCGTTGCAATCAAGGTTTACCCGTCGATTTCCAAGGAGATCCGCACATTGCCGCGGTTCTACTCAAGACTTTTCTTCGTGAGTTGGACGAACCTCTTATGACTTATGAACTGTATGATGAAATCACGCAATTTCAAAGTAAGCATCATGTTTTCCTTATCTTTTTTTTCAAAATAATTATTTATTTAACGAGATAAAGCATCCTTTGAATTTGTGTTGTAGCGTTATCAAAAGACGAACGTCCACGTAAAGTTAAAATATTAATATTGGAAAAACTACCTGAAGACAACTATCAAGTTCTTAAATACGTTGTACAATTCTTATCGAGGGTACGTAGCTAATATACAATCGCGATTTCCTGAAAAAAAAAAGATAAAAATTCTTACTTATATCTTTTTACTTTTATAATGTAGGTCATGGATCGATGTGACTTGAACAAGATGACTTCTAGTAATCTGGCGGTTGTATTTGGACCGAATCTAGTTAGAGCACCACCGTCATGTGGAATGTCCCTCACCGCGATAGGATTCATAAATCAATTCGTAGACTTTTTATTTACTTATCAAGATAAGATTTTCATTATCTAAAAACGCCGAGGGCCTAATTGTCACGCATTCGGTTGTTCACATTATCACGCGTATAACGTCCGCACTTTCGTTTTATTGAAATATTTTTATATCCGACGTGAGATAAGAGAATACAGGAAAAAACACTTAATGTTCGTTTACACGCAATTTTGCACAAGATTTTTTAATACAAGTAGGTACAATAATGTTTTCGGACGAGAGGATTGAACGTTCGAATGGATGCAATTTACGTGTGTATATCTAGAGAGAAATTACGACCAAATACCAAAGATACATGAGAACGTCACGCAATGAATATAATATGTAAGATTATCTAAAAACATATAGCGTTTAGTCTAATTTAAAAAAGCATAGAAAATAATATATTCAAGGATGAAACAAAAATATTCAGCTGGATGCCACTGAGATAATCACGAGATCATGATTTTATCGCGATTTTTTTGTCTCGACTTTTGCTTTAATTAATCTTTTAAATTATATAATTATATACATTATATAATTATATAAATAAAATTTTTAGATAATAAGCTAATGTTATATTAAGATAACTTATTATTATTATTTCTTTAATCTAAATAATCTTTCAAGCTTTATCAAGTTTCTTTTATTTTAATGTTTCTCTTATTTTATTTAAAAAATCTAAATTATAAATCGATTTAATTTCTTATTCTGATAAATATGTACATATCTGCAACCAGCTTCTGTTATTCATCTTCAATGAAAAGTTTCATGAAAAAAAGTTTTGGTATATTCTTTGTTTAAAATAGAAGAAATGAATACTACATATAAGTAATGAATCTTTTTAATATTTGGCATTTTTCGCATTTGTATATATTGGAAAAATTGATTATTCAGTCACATAAAATAAATTGTGGTCTAACAAATGTAGTATATATAATATTATATTTAACTCTCTTAAAAGAGATATATCTGTGTAATACAGGAAGATTTATATATGTAATATAGAAAGACATTGTGTTAACTTTAAACAATGTAAATGAACATTTACTTTATATAAGTAACAAAACATTCTAGTAGTATTAGATAGTATTATAAAGATTGTATTTTCTACTTTAAACCATTCTCATTCTTTCATGACATTTTTTATAGCAATTATAACAATAAGTAAAATAATTTATACTGTTTAAAGTTAACATAATATTAAAAAGCAAGTGTGAACACGATAAAAAGTGATTAGCATGGCTGTTGTGGTAACTCAGTCATTGTGTATAAATTCTAGTGATCTTATGATAATTTTTTTCGAATTATAATCTTGAGGAAAAAAATAATTCGCCTGACTTGATAGTCGCTCGAACATTTTTACAAAAACAAAAACTACAAAAAAAATGAGAGAAAGAGAGTGAAAAAGAGAAAGCTTGTGTGGCGTGTAATAAATGTTGTGTGTATAGTTTAATGTTTTTAAAACTAATTTTTGTCTCAATTTTGTCCATTGTTTAGATGTAAAGAGATAAGAGATTTAGTAATTTTCGCGGAGCGCACCGCAAATTTGTATATCCCTTTAAATAGTCCTGCCATTATGGGTAACTGGGATAAAAGTATGGGCTGATGGAGCCTAAATTCTCTGCTCTCTATCATCGAAGACTAACCCAGACCTGTATAGAACTGATGTGACTCGATTACATTCCTCGTTGTTATCAATAAAAGAGCATGTAATAAAGCATGTTAATTTGTAGATGTACAGTTTCACTTTTTATATGCAATATTCACTAAAATCCAAACTGTGTACTTTTGGAGCATGATGGGATCATGGTATAATGTTAAATGAGATATTTTTTCCATAACGTTAATACAACTTACCATTTTTATGTTCATAAAATAACTTACAGTAACAATAATTTAAACTTTACACTCAACAATTCTATTGTATTGCTAATTTATATAATTTCAAAATAAATGTATTGCAGTGTTACTTGACAAATGATCCAAATTAATATAATGTATAAAATTATCGATATTTAATATGTACATTAAACCCTAAAATATTATTTTGGATAAAAGCTGAAAAAAAATATTTTATCTAGTCTTCCTTCAAAATGTCCTCGATTCACAATACAGCCGCACACACATCAATCTAAAGCTTTTGTCGAGAAATTAGCTAAAGTTTAGCCAATTAGCAATTGTGGCAATTCATGAATATATATACAGATATTTCTCGCAAATATATATATCGACATACACACGCATTCACACATACATAATGCATACACAAGCATACAAAAAAATGAAACATTTGTATAATGTGACAAATTATTATCACAGAGAATTTACTTTTGTTGAGATACTAATCTGTCACGACTTGTTGAAATGCTTCGTCCCGTATATATAACTCGTGGATTATTCGAAATTAGACCTTGTCTGAAGTTGAATGTAAAATCTTCTTTCGAAGATCTACGAAAGGCCGCTGCCACTGCCACCACAGCAAGAACTTCTACTCGGTTGCGTCTGCTCGCTTTCGTCCTCGACCATTACAACATTGCGACGTGTGCTATTGGTCCTTGTAAGAGTAGATTTTTGCTCGGCCTCGTCCGCGCGTTCCATCATACGTCGTGTCAGGTCTAAGAACATCTCTTCGATGTTCTGATTTAACTTGGCTGAAGTGTGAAAATGCATAGCTCCCACCTGTTTGGCATATCTGAAAAAGAAAATTTGTTTGATATTCGTTCATTATTCATAACGAAGAAAGAAACACGGTCCAACTTACTCTTCTGCTTCGTCTATGGCAACATTTCTATCCTTCTCCAGGTCCACTTTATTACCTGCTATCACTAAGCAAATTTCGCTACCTAGCATCTTCTTGAGTTCTTTCACCCAGTTTTTTACCTAGCAATAAAAGAAATGGTAAGTATTTATATGTTTTTTAATACAAAGTATTTTTTAACTGTACATGATAATAGATAATGTTTTATATAATATGATAAATTTGAAGAGCAGAACACTGATAACATGATTAAATTTGATCTATAATATATTAATATAGTTATCATTTTCTTATTAGATTATTATATTATTTGAATCATAATCTATGACTTTGATTGAATTTTAAGTCCATACTTTTTGAAAAGTGTCTTCGTCCGTAATATCATAAACAAGGATGGCACCATTGGACATTCTGTAATAAATTGGTCCTAATGCATGAAACTTCTCTTGTCCCGCTGTATCCCATATTGCCAGGTTCACTCTTTTTCCATTGATATTCAATTTCTTATTCAAAAATGATGCCTGTGAAACAGTACCAACAAATTGTCAACACATTTTTAATCGATACAAACTTTACAATCAATTAATAAATAAAAAGTCGACTTTTATATATAAGAAATTATACAGAAGTTTTTTTTAATCAGCTTAAAAGCCTATTGCACACAAATTAGATTTTAATTTTTAGTATACACATATCTATATGGCTTCTCTTTACATATTTATGTAATAATATGAATTTAGAAGACTTATGAATGTTGCAGAAAGAAATTTCACAAATTCATTCTAATTTTATATTTTAAAAAGAGAGATATTAGAAAAACCCCATATATAAACTTATATAATAGACTCTAAAAGAATATTCATTATATATATGTATATGTTATCATGTAATATCCATTTAGAAGACTTGTGAATTCTGCAGAAAGAAATTTCACAAGTTCATTCTGCTTTTATATTTTAAAAAGGAAGAGATATTACCAAAAAAACCCACATATAAACTTATATAGTGGAAAAAAATATTCATTGTATATGTATATTAATGCAAAAATTATGTATATCAGTAGAACCGAGAAAACTAACAGAAAGAAAAGATCTGATCTTGCGATCAAGATAGAAATACGCGATTCACCTGCAACGTAGTGATATGCTTGTCATTGAACTTGTCCTCGACGTATCGAAGGGCGACCGAGGTCTTGCCGACACATCCCTCGCCTAGGAGAACCACTTTAAAGTTGTATCCGGTGCCGACGACCGGACTGGCCATAATCCCCGGGGGATCAGACAACTAAGGTTCGGCCTTCGGAAAGGGAAATTACGCCGAGCGTGTTAATCCGCGGTATATCGTTATCTGTCAAAGTCCTGTAGACTCGAGAGCCGGGGATTCTTCGCACTTATTAAACCTCTCTATGGATGGTGGTGAACGTCGTGAACGAGATCCCGTTTGCGACCGGACACGGTGGAACAACGACGACGACGACGACGACGAGTGTATTTAAGTGTCCGCTGCGCTAACCCTAAGGAATCAGCTGTTCCGCTCCATGCCATTACGCGCTACAATCGGCGCATTTTTCGTAGCTTCGTAATCTAACTGGCTCTCTCTCTCTTTCTTGAGTCGTACGCATACACATAAGTATATATGTATATATATATATACGAGACATTAATTTCGCTTTTCCGAAAATGACAGATGGAATAGTGAGATTTGCATATAAAATATATTTCATCGGAACATCAAAATCTTTAATCTCAAATAATTAAAATTGAATAAATCTTAGGTACTTGATTTTCCTTTCTTCATTCATAATCTAATAACGCATGCGCAGAACGATGGTATTTCGTTGCGCGCGCAATCATATACACGCATAATTCAACTCTTTCTTTCGCTAATCATATTTTCATTAATAATAAATAATATAAATATATAATATAAAGTATAATAATAAATTGATAATTTATTAATTAATATATATATTATTATTATTTATATTATATATTATATAATATATAATAATAATATAATATATATATATATATATGTATAAAATTATATTATATATTATAAATTATAATATATTAATTAATATATTATAATCAACATAATGAATAAGTAGTAAATAAGTACACATAGAGAATGTGAATTGCGAAAAATGGAATAATAAAAAAAAAGAGAAAGGGAAGTTTTCTTTTCGCAAAGAATCTCTCCGTTTTTCTATTTTTTCCATATTTTTATGTAAAAAAAATCAACCTCTTATAAATTTTAATACAAAAACGGATTGCTAGGAGCTATTAGGTATTGTTCGTCCAGTTGGCGAAATTCAAAGGCGCACTGATTACGTTCAAGCTGAAGATCGATTTCATTGTAAAACACAGCTTGCAGTTGCAAAGTGCTCTTGACCTTCGCAATAGCGTTGACCTTGGTAAAGAGTGCTTGCGCCTTCGACAGAGTCTTTAATCCAGTTAAGATCACCTCCTTCCGCATCTCGAAGGGATTCTCCGGCGCCGAAGATATCAAACATTTGCCGTACAACATGAAGGCTTTGCCTTGATCGTAACAGCCACCATGACCTAGGATTGTGGGGATAGCGTCCTCGACCAGATTCAAGACCGACGTAGGCAAGCCCATCAACAACTGGAATTACAAACAAATTCGAATTCAATTCTATTAATTTAACTCTTCATCCAATTCTTAATAGAGAAAGCTTACTTGTACGTTAGCGAGATGCATCTTGACAAGCGCTTTGTAATATGACAGATGATTTCGTGTGGCTAATTCCAAGGCAAAACAAAGACGCATCATGCAATTAGTAGCAATCACTGTCCTATTGTCTGGGGTCGACGAAGCGCACATGATCTGGCTGGAGAGAAGTGTTGCGCGTATTGTATACAACGGAGTCGCATCTTCATGTTCCATGTTGACGTACTCGAGCCCTTTTTCGAAATCGCCTTTCGCCAAGCAAACTTCCGCCAACCTGTGGAAATGATTAGAAAACGATATAATTTTATATGAATGCAAAATTAAAAAAACGTGCGTTTATAAAAATATAAATGTTTTTTACATACTTAAGATTACATTCAAATTTATCTAAATTGAAAATACTTTTGGCTATTGCCTCCGCCTCACTCCATTTCTCTTGCCTCATCAATTGCGTAAATATATGCAATTGTTCGCTCAGCATCCATATCTGAAATGAAATAAACTATTAATAATAAATTAATTAATAAATTAATTAACAAATTGCAATGAAGAAAAACCTTTCTTCTTCAATTGCTTAAAAAGCTTTTTATGATATATCTTATCTATTGAAAAACGTACTTCGTTGCAAGGATTGTTGGGAAATCTCTTCTTGGCATGAAGCAGTACAACATCCGCGAGAATATATTCGCCGAATTCGATCAACATATTGGCGACAGTGACAATTGCCTGGCACGTGGATGGTCCGTTGAACATGTGCTGTTTCTTATCACCCGTGTTGTGGAGAAGCAGCAGTTGGGCGCAAAGAGAGCTCATTTCCATTTTACCATAATACGCCCACAATGCGGATTTCTCCGCAAAAGTAATGGACATTAAGTCGGACATTGAATGCTGACAATTTAACATGTCCGATTTCATCAATATCTGCAATATAAATTCATTACCTAATATAATATAAATCTGTGTGCATATCGGGAATATAAATTATTCTCGACTGATTACACACATCGAATATTTGTGGGGGACTCTTGGCCTCCAGAGCATAATTATGCGCGTGCGAAATGAGGCTTAAACCTGTCGTATGTGTAATTCCAAGCAAACTCGCTTTGCCGACCGAACGTTCTATGAGAGGTCCTCTAAATAATAGAAAAATGTGTATTACATATAAAAAGTAAATAAAAATCTATCTGTAACACTCAAAAAATCTTGATCAACATCCATTTTCTATTAATTTTTTTTAAATCATTCGCTTATTAATAACAGATTAAACAAAAACTAAAAATTAATTAAAACAAAAATTTAAAAATAAAAATTAAACAAAAATGTTAAAAATATAAAATATGTAAAAAAAGTAATTTCTCATTTTTAGCTTACTTATTTTCTTCACTGGTCAAATAGGACATCCAGGAATGCGCGAGCTGCAAGCACACATTGTCCTGAGCTTCCTGAGCTAATTTAATAGCTTCCTTTAAAGCATACTGCGCTATTTCCCTTTCCAAAAAAGCCGCGATTGTAACAATATTATATATAAAATAAATGATAAAAAAAACCATATTTCCTTCGTTAAGATATAAAGTTAGACTCTTGAAAATATAAATTAATTACTTGTGCTTGAATTGAGCGTGTAAAACGGCTAAGTTGAGCGCCGCGTATCGAAATGTACGAGCTCGATCCTCAGCTGTAGATTGGCTCTCTAAAGGTGCCAGTCTATCAAAACAATGATACAGACTGTCTACTGCTCCACAAAAATCGCTTACACGAATGCAATTTAAGTAACTCAAATAATGCTAAAACAAAGAATAATTTTTAATTATATTAATTTAAATACAAGAATGCTTTATTTTATATAAACGTTACACTCACTGCATCTGCATTATAAGGAGTAGATTTTAAAAGATCTTGAACAAGACTATGCAGCTCCATCGGTGGCAGAGCTTTATACTCATCGGTCTGTAATGCATGAGCTTGCTGTGCTAGAAGTAATTCTGCCTGTCTTCCACCCCAAGTCGTTTTTGCTCTATTGTAAAAAAAACAGCAGTTTATTCACAAAATAGCTGGCACAGCTTGTACAATTTAATATACTTTATATATTATAATTTTGCTTGTATACACTTACTTTTGTGAACCAAACTCTTTCTTAGAAATTACAGAGATATCAGAGTTTTCTGGATTATTGACTTTTCTCCCAATATATTTTTTTAGATCATTGTAGAGGGTGACTACTTGATCAAAGGCCAATTTCTCAAAAAATATAAGCATCCTACGAACGTACAGGCCAAGAACAGAATTCCTGTTCAATGCGGGTAAAGAGAGCGAATGATCTTTGGGTTCCATCAATCGACGAAGGCTATCAAACAGATCCAATAACCCATCTACCCCTTTCTCATCCAAGACATCCAATTCCACTTCCAACTGATCAGCAAACCGATGCAAAGCATATTCTGATTCGTACAACATGTCCAATAGAGTGCTCAATTCCATATCCGCTGACTAAAAACAGACATGATATAAAATATAGAATTTTTATTCGTCACAATTTGTACAATAAATTTATTACCTGAATTAATTTCAATGACGCTAAACAAAAATCGCGTCTCTCCACGATTGCTGCAAAATATTATCAAATTAAGTTCATCAACATATTTGTTAAAACGCGAATAAAAGTACATTTAATATAATACGATATAATTACGATAAGAATAAGATTATACCTTTTGTAGGTTCATTACAATAAACTTTAATTAAAATGACAGTTGCTACTTTATACGATGTCAGATTCTCTCTTTGAATCTTCTTCACGTTGCCATCCACAGTCACGAAATCCTTGGACATTCTATTGAATATGTCATTCACTGTATGCAGACGACTATCGTTTATCGACATCTTTTCTTTTTATGGAATTTATTACAAATGTGAAATTTATTACAAACTCTTTATTTTCATTTCTATTTATATAATAATAAAGATAATTTGCCGTATAACCTCTTGCAGTCTACATTTTGCTAACACAACATTAAGGTCTGTTCACGATATGAATTTGAAATTTGCGCAGACGCGGGAAGTCGACCAATCATTCCTCTCATAGATAGTCACTTGATAATGAATCATTGGGAGTGGCAAGTTAGGTTGAGTTATATTCCGAATGGTTAGTTTCTGCTTTTAAAAACAAAAGTGCATCGTTTTTAATGTTAAGAAAATCAAAATAAAATATGAAATGTACAGAAGTTTTAGCCAGAATAAAGATCTTACAACGTTATAATATTGCATGGAAATTTGACTGCATAATATTTCTATAAATGACTTGTAAATGAGATATTTAAATGATACAATTGTATATTTTTATCATATTCATATTATTATTTCAAAATTATATTTTATCGTATTATCAAGATTTTGATAAAAGTTTATTCGACGCTTCTCGGTACGTAAAACAAAGTTTTGAAAAGTTATACTGCTCAGTATTTTTATTAGAATTGAAATTACAATAAGCGTGTTATTATTGTAGATAGTGCGGAGAAGAAAAGAAAGGAGAGTCCTGCAAGTCAATATATAAAAGAATGGGGATTCAAACGTTTATATTCTTCGATTTAGAAACGACTGGTCTGATTAATGGAAATAGCATACCAAGAATCACTGAAATTGCATTAATTGGTGTTGCAAGAGAGTCTATATACAATAGTAACAAAACATCTTTACCGCGAGTTTTACATAAATTAGTCCTTCCAATTAATCCCCAAAAAGTCATACCACCAAATGTGCAACACATGACAAGTAAGTTTGATTAATATATAAATTAATAAAATTGAAGAAAATTCTAAAATTCCTTGATACAGTAATAATAATATATATAATATATATAATAATATAATAATATATAATAAAATCTTATATTTGTAGAACTATATAATGATGACATGTTGCTACTGCAGCCTTTTGAGTGTGAAGTTTATGAATCAATAATGTGCTTCCTACAGCGTCTCACACCACCAATTTGTTTTGTAGCACATAATGGTAACAGATTCGATTATCCGATATTCTTGCAGGAACTCGAACGCATAAATAAGGTATATATAATATATATAAAATTGATTTTTAAGGTGACCAGCTGTCTATTCTTTTACTTATTCAATAACAATCAATTTTTTCTCATTAAAGCCTCTCAACGACAAAATCCTCTGCATTGATACGTGGAAGATGTTTCAAGATTTCTTCAACAAAAGAGACTCGGAAGCAAAGCTAGTCCAAGATTGTTTAACCGATGAATACAATAATTCGCTTTCCATATTAGATATAGATATAATCACGACAGAGCAAAAAGTTGAAATTGCTACTGCAACGGCATCTCGTTTGCAAACGACAGCTCATTATGATGAGTGTATCAAAGATAAAAACAATAAAAACTACGATATAAATGAAGAGTACAACAATGACATCGATGTTGAATCGTCGAAGAATTTTAGACAAAAAGCTAATGAGACAACACCAGAGTCTCAAATAATTAGGCAAAATAAAGGCGTTTTTGTAGAACGTCCATTTAAAAAAAATCCAAAGAAAAAATTAGATTTCGGACGTGTAAGACCAATCAGTTTAAAACTCAATGATATTTACGAATATATGTTCGGTTCAAATTTCTCTCACGAGCATTCGGCCGAGGCTGACTGTCTTGCTATGATACGCTGCGTCACCAATATTGTTGACTTCTTCTTCGAATGGTCAGACAATCACGCAGCTCCATTGGTTTGCTATAAAAGAACATAGAAACGTTATTAATTGTTATTGTAGACAATGAAAATGGTACAAATGAGTAAAAAATCATACAAAATAAGACAGCATTAAAGGAGTACATGTGATTGTTGTAATTAAGATGCAAGGCTAGTATATGAAATTAGAAATAATGTCTCGAAACTACATTGTATTATTAAGTACAAGAGTATCCATAAGTATCCAAAAGAGTATCTCATAACACTTAAAATATTAACTTCAATGGGGCTATTTGTGATAATAAAAGATGACTTATTTCCTTTTCATATGATTTCAATTTTGTATATATGTAAATTACATATATGTGAATTACATATAATTATATATATGTAAATTACATATAATTATCATAAAGTGCGTGAAATTATTTACATTTTATTAATAGATAATTGCACTTTATATATGATAATAATTTATTTGAACAATGCATACTAAATTACTTAATATTAATAGTTCTTTCGTTTGTTTACTCATTTATATTAAATTTTAATTTTAATTTATTCTTCTTCGATACTGACAAAAAAAGGAAAAAGCCTTTTATTATTTAAAAGAAATGTGTGGGCTTTATCTTTTTTTTTTTATTATAGATAAGAAAAATGAATTAAATGAATTTTGTTTACACTCAAATCTAAAAGTAACGTACAGTTAAGTACAGCATAAAAATTGCGTTCCTAACTTGACGTTGCAAAATATTAGAAAATTAATTTTTTTATAAATAATAATTTGGCATCTGCATGCTATACTTTTTCTTTTAATATAAAAAGAAAAAAAAATAAAAATGACTGTTTTATGAAAATGTAGTTGTTATAAAAATTGAGCTATGTAAAGCTTGTTTTTTAATTATTATATCTATCTTTAAAGTAAATGTTAAATGGAGAGTATTTTTTTAATTGCTTTATTTTAATTAATTTTACGTATATTGTACTTCTTAAAAATATTTTAATTACTAATAAAACCATGAATTATTTTCTTATCGGCTATAATAAATATGAACAAAATCCATTCCTTTAGATACTTTGTTTATATTCATATAGATAAATTTGTTTTTATTTTTATGAAATTAATTTGATGCCGAATGTTTTAAGAAAGATATACTATATTTTGAACTAAGACTGAATAAAATTGATATTTATAAGATTGTATATTTTTAATGTCATTTCTTGGGAATGCATGCAAATAAAAATTATAAAATAGTTATTTCCAAATGAGCTAAAGAATTATAATTGGACAAAATTCTTTTCGCGGAAAAAATATAAAAATAGAATTAATGTTATGCGCTATCGGCGCAATGTGATTTAATCAGAAAAATTATTTTAAATGAAAAAAATTAATTAAAAATAAGACAATTATATATATATATATATAATATATATGCCATACTTACTAGATTCGGGTGTTGATTCTGATAAATCACTTGATTGATTAGATGGTTGAGCAGAAGTGTCAAGATCATTCATCAAGGCATCTAATTCATCTTCATTTACTGCAATATAAAATTAGAACAAAACTATAATATTGCTAATATATTACTATAACATTAATATTTATATTTTAGTAAATAAATAGCAAAAGTAACCAATTTTTTGTATATATGGCCCTGCATATTTATATATTTTGTGAAAAAGATAAATACTTACAAACAAATTTTGCTATTGCATATTTATCATTTGCAATCTTTTTCTCGATTTCTTTTATAATATGATTTATTTGTCTTTCCATCTTCTTCATTTCCTGCCATCCAATATGCTCCAACAAATTATGATCTTCGTCCCAAAAGTATTTTATACTGCCCTTACAAAAAGCTTCGTGAAGCTTTTGTAACATCTACAAATGTATCATTGTTTTATTAACTAATTTAATAAAGGGAAGATTTTGAATTTTAACAATACATTACCGTGAAGAATAAACGAGTATTTGATACTTTGTTCAAATTCTGAAAAGTCTCCAATTCGTTCATACATAATGTTTCGATATAATAACTCGCGATAACTTCCCATTTTTGTGTATTTCTGAGTTTCTAAAAAAATGCAATTGATAATTACACAAAATAAATTAATCTGAAATACTAACTGCAAAAATACAAAAAAAGAATATTTTTAAATAAATTAATTTATAAAAACTAGAATTTGTTATATTTTTCTTTATAGAAGCTAAAGGGAGTTTTAGAGTTTTAAAAATCTTTTAAAAAGTTTAAAAAGTTTTTAATAGTACAGACTTAATAAAATAAAAATTAAATCTTGATAATATTATTAATTATATAAATAGAGCATTTAATAAAATTATTTAAAAAAATTAAAGCAAATTTGTGTGTAATAAAAAATAATTTAGACTTACATATATTACATAAATTTCATATATACATATATATATTAAGAAAAAAATTATCTATTAAAAATAAATGGATATTTATTATTTGGATATTAATGGATTATAAATGGATATTTATTATTTTATATTTATTATGATATATCGATATATTATACCTTTAAATGGCGTATTATAGGCTTGATTCGTCCGTTCTTAGCAAGTATATCTTTTTCAAACTCATAAAAACATAATCGCCAATAACGATCTCGTTTGTCAGTGAAATTGTTTTTACTATTGTTCAAAGGTTTAGGAACTACGGACCAATATCTAGAACCCGGGTAACACTGCAATTTAAACAATAATTTAATGCATAAAAGTTATATAATTGAATAAAGCGGACCTATTATCTTGAATAATAATAAAAAAAAAAAAAAAAAAAAAAAAAAAAAACTTGAGTTTTTTAAATTATATATTCGATATATACGACAAATATCTTTTGCACTAATATAATATTTTTAATTTGTTACTTCTTCTAATTTTTTTGAGCATTTTGGTGGTGGATTAAGGGTCGAAAAAGTTAATACGGGAACCACATCAATATCGATATTGATCGAATTGATCAACTCTCCAGGAATATTTAGCGTAAATGCTGGTCCTGCTTTTCTTATCTTTCTTATCTAGAAACAAAGGAAAAAAATTAATTTTTGTTTAGTTTTCGATGTGACACGGATACAATACTGTTAAAAACTACTGGAACACTGCATATATGTTATTAATTTACTTACTGAATTACAATAATCATTCGATATACTTGTATTATTTCCACTAGAGTTATGAGCATCACTTTACTTAAAATACTTTCCATCCAAATACGAAATTTTTCTTGATTTAGATACGATTCAGCATCAATCAAGGATTCCAATTCTCTAAATAAAAAAAACAATGTCTCTTTTTCTAAATTATATAAAAAGTACTTTAATACGATCCAATTTACATACTTTAATGCCTTTGGTTCTAAGTTTAAAGTTTTGAATGACATATCTTTATCTCTCCAAGTCATATGTATCTTAATGAAAGCTGCGCAATCTGAGCAAAACTGTAATATAATTATATAATAAATATTTATTATTATTCGACACGCACATACACATATCAGAATTATATTTTTATTAAAAAAAATTAAAATATAATATATTAATTAAGAAAATAATAAAATATTATTATCACTCATGTATATTAATTTATACATATGTACAAGATATAAGTAAAATACATACCGACTATAAATTATAAATTTAGAAAAAAACTTTCTTCGCATAAATTTTGAAAAAAAAGTTTCGAGAAAATTTATTTTGAATATTGGAGAAATATTATCTACTTGTTACTTGTGTGTGCGTGCATTTTCGTATATATTTGTGTAATTTTCAACATCATCACATTTTTAAGTATACTATTACTTTCATATTTTCAACGTCATCTAATTCTTAAGTATAATATTACTTTCATATCTTTCTCTTTCATGGGTAAGTTGATTACAAAATTTAAGTCATATTCCTCTGGCTCTCCAACTCGAGTTTTTTATAATAACTACCGGCACTGACAATTCTTCTATACGTTTTCTTGAAGAGCGGACTTTCTTGTTTCATAGCTTCTATTAAACTATCCAAAACCTGTAACATAAATTTTATAATGCACTATAAACATAATTAATAAAATTTATTTTTGAATAAAAAATATCAATTTTTACAATACCTTACGCAATTGCTCATTGTTCTTTTTTATATCATCAAAATCCAAACTTATAAATTTTTTATTTATTTTTTTGAATATTGTATCATCATTTAGATAGCGGTCAATATTTGTAGCTAACATTATTGCATATATACAATTAGTGGACTTATAAAATCTGAAACTTAAATAAAAATTATATATTAAGTTGAAATTATACAAAAGTAAGCTACAATCATAAAAAATTAAATATGAGGACTTACCATACATAATTAGATAATTTCCTAATTATAAAAAATGTATATCTATACATATAATATAAATAATATATTAAAAAAAATTAAAAAGTAATTTAAGAGTTTAACAAGGCTCTGTCATATAAATATAAATTTAAAGTATAAAACAGGCGATAAGAGCCGATCGCGGAAGACAGTGCGTTATCCCATTCACTGTCTTCCGCGATCGGCTCTTATCGCCTGTCTTATACTTTAAATTTATATTTTTATATGACAGAGCCGATCGCGGAAGACAGTGAATGGGATAACGCACTGTCTTCCGCGATCGGCTCTTATCGCCTGTCTTATACTTTAAAAAGTAATGAATAAAAAATATTACAAAAATAACGATATTATAGTTTAAAATTAAATTTTTAATTTTTTTTTTTGCACATATTCCGAAAAAAATTAATTTTTTAAAAATATTAAAGTAAATTGTTTATAATTAATACAATAAATAATAGAGAAATGTGCATAAATGTTTCGTTATATAGATGTGTATTACATAATAGTTTCCTGCTTCTGTTACTACTTCTGGAACATTCTTGAATAGTACTTTCCAGAAACTAATCGGCTTAAAAAGCAGCTTTATACTCAGTATATATTCATATTAGCATTTATGTGATACTAATTTTAAACGATAACTTTATCGCAAAGAGTTGATAGATATTATCATTTGCAATAAAATATATATATGAAAATGCTGATTAAAAAATATGAATGCAGAAATACACATATGTGAAATAGACAGAAATTATATATACATATACAACTAATTTTAGCCAATTTTGCACTAAATTTCTGCATTCCTTTCATCATTTGATTGTTATGTTTTATAACTAAACAAGTTTATGATAAACTGCAGACGTAAATATAGAGATATCGATGTAAAAAAGATAAAATTTATTTTAAAAATATATTATTAAATGGCATGTATATTTATTAATAACAAAAAATAATTATAAAATAAATTATTTAGTTTCGTATGTATTTATATAAAGATCTGTTACATATGTTAAATTATCGCGTTAGTAACAAGTTAAATTTGAATAATTTAATAAGAAAGAAAGAGAATATTAAATTTCGTTAACAAAAAAATTATTTTCATTTAATTATGAATTATTTTGTCGTAAATTACAATAAAATTATAGGCGATTCTGCATCTGATACGAATTCAGTTTTTCTTATCGCATCTGTACTCACCAAGCGATAACTGCAAGAAACCTTAGCGTAGATCGGCGAATCTCTATAATATTCGCAAAAATTGCGATTTATACAGTACTAATTCACTGAAAAAAGATGTCTCTTTATTAATAATTAATTTGTTCTATTAATTATTCACTGCTCGGAAATATAAATAAGACTGCAAGACTTGAATTGCATCAGACTACAGATGCTACTGACTACTGTGGTCAGTGGTCTCGCCAATTGTTGCTGCTTTTATATACGTGTAGTGAACTGATGAATCATCAATGAAAGAATCAGCATTTGTCTAGATGGCGTTCTTTATAATCTAAATTTAGACTCATAAAGACTCATAAAGACTCAGAATAACATATTGCTTCATAAATTCACCACTTTTTCATAAACCATATTTCTAGTTTATATAATTTTTTAAATATAGATTATATGTTAAACAATATAAAGCAGTCTTAAAACTTTGGATGGTTTATTTTTTTCAAACAATATCAAATCTTAAAATTCTTCAATTAAAAATAAATAAATAAATAGATTTTCAATTTTATTTGATCTTAATTCTTATTGTTAGCAGGAATCATTAAATTTCTTTAGTATTGACAGCAAATCTTCATCTATTGACGATTAAGAAGATTTTTATTTATTTTTCGTATTCTACAATTTTATAATATGTACTTTTCAATATTTTCAAATTACTATACTATCATTCTCAATAAAATAAACATTTTATAAATGATGTTATAAATCGATGATTTTATAAATAATGTTAAAAATTATTCTTTTTTGTTTTCTTTTACTATTTATTTCACAGAGTAATTTCTTCTAATTTATCTTTTATTTATTTAATAATCTTTTTTCAAATACTATTGCTATTTCTGATAATTCAATCCTTATCTTTATCACCGGCAGATTATTCTAACTTTTATTATATATGTATAGAATAGAAAAAATAGATAGAAAAGATGTATTATTAGTTCCACAAAATTTTACTTTGTTAGAAGAATTTTTTCTAAAATAGTTATCAGTTTCCTACAAACAGTATCGCTGATAACAGCCCGACCTTCCATTACCTTTGCCAAGCATTTGCATAGCTCCTCGGCTCGTTCATCTAATTGTATCGATATCGGCATAACGTCGCACGAGTTTTCTGCTTTTTCCAGCCTCGGTATCTTCTCCTCTCTTTCAGATTCCTTGGATTTATTTATTGTCATTACTATCTTCTTTATTATTTATTAGAGTGTTTCATTTTAATCTTTTCAAAATTATGTTTCAAGCTAATTGTAAAAAAACTATCGAATTAAAATTATTTATTGTTAAAAAAATATATCTTAATCAAAATATAATTTGTTTCAAAAAATCACTGAGAAAAAATGATCTTGTATATTATAAATTGTTAATTTGCGCTTGTGCACATAAGTACAAGTTTAAAAAAAAACTTGATTCTTAAAACAATTATCTTTTATCTTTTAACTTGTATCTTTAATTGTACTTACATTGTACTCGTAGCACGTGTGCTCCTTGCGGTTTTGCATAGCTCCAACCAAGTATCTAAGATAGTCCTGTATGTTTGAAAAACCTTCCAGGGAATAGCACGGTTTTGAGGATAAGTAAGCTTGCATAATGTTGTTGATGTTGGGTATTTTAGCTAGAGCCTTCGCTACTTTAGCGATCAGTTGCTCCGAACATCTTTGTCCCATATATTCGAAAGTCTCCAGGGCTTCCTGACGTACCCAAGGGTTTTCGTTTTCCAGTAGATGAGCGAATAACCCGATCAAGATGGACGCGACACTTTGGTCTTCACTACGATTGAGATTATCAACAGATCGTCGTAGAAAATGACAGATCTTAATTTTACCCCGGGAAGGCAGATAGGCGCATGAAGTCGCGATAGACTTCAAAATCTGAAATATCAAATAGAATATTTCACTATACTTTTGCAATCAAAATATTTTATACTTACTCTTAATAAATAAGCAAATAAAAATAAAATACAATTTATACCGAACAAAAATTATTCTGAAGACTTTCGAGACGTGTAGCGTCGAGAAGACTAACAAACAAATCAGTTAATATGTTTAATTGTTTGTCTTCGCATTTAATGATTACATTTTCCATGAAACTCCATATTTTAGTTAAAACTTCGATAATATCCTTGTTATCGCTATAATCGACTGCTACCATTGCGGATACGGATTGCATCTGGAAATAGATGAATATAGAGATTTTCAAGCTTGCAAGTTTCCTAAGCAATATCAATTTTGACATTAAAAAATCAAAATGTTATTTTAACCAGAAAATTCATTAATTTTTTTTCAATATAAAATTGCTAAATCTAATATATCTTACAAGATGTTTCCAATTGCGAGTAGAAGGATGTTCTTGCAGATCCAAAAAGCCTTCGGCAAGTCCTCCGATTTTTGCCGTAATCGTTCCGACGAAAAACCTTTAGTTCTCGCTACTAATAAATACAAGATGGGTACGTAATTATTTGTATCCAGATTTTCGACGAGATTCTTGAGAAGAGCAGATTTCATATCTGCGGTCAATAGATCGAATAGACTGATAATCATATGATCTAGCATGATCATTTCTATGCTGTCACATCTTTCTGCTAAAGTGACGGAGATTTTGATGAGATGTTTGATATGATCGGCACACAGTTGCGAAGTTCCGAGCCTTAAACAAATAAGTTGAATTGTATTATGAAAAAGCAATTGAATTGGACTTATTTATTTTTATTAATCACAACTATTTCAATTAACATTAAACAATTAATTAACAATTACAGTACATTAATAATAAGTTAATTAAATCTATAAATAAAGTTATAATTTTAATTAATGAATAATATAATTAATTAATTGATTGATTAATTGACTAATACTAATACTAATAATTAATTAATTAATTGACTAATATTTTGTTCATCAACTTTATTAATATTAATAAGAGAATCGCTATCACTCACCTGCCAATAAAGCACCAAACTTCCGAACTTAGCAGAGAGCTCCAAAAGTGACCACACAATAGATACTTTAGTAGAAGTGTTTCAATTATGTGAAAGTCTTCTGATCTAATCTTATTTACAAGATTATAAAAAGATATCAGAGTTGCCTCATAGACATTGATTAACTGTGGTGGTTCGTCCACCTCGTGAATGCCTAATCTTAACTCTCCGACACAGATTTCTTCTCCGACTACAACAAAAAATTAATAATATTAAAATAAATATTCAGATGTTTTTCTTTTATATTTTCTTAATATTTTTAGAACTTTTAAAATGCTTGAAATTGTGTTTTTGTCACTTACGATATTCTATATATGACAGTGCAATGTCTAAGATCGAATCCGAACCCAGAGACCATTTGCTATAATCCTCGTATGACACGTTGTTTAATTTTTTCATAATAGCGATTGTCAATAAATAATAATTCACATGTTGATCATGCGAGACTATTTGCTTTCCATACTCGAAATACACCTAAAAATATATATATATATATATATATATATAAACAATTGCAATTTATATAATTTTGCCAAACGTTAATTTTTATGACCGCCACTTTTTTTCTTAATATAATATATATACTAATAGGACAGAATATTTTATTTTACCACATACATATTTTGTGTTATTTTATGTACATACACTTTATTATTTTACGAAGTAATAGAATTGCTTATAATAAATAATTAATAATGGTAAAATAAATGCGATTTATCTTTTTTTCTTAATTAAATTTTAATTACGTACCTGTTTGAAATCATCGTGATTAAAGATAATATCTAAGAAAGACATGGTATTGATTGGGATTAATTTTTCATCCCCTACTGTTGAACTTAAGCATGAATATCTGTGCCGAAATATATAATAATTATTATATAATTTATTTAATAATGTCGTATTTTATTTTATAAATATTATAATATATTTAATAATTCTGTATAGTAAAATGTTATGCTATACACACATTTATATAAGCGAAAGTCTTTGTAATATAGTTAAAAATAACTTCTACTTTAAAAAATTAATAAGACAAAAGGTAATAATCACCTCTGCACGTGCATCATAAGTTCCACTAAATGTGACATCACTTCATGGGTGAAACATTCATTGTAGACAGCTATTAATTTCTGGAGAATTTGCAGTAAACGCATAGCGACCATTATATTTCGTTCCGCGTTCTTATCCTTCTGATCCTGTATCATAATATATCTAATTGCTATCGATATATAAAATTATTAATATAATAATTAATATACATATAATATTGCTAAAATATAATATATATAATAAATATATAATGTATAGTATCATTATATTAAATAATTATAATTATTAATGCCATACACGACGAAATTAAGTTTAGATTTGCATGAAAATAAATTATGTTACATATTGTTTCATGCTAATATACCTTGATCGTGGACAAAATACAAGACACATCTTTCATCATTTGTACAAGATTCATCGCGACGCTGTTTGATTTGATTGATTTAATATTGTCATGATAAACGAACGCCAGCTTAGCAAATGCCTCGGATAATTCAACGAACGTCTTTGTGTCCATCCCGTTTGAGATAGAAGCAATTTTGCTGAACGCATCGATTACTGAAAAAATTGATAATGTAAAACGAAATAATACAAAAAGTTAATTAAATGCGTTAATAATTTTAATAAATAAGTTTCCTTTAATAAAAAAAAAATATAATAAAAAAGAGAAAAAATTTCCATCATGTATTTTGGCTGTAAGAAAATCAACTCAAAATTGAATTTGCGATATCTCTATAAAATAATACGCATTTCTAAATAATTCTTCAAACTTTTTGAAACACTCGATCTCTTTCTCTCTCTCAGTTTTAATTTCACTGTATATCTTTGTAAATCACTGTATATCTTCTTTTGTTATCTAAGTTAAGTTGGAAAAATCCTTAGAAATGAATGCGCTTGCGATAAGGTTGAAAGTAGAGATGCTCAGATTAAAGAATCATTAGGATATAATAGATGGATCGCTCTCACCTTTCGACAACAGCTCCGTTTCCGATTGCACGTCCGTGTCGAAGACAATTACGCCGTCCAAAGTGGCAAAGAATAGTTTGAAGATCTCACCTCCTCTTCTGAATAAAGTCCTCAATTCTTGTATCGAACCGTTCAATAATATTCCGTATTTTGGGCTATAATAATTTTCCATCAGTACTCTTTACTTTATGTACTATTCGATATAGTTATGTCATATAAAATCGTAAAAATTTCGAATTATTTATTTCTTTATACGAGTAATTTTTTAATAATAACAGAAAAAATATAAAAGTATCGATCATATTAATGAAAACATATCTAGGAAAAATAGAGAGAATAATAATAACAAATAATGATAAAAAGATTATAAAATTATAATAAATATTATAAGAAAATTAATAATATATATCGACAAAAATATAAATAATAATATAAAAAAATTAATAATACAACATATACTTCATTAAAAGATATTTAAGATATCAACGACATTTAAGGACATTCTAATTTATATGAAGATCGAGATTAAGAGTATATTATTTATTATATTAAAAACAATTATATTAAGTACTGAAACACACCTGGCTTTGCAATGTTCAAAAATAATTTTTATCATTTCGGGCAAAATGTCGCATAACGATGTGACATAAGGAGCTCGAACTTTTTCAAGTGCGAAAACATGTTCTAAACATTTCCTGCAGAAGGCGAGCACACAGTCACATATGTGCAGTTATGTTTGACACCATCCAGATCATTGATTTTCACGTTATCGCTCATTATTGTGTCGTCTATGGATTTCACAGTCTTTGGTACCACAAAAATAGAAAATATCTCAATATTAAACATAAAGCGATAAATAGATCAAATTATGGAAAAAATTTATTTTACGTGCGATATATTGTAACTATAATTTTATATACACACCAATTAATTTAAAAAAAAATATATATATGTATGTATATAACAAAGTATTACAAAATTGTAATATGCATGACATAATAATTTTATAAAATCACCTGTGACAGGATATGTTGAGCCTTCGGTAAAACTTTTTTGAAAACTTGCTCCTCGAGCGATTCGACTACACATTTCGAGAAACATTGTTCCAATGTGTCTAGCAAGGATCTTAAATTCAGAGAGAGATCTTCGAGTGAGAAATTATTTTCCAGTAACGCGTAACGATCGGAGAAAACATTAAGGATTAATCATCTTGATGAGATATTATTTGCGAGAGAAGATTATGTAAGTACGTATAAAAAATATAATAATTAATTATACACATATTAAAAATAATACAAATAAATCGACTGATATTAAACTAATTAATTTTGTATCACGAAAAATAAGATAATAAAGATAAAAATTCTTGCAATGTAATTGTTTGTTAAAATGCAAATTATATCACATATTTTTTATAATAAATCTAAAGTTACTGGAGTGTACTGTTTTCAGTGAATCATCTTCAGTGAATCACATTAAAAGGATATTTGTAATCTGCACACTAGGCTATTTATATTGAAATCTTTTTCGAGCTGATAACTCGAAGCTTGGCTGAGAGTGATATGACTGGGTGATGACATCTTCCTGTGCAACCTATTTCAAAATATATAGATAAAAAATAAAGTATTAATACAAAAAAATATCTTTTATATTATATATTTTCGTATATATTTATATAATTTTCAACATTATACACATCATCAAATTCTTAAGTATAATATTATACTTTTATATGTATATTTCTTTTTGATGGGTAAGTTGATTACAAAATTTAAGTCATATTCCTCTGGCTCTCCAACTCGAGTTTTTTAATAGTAACTACCGGCACTGACAATTCTTTTATATTATCTTTTATATTATTTTTATTATAAAGTATTTATTTTTAAATAATATGTAAGTACTCTAGAAAAATTATTACCAATTTTTACATTAAATAATTCTCTATTTAATAAGCTCTATTATTCCAAGTATTTCTCCTACTATTTTCAAAAGTATTCTAAATAAAAGAAAGAATTACTATTTAATTAGTGTTGACTTAAACTACCACTATAAAGAAATTTAAATACAACTTATTGATCAATCAATAAGATAATAAAGATAAAATATACTAATATAGCTCGAACTATTTGCTAGCATATTTTCACAACAGTTCCAATGTAAAGATCGATCAAGGGGAGGTTTGTAATCAGACCTCTCCCCTCCCGATCGCGAATAATAGGTAGAAGCGGAGCAAATCGAAAATTTCTTGGCAATGCTCGAGGTTGCCGAAGTTTGCTGATAAGGACGTCAATTAAGGCAGCTCCAAGCTTTCTAATCGTCGATTTGCCAAAAGTTTCCGTCTGCAATTTCTGCGCTATCGCCGACGAGCGAGAATTGTAACCCACTTCTGGGAAAAGATTTCACCGATCAAATCAATGCAAAGTTGATCTTTTGGAATTCCCCTTCAATCATCTTTTAATCCTTTAATCATGAGTCATGAGTTGTTATACGTTCGTATCAGATTACCATTTTTTCGCGATAATGAAGATGAGAATCACCGCAAGTATTACAAATTGCGATGGATATTAAGTATTGATAGAATAAAAAAATCGAACAGATCAATTAGATTAGTAATAAAAAAAATAAGGAAAAAGATTATACACGGAGAGACATATTAATATTTTTATTGTGGTAAATACTAATCAGAAAAACTCTTATAAGAATCTTCCAATACCATATTGTCGCACGATTACCATGATTTTCAGGGTAAATTCTAAGAGAAAATTCTCCCTGTGTAGAAAATTAGCGCATAATTGCAAGAGGGAGGAGACATCCTGGACTTGGTTACTTCTGCTTTGTCAATGCAACAAGGTCGTATACAAGTGGGAAGAAATCTGATAAAAAAAAGAGAGGGAAAGAAAAGAAAAGGGGAAGATAATCGAGCAACGGGAGGGTGAAAAGAAGCCGATCCGAGGCAGGAATTGGAATGATCGAGCCGTCGACTTGCCATGGCAACTGCGGACAACAAGCTGTCAGATGATGGGCAGAGTTTTGATCAATAATACCGGCAGTGACTGCCTGTGTGTCGGCGGTTCTCGAATTCGATATAGGATTCGGAGTCGCGCGAACGCGGTTAGGTGATTTCGACGACTCCCAAACAACAGCACGTGCTCGCTGGGTTGTAGTAAGGACAGAGGGTGGTAAAGGGGTTAAGAGAGAGGGTGGTTCCGACACGTGACCACGCGACCGACGTGTACCAGGCTGTGAGTCACGGAGGATGGATTTGAGCGATGTGATTTTCGATCGAGAGATGCTAATTTTTCGTCCCTGAATTATGAATTCGAGCCACCAGAAGCAGCGCTGACGTTTCGGTATTCTTTATTGAAAAAAAATGCCTCGATTTATTAAGTCCATAGTTATATCCAAATATTATATTATTCAAAATGAAGCCGAAGTAATAAATCAAGAAATAAACCTCCACAGTACATGATATGGAGGAGGATTAAAGTTTGCTTATTGAGAAAAGCATTATCTTCATTTATAAATTCCCCTCGATTTCTTACTTTAATGTTGTATAATGTGAAGAAAATTATTTCTCGTATTACAGTAAAATTGTTTTTACAGGTATCTGTCAATTCTTTTTTCTGAGATTTCAAAGTTGTTCACGCTTTTCTGATAAAATAATACTCATTAATATACATATACATATATGCAATAACGTAGAAAAAGTATAATAACATCCATTCGGGGGGTGTAATTTGTTTGCTTATTCTTCCGCAGTATTAAAAAAAACACGGAAAATATTTCAAGTATATACAAAAGTTAAAACACACTCGTATATATGCAGATATCGTGATGTTATATCACCGTGGCCTCGAGGTCAGCGTGTACGAAGTCAGCGAGGAGTTCGACCACCCTGGCAGCGCTGACAGTGATCGTAATGACGGAGGTTAATGATACTAGTACAATCGTGGTATTGGTGTGTTGGCTACCGTTCAAAACAGGGCGAGAGTGAGAAAGGGACGGAGGTAACGATACATCTATGTTTGACGGGCATGTTGGTGAACCGGGTTTGGTGTACGTCGAAAGGTGGGTGGAGAGTGATGGCAATGGATAAGGGTAGTCAGTCAGTCGGCGCCCGGTCGCGGCGTCGACAACGTTTCCTCGGCGCGCTCTTCGCTAGAGGATCGAAAGCTAAGAGAGATCTCCGAGTATAGTTTATGAAAAGTAAGTAAGTATTTTTATATACATATAATTTTTTAAAGCGTTTCTTTTCTCTTAAACTTTTGCGCGCGAATTTTCTCTTAAGATTTACCCTAAAAATCATGACACTCTCTGATTAATATCTATCACAATATAGAAGATATAAAATATGTTCGATTAATTTTATTATGTACATATAGTAATAGTTAATAATTTTGTTCGTGCTAAATATTAATCAAAGATTATCACGATATTTAGAGTAAATTCTGAAAGAAAATTCTCTCCGTTCAGATGATACATTTAATTTAGCAATGTTATTGGCAGGTAGCAACACTTTGGCGGAGTGGAGCTGAAAGCGATTTATATTAGGAAACGATATGTCAACTGAATAAACAAATCGATCGATAAGCTTTACTAGAAGAGCGATTTTTCTATCGAGAAGATGCACTGACAATAACGTAAAGACGATTTACTCGGACGATGTCTAGCGGTAGAAGAGCGACGCGACCTGTCAGGCAGCTGTCATTGCAGCAGTCTGCACCACGTCGGCAGCACATTAGACGACAGAAATCGGCCGAGGACGATTGCAGCAAGTCTTTGCAGATCTACGCGAATCCGATCGCGCGCGATAGAGTAGCTGGAAATGCGACGGACAAGCCGAAGGTGGGATTGTTGAGGAATCTATTTATTCTTTTCATTTCACCATCTGGAAAATTCGAATACGTCCTGCATATCATCTCCCTATATTTTATATTCCATATAATTATATTGTTAATTATTAGGGTTGGGTATGTTAGTGATTTTTTTTAAACTAAGTTAAGTTAAAATCAATTGCTTATAAAATTAATTTAGATTTTTATAAATATATCTTTTGGTAATTACAATTAATGACAAATAAACATAAAAATTAATAATACTTTAATTTAAAAATAATACATTCATAACTTATTAATTTTTTTTAACTGTTAACTAATTAACTAGTTATTACCCAACCCTGTTAATTATATATATTCGTCAAAATTGGCAGGTGCGAGTCGCCTGGGGCGACGACCGTCGCGGTTGCGATGGTCTGGCTCAAGTGGAAGTGGTGGCTCGGCAAATTCCAAGCCGATCCAGACCGACCACGGGCCGATCTGGCAGAAATTATGCCACCGCGGAGAAGGCGTCGATTCTCTACTCGCGACAGGAGCTCGCTGAGAGGCTGCGACTCGCGTGGAAGCATCGCGAGCAGAATAAAGCGAACATCGATATCTTCTTGGCACATAACGTGGCCGTAGAAGAGCGCTGCGAATCTGAATTATCAATGTCCACTCCGCTCCCCAGAGAAGAACCTGATTTTACGCAAGATGAAGAAAAAAATCCACGGAATCTGGAGATATCTAGGAAAGAGGATGTCCCTTTAGAAGGAGGCCGAGAAAGGAAAAAGGGTGAAATTGATAAGAGAGATGAAGGAGAAGGCGAGAGGAAGCTGGAGGCTGCGTCTGGAATTATGGAAAATAATTTGTTGATAAAAAAAGATGAAAGTGTAGCGAAAAATGTGGAAAAGCAAGGAGGAGAAAACGAGGTACATAAGTATAATTATATGCAATAATTATTAATATATAAATAATATATCTATTATTTTGTCTCTTCATTATTTCGAGCAGTTAAATTCTGTAAATTCAACATAGCACAAAATACCTTTTTCATATTAAATTTTAAAATATACATAATAAATTCTTTGTTTTTACATAAATTCGATGTATCTCAAAGAATGATAAAATATTTCCATCATTTTTTGAGAGAGAAAAGGATCTAATTTTTATTATTATCTCCATATAATAAATGTTTTCCAAGTTAAATATCAACATCACTTTCTATAAAAAAATTATTAGTTGGAGAACATTGCCGATCTTTTCAGGGAACGTCGAACGCGCAAACTAACTCATTGTTAGACGTTGAGGAGAAAAAGAAGAAGACGAGGATAAACATCGATTGCACGAGCCTCCATCTTTCGACAAACAATCACTTACACCCTTCGATCACCTTTCCGTCCTTGAAACAGGAAAGCGCGGATCCAACGAGAAGCAACGACAATGTCTCCTCAGCTAAGCTGAAGCGCGCGAGCTTTCAGAGCGGTGCCAATCGTGCTTTTCTGATACCGATGCCGGAAAAGTTTCCAAAAGAGATGATCACGGAATCGAAAGACAAGCTCGCATCGGCGAAATCGATCGAGATCAGATGCGCTTCGGCCGCGACAAGATCACCGATCGACAAAAACAGCATTCTCACGAGAAGCTCGTCCAGTTCGATGATGAACTTGGAGAAAACCAGAAGAACGAATTCCGCACCGCCGCAGAGGAGAAATAACGTCGCACCTGGGACACGCGTTCAAGTAAATATCATAATCGACGCGCCTGCTCTCACCGAAGCCTCAGATAAATCAGCTGTTTGCGGAAAAATGCAGGATGAAAAAATTGACGCTGCGGAAAAAATCGAGGAAAATTCGATGAAGGTAGGAATTTTTCCTAAGATCCTATAGAGTGTGTTTGAGAGGATTCATCGAGATCTATTTATCCTTATGCACCAAGAATCGATATATAAATTAAAATGTATAAAGAAATCTATATATATATATATTTATATATTTATGTAAAGAAATTTATATAAATTTATATAAAAAATATATATATATATATATATACGCATATATGTATATATATTTCTTTATATATTTATATAGGAAAAAATATAGGAAAAAAATATAATAAATGATATCAATAAAATAAAAAAATATATACATAAAAAGAAAGAAATTGTGTCTAGATATCGCGAGGCGAGCGATCGATAAGATCGGCGCCCCTGAAGAAGAGATCGAGGAGCGCGAAGAGGCGTCTTCTCGCTGCATCAGGCGGATGCAAGGACGAGGATCGTGGAGGACGAGGAAAGAGTTCCATGGACCCTAGAACGAGCGACGTGATTACCATGGTATCTTTAGTCAGCTCGGCTGATAGCGATAGCGACGCGGAAAATTCGCCGGGCGACGATAAGCTCATCAACGAGCTGCGCAGCAAGCTACCCACCATGCCCATCATCAAGACATCCATCAATCCCAACCCTACTGTACTGAGGAAACCTATCAAGTCAGGTATGCTTTTTATTTTATTCTCATGTAAGTGAAATTCTTTTTACTTCAATTAAATCAAACATTTTTTATATAAATTATACACGAAGAGAATTTTCTCTTTGAATTTATCTTGAAAATCATGATAATTTTGGGACAATACGGTATTGGAATAAGAATTTTATCAGAGTTTCTCTGATTAATATTTATCACAATATTTATTATATTTATCATAATATTATTTTTATTGGTCCCCATTACTATTATTTTCAGGGTAAATTATAAGAGAAAATTCTCTCTTTGTATAAAGACAAATTTTTAGTAAATAAATGTCGTAATAAATTTGATATAAAAATTTCGAGCAATGGATTTTTCGATGTGTATTAATTAAAGCACAGGTTTGACTTTTTGCCAAGTTTGTTTTGTGTGTTTTTTCTCTCTCTAGACTTCTTAAAAATGTTTTGCTTTTCGAAATCTGTATCGTCCTTAGGATTACGGATAAAATAATTTCCATACCCATCTTAAATTAATATTTATTCGGCTGATCGTGCTGAGATAATGCTCGATAATGTATACGCGTGCGGCAACAAGCAAGGCGAAGAGGCGTAGAACTATAATTGAACCGACTAATTAAGAGAGACACGAGACACGCGAACAACACATAGTTAGAATTCCCAAATGCCAGCTTTTCTACACAATACACGTACGCTTTGCAATCAAAGTAAAATTAATTACTAACGCTATCACACTTGTGTAGCTAGATAATTAAAACTTAATTAAAAAGAGTTGAGAGCTTTAAAAAAAATGACAAAAAGATATTATTATTTATCTTTCAATTTTCAAGATACATCCCCTTGAAATCTTAATAAAAAATTATTAGCCTCATACATACATTCGTATACACATGCACAATTTTTCTTACTAATAATGAACCACTCTGCATGCGATCGTGCAGTTAATGCATTGCAGAGACATCGTGATTGATCGTATCGGGATTAATAGACTATCGTATACGATTGATTTTGGGCTTTTTACAATCGCACCGAATAACCTGGTTCTATCATTCGCCAACAATTGAACCAAATATCACCTTTCATCGATTTACTTTCGCAAGAGAGAAAGATAGAAAGCGTTCTATATTAAATATTATTTCTCACCTCAAAAGTTCTCGTGGCTTCACGAAATCAGATCAAATTATTCGTTCTATAAGAGTTTCAATTTGCAAAGTTTATAAATTGAAACGATTCCTTTAGCAAAATTATTTTTCAAAGCCTCTATTTTTATTTTCAATATTTCGATCCTTTAGACCATCCGCAGCACATTAATTAGCAAAAAAATGTGTACTAATTAAATCGCATGCATAGTCTCCTTTCAGAGAGACTCTTCCGACGAGGAACCAACAAAGGAGGAAAAGCGGATCGTCAATAAGGAGATTCAACCCCCTTACTTCGGTTTTGCCCTTAACGTCGCGCACGGAAACAGCTGTAAAGATTTATCGGAGCAGAATTTAGCCGTCGACGATTTAAGGGCCGCGACGCCGACACCAGCTGTTCCTGTGCTGTTAATTTCGCAGGATGCCGAGAAAGCGATGCCAGAACCACCGTTGACTGATCGCGAGAAGAGATGCCTGGCGGTGCCGATCGGGGATCTGCACGACAAAAAGCGAAAGCTGCTGCGAACGCGAAGTATCCCGAGCCGTCCGACGTGAGCTTTTTCTCTATAATCCTAAAATATAATTGCAATACAAAACATTTGAGACTAATGATTGTGCAATGCATTCGATATATTTTATATCGAGAAGAGTTAAATTTTACAATTGGGTTCTTAGTTACTTGATGATTATTTTCATTCATTCTGTTATTCTAAAAATAATTATAATAATAAATCGAAAAAGCTCTGTAATATGTAAATATGAATTTTTCAGATGAAAAGCTAGTGTAAGAGCCAGGCACAGATATTGGGTGCAACAAAATTATTTTTGAAAGCCTCTATATTTATTTTGAATATTTCGATCCTTTGGACCATCCTCAGCATATTAATAAGCAAAAAAAATGTTTTACTAATTGATATGCTGAGGATAGTTTAAAGGATTGAAACGTTCAAAATAAGTATATAAAAATTCAAAAATAATTTTGTTGCATCTAATATTAATGCCTGGTTTTTACTATCTGAATTCGTGTCTAAAAATAAAGAGCTAGTAAGAACCAGGCAACAAAATTATATTTTTAAAAGCCTCTATATTTATTTTAAATATTTCGATCCTTTGGACCATCCTCAGTATATTAATTAGCAAAAAATTGTATTAATTAATTAATAAAAAATGTTTACTAATTGATATGCGGAGGATGGTCCAAAGAAAGGGTTGAAACGTTCAAAATAAGTATATAAAAATTCAAAAATAATTTTGTTACATCTAATATTTATGCCCGATTTTTACTTTATTGAATTCGTGTCTAAAAACGATTCTTCCGAGCATATCGAAAGCATTACATGCAGAATAACAAAAGCTCACGAAAAATTAGCAAGTCAGAGAGATCGCGAAATGAAGTCGATTTGCGCGTAAGTAGTCGCGAGTTCTATTGTCGTATATTAATCTATATACAAAACGCGTTCGGGGAGGAGAGAGACAAAGTTCGATTGGTCGACGATTTATGATATTGACGTCGAAAAAATAAAAGTAGATAACGTGATGTAACGACGACAGGGGAAGGGAGAGGAGAAGGTTGCTTTGTAACTGACTGGTACGGCCGTGAATGTTTGCATCCCGCGGATGGTGGTACGTCCTTCGATTGGTGCCTTCGTCAAACTTCGATCATCATATTTGATGTCTTCCGCGACGACTTGCTCATCGCTTATATAAAGTTAGAAAAATGAGCTTAACTAAATCTCACAAATTTTATGAACCAACAAATCTTTCTTCGTTCCGTGTGCACGAGAATTTTCTCTTAGAATTTATTTTGAAAATCATGGTAATCGTGGGACAATATAATATTGGAAGAATTTTATAAGAATTTCTCTCTGATTAATATTTACCACAATAAAACATATTAATATGTACATAATAAATTTTCATATGTACATGATAAACTGTGTAGATAATAAAATTAATCGAACATATTTTATATCTTATTGTGGTAGATATTAATATTTTTATTGTGGTATAAATATTAATCAAACTCTTATAAAACTCTTCCAATACCATATTGTCCCACGATTATCATGATTCCTAGAGTAAAAAAATTCTAAGAGAAAATTCTCTCTGTGTAGAGATTTTCGCTATTTCTTCTATATATTTTCACTAAATGTCGACAATTTATTTGAGCATTTTTTGTTAGGGAGAATTCTTTAAACAGGGTGGATTTTTTTTATATAATTAATGTTTTGACTGCTCAAATAATTACAGTCAATTAACTAAGAAAGAAATGTTTTTCTGATAATGTTGCAGAATAACAGAGCAGACGAATAATGGACCGATAGAAATGAAAGATCAAAGGTCCTGTCTCGCGATGTCGCGAATTGATCTCGTCGCAGTTTCAGCTTCGCCAATTGATATTCCGCTTTCAAAAGTAAGTCACATTAATTCAAGTTGAAATAAACAAATTTGATATAATAATTATTTATACAATATAACAATTTATATAATAATTTTATAATATTATTTTAATTATATAATAATTATTTCATTATTATTTTATATTATAATATTATAATATTATTATTATTATGTAAATATACAGGTTGAACACTTTTCTAAAGAAACACAGCCGACAAAAGAGACACCACAAGAAGTAATGCCGCCAGAGCCGCATTTTCAAACAATTAAGGAAAAAGAATGCTGGCATCTCTATAGACGAATGTGCGATAAGGGAGTGTGCGTGTCTTTTGACACTGTTTTAAGGTAATAAAATGATTATCAAGTTCAATTAAAAATATAATAAACCTGAAATAAGAGTGTATAAATTTAAAAAAATTAATTAAGAATAATTAGCGTAATATATCAATTCGTATAATAAAATGTTATGTAATAAAATAATCAAGATAAAATAACGTAGCGTTATATTAAACAATAGTACATTCCTTTATAATTATATATTATTATAATAAAACATTTATTTAAAAAGGAAGCTATTTAGAAATTGCAAAAATATTTTAATAATGTGAAATATGACTCAAATTCTTCAGATATACATAGACTAAAGTGCAAATTATATGTAAAATTGCAAGATTTCATATCTTGATATCAATTTATTGAACGTAATCTATACGTACTCAAAAGTAATTGGAAAAGTATTTTTTCAGAGGCATGCTAACACCAACGGAATATCGATTGCGTCAGAAGGAATATTCGCAAGATTTGGGGTAAAATTAGCAAAAAATTGGATTGCTTTGCTACTTTTAGATACTTTTAGATACTTTTTTAATAAACCGAGATTATTTTTATTTTCTTGAATCGATCGATTAAAAAAACAAATCGACAGAATAAAAGTAATATTAATGATATTTAATATAATTTATACACAAATGTAATTTCTTAATTATATAATTAATAAATTATATATTATATTATTATATATTATATATATTATATAACTTATATACATAATTTATTAATTATTATTTTTTACTAATTTTTATATTTAATTGCTACTTGGATATTACACATTTTGTTAAAATTATAATAAATAAATTATATATATGCATCATAACATTATATATAATTTATTAATTATAAATTATACTTTTATAATTAAAAAAAATTGTGCATAGAAATATACATAAAATTAAAATAATTGGATATCAGATAGATTATAAATTATTATTATTAAAATTGAAAAATATCATTTTAATAATAATAATTGATATAATAATAATAAATTGCACTTATAATGAAAAAATAGGCGCAATTGAATCATCTGATATTAGACAGTTCCTATTAAGCTTTAAATAAAGTTCTACTGCCTTTTTCATGATTTTTCTATACTGCCTTTTTTAATTATTTTTAAATTATTCCAAATAATACATAATAGAATATTTTTAACACGTTGAAAAAGATATACCAATAATGTAATAATTTCATAAAGCGAAAAAATTGTCTGTTCTTTTAATTACACTATATATATATATGTTACATTTTATGCATTAATAATAAATAAATATATATTTAGGCAACAAAAAAACAAAAAAACAAAAAAAGAAAAAATCAGAAAAATACAGAACATACAACTATAATATATTTAAAAATTAGAACCTATGTCTCAACAAAATATGTTCCTTTTATTGTTTTCTATGAAATTTTTCCTTTGTGAAAATATACACATACGATTAAATCATATACGCATTACTTAAATTTAAGCATTACTTATTAAAAATTCGCTGTATATATATAGTTAACATAAAATGAATGTCAACAATCGAAATGCTCACCGATTAAAAGCGAATATGAATTTGTTCCTTCGTTGTTGTATAGTTGTCTTTCTTTTTCTTTCGGTAACCAACAACTCAGTTGAACAAGGTAGGGTCAACCAACGACTATGGAATATCTCTTTGATTTTAGATCACACAATTAGACACACGTTATAACGCGTACACTGACTCGATGTGAAGTTGTAAAAAAGCCCTCTTATCAAAATCAACGCAAATATAACAATTTCTACTCTTACATTGGAACGCAGCACCGTTTCTTTCTCAAACGAATTTCAAACGTGAATTGCACAATACGTTTGCGCGAAGTTGTCTGCTTATTGTCACGTGACTGTGACGCGTTCGAGATTCTCCTGCACGATAGATCGAGACAAAAGGCGGGCTTTTCAATTTTAAGAAAAATGGAAAAATTGAAATAAAGATTTAAAAAATTCTATAAAACATATATATATATATATATATATATATATATGCTATCTTCAATAATGCAGAAATACATTTGCAGACTTATATTACATTCTTCTTATCAAAATGATTATTACACAATAAAATTTAATTTAAAGTTTTAATTGCTTATTTTAGAAATATCTTGCATATAATATTTAGATATTAAAACAGAGAGAAGGAAGGAGGATAATTGTGTAGTAAAAAGTATAATTAAAAATAAGAAGCATAAACTAGACAGCTGGACAGGTCAGATTAGTCTTATCGAATACGCGATCACGCAGTTCAGCGCTAAGCGTTATCAACGCTTATCACCGTGTCATTCCCGGAATGAGATCCTTGCTCGCCTCCTTTTTATGACGACGGATGCGAGCAAGGATGTCGAGGAAGTACGGGAGTAAAGCTAATGTCGATTATAAGGCACGACTCGAGTATAAGTTGTACTTGGTATGTATTTGTCTAGAAATTTTGAGGTTAGGACGACCATCGATTCACAAATTAGTCACATGATGACTAATTAATTAATTAAATAATAGATATATAGATAATGACAATATAATTGGATAACAATTTGGAGATATAATTTATAAATTGTAATTAAAAAAGAAATTGAATTAGACTAAAATACTTGATGAAAAAGATATATTTCATCAGGCAATATGTATATATTTATTTTTTATTTGATATACATTTCTCTATTTTCTCTTTTTATCATTCTATATTTAATATGAAATATTATTAATGATATATGTAATGACACAGATTTAATATTATTATTAATGTTTATTTCATTTGTGTGTTATACTTGTTTAAAGGCCAGAGAAAATCCAGAGCCAATATTTGATGTTTCGGAATGTGCCTTGAAGAATGTGCCGTCAGGTATCTATTCACTGTGCAAGGTGTTTCGGAAGGAAAGCTTATTAATGTATAACAACAAGCTAAGCTCGCTCTCAGGCGGAGGTGCCTTATGTGACTTGTCATTGCTGACTGTTTTAGACATTCATGGAAATGAGTTTATCACATTACCTCCTGATATTATGTGTCTCTCTTCTCTGAAGGTACATTTATTGATCAGAAAGTTTTATCTTGATAATTTTTATGGTAAAAAAGATATGTATGAAAAGACAGTTGTATAATCCTTCTGACAATACAAAATAATATAAAATATTAATGTCTATTAATAATATATAATATTGTATATTATTGATTCTAAAATAATGATTTTTGTTTTCTTTTTTAGGAGCTTTATTTGCAAGACAACAGCATTCGCAAACTGCCCAATGAGATAATTTATTTGAATAAGTTAACAATTCTGAATGTCTCGAGGAACAATCTCAAACAACTGCCTAATGGCATTGGGCAGTTGCAGAAAGAACTCACAACTCTCAACCTCAGTCATAATAAATCATTGCAGAAACTGCCTAAATCCTTGGGTTATGCTCAGCAATTGACTAGTCTAAATATTGATAATCTGAACCTGTTGTATCCACCTCAAGATATTATAGACGGCGGCACAATAGTGATCATCGCATTTTTGGCAAATGAGAGTGGCATCGACTATTCGCCGGAGACTTCGATATCAGAGACCGATAGTTCGAGGAACATAAGCTCAGAAGACATGCAGACAGTACACCACAATAAGAGTAATGACGTTCAGGTATTACAATAAAGTAATGTATATATAAATTTCATAATTATAAAAATAAAATTATGTATATATGTAAAAATGTAATAATCATGATATTTTGTTGGCTAAATTTTTGTTATTAGATATACATGACTTACTTAATTGATCAAATGTTTCCAATATAAAGAAATTATATAAATGCTTCTTACTTTATGTATATAAAGTAAATTTCATTTCAATATTATTACTTACATTTATATAGAAAGATATATATCAAAGTTCTTTATTTTATATTTAAAAATTTTACAGAAATTGATCAATTTTGTAAGTAGTTATAATTAATACACAATGTGCTTTTGATGTTTATGCATATTTACCATTTCTTTTTTTTTCTCTTTTAGGCAACATTACAGAAGCTAGACAAAATGAAGGCATGTTGGATGCTTTTTTGAGTTTTGTATGCTTTCCACTTGTCATCCATCTATTTTATTATTATTTCTTAATAAATTGAAAGACGCTCAGTGCAGTAACAATCCAATCCATAAAAATAAATTAATTAATCGAAAGTAAAGAAAAAACTTACATGCACAGGATATATATATATAAAACAATTATCATATTCATATATAACATAATTATTCCTTATAACAAAAGAAAATCACAATTTAATTATTTTTATTTTTTAGATAAATGTGCTGAGCATCTTATTTATATAATTAATTATTAGTTGCACTACTAAAATGCTAATTATATTCCCATTTATGCTTTTTATACTTTTTTTTTAATATTTATGGTCCTATTTTTTTACAATATATTTAAAATTTTCTCATCTAATTTACCTTCCTCCTTTGATTGTTTTAAAAGTGAATATTAAAAGTCCATTGTTACTAATAAATCAATGAAGATTTTAATTGTATTAAACTGATAAAAAATGTATTCGTTTTTTTTCTTTCGTTTTACCAAATAAGAATCTTTATATAAGAAAACGAATATATTATTTTATCAGCTCAATACATAATTCAATAGTATAATATAATAATATTATGACAAAAAAATTCATTTTCGATAGGAACATCGACAAAATGCCTTGTTGGAAGTGGAGAAAAACATAAAACAGCAACAGGAATATGAAATGGGAGTACAATCTATGCTGAAAGCTCAAAGAAAGAAGGTAATTAAAATATAATTATTATTAATCAATTAACTTGTTTAATTAACAATTAAATTTTTGTAAAAAACTTATATATTATTATATAATATATACACATAACACATGTATGATGATAATTATATTTTGTAGTATCTGTATATTTTATAAGTATAATTCTAAAATAAAAGAAAAGCCTAATTAAAAGATAATCAATATGATGTCATTTGTATATAAGAAAATTACAAAAGCATATAAACTCATTCTTTCAAAATGTATCACAGAATTAATTAATAATTAAGATTTATAATTGATGAAATAATATACACTATACATGCTTTTGTAATTATTAATGTTATTAAATGTATCTACAAATGTAAAACATTGCAAACTATTTTCTTTCTGCTTTTCAGCTTCTGGAGGATCTAGCATTACAACAGACACAATTGGAACAAGAATTTGAGAAAGTGCAGCAAGAAAGAGATACAAATAGAGCGCGTTTGCTTTCATACATTTATAATGGTACAATCTTACTCTTCGATCTTTGATATAAATTTCGCATAAAATATACAATTTATTAAATGTGAAAAGAAATATAATAAATATTTATAATTAATATAAATAAATTTTATGTGTTTTAGCTGAAAAAGAAGCTGATAACGTAATTAAAGAATTTCTAAGAAATAGCGAAGAGGAAAGGCAAAGTCAAGCTGAATTATTGGAGCGAGAGAAACAGGAAGAAATGCAATTGTTAAGCTCTTGTCACTCAGAACAGTCCATGTTACGAATGAAGGATACCCTTTGTAAGTATTGAGCATATAAAAATACTTGAAATTAAAATCATCAATATATCGTACATATGATCGATTCGTTTTTGCAGTTGCAATGGAGAAGTTGTTGGAAGAAGAAATGTGTAAGGCGAGAAAACTGGAAGAGTATACTAAATATAGAGATTACACGGCACAATCCCTGCTCACACTGTCAGTATAAATTGTAAACTTGCTTTTTTACGTTATCGAAAATGAGAAGCAAGCAATCAGTAAAGATAGAATCTTAATTGTTCATTATATCTCTGCTGATGTTTGCTTTATTCAAGAAATTATGAAAATATATCAGAAAAATTGATGAATTAAAAATAAAATTCAGGACAATTATTTCAGAGAGGTGAGGAACAGCGATCATTTGGCACAGATAGTGCATGATCAAGAAAAAACTAGGCAAGATCTCATTGAAAGATTGCGACAGGATGAAGTCTTGCAGAAAGCAGCAGTCACTGCATTATTGGAGCGCAGTGATGCGCGTTCCTGGAGCATTGTTCAGCAAGTGAATTTGGTCCAATCACAATTGGCTGCGCTCACAAACATTGAACTCGAAAGAAGAAAATTAGAGATCAATCAACAGATTGTAAGAGTGTAATTCTTAGTTAGCATTAAATAAGAATTTAAGGGAATTTTTTTGTTTATGTATTAAAATATAATTATGCTAATATAAATTAGAGAATAATTTTATAAAATTTTTATAAACTTTATAAATTCTCTAATTTATAAAATTATACAAAGTTTATATAAAAAATATTTTTTTAGAATGACATCGCTGATAGACGCGTGGTTCTAACAACTATTCTAATTGACTTATTGGAGCAACAGAAAAATAGGAGAGATCAACTACTGGAGACAATCAATATAATAGAACAACAACGATGCATCTCTGTATATACCTTTTTCTCTTTTCTAAGTTATCGATAAAAAAGAAATGCTTCCTTATTTTTTTGTAAAAATATTTTACGAAAGACAACTTGCATGTTGACCTTGTATTTTGTTAGATAATTTAATTTGCACAAATTCATTCCTGTTCAATGAGAAAAAATAACATTTGAATATAAAATTTCATCAAAAAATATTTAATAATAATATATAAAAAATTTTGACAGAATGCGAGACGAGGTAGTTTGTTCTGGTTAATGCAGTATCAGTCCCTAATGGAAGCACGACCACAAGGATTACTGGAAATGTTAGAACCTATGCTAGTTCGGTATGTAGCGATAGCAGGAGCTTTGCACTGCCTTCCATTCCTGGCTACGTTACCGTCTTTGTTACCAGACATCAGTGATGAACAATTGAAAGATGTATGTAACTCTTGGAAAAAATCAATGTACACATAGATTTATAATTTCTTAGAAATTTTTTTGAAATTGAATTTTTATTTAGATTTTCAATCTATAAATTTAGTAAATTTTTAATAATGTTGATTTAATATTGATATTTATTATATTTTTATTATTAAATTGTCAGAATATTAAATTTTTGAATTACAAATTTTGAGAATTTTAAATGCGAATAATTTTAAGATAAACTTTAAATTTTTGAAGAAGTTACATTTTCATGTTTCTTTGCAATACCTTATAAACATAAAACTTATAGAAGATTTATTGTACATTTATACTTTAATTTTTGTTTTGCAGATAGGCATAAGTTGCGAAAGAGATCGCGCTGCCATAATGTTAGCAGTTGAAAATTATCTGGCAGAAGTAAAACTGAATGAAACCAGATCGCCCATAATGCCTTCAGCGCCTCTCGAAGAAGCGTCGACCAGTAATCAGGATTGCAATTTTGTTGAGAATATTAATATGATGGAATGCGTAATCTGCCTCGATTTACAAGTAAGTTTTTTTTTCAAATTATGTATATATAAATATAAAATATTTATAATATATATAATTTTAAGATATCAATAAAACTGTCATTCTATTATAATTAATATTCCATTATTATATCTCTTTTTGTAGTGTGAAGTCATTTTTCTACCTTGTGGACATCTCTGTTGTTGCTCCACTTGTGCGGACAAAGTTTCTGCAGGATGTCCAATGTGCAGAAGTTCAATAGAACGCAAAGTTCGAATCATGCAGCCTTAAATTCGGGAAACTCAATTTGATTCAATGTAATCAGTCAATTTGATGCTCTTCAAAAGTATTGAAATGATACATTACTCTTCATAATCTGTGATTACACATGCGCGCAAACGAACTGTTTCAATAATAACTATTTATAATGCGCATAACAGTTATATTTACCACTGGTAATATAATGCTCATGTAAACGTTGATTCCATATATGTACAAGCTATCTCATTTTATTAGAAATAGCAGCATTTTTTTTGTAAGATATTAGTTTACAAAATATGCAGCGATTACTAATAAAATGAAATACTTCGTATGTGTACATATATATATATATAGAAAATATATTAATATTATATATAGTGACTCACAAAATTGTTGGATTTTATTTTTAAAAATTAATTTAATATTTTTTAAATGTCTTAGAAAAAAAGAAAAAATATTTCAAAAATTATTTAGAAACATTAAATTTTAATTATTTTTAATGCATTATTTTAATTATTTATGTTTATACATTTTAACATGTTGAAAAAATCTTTAAAACATGATCAATTTCGTGAGTAACTAGTTTGACATAAAATTCAATTGTTTGCCATAGAAAAGATTTTTTGATCAATTCAATATTCATTTTTTCTTAAACAATAATAGCATTTCACAAACTATCATAAGTTTGCTGTTGCACTTTTTTATCGACATTACTAAGAACCAAAAAAATAAACACGTCTTTTTGTAAATTTAATATATTCGTAGATGCAATATTTGAATTTTTACAATTCTTTTAGTACTATATGTTGCGAAGCTATATTTGTAGATTAATTTGAAAAATCATAAAGCTAGTTAAACAATTGCAAATTTAGCCAAATGGTACATTAATTTACAATATAATTTAAATAATTATATAATTTACAATGTATATATATGATATTGGCTTTAAACATAAATTTCAATTTTACTTTAATTGAAAATACAAAGAACAAAATTAAAAAAGTTAAACTATTTAAAGGAAACTGCAGATTACATATATTTCGTATTCATAATACCTAATATATTTCATACAGTATAACTACTTTACATAAATCGCGAACATATCTTTGTAGATTACAGAATATATAAAAATTAGACATATATTTGAGTGAGGATAAAATATAAAACTTGTTAAATATAATAGAATGCGAGAAAAGATGAAAAACCATAATATAAACAAGCTTTTATAACAAATAATTTTTACGACGAAATTTTGATATAAATGTGTAATTATTTCACTGTGGGAACAGTTTTGCATCGATACAATTTAAATTTCACTTTTTTGTGCAACTGTTTTAGCACTGTTACAATTTTGGTGTTGAAAAAGATTCCTGTTAAATAATATATAATAAAACTCACTTGTGGAAATTATTGTTTTTTATGCAATTTTTAAATAAATAAATCCAATTTCCTTTTTGCATTAATATTTTATGTTAAAAATTACTTATAATTATCTTAAAGTCATTAAAGTAGAATGCATTATTAAAAAATATCAAATAGAAATATTTATTTTTTTGCTTTAATGCATTTTAATTTTTTTTGTTTGAGTACTTAATTTCTTTAAATATCAAATTATTAAATAAACTAACAATATTTATTATAAACAATATAATAAATATATTTCTTAGAAAACTGTAATTTCTCTTCCTGCTTCTTCATCTTCACCATTCACATCGTCTTCATCTTTCTTTTGTTGCTTTTTCTTTGATGTTGCATCTTTTTTCTCTTTCTGAACTTTTCTAAAATTCTCCAAAGATTCTTGTAGTGGATCAACAAATTGATCAAATTCAATATCCATCATCGCTTGGATCACATCTTGTCCACTGATGGTCTTGCGATTGCCTTTCTTGGCTAATATATTAGCAGATGATGTGAGATAGAGTATAAAAATAGATGCAGCCTTTGCAACTGCTGTTCTAGCGTCTTTTCCAACTGTCACTCCGTCTGGTAAAGCTTCCTTGACGATTCTTGTCACAACTGCATTGGGCAGGTTCAGGTCTTCTAATCGTTCAGCCATCTGATTATCGTTTATATATGTTTTAAATCTTATAAATCTAAAGGTATTGTATGTAAATCTTATAAATCTAAAGGTATTGCAATTTTATAAACCCATGCAATTATTGTGATATTCAAAAATGCAATCACAAAAGGATTTAATTTAAAATAAAACATACAAGATATAACCCAATAATATAAAATTGATCGAAATATAAATGTATTGAAAAAAAATAAACAAAACTGTGAAATTATTATTAAGTTACTTTTTTTCAGGTTACTTTACATAAGCAACGACAAAATTTCTAGATATGTAATAAAAAATCATAAAAATAAGATTGTAGAATGACAATTATTAGAAAATGTAAAAAGAAATTACGGTAAAAATTATTATTATTACCTTGATCTTTAAATATGTTCAGAATTAATATCAAAGACTCAGAGGTTAGATCTTTCCCGCCAGCGAGTTCGATGTAAAGATTACAGTTTGTATAAGGAACGGAACAATCTTGCTGTGCATAAATGTAGTAAAAATCGATAAGATGAAACTCTTGAATAAAATTAGAAGATATATTTGCAAATACACAACAATCACATTTTTATCGCGAATCCGCAATCATGTTCGAGAAAAATTTAAATAAATAGAAAACAACACAAAAATAGTCGCGGAATAATCGAACAAAGACGGCGTAAAACGGTACAAACTTTCGCGAACTCAATGAATGAAACACAGACTATATATTCATAATATAGATATCTCTTGAATTCAATTACGCAATTATGCAAATAATATTCGAAATTCAAATAGCAAAGAAAAACCCAATTTATTATATAGATACTAATATAGAATTTTTTTTATTTATTTTGTTTTGTATTAATTTTATTTATAAAAGAGAAAATTGTGAAATAAGAATAAAGTTTAAAAAAAATTTTTAATTACGTCTCGCGACGTGGCAGCACTGAGTTAGCGAATTTTTGTGCTAAAAGTCCGAATTTTCTCGCTCGAAGTGTCATCTAGAATTCGCGTGATTTTGCTTGCTGGAAATAACCAATCACATTCGCGACCACTGCTACAGAATGGATGTGCAGCAGGTTAGAATATGTTACGTTACGTTAGGTTAGATCGTAGTCGTACAGCTCGGAGAGATAATTGATTATGCGCTTCGCAATCTCAAAAACGTCGTCTTTATGAACGATAAAGTGTAAAGATTAGTTTCGGCGTCTGTATGCGTGCACATACGGTGCCTTGACGGAGGAGCGTGAATTATTTGGTTTAGGACTGACATAAATCATTTTCAAACGCATAATTTCGTCGCCATTGTACCCGAGCAGACGAAAACGTAGTCAACATACGGAGAAAAATGTCAAAGATCGAAGAGGCGAACGAACATATACGTCAGGCTGAGAAAGCGTAAGTATTTCGCTCCCTTTCCTTCGCAAATGTTTGCATCTCACTCTTTTTGACATTTCACTTCGAAGAATTATGAAATTTTCAACTGCGTATATATATAGATATTTATTTGTTAAATTATATATTTCTAATTATAAATCTATATGATAGTGTAATAAAAATAGTGCGGAAAAAATAATGCACGAGTGCATAAGAATTGATTTACTGATTGTGACACAATTTGATTTTTTTAAGATTACGTTTCTCAAACGTAATCAAATCACACAGTATTTGGAAGATTGTATTGTATATTAAATATATATGTAAATTTTTGTAGTTTAAAGCCTACTCTTTTGAAATGGCGACCTGATTATGAGGTGGCAGCTGATGAGTACTCACATGCAGGTAAAATAAATATTATAATTGTAAAAAAAGATAAATATAATGACAATAAAATAATACTAAAGAATGCAATAAATTAAAAATCAATATTTAATCAATTTTTTTATTTGAGGATTAAATCAATCATTTCAAAATTTTGCAGCAAATAAAACAAGAGATTAATTGCTTGACAAGTTTTGTAAAAACTTTACAATTAAAGTTATAATTTTTTTTCATTTTTTCCACTTTAGCAACATGCTTTCGAATAGCCAAGTCATATGCACAATGCAAAGAATGTTTGGTGAAAGCGGCTGATTGTTACAAACAGACCAAAGCGTATCCTTTAAAATATTTTAAACAAAAATATTCCAAATTTCTCAATCTCACATTGATAAACATTTAATAATATATTAAATTTTTAAAAATTCATTAATTATATTCTTAGTTTTATCATTGCTTTAATAAAGCATCAATTTATTATATAAATACTAATATAGAATTATTTTTTATTTTATTTATTTTGTTTTGTATTAATTTTGTTTGTAAAGGAGAAAATTATGAAAAATATTTAATGTTTTTAAAAAATCTTTTTTAGATCAAGAAAATATTTTCTCAATATTTATATTTCCTTTAATTCTCCTGCAATTTAATTATAATACAGATGGTTCCACGCAGCAAAGTATGTATCAAAAAATTGAAATTTTCTCAATACAATATATTTCGATAATATATAAATGCAATGTTTGTAGGAGCATCGAACAAGCTCTGCTCATCTGCAAAGAAATGGGGGATCTATCAGAGGTATCGAAACTAGCTCATAGTGCCTGCAGTCTTTTTCAACAGCATGGTTCCCCCGAATCAGGTGTAACCGCCCTAGACAAGGGAGCCAAAATGCTAGAAGCTACACAACCTCAGCAGGCTCTAGAGTTATTTAAACGTGCAGCTGACATAATCATGGTACGCAGTCATATTCTATATACACATAAATATATGTGTAAAGTACAAAATACAGAAATAAATAATGAACAAAATTAGTTACAAATTTATAAAAAAATTGATTATATAGAGAAGGAAAAGATTATATAAATGTATTTACTTAGAATTAGATACATAATTTTAAAGATTTTTTAAAAAAAGTTTACGAGAAAAAATCTTAAAAATGTTAAGAATTTAAGTTCTAAGAAAAAATAAATAAATTCTAAGAATTCGATAATTTTGAGAATGCTAAGAAATTTTTAATTAAAATTATGTAATAAAACAAATAAGAAGTTTTTAAGGATCTAGTAAAAGATGTAAAATATTTTCTTAGGGCGAGGATAGTCCGCGGCATGCAGCGGAATATATGAGCAAAGCCGCGAGATTATTGGTGAAACTGCAAATGTATGACGAGGCAGCGGACGCAATACGTCGCGAAATTGGCATGTATCAAGAAATCAAGCTGTGGCAATCACTTGGGAGACTCACTGTAGCCTTGGTGCTAGTACAATTGGCACGGGGCGATCAAGTGGCGGCTGAAAAGGCCTTCAAAGAATGGGGAAATTACTGTGAACCTCCCGAAGTATGTTAGAAGAATTATTTAATTTATAGAATGATTTAATTTGATATAAAAAAACATGAAAAAATTATTAGCAATAATATAATGTTGATATTATGTTGAATATTATACATTTTATGCGAAGAGGAAAGAAATTATTAAATGACTAAATGCAAATTATTATTGCTCTGTCAAAAATTTCTTGGCAACCAATATATTAATAATCTGTCAATGCTAAAAAAGTTTTTTTAAATGTGCATATAATATATAATTATTATGCAATTATATGAATAGAAAATATATATATCTATTTAATTATAATCTATTGCGATTAATATAATCTTTCTTAATTTAAATTAAAATATGATTCTCTGATTCAGGTGCAAACATTGGAAATGTTGCTGCAGGCATACGACAATGAAGATGCAAACGCGGCTCGAGCGGCTCTTAATAGCCCCTTTATCAAACACATGGATGTGGAATATGCCAAACTAGCGCGAGGGTTGCCTTTACCGCAGAATGAATACTCAGTTCCGCCTGCTGGGGTAAGACCCAATGCCGCGGAATCCTACATTTCTCCCAACGTGTCCAAGCCTTCTGAACAAACTACAGTCGAAGCAGAAGTTAATGTATGTTCATTATTGTATATTAATATTATTTACACATGTATTATTTCATTATAATATTTGATTATTCATTATATCAATGATATTAATTGATTTTCTAGAAAAAGAACGATGTTGATGCTACTGGTCAGTCAACGACAAAAGTGGTCGAAAAGAAACCACCACCACAGCCGCAACCAGCGCAAAAAGAGGAGGACGACGAATACGAGGGAGGCCTGTGTTAATCGTCTTTAGATGTAAACAATAATTCTCTATTGCTTGAGTAAACTGTTAACTGTAACGCTTGCATGTATATCGAGCGCTTCATCGAAAGCACATTGTCGGTTTTGACAGCATTTATCTTTCAACTTCCAAATTATTAGAATGAAACACAGAAATCAAGAAGATAATAACTACTTTCATTATCAATATTTTTGTTCTTTTAATATTTCGCCAACAGTTTAATCTATTTATTAGTAGTTACCGAATTATTGAAATTTAATATAAAAACAATTAATATTCCATATATGCAAGAAAATATATTTTTGTTGGAAGACTTTACACAATGTGTCACCAGAAATGAAAATACTTAATTATCATCTTTAGTTGTAATGATACAGAGAAAAGTTTCCCAGATCTGCTCTTTGAAATCATATAAATATCAAATCTAAAATATTTCGCTCGTATCATCACAACAAAGAGTAAATTAAATATTCTGATAATTCAGTTTTCTGATGGGACATCCTGTAAGTAGCTATTGCTACAAATATTTTAGATATATTTATATTTTATTTTTATTTTCATATGTGTTATGTGTATATATGTCATATATATCCTTTTTGTGTCAGATTAAATATTTCGATATTTTTAGTAATTAGCTAATGTTGTACATATTTTACTTAAAAAGCCAGATACATTCCTCAAGTCAAAAGTGTATATTTAGTTTTTCAGCACTACCTTAGCGATCATTATACTGAACTGTTATACGATTTAAGAGTTTAAGAAAGAAAAAACATACAAAGATATATTCTGCTGTTAATACTTCATTTGCAAACCTATGAAATGTTCCTTAATAAAAGAAGATACGAATTCATAATTGTCTTCTTCATGTAAAGCTAAGGTACCAAATAATAATACTCAAATAGGTTATGTTTATCAGTCGTCTATGAAACGAATTTGTTCCTTTATATTGCCATAAATCATAATTTTCCGTAAATTAAAACCGAAATAGACATATAATTAAGTATAAATTAATATATAATTTATTATTATTAATAAATAATTTATATTAAAGAAAGATCTGAAAGAATGTGCGGCTTAAAAGAACAGACTGACGATATAAATATCAAAGAGTATTTACCGAATAACCGATGAACGTGGGATTTACCTCGATGCTGCGATGATTCTCCCTTAAAATTTAAAAGTAGCAAACAATCAAATCGCACTACACATAATGATGATTTTAAACTCGCGACACTGTTTACGAATTCGAAACTGTTCACGTTCAAAACGAAACGAAAATGGCGCGCACGACTGTGGTAATTAAGAACAACCATAGACTATTATTCAGTAGATGGTGGACTCGATATAAAAAAATGAAATATTAAACTGACCAATCACGAAAAAAAAGATTTAGTCCAATTCAATCTTCTTTTTAATTTATATATATATTTTTTTTTCTTTTTTTTTTTTTTTTTTTAATTTGTCTACACGTCAGCTGATTAATGTCATTGAAATGAAAATAAAAAGTATTTGTTCTTTTTAATTTTTTTTAAATTTATTTTTTTATTTCTTCTTTTTCTTTAAAATTTGTCTACACGTCACCTGATTAATGTCATTGGAATAAAAATAAAAATAGTTGTTCTTTTTTCTTTCAAACTTGTCTACACGTCAGCTGATTAATGTCATTGGAACGAAAATAAAAATTTATTCAGAGGAAATCAATTTCCTCCCTTAATAGCTCGCATTTGATTGGTCAATTCAGCACCCTGAAGTATCCATCGCGAGATGGATCGATCGATCGATCGATCATATCGATACACGCGATTAATTGATTGATCGCAGCGTCGCGGAAATACAATTATCACAATTATCAATTCCACGTTGATTATATCGACGAGTCCGAGATTCCTTAAAGCGCGGCGATAATAAGATATATATGAGCACGCTCCCTTATATTTCTCGCGAATCAATAAAATCGCGGCGGCCCGCCACCGCGTGGCGTCGCGACGCGCCGCCGCGGCGGGGCGCGCGCGACCCTGAAAATCGAATAAATAGTGGTGCGCGACGCCGGAGTAGCCGAGGCAGAGACGTCACACGACGACGGGACGCCGGCGAGTGCGCGTCGCGGCCTGGCTGCGGGTGAGAGCCTACGACGCGAATCTTTCCGCTTTTCTTCCGCGCCGCGAACAAAGACGTCCGGTTGACTCCTCGCCTCTTCGTGAATACATCACGGAATTAATCTCATCGTATACCCGGGGCTCTCGGAGGAACTTCATTCATTTCATCCCACCGATGAGCGCGCGACCTTCCAGCGAGGGTGCCGCGCGACCGTCGCGGCGAGACAGGCCGCGGCCCAGGCTTTAAATTTCGCAGACGGAGGAATGACGCTGGAAAATCCCTTCTTTGTCGTCAAAGAGTAAGTGCGATGTGTCACGGAGGAGGAGGAACGATTGATTCTTTTTTTCGAGGCCGAAAAGAAGGATATGTGATTCCAGTGTAGATCCTCTGTGCGCATCATTGTCATGGGAATTTTTTTCGGGGGTGGTAGAGGGGGAAGGGATTGAATGAGCGAGAGCGCAAGTATGTACGAGGAAGAACGTTTGCAAACACGCTGATAACGTGGCGGCCGATAAGAGTTCGAAAGTGCGATATTGTGGATTAAATATTGATGTATATGCGATGATGATCGATTGTCGAAGCGTTATCGCTTTTTTTTTTTTTTTTAAGAAAGTACGTCTCGTAATTCGGGTTATCTTGAGCTGACATATTGCTTCAATAAGGGCAAATATTTGTCGCACATCGTGACGGAGCGATATATCCATGGGTTTGTGTGTATAATAAATGTTGCACGATGTTGCGTTTCTTTGACAGATTTGACACACTATATTAAAATAAATATATGATTTGCGATTTAGCGTTTATTCTTCAATCGAAGATTATATATTTGTAAATTCTTTGTTAAGACTTTAAATTCTTATGAAGATTGAATAGGAACACCAATATAAATTCGTAAATAATAAGAATTAGTATTATTTGATAATTATTAAATTACTAATAAGTAATTTTATATTTTATATGCAATATGTTGTTTTTATTTTTATATATCTTTAAATATTTTTATAAATATTTTTAAATATCCTTGTTATTTTCAAGACACGAAAATATATATCATCTATAAAGAAGAAATTTATTTTAAAGAGGAAAATTTATGATAAGAATTTTTATTTTAAAATCAAACGACTCTATATAAAAAGTTAAAGTTATTGACGTTCTTTAAAATAAAATTATATGATTTTTACATAAATAATACATTTATATTATTAATAACAAACGTTTTGATCTATTTTAATATAAAATAAATAGAAAACAAAGTTGTTATCTAAATTATTTCGACATGCGCGAATATCTAATCGAGAATAACATAATCTTTCCTTTAATAGAGATTTAATATGCAATAATATATTTATTTATAATAATGAAATTATAATATTATTATATAGGAACAACAGATATCATTTATACATACATGACATTTAAATTCAATAAAGATACGCGTGAAAAGAAATTTTATCTTTAAATGAAAGGAACTGCATGTATATTTAATAATAATTTTCTTATAAAAAGTATTAGATAGTTCCATATTATATATACAAGCTTATTAAGAAAAATCTAGGATGCGTGCAATAATTATCTAAAACATTCTAATTCATAAACATCCTTCATTTATCGATAAATCATCACATAAAATCCAATTTAAAAGCAATATATTCTCTTAAAATTCTTATTTAAAAAAAAATTATAACATTTTCTACATATGTTTTCTAGCTAATATTTTTATTTTTGCGAATCTGAAGTTGATTTTAAATTATAACTTTTTTTGAAAAACTAAAAATTTATATTATAATTCTGAATATAAGTTTTTTTAATTTAACATCAATTTTTAAACGTTTGAAAATATTGTCACGTGTCTTAAAATGTTATCGATTGGTGTGAAACTATCATCTATATAGATAAGTCATGTTTCTCCTGATTCTCGTATTTTTAATTCCTTGTCATATATATATGTTTCAGCGAGGTGTGCAAGGCGTTGAACAAGAATCGCGGCTTGTACGGCCGCTGGAGCGAGCTGCAGAATGTCGGGATCACGTCGCCGACTGGTCTGCCGATGAGCGGCTCGGCTGCGGCGCCCACGATCTCGCGGACGGACGAGCTCGACTGGACCACCACAGAGCTAAGGAAAGCTCTGCGCTCCATCGAATGGGACCTCGACGACCTCGAAGACACTATCTATATCCTTTTTCCCCGCATCGCATGCTCCAAAATTCTGTATGAATTTCCATTTCATTTGAACCTGAATAGACATTCGAGTCTGCATTCGATGCTGTGTAGTTGAAGTTTGAATTTTAATTTGGATTTAAAATACAAACTTTCTTACATTGAATGTACATTGAAATCTGCGAATTTGCAAAAATTGTATCAAATTTTTTTCGTAGACTTTTTTGAATCAGTTTTCAATTTAAATTTTGTCTATATTGTCATTAACGCATATATATATAATATATGTATATACGTATCGTTGAGAAGAATCCGACGAAATTTAAGATTGACAACAAGGAGTTGACAGTTCAAAGAAGTTTCATCGAGCAAGCACGAGAAGAAGTCAAGGTAATTAAATAGTTTATTATATGAAATAATTATGCATTATACATATAATCGTTGATTATTTCGTCATATTTGCTGTTTTAATTTTAAAAATGTAATATTTCTCATGAGATACATTCGCAAAATTAATGCTTTAACTTGATACATTATTTATTTATTGAACATTTCACAGATCATGAAGGACAAATTGAATTTGAGCAGAAGCCGGGATCGTGACAGCACGGCAAGACAGGTTTGTACATATTATATTTTGCCATATTTTAATTATATACTTCATTATATTACAACATATAGTATTTATATCACATTCTAAAAATTTTAAATTATATGCCGTGTCTAAAAAATAGCGCGTGAGAAATGCAAAAATAAGAAAGAGAAAACAAATGAGTAAAAAAGATAAAAAATAAACAATAAAAAATAAAAGTATTAGCTAGAAAATACTTAGAAAATTTCATAATTTTTTATTTTTTTGTTTTACATAAGAGAATAATCTTATTGAATATACTTACGAATAATATAAATATAAAATGTAATTTTGTTTTCGCAAATTTTATTACCTGCAATATTTGTTTACTTGTTTTATGTATAAACAATCTAACATCATCTAAAATTGCACAAATTAAATATAAAATTTAAAATTATATTTAAATTCTACATTTTTTTTTTATATATAACTTAATCTACACTGCCTTCTTTATATATTATAAAACAATATATATATATGTCTACTTATTTTTATTAAAGTAAAATTTAAATTATTTATAAATTAATAGAATTTATAATTTCCCTCTGCTCTTTAGCAAGAACGGTGACATCTATAGGTAGCTCGCCCAATCATTGTTTCATTATCGGACGATCTCATTTCGCGATTAGTCTATGGCATTTCAGTTTCAGTCCATTCGGTGATCTCTAACCTGAAAAGAGTGCGATCTATCATGTCGGTCTTAATTAGTGTTATTTTGACAATTCACACGTCGTAATATTGACAAGGCTATTCATCAATTCACGCAAACGACAATGGTATACACGGTATTCGAAAAATTTTCCTTATGAAATTTGGAACTAACCACTTATATACACTCTTTAACATTCATCTAAGAGACGATTATATATCTAAAAATTCTCGAGAAACACGATTATATATTAATCCATGATAAATTCTATAAATTTTACCATTTAATTATATATTTTTTTATTATCTTCTTTTTTTATTACACTTTATTTGTAGTTTATTAATATCTTAATTATTAAATTTGAATGTTAATTATTTTATAATATTTAACAATATATTGATAAATTTATAAATAATTATGATTTACAATTATTTCTGCAACATTATTTATAGCTTATATATCTACAATAATTTGTTATACATATGTTTAGCCACTTTTGGACAACAGCCCGGCGCGAGTCCCAACCAATCATGGCACCACCAAATACAGCAAGCTAGAAAATGAAATTGATAGTCCAAATAGGCAATTCCTCAGTGATACGCTGCAGCAGCAAAACACCATGATGCTGCAGCAGGATGAACAATTAGACATGATTGGAGAAACAGTTGGCACATTAAAGACAGTATCCAGGCAAATCAACAGTGAACTAGATGAACAAGCTGTGTAAATAAAATTTCTCACTTTAATTTGTTATCTGTGTTATCTTTTGTTTACTATAAAACTACAAGATATTTTATTGCAGGATGTTGGATGAATTTGGGAACGAGCTGGAAACAACAGATTCCAAGTTAGATGCTACCATGAAGAAGATGGCCAAGGTGCTGCACATGAGTAATGGTAACTATAACAATTACATTCCTGCTCCCACTACCCCGGTGGCATCCAGTGTCACCGATCTTATTTCTGATAATAAGCCCTCCTCTCTTTCCTCTTTATCTAATACAATTGCCAATTGTTTCCTATGTTCTCATGATTAATTGTTTTGCATCTTTAGATAACACAAAGGCATCAATGAGAAATATTGTAATTACAATTTTATTCAACATTTTTAATTACAATTATTTTGAAATATTCTTTATTAGCAGTGTATATTTTAAGAAAATATAAATAAAATATTTATGAGGAAAAAGATACAAATAATTTTTAAAAATTAGTTTTACAATACTTTTTATTGATGCCGTCATTATTTTTTAATAATTGAATTATCCTTTGAAAATTGTTTAGCTACAGAGAGTGATTGTTTAAAATCTCAAGAGATTGCATTTTGATTTGTAGTGCAAGTTCATATTTTACATATTAACCACAATTAGGAATGTTTAGAAATTTAAAACTTACAAAAATTATCAAATTATATACGAAATATATTATTAGTTTTAATTTGTTTAAAAATTACACTGCTAAAAATGAGAAAGATGATGTTGCAAATGCAGCCTACATATTATGTGTAATATAGTATTGCAAAAAATTAGTTGTTGTATAATCTGAAGAGTAATATAAAATATTTGTCCTTAGGAAATTATTTATTAAATTATGTCTAAATTATTTTTAAAAGAAATGTTATAAGTATAATAATTTATTAAGTGCATTTTAATATAATTATGTTTTTAATTATATTTTATCATCAGTAGATTATATTATTACTTTAATATTAACAAATAATTTAATTTTTCTATTTCAAACTTTATAATTTATTAAACAGTTTAACTTTTATAAAACAATAATGACTTGTTGGCTCCTAATAATTAACTGACAAGTGATAATACACACACACACGTGTGTGTGTGTGTATAATACACACACACACGTGTGTGTGTGTGTGTGTGTGTATATAATTATGTATATATTATTTTTAATTATTAAAACTTAATTTAGCTTTCTTTTTAATTGTAATATTTAAAAATAATTTAGACAGAAATTTAGTAAATAATTTACTAATATTATAAATAATTGTTACTAATAAAAAATAATCTATCTAACCTAAATGTTTTAAACCATTATTAACATGTTCTGTTCTAACAACGATATTAAACACATTTTGCATTTTTGTTATCCCTTTTTCACTGATTATGGTTAGCACTAATTATAAGTAGAAATAAAATGAAGATAAAAATGAAATAAGAAAAAATTAAAATTCTTTTATTAGATGCAAATGAGTAATATTTGAGGATGTAGATTGTGATAAATTGATATATTATATCCGCAATTTTTTAGAAAAAGCAAAAAAGACCTAATTAATTTTAATCGTTGTTATATCAGATATAATAGTTTATTAATAATTACCAAAGAATACCGAGTCTTGTTCAGAAAGCATGGAGTCAAAATCAGAACGGACCAGTTAGATATATATTCCTGCGAAGGAATATTCTTAATAAAATCATATAATTGCAAAATATAGCAGAGTTATTGAATATAATGATTAAGTATCAAAAGAATGTATAGATTACTTCAAGTCATATGTGTTTAATTTTTTTGGAAAAGTTAAAAAATAGATTAATAAATAATGTACATGAAAAATATAAGATTTAATTAAAGCTAACATAAGAGAAAATGAAGAAAAGAACTTTAGAATTCAAAAAACCAATATGATAGATTTAGATATTTACAATTTTTTTTTAGGATTTTAAGGATTGTAATCCTTATATTTCCAAAACAAAAAGTTTAGAAAACTCAAAAGTTTGTAAAGTAAAAAATTTTAGAATCTTATGATTAAAAAATCTACAAGTATATGAAATTAAATATCTAGAGATTTAAGGATTTAAGAGATTCAGAGAATTTGGAAATTCAAGAATTGTGGAATTAAATTGAAAAATTTAGGAATTATGAAGTCCAATTAAAAAATTGAATTTCCTCGTTGAAGAAGACAGATTGTGCATGACAAAATTAAGAACTTTATCTGTGCGAATCGAGAAGAGCGTAGATTGTAAATGTAATTAACAAAGTGTAGTTTTATTGTTATCTCTTTCTCTCGCCGACGACCAATTGTGTGAAAAAAGAAAGAATAGAATACAGTGACGAATAAAATATGAGAACCAATTTGTGTATTGTGAACTGTAAATAATTATAAATACTCCTGTTTCCTCGCAATTTTTTATTTAAAATTGATATCTGCAATTACTCATAAAATTAAACGAATGTTTTAAAGATATTTTATGCAATATTCTATAACATTAAAACATTTTTTAGCTGATCAAATTCTATTTCACAATATTCAAATATCGTTTAAATAATAGTGTTTTTCGTAAAATTATAACACAATACTTTTTTTTTATAGTGAGTACATCAGTTAATGCATTCAAAAGTATAGAATTCCAAATTAAGTTGTTTTGTTCACAAACATATTTTCTTTACTATTCAATTTTTGCCTGTAAAACACTTTTTTTAATTATAATAATTAATAACGATATTTGCATACATAATTTGAAATGAGACTATGTAAGAATCTATATAAGAATTATATTCCTAAAGTTTTTAAAATACATTTAATGAATAATTTTATGAGTAATTGTATAAATTATAATTGGTGTTGATAAAAATGCTTCATATATTATAGATTTTACATAGTTTTAATTTTGCTGTAGTCTAATTTTGTAATTAATTGTGTTAAAATTAAATAACAGAATATTTTTTACTCCATAAACAATTTCAAAATAAATAAATATCAAGAATTATTTCAGCATTGCAATGTATTTGTCTATTGTCAGGATGTTAATAATTATTAATTACGATATAAATGTTTCCATAAAACCGCAATTTAATCTCGTAAATCACATTAATCTCGTAGAAGATCTCGAGTGACGCATGTGATGTTACTTTCCGTTTGTTTTAGATCGGAGGCAATGGGTAGCCATTGGAGTGTTGACTGCTATATTGGTGTTTTTAATCATTTTATTCATAATTAAATGAATCATCTCCCACCTTTTCCAGCCTCTTCTCTTCCTTTCCCAGGAAATGCAAGATCCTCTTTGTAGCTTTAAATGTAATCTAAGTCCGTTTGACATACTTACATATTAATGATATAGTAAGATTTTATGAATAAAAAAAATAAATAGTTAATTATATAAAATAATTTTATGACGGCCTCTTCTTAAATGTCTTTCACACCAATAGTAGATACAGATTTACTATAATTATGAATTATATGTATAAAATTTTTATTACTAATTTTTTATACTATATTATTATATATATATATATAATTGTGTGTTATATACTTTGTAATATATTAAAATTATAGTTTTTTCTCTTAGAAAGTTTTCAATCGTATCATTTTATTTTATGTGCAATATGAAGATATGCAATATTTTACAAAATTACTCAGGCGACAAAAGAATGTTTTAAAGTATTATTTCTTATAATAGAATAACAAATGATATAGCAAATATAAGAGATAATATTGTTAACTACTGCTATATTTTTGAGATATTTATTTCCTTTAAACAGTTTACAAAGTTTGTATAAAAATGCTCTTTTATCTTATCTATCTTGTCTGTATGTAAAAATATAATCGATACAAGCTAAACTTGATTATAAATTTCTCATCTTAAAGTTTAATTGTAAGGATAATAGTTAATAATTAAAAAATGGTTATAAAAATGACATAACAAGTTGCGTGTATGTATATTTTCTATTCATTGTCAGTATTTTTTAATTACTGCTATACGAGAAAATAGAACTTTCTTTTATTCTTATTTTAACATAAAAATGTATTTCAATTATAGTTTTTTATTTTCCCTTAAAATGGTTATTAATTTTCTTATTTAATAATCATATATTACAATTCTCTTTTTTATTATTTTGTTATTCATAGATATTTTATATTCCAAAATTCTACTACTTTTGAAACTTCAAAGAACACTTTTAAAATTGACATGTGCACATAACTTTAAATTCGCTTAAATTCTAGATCATCTTAGATAATGTATTAATGTATTAACGTGGCAGTTATGTGTTATAAATGTATACGGATCTATATACATATTTATACATGATTAGTATAATCAGTTATAACAAATATAATATATGCTAATCAAACGATAAATGACGATACAAATCCCAATATTTATACTATAAAAAATCTTTGGTATAAAACGCATGTATTATTATCATCATGTGCATGTACAATTGATGCACATAATTTGTTTTAATTAATTTCTCTATGCTAACATGTAAAATGCTTATTAAGCAAAATACTTTTAAGTAAAATGCTTTTTAAGTAAAATGCTTATTAAGTAGATAATTTAAGAGACTTGCCATTTCAAATTACAAAAAAACATATATTTGAAATATATGCATATTAAATAATTTCTGAAAAGTTCTCTAATAATATTTTCGTATCACAAAAATTTTTATCAGCAAGAATCTGTGTGAATGTAAATTATTATTGAGCATATAAAATTGAGATTTAAAAAATATATTGTTGAAAAAGAGTCTCTTGTCTCTACAAATAATTGTGTAGAGTCACAAAATCCTAATAATATTCTAAGAAAAAAAAGAATGACTTTTAAGTATTTAGCTAAAAATTCTCGAGTCTTAATTAATGCTAAGGATACACATGATTTAAAAAATGTTTTATATAGCTTAATATATTCTTAAAAACTTACGTAAAAATGTGTTTGATATGGCGTAAAAGTTTAATTTTTCAAGGTTCGAGACGAACGCGTTGATAACAATCAGTTGGTAAAGCCTTTCGAATATCATCAATATTTTCCACTTCGATTCGCAACCGGCTGACTTCATCTTCATAATTTTTAACCCATTGCGTTTGCAGATTTTTTGCTTCTGTCAAGGCACGTATTCGCTGATCTAAATTTGCGGTTTTAATTTCCTTTTCAGCGACGACTAGGCGTTCTTCTAGGTGATTCAAGTCAGCGTCATCTAAATTATAAAATAAAAGTTTATATAGTATTTAGAATATACAAATTATTTAGATGTCGAAAAAACTTTAATCTTTTTTAGAAATTGTTTTTTAGATTAATTCTTGAGACACTTTAGGATGTTCCATTATATTCCAAATATAAATAAGCTAAATAAAATATGTAATAAAGCTAATATATATAACAAAACAGAAAATTTAGAAATATACTTTTCTGAAAACAATAGACAAATTTAAAGTTTTTTTCTGAAAACAATAGACAAATTTAAAAAATTAGGAACGAAAAAACTCACCAATTTCCGGTAAATTTTCAAGCTCTTTAATAATTGCGCTCACATCGGATAAAGCTTTATCAACTTGTTGCGACGCAAGAGTAACATTGGTCTTTGCTTGGCCCACTTTATGGTTCGCCTAAAAAGTCAGATCAAAATATTATAGATATTATTTACTTCCGTCTTAGACATCCGAATTAGGAAAAAATAAAATGTATTATATATGTCATAGCATATTTGCCATTCTATAATTTCTTTTTAATTTTATTTACTTAATTTAATGTGTCTATGTCCATTTTTATGATTTTTTTCAATAATTTTTCTATTTGATTGACTAATTTCTTCTTTCTAATATTATTCCCTCCTCTTATTTAATTTAATTAATTAAATTCTTACTTCAGCAGTTACATTGGCATCCTTGGCTATTTGGATTTCATATTGTCTCATCATAGAATCTGTAGTATCAACTCTGAGATGTAACTTCTCGGCTTCGTTTCCGAGCCGTAGAGCTTCGATTTTTGTTTTATTTGCCTCCATTCTAATATCGTTTGCATTGGCACTTGCTCTATCTGCATAAGTCTGGAATAACAAATATGATAAATATAAGTTAATATGAATAGAGATTATTTATATGTTTTTATATTGATATAGAGTATATTGATATTGATTCAATATAATTTTATATATATTATATATATATAATTATTAGATGATAAATTGTAAAATAAAATTAAGTGGCATTGCTGTTTTTTAATATATTAAAATAATTTAGAACTTTTTAAAATAATCTATACGAATTTGAATAATCTCTCTAACCTGAGCGTTTTGTGCTATTTCGCGTGCGCTTTTAGCATTACCCTCTGATCCGTTTAACGCTCTCTCTGCCTCTTTAGCTTGCGTGCTGGCATTATCAATCAATTCTTCAATAATCTGAATATCCTTCATAGCATTTTGAGCCTTAACTCGTTCGCGTTGCACCTCAGCATCAAATTCTAAACAACATAAAAATTAAAATAAAGAAAAATTGCTGTATTTTTCTGTTTTTCTAATAAAATAATTTTGTACAAAAACTTTTTTCATAAAATTATACCTCCTAACTTCTTCAAAGTTTCTTGAGCTTCTTTCAGAGTTTGATCGCCACGTTTAACGGCGTCATTCGCCGTTTCGTTGGCTTGATCTAACTCAGCTAAGAGCTCAGCTGTTGCGGCTTGTTGATCTTGGGCTCGATCTAGAAGTTCTTCGCTGCTTTTAACTTTTTCAGACATTTCTTTGATAAAATTCTCGTTTTGTTCCAATAAGAGTTGCGCTTGCTCTTTTATCCTTAAACCCTTTAAGAAACATATACATTATTTAAAATATTAAAGGCACAGTATTAAATTTATATAATTTAATTAAATTAATTCAATTTTTATAAGTAAACTAGAAATGTTTTTGTTTAACTATCTTTTTTCTTTGTCGAATTATAATACACTTTATTGATATTAATAATAGTAATAGAAGAGATTTAATAAAAGTAACATAAATATATAAATAATGTAAATAAATAAAAAATAAATTAATAATAAATAATAATTAAATACAAATTTATTTCCAGGAAATATGATATATATATATATATATATATATATATATATATCCTTTAATTTTCTCAATTAATGATAGAGATAGAGATATATTATTTACTAATAAGGAAAAAAGTTAAACGTATTTAAGTGACACATACATATATTTATATTAATTTTGTATATAATTAAAAAGTATTTCAACGTATATTTATTTATTTGTAATTACCTCATTGCTGACGGTTTCTACTTGTTGCCGCAATTGCTCAAGATCGACCGCAGGAAGTGTTAGATCAAGAATTAGCAAATCTAACGCTTCTTGAGAGACAGCAGAAGATTTAGCAGCTGCGGTAGCAGTTAGATTTCTTACTTCGTTCATACGATCCTCCAATTGTGCCAGCTTGTTCTCCAGATCTCTAATTTCATCCCTGTGCATAAGATCATTTTGATTTTCAATGCACAAATATCGTGTTCATTACAAATATTGCGTATTTAGAAGATTGCAGATATTAGTCAGTAAGATTATTATATTCGAAAATAGAAAAAAATAAATTATTAAATTATATATTAAAATATATACTTATACATTAAAATAAATAAAATTATATATATATATATATATACAATTGCAGATTATTAATTATAAATGTATAAAATTGTTAATTATATGGATGTTATGTATCAAATATAAATTTATATTGAGAAAATCAAGAGAAAAAAGAACTATTACTGTATTAAGAAATATTACTTACGTTATATTAGAATATTTGGATATCGCTTGTTTTGCAAGATTGTAAGCCTCCAATGTCGTATTTCGTGCTTGTTCCGCTAACATATGCAGCTTTTTAGCTTCATTGGTATTTCTAAAAGAAGATATATTCTTACAATATTAAATCATAAAAATTAGTATATAATGCTATAACAATATAATTAAATAAAAAATTAAAATTATATGCATGTAATAATTTAAGGAAATTTATTTAATAATAATTTAGTAGCTAATTGTTTTACTTTCTATTTTAAAGAAAAGTCCTTATAAAGATTTTAATTTATAAATTTATAAATATATAAAGAATTCAATTATATTAGAATTTAATTATTATTGATATATGTTAATATAGATTATAGAAATTTACATAAAATACATACACCTCAGCAAGTGAGCGAGCTTCTTGTGCAATAGATGTCATTTGTTGATTTTGCTGGCCAACTTGTTCGGCACGCAATTTTGCTGCAGTCAAAGCGCTCGCTCCATCTGTAGCTAAGTAATCTTCCGCTTCCTATCATTTAATAAAAAATTATGCATATAATTTTTAGAAAAGTTTTTAATGCGCGTGTTATTCTTCGACTTTATATTTTAAAAAAAGTTTATTTAAATTCCATTAATCTCTTTTGACAGAAAGTAGTTAATTATAACGTTAATTTGCTAATTACATTTTAAAATAATAATAGGATTTAAAAATTAAAATGTTTTAAATAATATATTATGTTTTAAATAATATATTATAGTTTTAATAATATATTATGACAAAGAATCAGCTGATTAACAAAAGTTCTTTTCAAAATGAGCCCAAAGCGAATGTTCTAGGACTTACAGAGATCTTTTGAAATAGCCGCTTTTAATAACGCGGAATAATGAATAAATAATAAAAGATAATGTTTATGCAACCGGTGTTACAAACTTCGATACAATCGAGTAATCGATTTTACATGTTTTTTAAAATAAAATAGATACTTGATTAATTTCATCATTTTAAATAAGGAAAATAAAATTTTATTTACCGTTAATTGTTCATGAATTTTATCCAAAACCTTCTCCGCTTCTCCAATACTCGTCAAACCTTCTTCTGTTATATCACGCGCATCATTTGCTGTCATATTTACAGTTTGATAGATCTTGTCAATTGTATTTAATTGTTCACGCAGTTCGTCCAGTTGTTCCACTAACGTTTTATTCTCGCCTGAAAAAGATATCAGTCTTTATGTTTAGAATGTTTTTATATTTTTATTTTATAATAAATAGATTTAATAATATTTATAATTAAAATTAGTAGTAATATTTTAATAGATAAAATTATCTGACATGATTTCTAATAAAAATTTCTTTTAATTATTTGACTTCATATTATATAATTGTTTAATTATTAATACTTTACTATATTAATAATAAGTATTTTTCTAATAAAAATATTCAAATAGTTTTAGATGTCGATATTTAAATAATAAAGGTAATATCAAAATATTTACTGCTAGATCCTTGCTTGGCGATAGTCAATAATGCTTTTACTCTGTCCTGGACGTTTTTGAGTTCCTTTTCGAAATCTGAATCCTTGATGACGGTAGGACTGCTGTTAATCTTATAAAGGGTATCTTCGAGTTCAGCCAAACGTCGTCGGTGATCATTGACCGCCGATTGCACAAGATTATAACAATCGGGACAGTCGATGCAGCCGTGCTGACGGTTGTGCTTGTTCTCCTTACAACGATCGCAACGTCTGCCCTCAACATTCGTCAAGCACTGTAGATAATTGTCAAAAATATAAGATTAAAATACATAACTTTGACAGAAATAAGTAACAAAAAATAATCAAAAAAAACATATTTACAAAAATCTATGAATCTCAGATTTTGTTAACTTTAATTTTATTGATTTCTATAAGATATCGTGTATGCAAATAAGTAATTTTAATATAAATCTTAATTACATTACCAATTTTTGTATTGTAATTTATTTATGTAGAATATTAATCTAATTATATATATATATATAGACTTACAGGACATTGTCCATTTGCATCACACTGTAGATCCTGGGAGCCGATGCTATCACAGTCACAAGATTTGCAGCCCTCACGACTAAATCCGTACTGATATGGTTCGCAGGCATCGCAATGTTGACCTGTGATTCCGGGTCGGCATTGACATTGACCCGTTATTGGATCACAGGTTCGATTGTAAGAACCTTCTAAATCGCAATTACAAGGTGTGCAACCCTGTTAAAATAATGTTCTTTACGTATAATTTAAAAATATCATACATTTAGCAATTAAAAAAATTAATATTTTATTTATATTTTTGATAAAATTAAAAAAATCTTATTTAAAAGTATAAAAAAGGTATTATTTAATTAATAATTTAAATAATATTATTAGTTAATATTTATAATAATAATAATACTATTAAATATTGCAAAAGTAAAAGTTAAGTAAACTTGCAATAATATAACTATTTTAATATTTTATATGTTTATAACGTTTAATTAATCTTGAAGATTCTTGTGTGTTACACTCCATAAATTAAAACAATTAAATCAAAATTAATGCAAAACAATTTGATAACACTTAATATGGAATATTGTCCGTGTCATTAAAATTATAATTAATTTTATTTTTTAATTAATTAAATTTAATTTAGACTTTACCTCTCCGCTCATGATATGATAGTAACCTTCTTCGCACTTATCGCAATTACGACCTACGACATGCGGTTTGCAGGCACAATGTCCCGTCAATTGATCACAAGGTGCAACTCTTCCATCGTCAAGTTCCAAAGTGCCCGGTGGATAACATTGACATAATTTACATCCATCTTCCTTGCGATCCGATAATGCATCTCCATAATATCCTGACACATTAAATATAATGTGTAATAATTAATAATAATATAAAACAATATATATTATATAAAGCATATATAAGTAAATCAAAAGATTCTCAGTATATAGATTTTAAATAAAAAAAATTTTTATTTTTTTAATTCTTATTTGTTATATAGATCTTTAAAATATTTTTATATAACAGATTCTCTCTTTCTTTTTTAAGATCTTTTAAATTATGCTTACCAGATAAACATTCTTCACAATGAAAGCCCGCTGTATTGTTGACACACTTAAGACATTCTCCTGTTTCGTGATTACAATTCCTAACTGCATTTAAGTCGATATTGTTATTGCAGTCGCAAGGACGACAAGCTAGACCTCTTTCAGGATTCCCATAATAACCATCAGAGCATGTTTCACATCTAGGTCCTACAAAAAAAATACAAAATATTTTTAAATAAATTTATAAAATAAAGATTAATCGAATATATATATATACTTACCAGTTCTGCCAATAGGACATTCTGAGCAGATAGGATCGGGATTGTTACCCAGAAGAATGCAAGGTCCATTATCGGGACAAGGACACGATTTGCAATCGTCTGGAGTTCCTTTCAATGGATAACCATAATATCCCCTACTACATAACTCACAATTACTGCCTGCGGTATTATGCTGGCAGATGCATTGTCCTAAAAAAAATATACAAAAAATATTTTATTATATATAAATATAAATTATTAGAAAAATATTACTTATTATATAATATTATAGAAATTACTATAACATTATAATTATGGTTCATATATAATTAAACATTTGTTTTAATTTAGCAAAGTGTTATGAAATAACACATCAAAATTAAATACCTGTCTCAGCCTCGCAAATGTCGGCGTGACCGTTGCAGTTGCAAGGAACGCAAAGAGCGAAGGGACCGCCATTAGGCGGATCGTGATGGAATCCGGGTCCGCAAGACTCACAAAACTGACCGACATAGCCGTGAGGACACTGACAGTGTTCCACCCAATCAGCCGGCTCACCGGCTGCGCCGCGATGAGCCGTCTCCAATTTTACGTCGTCCAAAAATCCTCGGCCCTGATGAGTATACGTTCCGCGAATCTTTATGGCGGTCAAGTTCGACAAAATCGACATGAAGGCTCGAGAAGACAGTCGAGGTTGCCAACCATAGCCAGAATGCTCGTGCAATCTGAAGCGATATTCCTGAGGCTGCAAAAATAAAATTTACATTAGCATTACATTATATTTGTGTTACATTTGTATTACGAGTAAATATCTAAATATACATTCGGCTAAATAAATATATATGTTATAAATATAATATAAATTAATATTACAATATATAATAAATATATATTATATATTATAATAATATATATATATATCATATATACTAACAAAAAAGAAAATAAAAGATGATAAGATCAAAAATACTTACTGTGACAGTCGGTAAGCGATTATTCTGACCGAAAATTGGTTGTGTGATCTGCTCGCCGTTTCCACCCTCTAAAATTATATCACGCGCTGTAGGAGCCGGACCAGTTTCTCCTATCCTCAATATAAACGATAAATCTTGATTGTACGATGCTCGTTGGTCTCCCAAAAATCTATCGGGCGCGAGGAAATATACGTTGTCGCGATCGAGCGCGGTGACAGAAATTGTCTGAATCAACGCATCATAATGCAGTGGAATCGGATTACCAGCCACGGATGCTGACCAGCGCTCATTTCCTCGCACAAACATATTTTCGATGAGTAGCTTTGAGTAACCAGTTGCCGGTTGACAGACCGAAGAATGACCGTAGCAAAAACAGGGAGTGCAACCGAATTCATTGTCCACGGCTAGATTGAAGAAACCTGGTCGACATCTAGAAAATTTTGGCATTTAATCAATGTCGTTTAATAAAAAAATTATACGTTAAAAAATTATACTTTAATTAATCAAAGAATCACTCAATACTATTAAAATCAATCAAAAATATTAAAAATAATAAGCATACAGAGAAGGATATAGAGAAAAATAGAATAGCAACATAATTTATGCATAGATGATATTCTAATAATTTTTCAATAAAACTATTAATAAAAAAATCTATGAGAGAATACTTCTTGTAGTCATGAGTTTATAACTTAGAATGTAGCTCCACACACACACACAAACAGTATATTAAAATATAAATTATCTTCTGGAAAAAATTTAATTAAAAACAGCATAACAGAACTCACTCTCTACAACGTTTTCCCTCAACGTTTTCTTTGCAAGCACAAACTCCAGTGACAGAATCACAATTAGGAATGTTGCCTGCTGAACCCGCCAGGCTGCATTCACAGGAAGTACATCCCAACGAACCAAAATTGTAGAAATTGGCCGCGCAACGATCACATTTATCTCCTGTCACGCCAGGTTTACATTGACATTTACCCTCGCTATTGCATTGCAAGCTTCTTGAACCTGAAATTTATTTATATATTTTTCAATATATTATTATTATATTATTATTAATTTAAAATTTTTTACGGAATTAATTTAAATTTATCAAATTATTTATTATTTATTTTTTAAATAGAATTTATCATTATAATTTAATTATAATCTCCATTATAAAAAGCTATAATATATAAATATAAAACGGATCTTCTCTTTCTTTCTTTCCTGAGATAGAAATCTTGATGTAATTTAAATTTTAATTTTTCGGACATACAAATGTGATTTTGATTCCAATTTAAAAATATTAGTAAACTTTGATGGAAGTTTTGTCAGTACAATATACTTTTTTATGTATTATTTTATTATTTACTGTTATAAATATTAATGTGATTATATTTACCAATCTCATTACAGTTACACGCAACGCAATAATCATCCTCGGGACGTTGATAATAATTTTCCCGACACCGTTCGCAATTGGCACCATCACGATTCGCTCGACAATCCAAACAATGACCTCCATGACCCGTTGCCTTATACAGTTCTTTGTCGAAGTAACATCTGTCTGCGTATCCATTGCAGTTGCAAGCTGTAAGAATCAATAAAGGGAATTAAATTGCTAAATAGTGCTAAAAAATAATTGCAAAATTTTTTAATACAAAAAAGAAACACAAGAAATACGTCTGTTTTTCTTTTCTAGATATAACTAATACAATTACTCCAAAAAATAATAATGCTTAGTGAATGATATTTCTGATAATAAATAATAGTGATGTTAAAAGCGTAATAAATAATTATATTTTTTTAATTATATATAATCTGTGATCCAAAAATTAATTACTAGATTTCGGGTACCAAGGAAGTATTCCATTCCGTGGCGAGCTTTTTGATATGTAATTTATTATTATTAATAACACGATCAGCCTCATTTTATTAATGCAAAAATGTTTAAGGATTGTTTATACACTGCTTTAACTTTTATAATTTAACTCTTACTATTATTTATTAGTTCACTTTAATTGAACTTATTTAATTATATATTTTTAATTACGATTATATACATATATAACTGTTCAACCGTGTGTCATTATTTTAAATTATGCATTTTAAGTCACTGTCACTTGAAACATCACGATCATCTTATTTAAAACATTTCCTCGATATTCAAAAATCTTTCATTGCGTTTCCTTCATTGTATATTCATAGCAAATTCCGAGGAGTGTTCGGCGAGTAATTTTGGCGAGGAGATGGATGTGCCCTTTTATCGTGGTATCACGAATGCGGACAAAAGGGCATCGAGCGCGGCCGTGCACCTTTTCCGCAAGCCGGGCATCCCCACTCAAACGAGCGGGAGATGCACGTAAAAGGCAAAGCTGGTATCAGGTAATACTGGTGAAGGTATAATACTGGTGCAGTCACGCTTTTGGTTTTTGTAACGCGCGTCATATTCTCTTCGTTGGACTATGGTTGTGCTACGTTATACAGAAAGGGATTAACTTTATAATGTACAACTTTTCATATATGTATCGTGTATGTTTTTATACATATACGATTATATTTTATAAAAAAAAAAATAGATTCGACATATAGTAGTGTTAAACTAAAAATAAAATTATTTGGACATCTCTGATAATTGGATGATTTCTGACATTGATTCTATTATATGTATAACATTATAGAGTAATTACTTTTCATTCTTATAATAATATTTTATAACAGAAACCTAAAAATTGGCTTTTTTTCTTTTTTTATAGATTCGATTTGTATAAATTAATGTTACATAAAAGATAATTTTAGTTTAAACATATTCAATTAAAAACAAAGAAAAATAAAATTTAAGTTCTTTAAATAATTTATTTTTTTTTATTATTTACTTTTTATAAAGTAAAAAATGTATAAAATTATATTTGCTTTGTACAGTAAATTTCATAATTTGCAAGATTTACATTAGTAAAATTGATAGGTTTTTTTTAAGTATTTATAGTTACATTGATCAAGATACACAATATACAAAATTTAATTTATTCTTTATATTGATTATTATTTTTAATAAAGATGTATTAAAATATGTATGTACGTTATGATAATTAAATATGGTAATGTTATGTATAATGGCAAGTAACAAAAGATATTGTTGTGATGCCAAAAATTTAAACATAAATATTTTGGGAATCGATTTTTATAAAAAATGCTTAAATAAAGATTATATATTATAAATTATTTACTAAATACTCACGTTTGCATTCGTGTGCATCCGTAGTTGTGGCACGACCCCAAGGAGCATCATTGTAAAAGGGTAAGCATTCGTTACAGTCTGGACCAGCGGTATTGTGCTCGCACCTGCGAAATATTTAATTTCTAACTTTAATTAAACATTATTCTTACTTTTATTAAAAAATAACAACAAATAAATTAGAATCATTACTATATATTTTGATTTTAATTTCAAATTCATTTTAGATTCTAATTCTCTGATTATTGCTTATTTGTTTTTATGCAATTAATATGAGTATCTTCTTACATCTTATAACAAGTATAATATATAAAACTCTCGTCAGTTTCCGCAGCAATTACAATTTGAAATAATAAAAAAAGTAAAGATAAATAGATCTATGCAACTATATATTTTAAAGCTTCTAATTTCAATTCTGATTATTGCTTATTTGTTTTAATGCAATTAATATAAGTATTTTCTTATATTTCACAAATATATAAAACTCTCGTCAGATTTAGCAATTAAAATAAAAAAAATATAAAAAGAACAAATAAATAGATCTAAGCATATTAAATGCTAAAATATCATGTTAAAAATCATTGTTGAAAGTAATAGAATTATTACCGGCAAACCCTGCGAGTTCTACCATCGACACTGGTACTGTTTACGCATTCTCCGGCGTGGCCGTTGCAAGCGCATCTTGCACCGACTGCCACATCAGCTATTGCATAATAATAAGATTTCAGTACTTGTGAATCGCCAAAAACTTCATCGCCAAATGTGTTCAATCTGTCCAGGGTGATCCTCAAGTCTGTCGCTTGTACCCATTCCTATAACAAAAAGAAAACCATCTGTTCAGCATATTAGATAATGATACATAAAAGCAGTCTATGAAAAATTTTTAATTTTGCAATCAATTAGTAATCTCTTGTACTCATCAAGAAGAAAATGCTTAATTTCCAATCAATTTCTAATTTTAAAATAATACTACAAAATAATACTTTATAATTAAAATTGTACAAAAAGCTTTTTTTAGATTTGTAAATTAGATGAGAATTTTTTTATATATATTTAATTGTTGTTATTTAATTGCCTGAAGTTCGGTATTGGTTTCGAAGTAATAGGCAGACGGTCGACCCTCCAAAGTCGAAAAAGCGACGATGCCTTTAGTCAGTGGAGAGATATCCGAGAATTCCGAGGTGCATAGCACGCGAGTGTCGTCACCACGAATGGTTTCTTTAGACTCGGGCAGCTCATACGTATCTCGACACGTTGCTGAATAAAATTGATAAGGCTCCCACGGTGACTTCTCGTTCTTCCGCTTGTAGATGCCCCAACTTTCCGGTCGTGGTGACTCGAATAGTACTCTGACATATGTTATATCGAATGTTTTACCTAAATACACATACAAATAACACATAAATTATATTTATTATCACCATAATGTTATCTTTATAAAATGCATCAATGTATTAATATATATATATATATATATATTGTATTTTTAAAATTATTGTTAATGTCACACAAATTTCTATTGTAAAAATATAGTCTTATAAAAATAAGATGATATTGTAAAATAAAAATAAGAGGCACAAAAAAAGAGATACAAAAAGAGATAGATGCTTTGATGAATGAACATGTGGTATATTATTTCTAATATTTTTTAAGATTAAAATAAATCTAAATTAAATTAAGATCAAAATTACAATAAATTGATTAATTTTTAATATGCATACACATACAAGTCCAGATAAAAATGATGAGTAATTTAGTATAAACACATAATTAAATTTAATTAAATAATTTATTCGAAAATAAAATTCATGATCGAAAGATTTTATGAATTAATTAAAAAAATATTTTAACTTTTCTCAAAGTAAAAATATTCTAACTCTTAAATTAACATCTTGAATCTTGAATCAACGAAGAGGAAGAATAAATTCACTTCTAAAGTTTCGAGAGGTCGTCTGTGATTTCTCCATCATCCGCTACACACTGAATGATTTATCTCATCGCGCATACATCCTCGCAGATAACGAAATAGGATGAAAAAAAGAGAAAGAGGATATGTATGTGTATGTGCATGAAAACGGAGAGGAAAGAAGAGCAAAGAAGATAGTACAAATATAAAATGAACGTTTCTAAGTAACATAGAAATTTTCTATGAAGTATATAGCTTAAATTTTACCTAGAACGTACCTAAATGAAGGGTGAGATTGACCTGATTAGGATATTCGATGCCTTCGTATATAGTGTCTGATTGCCACCAAGTGGCATTGTCATTATTGTCATGATCAGTGAGGAAGGAGGCTGAATGATCGCCACGCCGGCAAATTTCACATGATTTCTTCTGAACACCCGTTTGCTTGCAGAATTCGATAGGATGATCCTCACCACACGTGTTAGTTGCCTCCATCAGCACATTGAAAGCCGCGTTTTCGAATGGTGGTATGCATCTCTAAAATATACCAAAAATATGTAACATTTATAACATTTAAGATTAATTTAATTTTACATTTTATCATTATTTTTTTAGTTAAACTTATACATTTTGTTAAATAATAAATAATAATACATGAGTTTTACGCACCCCCCATACATATACACATATTTGTAAATTATATAAATTATAATAATTCTTAAGTTTTTAATATGTAATACATTTTAATAAATATTCAAACAATATTATGCTGGGAGGTGTTAAATATAATCTATGGTCTTAAATATAATAACAAATTTATTATCATTGATTATAATTAAATCCAAATCAAAATTAAATTAAATTAAAAATAAAATTAATATCAATTGTATATCAAGATATATACTGCAGTGCGTAATAAAATAACTTTTAATGTATATTAAATTAAAAAATATCTTATGAATCCATATAATATAGAATAATATGTATCTCTTCTCCCCTCTCTCCCTCTCTCTGTAAAAATTTAATTATTAAATTTTTTCTAATTATATGTATATTAAGAATATAGAGCTCACAGATTTGAGAATAATATCTATCCATTTTATATCATATCATTATCTGTGGGTTCAAGTAACTTCGAGAATAACCCCGTGATAACCTTAACATCCTCCGAAATTTCAAAGCTACCGAAATAACTATATATAGAATGGCACCGATTTAATTAATGATTTGAAAAATACCGCAACGCTAACTATTTATATATTCTTAAAGAAATAAGGAAAATGCCATGTGTAAAAAATTAACGAATGCGTTACATAGTAGAAATAATATATACAGAAAAATATAAATGTTATATATGCGAAAGATCATAAACGTTATAATTTTATATTCTATACAAAATTAATAAATATTTATGTATATATAAATAAAATAAATCTATTATATATATATATGTATATATTATATAAAATTTAAAAGTATAAATTAAAAAAAAATATAAAAATATATATTGGTGGAAAGTTTTCTAACTGAATTTTTTTCTCGTGCAAGATTATTTCTCCAAACATTGAACGAGTACATTTTTTTGAATTGACAAATAATATAAACAAATATAAAACCTGCGGCCTGCCGTTCTCATCATAACACTTGTCCTCATTGCGATTCTTGGGTTGCTGCAACCGATTGAACAGAGCCTCGGATGGATCGGCTTCGGGTTCGGCCAGGACGACGCAGCTTCCCAGAAGCAACAGTGGACCCAATATCACGCACGCTCTCATTTTATCCTGAAAAATTCTCTCTGTCCGGTCACTCACTAAACCGTCTCACCATTCGCAAAATCCAATGAAAAAAAATTAGAGTTTTTTTTTGAGGTTAGACGACGCGTCCATCGACCTGAGGATCACCACGATCGTCGAACGATCGCGTTATCGATCGTGCATCTCCCAATGGCTCTCGAGGGATCGGGATGCTGGACGACGCGCGAGTTCACTTCGCCGTGGACCACCGACGAGTAACGGCGCGCCGCTCGCACGCGAGGCTCTCCTCTTCCTCGTCTCTCCTATCTCGCCGCCCAGTTTGCTCTGACGTGACGTGATGTCACATCGCGTATCCCGCCTACGCTAACCACGGATTATGTATGTACAACATAGAAAGTGTATCTCTTATTTGTTGAGAAAAAGGTCTTATTACAAATTGGAGCAATTTATAATTATATATAAATATCCAATTAAATATAATATATAATTAATATAATTATAATTAATGTAATTATTAATTATATATTTAATTGGATATTTATATAATTATAAATTGCACCAATTTGTTATTAATAATTATATTAATTATATTTAATATAATTATATAAATATGCTCCAATTAAATATATAATTAATAATTATAGTAATTATTAAATGTAATATAAAATTAATATAACATGTTAAGTATGATTTTATTATATATAATTAATATTATTTAATAATTATATACATATATAATACATTGTATATATTATATATAATTATTATACATATATACATTATTATATTTATACATATATTTGACAATTTCATAATTTATAATTAGATGCTCGTTATTTGACTTATCGAAATTACTTAAATGTCTCATTTACTACATTTTCAAAAATATATGCTTTATTAACACTATTAACACTTTGCAAAATATACGTACAATTTATTCTTGATTTTATTAATGACAACAAATAGCTGACATTTCTGATAAGTAATGATTGTAAGCAATTTTTAATTTTTGACATATATATAAAAATAACTGAATTTTTCTCATCATTGTTTTTCAAAGATGTTCTTTATAAAAAAGATTAAAATTATGTGGATTATTTTATAATAACTTGCAACGATTATGTGGATAATTATATTATAAAGACGCAGAACACAGAATCGGATATATCTCGTCGTATCCGGAAAGAGCATGAGTGATACTGTGATAGCACCCACACATTTACAATACAACGTTCTTGTATGTATTTTGGTATATTATTTCATTTCTATATTATGGAGATATTTTTTTTATAATTTGAGACTTATATACAATTGCGAAATTTTTTATCAAATCTAATGCTATAATATATAATAAAAATTTCACAATATATACAAGACTTATTGTTTCTTTATATAATACTTAATAATTATTATTAAAACCAGATTAGATTTTCTCTTGATTATTTAAAAAAACATACGATTTTATATAACACAATTACTAAATATTCGTGTATAAATATCTATACAAAAAGAGATTGAAATATAAGATAAAGAAAAATTAAATATCAAATTGGCATATTCATTTCTCCTGATCAATTTGATTTTTTAACGTAAATTGCCACTGAATATAAATATAATTGAAATAATTCTCCGTCATTATATAAAATTTGTTCTATTAAATTAATCTAATATCAAATAATAGATAATATTATTATTGTACTATATTTAATTCGTTTCAAATATCATCCTAAAGTGTTCCTGAAGGTCCTTCAAACTTCCAAAAATATCTTCTTTGGGTATTTTGTTCTCATCAATCTCACCTTCATGTTTAATTAACAAAGCATTCCAATCAGCAGTTTTTGCTCCAAAATAATCATTGTCCAGATTATCACCAATATGCATTGCTTCTTGAGGCGATATTTTTTCTTCTCGAAGATGCTTTACTAATCTTAATGCTTCCTTGAATATTTGCAAACTTGGCTTTTCCACACCAAAATCGTACGAAGTCAAAACAAAAGTAAAATATTGATGCATTTGAGTATCCTTGAGGACTGATTCTAATTGTACATCGAAATTTGATATGACACCCAGAATGATATCCTTTTTTTGCAAGTAGTCGAGTAGATCAGTTGCACCAGGATATTTGTGCCAACATCTGCTGGTGCCGTAACATTTTATCAGGCTATTAGCAACCTGGAAAAGAAAATAAGAGAATTAATGACAGTTATTAATAAAAGAATAAAAATTTTGTCTCAATATTTAGTATAAAAATGGATAGTAAATAATATAAGAAATAAATATATAAAATATTTGTATGCACAGGAGATTTTACTTTTACATTTTATGAAATTTATATATTATTGTATATTTTATAAAATAATCATTTTTATAAACGATTATTTATAAAAATGTTCATTTATAAAAATGATTATTTTATAAAATACAATGATACTTATATATAAATTTCATAAAAGTGTAAAAATAAAATCATCTGTGTCTAAAAAAATTTTACCTTGTCTAATTGATTCTTCGACACAGAAGCATGCTGATCTCCGAATACATTATGCACGAGTGTTCTCCACCAGTTCTCCCATCCTAAACCAGTATGCTTGCCGTATATCGGGTGCTCCTTACTAAGCTGCGTGAAATTGCTTTTAAAACTTTGCGCCAATTTCTTTGGTTCGACGACTAAACCATGTTGAGAACCAATTTCACTGTAATGCTTTTCGAGCTCCGTCATTAATAACGTGCCGGTCACATCGAAAGTCACGAGACGAGGCCGAACACGATTCATATCCTAAATAGATTTCAGTAAGAGAGAGGGAGAAATAGAGGAATTCTTGATGATTTCAGAACGTTTCAAAACACTAGACAAAAGATTCAGAGGAGCAAATTGCAGCCGCGATAATACACACTTTGCACCTGCACACATAATTTCCAAACAAAGATGCCAGTGACATCTGACGACTAAAGAGTCAAGTTCGATTATCGAAATCGAAATCTCGATCACTTGTCGATCGATCGAACTTTTCAAGATTTGAAAGAACCGCGCATATTACATCCTTTCCTTCTCTTCATCTATATCTGTACAACTTTTGAAGATTTATTTATAAATTGTCATTGTATCATTTTTCTTCATATGCATATTATTTCTTTCTACGACATGTTTGTATATTTTATGGAGACGATTTTTACAATTTTTATTTCTTGTAATCACTTTATTTTTGCATCGCACTTCTGCGAATATAACAAATCATTTTATTAACACTATTAAAAAAAGGTCGGAAAAGATATGCCAAAACATTTAATTAAAGAATTTTTTATTTCGTTTTTCTTGTTATGAATACATTTTATTCTCTCATAACAAGATATATTTCACTTAATAAAAAATTTAAAGCAGCTCATTTCGAGCAGAGAATATTCAAGGAATGACTAATTTATAAATAAATTGGTTTATTACAAAGTTGTACATGGATACAAGGTGGCGCATTTTTTTCTTATTATAAAAAGAATCGATCGTCCCGTCCGTTGCACAGCATTCCGGCCAAAATTTAAAAAAAAGTTTTCGGCCAATGAGAACCGACGAGATTATCGCCGACAATATAATAATGTCCCTTATAAATATACACAATATATAATAGCTAATTATACATAATCATCTTAATTATTTTATACATATATATATGTAATATAACTATATATATGTAACGAGAGGATAATAATAATAATATATAACATATATAATATTAAATTGATTGAAAAATTCATTCGTTTTAGTTTATTAATCTTTTTCATCTATTATTAACTTTATCAAAACTCTGTAGAAAAAAACGAATGAATTTCTCTGATCAACATAATATATTAATAAATTAATTTTACGGCAGTCGTCGGTTTTGTCGTCGCTAAAATTTCATATTTGCACAAACGATCGATTAATGGATCCATTAATCTCGCCCTTACATACATATGCATATTGCAGCGTAAAAAATGTTATCTAGATATAGTGGTCAGTCTCACAATCGTTATTTTTAATGTTTATGCGAAATTTTATGTTCACTCTTTGCTTAAATCTCTCCCTAAAGCTTTTAGAGTATTGAAATTTTTTAATATTTTGAATTGACGGATATATTGAACAAATTATATATATATAATTTAAAATTAATTTAATATAATTGTAATTAATTTAAAATAAGTTTATCAAAATTTTCAGTAATTTTATTCTAAGAGAATGAAAATAATTATTTATATATACATATGTATATTATTTTCCATTTTTATTACTATATTTTATAATATAAAAATTTCAAAATTTCCGAAATGTTTATGAGAATCCTTACGAGAGATATAAATTATATAACGCATCTGCGGACATATCAATATTTAGATTTTCTTTAAATTTGTTTATCAATTAAATTTTAATACGCGAGAACACGCGTCTTTATAGTGAATATTTTATTATATAAAATTTGTATCTTTTAGATATATTTATATATATTTATAGAAAATGCATATATCAAAAATTTTGTGAACACAATCCAATTGTCTTTGTCTATTATTAAAATTTATATATGTATATTATATATATAAAATTATTTAATATATATTCAGTTTATATTATAATAAATAATTATTATAATTTTATATATGTATACATATATATCATTTAATACAATTTTAATTAAAAATAAAACAAAATATATAATATAATCGAAACTTGATCAAATTAGATTACAATTTTTTCGGCAATGATAACACCATTACCACGTGTTCTCGCGAATTAATTATATAGAAACTGAATGTTTATCATTTTGAGATATCAATAATTTGATAAAATAACAAAAATTTGCACAAAATTATGAACAATACGTTGGTATAATATTGACATCGATAAATCAATTCTACTATGATATATAATGCATGGAGAGTTAATGCACGGTTTTCAAAGTTATTATGAATAAGTTAGCTGTATTTAGAATCATGAAATTAAAAGAGAAAATATTTTTGTTGCTCTCTTACAATAAGTTTTAAGTATAATTTTTTAACCGTAAAATCACATTATTTTTTAAAATACTTTGACCATAAAATTTCATTTTTAAAACTGTAAAACTATATATATATATATATATATATATATATATATATATATATATATACACACAATAATTTTACAGTTTAGAAAAGTACAGTTTATGTTTTTGTAATTACAAAAATTTTGCAATATTAAAAGAGCGTTGTTTATTTAAATAATTTCGTTGATCTTTCGCTCCTTTTACAATTGTCTCCACAATATTTGTATATAATTTTTAAATTACTATATTTTTTATTTTATGCATATTTTATATATTATTAATTTTTTATTAAATTTGTAATTTAATAAAAAATTATTATCTAATTAAAAATTAATAGATCTATAAGTAAATTTTTGTATCCTGTACTTTTGTGTGTGTATATAAACATATACACAATATATTTTCATATCTTTTTTCATCAATAGAGCTTCATTTTAATCTATTTTCTCCACTACTCTAGAAAATTCGAGTATTTATTTAAATACTCAAATATTTTTCTATTGTTACATTGATACATCATTTACAACGTCATATTTGCAACTATTTTGCAATTTTTTCTTTAATTTAATATCATTGATAAAATTAATATAATATTAGCTAATTAATATTAATCAATCAACATATCACATATCAGTACGGATTTATATAATGATATTTGCTAATATTAATTAATCAATATCAATTTAATAATCCTAATATTATATTAATTGATTATTTAATAATATAAGAAATGAATTATTTTTTCACAATATGTTGACAACCATTGTCATCTCTATTATCTCTCAATCGTGTTTTGATGTTAAAAGCAATTATATGCTAAAGAAATCGTGAAGCAAACTTTACTGATCTGTATAAAAATATATATATATATATATATATGTGTATGTGTGTGTGTATGTATGTGTGTACAATATGTATATAAATTTACGTAGAAAAGGAATATTAAACTTAGTTGCGAGAGAGTCGGCTTATCAAATAAATAAATAAAACAATCTATCTATTATATATATTATATATAATCCAGACGGAATCATAGCAATTCTTTGCCAAGTATTGTTTACCTTTATAAAATATTAAACGCTAAATTTAATTTAAATATAAATTTAGATTTAAATAAAAACATTAAATGCTAAATTTAATTTAAATATAAACTTATATTTGTTTGTGAGCTATATGTGATTCAGTCTCGATCATCACAAATATTAATTACGATAAATTATAATAGGGAGACGATATAATAATTATTAGTATTATATATTTCACAGTAAAGAAATAATAAGAGATCATACAGAAATGTACAATTATGATCTATCGCGGGAAAAATGTGATCGATTGGCGTTATCCTTTGATAGATCAAACTTTTCGATGTTTGATTATGAAAAAACTGTTATCGTTTCCTGGTTATATGATTGTCGGTGAGTTTTTGCAAATCCGATGGGCAATTTAAACTAGCTTTTCCCCGATTTTCTAGACGATGTTGCGCGATTCAATAGCGGACCCAAAAATCCGAGATCTAGAACTTTGCACTTCAGAAAACTTTAATGTTAAATAATTATACATAATTGCCGGCAATTACATATAATTTTTAATCTTTAAATTTTAATTTACATTTTAATTTAATTTTAGTTTACATAATATTAATTTTAATATACATATTTTATCAAACATGTTCTTTTATCATAATAAAACGCCATCAAATCTATATAATTTTGATTCTTCCAACCAGAAAAATTTTATAAATAACTTAGTCCCAATTTTTTCTTGAATAAGACAAAAATGACTCGCTTAGTATTGGACAGGATTGATAATGCCTATTGCACATGTCTTATTTTTGTAAATCAGATCCAATCTTTAAGCAAAGAGTCATTTTATTTAGCCTTTTTTCTCAGAAATATTATAATTCATAGATCCGTGGTTCCTTATATCTCAAAATGTGAAAATATATTTTACTTTTCGAGCATTTACATATTTTTTTTATCGCACATGCGATATGCTTCACTACAAAAAAGTTTTGAAAAACTGGCCTTTAATTTTTTTTTCCACGGATTTTTGGATCAATCAATAATCAATTCTCACGTTTGATTAATTCTTGATATATGTGTAGCTCTTAGGTACATAATCCTGACTTTACTTAATCTGTATAAATATTAAGTTGATTGTTCATAATTTTATTATATTATTCTTAAACTTATAAAAACAATCAAATGCAAGCAAATTATTTTCATCAACTTAATATATCAGATTCCAATAATTTCTAGTTATTGCAACATACACATATTCAAACTATTCTTGCGTATTATCAAAGTTGTTCTTTTTTTTTGTGCGTGCGCAATTAGAACGAAAAAAAACCTGAAAACAACCATATGATCACAGTTGTGACTTGTCTTCAGCAGGTACTCGGCTTATACATTTTTTAGCCCGTTTTCTTTCTCACGTTTAGCGCTAAGTATCGAGAAAATAGTCAAAAATGATTAGAACTGTTTCTGATTTTTATATTAAATAACTTCGACTTTACATTTCTGACTATCTCCTTTTGTCCAATAAAGATTTATAACAGTTGTCATCGTCTATAGATTTTGTGACTGTCTAGAAATCAATCTTTCATATATTTGTTATCGAAAAATTGATAAAAGTTCTATAGATGATGAAATCTGGAAGACCTATAAAATCAGAATTGAACAAACGTGCGCTAAACGTGTAATCAAAATGTGCCCACCTCTTCTTTATTAACTAGGAACTAACAGTTTTTACTTATTTATTCTTTTTTCTCCCTTATTTGTGTCTCTCTCTTCTCTCTCTATAGAAATATCTCTAAGTATTATATTTTCTAAAATTATCTATATATCAAAAATCGCTGGTCCAGTTTGCCAATCTGATTGCCACTTTCATTTTTTTTAAATCTAGATCTATCTCTTTTCTTCTCTGTCATTTTTTTCTACTAATACTGTCTAAATACAGACTAACAACAGGTTTTGTCAGTCACGTCGCTGTATAAATCTTTGTCTTTATTTATTGCTATAGGATCATCAATGTAATCGCTATTTATTAATTTATGTCATGGAGCGTCACGTGACTCGGAAATAAATGCAAAAACCCGTCTCTTTCTTATTTTCACTTTTTGGACCCGGGCGAGAATAGATTGGCAGCATGGAGCTTGTACAAGATGTCCTAAAACAACTGTCAAATATCCTTCTAAAAAAGTAAAATCTTTATCAGTTAATTTAGATAATTATTTTTTGACAAAAAATGTCGATTTGAATTCCAAATTTTTTTGGAATATTTATAATTAAAATTATATTTATAATTAAATTTTAAACTAGTGAGTCATAATCATATGAAAAATCCCATTCTTATATTTTAATAAAATTTTTAAATAATTTATATAATTTATAAAGATTTTATAATATTTTTAACATTTCCTATAATAAGAGACTATTTTCATAATTTCATCTCGATGTAGGAAGTTTAGAAATAAAATGTTTATTTAAAAATATTTTTGAAAAAGAATTCTTATAAAAATATCTATAGAGAGATCTATAAAGTTATATATTTAGTTAAATACTTTTAAGAGCTGAAACTTTTAAAATTTGATATTTCAAATGCAATTATAGATAAATATTACTTTCTTTTTATCAGGATTTTGGACTTTAGTTGTTCTAGAACAGCTTGTGTACATTTTTAAGCAGTGGCACTTGAGTGTAGAAAGGCGAGAGCGTAAACCACCAGTTTGAACCGCTGTTTAGTGTAAGAAATCTGAGCGTCTCTTACTTTACAATATCATCACAGTACTTTGATGTGTGTTTATATTGCTAAACCTTAAGACTTAAAGATTATCGGCTCGAAAAATGGCGGTTTACGTCAGTCCATCGCTAGAATTAACTTATTATTCTTAACACGATAAATTGCATCTAAATGGCATTTAAACCTTCAAAATGAAGATTAAAACCCTTTCAGAGCCATTTTGCTGCCCGGGAATAGTGCACTTTAACCTAAACTTAAATCTATCTGCATATACAGGGTGATCCATATGTACTGCAATTAATTATTGACATCTCAAGATATGTTAATTCTGAAAAGATGTTTTGATTAAAAAATTTTTATATTTGAAAAGACAGAGAAAACTTACTTTTCTCATAATTGATATTTAAAGATTGAACATTTTCATTCAATAATCTTCTACTGGATTATTCTGTAATCACAAAATATTTCTCTTAAAATCTTAGAAAGATTCTTTTCTTTTATTTTATTAAAATAGTAAATATATATATTGATTTTTATATATAAAATATTAATTTATATAAATTATTTTTATATAAAAGTTTTTTGTTTATTATTTATTCAGTATTTTTGAATTAATAATGTTAATAACAATATATGAAAAATAATTTAAATGTTAAATAAGAAATATTAAAAATCTTATATTTCATAAAGTTAAAATTCGAATATTCTCCACAAGGAAGAATCGTCTTCAAATTGAAATTTAAAGGATAGTTTAAGAATTTAAGAAGAGTTCTGCAATCTAAAATAAACAAAAAATAAATAAATATATATTGCAAGAGTCGAATGTCAAAAATTAGCCTTTTATATCTCAAAATTAAAAATTAAAATTTTTTGCTATAAAGAAACAATTCTTTCTAAATCTGGAAGATTTGAAAATCTTTCAAATTATCAAAATTTTTCGAATAGATTTTAATTAAAATTTGCGATTAAAAATTATTTAATTTTTACATATTTATGGATACCCTGTATATGTATATATGTACATATTTATGCATATTTTTTCATAAGGAATAAATTAACCTTCTACGAAGGGCCGACATTAATTAGAGACCGACTGGTGTGACTGATTACCGACATTGATAGTTTGCAAGGATTTGCAATTCGATAATTGTTCAAGCTCTATGGACCTTATGGATTCTTCCATTTCCACATCTTTGATCTGAACGTTCTTTGCTATCTTGCTTTCATACTGATTAGAAGACTCGTCGTAACCGGAATCAGATGATGAATCGCTGAATGTCTTGGTACTTTGTTTGGAATTTGTTTCTGTATTTGATGATGATGTAGATTCGACGCTATGAGCAGGACTAACAGATGCCGAACTGTGAATGGGGCTAATGGATGCCAAAGAAGCAGTAAGCTGCCGCCTGGTGAAACAGCTTATGCAGGGTTTGAGAAAAGAAGGATGTATCATTACCTCGCCATTGGCACCTTTGAAGATACTGCCGCAACAAATCACTTCTCTAAACAAAACAAAATAATAATCTATAATAAGTATATTGATATTTATATGATTTCGCCATGTGTATATACATTGGCATCTTTAAAGATATTGCTATAATAAATCATTAAAAAATGCTGAATAAATGCAAATGTATAGAAGTACTTATTTGCAGTATAAATATATTCTTAGCATTTTTAAAATTCTCGTTATTATAAGTTTATAAAAATCAATTAAATACTTTTTATATTTTAATATTACCTTTTGTAGTATGATAAATCAATGAAATAAAAATCATCTTCTTTAATATCTTGATCTTCAGAAGTGAGATCCAATTTTTCACTAGCATTAATATCGTCGTCGTCTGAAGCACTTTCTGATCTGCTCGAAGTTTTACTATCAGTTAATCTGTAATCTTCTGCAAAGAACAAAATAATTGTTATTGTTTATCAAATATTATCATTAAGATATATACAAGTATTAGTTTTTATTGTATATTATTGGCATACAAAGTTTAGCATTTTTTAAATGCTGAATCATATATTAATAAAAAAATTAATATATATACTTTTTTTTTATAATCTAATAATATTTTATTTCTATGGTTTTTTTAAACTTATTGAATTAATTAATTTTGATTAAAAATAAATTCTTATTATAAATTTAATAAAAACTATAGTTATATTAAAATTTTATTAATTAATTTTATGAATTTATATTAATATACAAATAAAATATAAATAAATAAAATCTTATTTCTAATTAAAAATTTGTAACTAACCAGTTAAATCATCGCTCATCGCCGGACTTTGTTCTCGATCTGTCTCTGTTTTTATGTAAATGTGTTTCTTTTTGAGAAACTTGTCGGGTTTATCCTTAAGTTTCCTTTTATTTTTTGCTTTAAATTTTGTCAGCGATTTAATACCTGGACCGGCACGTGCATCCACAACCTGCACAAACAAATTGTTTTTTCTTAAAGAAAAAATAATTGTAGAAGATAAAACATATAACTGCAGTAACATCAGTTTAGAAAAATTATGCAAATAATATGCATTTCTCATTAATAATTATTAAGAATATTTTTGATATCTCGATTAATTAATAAGATATTTACTAAAAATAATGTATTCATATAATCTTGAATTTAATAATAAAACGAAAAAATTAAGTATATGTTGCGTTCAATTTCTGCACCTGATTTTTATATATTACATATATACTTTATTTTCTAATTCCAATTTCCTGAATTCTTTAATTTAAATTTAGTATTGATATTAATAACATAAGAGTTTGTCAAGATAATGATTTAAGATTAATACTAACATGTTTCCAGTTGCGATTACTTCCTGGAGGTAGCTTCTTGAATCTCTTAACTAGAAGCACACATGCATTACATATTTCACCACTACGCCTCTCCTCAAGCTGAAAACATGGCATAAAGTCGTCTTCATACTTTTTACTGTCTGTGAATCTCGAACTGCAACAAAATTGATAACAATTTATGCTATAAAATACATACAATATATATCATACGATAAAACTATATCATTAAAAATAAAATTGTTAGTAAAATATATATAATTGTAATATATCATGATACTAACTCAGAAATAACATATGCATTATAAATTACATAACATTTTTTAAATAACATTAATGTGTAACAATATACTAAAATATGAATTGAATATATATAATTAAACAGTAATTTTTATTACAAATTTATTATGTTGCTGTATAATACACAGCATGCACATACACACACACACAACTTTAGCATATTTCTCTACCTGCTAGATTTGGCTTTACAAATGCAACAGCCTGTACTAGATCGGTACACCTTTGGTTTGTGAAAACTGAACATCCTGTCTGCTGTATGAATCACTATCGTTTCTGTAATTTAAACAATACATTATATTATTATAAATATATATTACATATATAATATAAACAATTACATTTTATTTCAACAAAATTTCAAAGTTGTTTTTTACTCATCTTATCATATCAAAAGTTAAAATATATATTATTCATATATTTAAATTTTTTTCACAGAACAAATATTCCAAAAACTAAAATCTATTCAAATAGGAAATTGGATATAAATAAAAAATAAAAAATATACATGTATAAAGTAGCATTATACATATCTCATAACAGAAACTTAATGTGAAAAATATCTAAAATTTAAGATATTTATGCAAAATTTTATAAAAATCCAATTTCTCATAAATGTGAAACAATTTATAAAGGATACGTCCTGTACGAATTTCGCATAGTATGAAAATAAATGCGGTGAAACTGTACAATATGTTAAATTAAGATTGATATTTGAAGTTAAACATGCCTGATGTTCACGAGGTAACGAAGATGTGGAATTGTCCAAAATATACGGTCGTAGCAATAAACACGAGAATAACGTTAAGTCTTTGTAAAAATTGTCGCGATAATCATTAATTTCATCAAGCGCGTTTACGATTAGCTTCATGTTTCGTAGAAGAAGCGCAAAAAGATCGAACTTCTGGAAGTTAATGGAAGCAACACCGTCACAATGTCGACGTAAAAACACGTCGCCAAATATGAAAAGGGACGCCGACACGATCACGTGTTCTCCTTACTCCAAAATAAGGATATCTGTCCCTTTTAAACTACAGCGACACACTTCTTCACTTCTCTCGTATAATCTTTCTCCGAAAATTAATTATTGCAATGTCAAAACTTTTGCCAAATATGCAAGTAACTTATGTCAGGTATAGAAACGACGCCGTTTTAATCCGGTCACTAAATAATTCTCCCAAAATGAATCTGTACGGATATCTGTCCCTTTACTCCGCTGCTGTCCTTTTTCTTTTTTCGAATCACCACCGATGATATCGAAAACGAAAATCACACTGACAAGTGTGTACGTTCGCAAAAATAACGCCGATTTGCCTCTGCCACTTGTTCTTTCAAAATGGAAGAGAAAATCTGTCGTCTCTTGTCACTTTGACGGGACGCAACCTTCACTTTTCCTAGCGCTCTTTACTCCAGTTTATTCGAGATATCGATAATCGGATGGACTCGTGTTTAATAATATAATCAATAATATTTTTAGATAAAAAGCCACTTGTTTACAACGATATCTGCACAGTCGGCGAACGTGACGCGACACAGAGAGAAGCGTGGCTTTGCTATGTGCGCACCGGGTAGCGTCACCAAGCAGCGCGCGCATGCGCAGTCCGTGCGTTCCCCCACCACTCATATTTGCGCAAACGCGTTCTTCCTCGTTCCCCCTCATTCGTCGAGCGGTCTTTGACTAATTGCGAGCGCGTATTTCGCGCGTACTTGCCCTTGCGAGGTGTCAACCTAACCAAAACTACACATTTTTTATTCTACGCGAACTAGACTTTAATTTGACAAAATAAAATGATCTTGTCTTAAAATCGGGGATGATATTTATAATTTATAACGTAAAAATTTATATTTATTAATGACGTTTCGTTCGCGATTTTTTTGACAATAATAAAAGAAATAATTGGAACGTTTTCTTTTTCGATTATCGTGCATTATCGCGAAGCCGTTTGTCGAGCTCTTGCGAGATCTTGTTTACCGAATTTTAAAAGCGGGTCAGCGACGTCACGATCAAACGATCGGCCAATGAGCGAAGAGGCCGAGCGGGGGGTGTGACCGAATTCGCGATCTCGATTGGCCGACAGCGGGAGATCGAGAGAGATGGAGCACACTCGACAAACTCGTTCTCCTTCGGAGTCGCTCTCGACTCTAGTGTGCACACGTGCACTCGTTCACGTATCCGTCGTGTTCGCTAACGAAACACTTTCGAATGACAAGGTTAGAGTACAAACAAGCACACACGCGAATGGAAGATTCGTTTTCATTATTATTGTTTTAAATCTGAAACGCGTCAAGGAAATTGTTTCACGTCTTATTCCTTATTTATTTTTTTTCGATATTAAATCGATATGACATTTCAGGATCTTAGCATGTCAAAAGTATTCTCTAAGTGTAGAAAAAATATACTATTGCATTATATATCTATTATATTACTTTATCTATGATTTTTTTAGAGAGAGAGAGAGCGAGAGAAAGAATTTTTTCTCTCATAACCTTATCTTGAAAAAGATGGTCGACTTGATATTGTCCGAATAAATAATGTAATTTTTATAGATTCTTTTGATTTAACAATTTAATTTAATCCGACTTAGAAATGAAAAAAATATGCTATTTTTGGGACTTTGTTTACCGCGAAGTGTTAATGTATTTTCGATCATTTATCAGGATTGACCCCGATCTCTCGAAGGTCATCACTGATAGCGGTGCAACTAATGATTGCATATATCTCATTGTGAGATAAGACAATCTTACAAAATTACTAATTGATATAGCTGCCAACAATTATTTATTTACGTGCGTATAAATATTAATTTTTAACTCGAGATCTATATTTTATACATTTATAATATTCTATTCATTTTCATATATTTTTTTTTTAATTACAGTTGTATATTATTTTTATTGTGCAGTATATTTTTATTTATATATACATATATATATATATATATATATATATATATATATATATATATATAACATTTTGAATATCATTGCGAGCTTTGCGCGAATTTTCGAGCGAATTTCATAGCTTTCGTTACACGAGAAATTTTGTGTCGGAAGAAAATATATGAATAAGCGCATGTATATATAAAAAAAACAACGTTATTTTGAGAACAGCCGCGCCTCACATAATAATCCGCACGTTGCACTCTGTTTTGTGCTTTGTGATATTTTTAGCTCATCCATGTTTTGTCGACATGGCATCGCTGTTTTCTACATTGCGCATTTTATTTCTTCTTTCTCTCTCTTGCTTGTTCTTACCGGTTTTGCTGCGAATTCTTATCAAATGCAATCGATTTATATTAACTGCAGAATATATATTTTTTCATAAATATTCTTGAATAGCTTTGCTTGGATTTTATACATTTTTGGATCACAGATTTTTGGTTTGTCTTTAGTTGAAATAGATCCTAATTAATAATAAATATCAAGAGATAATATGTAAAATATCAATGATTATGTCATTTTTTAAGTCGCAAAATTAAAAAAAATATTAGAAAGAGTGATGTTGCATTTTTCAAAAGGAACAGAAGTACATAATTAAAATTGATTGAAGAATTATAGAATGTAAATGTTTTTCTACACGAGAGTAATGTCGAGAATAATGTACATCTTGATTAAAATTATGATAAATCCTGAAGTAATCAATTTTTAATATTTGCAAGTAAAATTAACGATGACATGTTGCGTTTATTCGAATTTTCTCCAAAAAAATGGCACATATTTTTCCCTCAAACTCTGTGTTATGTACTTCTCATGTTGTTCAATTAATTAATTTCCTTAATAATCGCAGCGATTTTTGCTCTACCGAGAAAATGAACTGGCGTCGAAAATGCGCCTGCGCATGCGAGAAAAAAATGTTAATGCGCTTTCCCCTCATTGCACGCGGTTGACGACGCGCGACAGGACACGACGAAAGGGAGCCGAAGAGGGTCGCGAGAAAGGATGTGTAAGAGCGTGGCGGCCGCCATCGTGGCCCCCATTTCCCTTTCTTCTCTCCCCACTCCACTTTTCAGAAGCCCCCTCGTCTACATACTCATATGATCGACATGCGTGAACTGACAGAATTCGGCAACTTCGTTTCCGTAATAATTAATCATTTTTTTCGAGTTCTCACACGTTAAATTAGGATTCTTTAAATTAAATTTATTCGTGAATGTAGATTGTCGTTTAATACAGACTGTTCATCTGGAAGAAGTAAAATATGGATAAACTGCAACAATAAAATTATTCAGAATTTGTCATAAGGGAAATAAACAAAATGTCAAAAGGCTAACGAATCTGTACGAGAATTGAAAATTGAAGATTAAGGCTATGATTAATCCGAACAGAAGGAATACAAATTTCTTCATTCTCATTGATGAAATTTTAATCGTGAGCTTGACGATTTAAATCATCCGTGTGCATAGAGATAGATAGAGGTAGGTTAGAACAGGGGTTGGGTTAGGTTAGACGAAGTTGACAATCCAGATAAGAAACGAGAAGTCTGTTCTTTTTTTAACTGCGCTAGAAGTACGATTGCACTTTCCACGAAATCGCGAATGAAGTAAACGTACAAAATTGTCAAGCATTATTATTTTCCGAAATATCAACTCGACGCGAGCGGAAAACGAGAGGGAAGCACGAAAAGCGCGGTTGAAACGCGAACAAACCCGGGATTCGCCGTGGCTCGAGTCGGCCGTCTGATAACGGCGGCGGCATGCGCCATGACAGATGATACCTGCGACGCTTCCGCGCGGTACATATGACACAAGCGTGCGGGTAATTCGCAATTTATGCATTTACAGCCTGGAAAAATCGCAAATGCGCGAGCTTACGAGACACGAGGACGCGTTCGAGAGTCCCCAAACGCGACGACGCCGCATCGTGGTCCGTAAAGCTGTTTCGCGAGAAGTCGCGGGAGAAATCCGCGCCATAACCACAAGAGAGAAGACTACTTGGGACGAGAGGATCTCTGGGTCGCGGTCGAGTTTCGCGTGACAGGAGCGGAGGACGTCGGCGTCGCGACGCGGTCGCGAAAAGCCGCTGGATGACGAGTCAGTATCGGCGGCCGCGAGAACATATTTGTCAGTCGCGCGGCAAGTCGTCTCGACATGTGACACTGACACTTCGGCGCTCGGCGACGGTCTCGCGCGACGCGCGGCGCGGCCGCCGATCCCGTAGAGCTTTTTATTGATAAAGCGGCACGATTAATGAAGCGAGCACTTACCTCGAGACTCACGAGACAGGTGACGGCGGCCGGACACTTTTCGGACGAGCCTGTTTTGCGCACGCTCTTCGCGCTGCGTACGTACGCCACTGCTGCCACTTTCGCATTCCGCACGCCGGGAAGGAATTCGGCGGGAAATAATCCTAGGGAATTACGCGCGACAGGTTTTTTTTGGCCAATCAGCTCCCGGGGTCCGGAGTGAATTCTTCATGCGCGTAAACCTTTCATCGTGATTCCATGTGAACAAGTCTTGAGAAAGTTTGGCCTTGATTTCTCTTCTAATTTCGAAAACTAAAAATATGAAAACCAAATATTATAACATATAGATCTTCAACTAGGCGCACTATTTATGAAAAAATTAATTAATGCTTCTAAATAAATATTTTATTAAACAAAAGAATATAATTAAAAATAAAGAAAAATATGCTAATTAAGAATTAAGCACAAGAAACACGCAAATTCGTATCTTCATCACGTTGAAACCAAATCATTTTTATTTCACAATATCAACTATTAAATATATAGATTTTATAATAAAATATAATTTCAGATTAAATTATTAATAGCGATTTTTGATCGAATTTGCCTGAAACTTTTGAACTGCATTTTCCATTATGTATGTCAAAAATTTATCAACCATCAACGTTATCGGCCATCTAGGACTGTACGATATATCCTCCAACACTTCTATGTATAAAGCACCATGCGATGTCATGTGATATACTGATTGTAATGTCACTTGCGGCCTTTCTTTCGGAAATGTTGATGGGAGATGAAAATGTACAAGAAAATGAAAGTCTCGTTGCTCTAACAGTATGCTAATCCAATTAAATTCTATAGCATCATATTCCAATATGCTACCACGCTGTAATACAGTTAGAGTCGCAATAAAATTTTTTCTTCGTTCAAAGTTTTGAATTACATTTTGTATCTGCAATAGAAAGTATATATAAATATTTTTTGTAAACTGTGCAATTATTTATAAAAATGAGATTTGTACCTTCTCATCCATAAACTTCTTCACTTCAGGAACATAATCCATTAGATATTTATTAGGCGGAAATGGTGGAATATGTAAAGACTCTGGTCCACCAAAAATATCTTCTAAGATATTGGATAGATAAAGTTGCGGCAAAATACGATTCCAATCTGGTCCGTAAAATGTGATACTGAGCACAGCTTCATAATTTTGCGATTTATTAATACGTGGAGGTAATCGAGAATAATCCATAGCAATGCGAATAAAAAATTTTGCTTCTGTAGGCTTTGTCCCTAATGGTAACATTATCACTTCTATATCTTCTGTAAATATCTCTGTTTCACAAACAAGTGTGCTGTATTCAAATTGCAAACGATCTCCTTGCTTTCCAAGTAATTGTACCTGGAAATAAAAAAAAAATTTAAATGTACTTACAAATTTCATTACAAGAACATATTTTTTTAATATCTTGAAAATACATGTACAATAATCTCATAGATGAAAGTAATTTTGACAATTATTGCTTACCTGACGGTCTTTATAATATAATAATAATTCAGTCAGCACATTGAGTAATGCATCAGTATCATTCGGATTCCATTTAGCAAGACTAGGTACCCAAGAAGACACAGTATCAATGTCCGGATCCGCTAGGAAATTTTGATCGTTGAATATGAAGTCTGGACCCATCTCAGGATATTGTGAATCAAATAATATATTCCAGACAAGATGCTCCCCTGCATAGGGAATTGATAACTTGAAACAATCATTTTTGTTTTTGTCACAACTTGATGATGCCGAATCCAATTTTATCAGACCATAACATATTCCTTGAGAAAATAAAATACATAATGAAAACACTAGACATAATTATTGAATATAAATGAGATATAATAAAGATTAACATTATAAACTTACCAAGTCTTTTAGTTTGCAAGACACGCTTTAAAAGTGGCTCTATGTAGGAATCTATAGTGCTTAAGAGTGGATGTTGTTGATTTAGCATCTTACTATAATTGTTAACACTACAAAAACTATAATCGCATAATCTAGATGTGTGAATTGATGCTTCACCACTTTCAATTCTTAGGTCAGGTCCTTAGTTTATACTTCCAATAATACACTGTATATATATAATTGAGTCAACTTTCATTAGATATCATTCCTTTTTAGACAATACTATGAAACATTTCACTGTTTCTGTAATTTTGACATTTCTCGAAACTATCTGCAATCAACGATTATTGAGGATTAATTAGAAGGCGAAATATATTACTCGATCACATATACTTTACAATTAGATAATTAAATACTTTGCAAATCCTTCGATCAGTTTATTGCTTATTGTTTTGTCTTGCTTCGTATTGAATACAAGAGAGAAAGAGAAGAAATATTGCCAAAAAATAATTAGTTACAACCATAGAATTGATAAATATGAAGATAGATAAACACAAAATATGAGAAGTTCTTAAAAGTTCCTAGTCTATGACCAATGAAATTCGAGATGAAGTAGTACCATTTTGTAAATTAAATAGTCTGAAACAAGTGTGGAGAGAAGAAGATATTCAATACTCAATACATAAATAATATCACACATTCATCACATTTTATATACATACATCACAGGTTAAAGTCCAATCTTCTGACTGCTTATTTTGCTCCGGGATATGTTGGCTGACCAATACTGACATATTAAGTTTGAAGTAAGAGAAGTGTCAATATCATTCTTACAAGATGTTTCCTCTTCTGAAAAACTGTGTGTTGGCAAAACAAGGAATTAATTATGGTACAGAAAGTTATTTTATATTTTGTACATTTACTAAATATAATTAATTTGAATCTTAAAACGCAGATCATATGATTAGTACAAAGTCCATGAGAGAGTAGATACTATAAATATATTTATAATTCAAATAACAATTTTTTAACACATAATTATACAATATTTTTTTATATTTATTATATATTTATTGTCATGCATTTCTACAGCTTATTACATCATGTAATATTTACAATAGATCTGGCAAATTTAAATTAATATATGTTTGATTTAATGTAATGTTTTAATGTATTATTGATTCAGTATATTATTAAGATTTTTAATTGATTTTTGTAGGAGAAACTCTTACTCGTTATTCTGGAATTTTTATGAACAAAGCTTATTCTACAAAAAGCAACAATGGCTCAAAAAATATTGTATTTGTTGATGGAGTACGGACTCCATTTTTACAATCTGGAACTCAATACAAGAATCTTCTGGCATACGATCTTGCAAGACATTCATTGGTGTAAGTTAAAATTAACTCGATATATCAATAAATTATGTCTTCAAGAGAGAATTTTATACTAGTACTCTATTTTTTATTAATAATATTTATTTTAATAGTAAAAGTAATAGAAATTATTATTTGCTTTAGGAGCTTACAACAGAAAATTGGGTTCCCAAAAGAAATAATCGATTATATAGTGTATGGTACAGTAATGCAGGAAGTGCGAACTTCTAACATTGGAAGAGAAGCTGCTCTGGCTGCGGGATACAGTGATCATACTCCTGCGCATACAGTAACAATGGCGTGTATCAGCAGTAACCAGGCTATCACTACTGGCATGGGTTTAATTGCTTGTGGTGTTTACGATGCAATTATAGCGGGTGGAGTCGAATTTATGTCTGATATTCCAATCCGCCACAGTCGACGCATGAGATCTTTAATGCTGCAAGCCAACAAGGCCAAAACTTTAGGGAACAGATTGGCTCTTTTGGCCAATATTAGACCATCTTATTTCGTACCAGATGTAAGTTGCCATGATTTTTTCTCAAAATAGAAGAAAACGCAAGATATAAATGTTGTGTTTTAAATTGTTATAATAAGAATGTAATACTTGATATAAAAATAATGTAATTTTTCTCGTTTTATGAATGTCTCTTTTACAACGATTTATTTCTATATAGCTACCGGCAGTGGCAGAGTTTTCAACTGGTGAAACTATGGGCCATAGTGGAGATCGTTTAGCTGCAGCGTTCGGCGTGACACGCAAGGATCAAGATGATTACGCATTGCGTTCTCATACTTTAGCTGCGCGAGCTCAACAACAAGGACATTTGTCGGATGTAGCGCCTTATAAAGGTACATTGAAGTTTCTCCCATTTAATTGTTTCAATATTATATATATTATATATATATATATATAAAATATTATAAATATATATATTTTTTATCTCACAATTTAATTTTTTGCAGTACCGAATGTTACTGCAGTTGTTGACAAAGACAATGGTATTCGCGTATCTACAGAAGAACAGTTAGCAAAGCTGAAACCTGCATTCGTTAAACCTTATGGAACCGTCACTGCAGCCAACGCGTCTTTCTTAACCGACGGTGCATCTGCGGCTTTAATAATGAGTGAGGACAGAGCTCTTCAACTTGGTTTAAAACCCAAGGCATACTTGCGAAGCTTCATTTATGTATCTCAAGATCCGGTTGATCAATTACTTCTGGGACCAACATATGCAATACCAAAGGTATACAATCCTTATTAATTTGCTAATTTATAATAAATATATGTATACATATAACAAAGTTGTTACACAGAAAATTAAATTATGTAAAATAAAAAAATGTAAATAAATTACAGGTCTTGGATAAAGCAAAATTAAATCTAAAAGATATAGGAGTGTGGGAGATACATGAAGCATTCGCCGGACAAATTTGTGCTAATTTGAAAGCGTTAGATTCAGATTTGTTCGCGCAAAAGTATTTGAATAGGAGTTCAAAAGTCGGAATACCTGATATGAATAAATGGAATGCTTGGGGCGGATCCTTGTCGATTGGTCATCCGTTCGCTGCTACGGGAGTACGATTAGCAACTCATACTGCTAACCGACTTATCAAAGAGGATCAACAATTCGGACTCATTGCAGCCTGTGCTGCTGGTGGACAGGTAAATTAAATGTTTATACATAATATAATTTTTTTCATTATAAAATTGTTTACTTTATATATATCTGTTAATATTGTATTTTATAGGGAGTTGGTATGATTATGGAAAGATATCCCGGAGCTACAGTTTAATTTAGGTTTTAGAATGAAATTTATTAAAAAAAATTTATAAAGAAATATTTTTCTACTGGAGAGAATATATAAATAATCATCTGGTATTTGTTATAGATCTTACAAGAAAAAATTTTCTAATAAATTGTACAAGATATTTAATTATAAAATGCATTACAGCTGTGTGAAATATATTGCTTCTTTCTTGCTACTCGAGAGAGTTATGTAGAAAAGAAGGCAATAGATTCGCAGTTAGATGATGCTTCACACCACCATCCAGTATTTCCTTTATATCTTGACAACCTTGTAAGGCGCGTTGTTTGAGCACTTCCAAACGTGACAAATGTAATCTCTGTCCTGCTCCATGTGCCACTACTATCAAACCACTCCCATCTGCTTCAATTTCGTTATTTGTGTCTAGTAATGCGACAACAGACAAGGTAACTCCTGGTGAACATTCTTCTACATAGTTCGCGTCTAATACGCCTGCTGCTAACATCTTATCTTCTTCTTCTGTTGTCAGTTTGTTAATGAGAGATACAGTACAGCCTATAGCATAATTCTGTAATAAGAAATTTATTTTGTAAATAATATGTATAAAAAGAGGAATATACATATTCTTCTTTTAGATATAAACCTTAATCGGAATTCCAGCGTCGATCAACGCAAGCGTCGATACATTCACAGATGCGCAGTAATCACTACCATCGACTTGTAAAACTTCTACAAAGATATCAATTTGAGAACGTGGATATAACTCCAAGTGTATTATGGCTTCCATCGCATGGCGTAACTGAGCCGATCTCTCTTGAGACTTCCAATCTCCCCTGGGTCTTCGCTTCCGTTCTCCAGAGGTAAAACTAAATACAGCCATACTATACTGGCAATTTATAAGAGCTTTTGTACTATTCCTTGACGAACTGCTTTTTGGCTAAAATATATAATGGAACTATACAGATATTACACTGCAGTTTAAGGTAATGTTATATATATGTAAAACTATTCTGAATCATATTCGTGTTTTATATCATTAAAGAGAAAAAAAAATTATAAAATTAGAGAATATATTGTATATATATATATATATATATATATATATATATACTGTGCTCCTCTTTCCTTCTCTATTTTTATAATTTTTTAAATATATATATATATATATAAAATTGTATTTGGAAGAAGCACATTAATTATATTAAACTGTATGACATCTCAATTAACAAGCATATAAACACTTAGGTACTGCGTTGTAAAAGAATTGTATCAGTATGACAAGTAGTTTATATATATATATATAAACTATTATAAATATATATATATATAAACTGCTATAAATATATATATATATATAAACTACTTGTCATATTGATACAATTCTTTTACAACGCAGTATTTGAGTGTTCATAAGCTTGTTAGTTGAGATGTCATAGTTTAATATAATTAATGTGCTTCTTCCAAATACAATTATAGATATTTTAGAGTAATTCAAACCTGATGAGGACCGTATACTGCGGCTAAAACTTTCGTGTTGCCATGCTCTATGTACGCGCTGCCGTCCGCTTGTCCAAACACTCCCATTCGCATACGGATTTGCCTCAGTTCTAACGCTCTTCTACCGTCAGCGCGCAATCCACCTTCATTGTCCTCCTGATTGCGATCTGTCATCTTTCTTTTATTTTAATTAACGCTATGGATAAAAGTTATATCTAACCTAGAATTTAAAGGTACACATGTCACACTTCCATTTATTTACAAACGATATCGAACGTATCGCGCATTCGATATATTGATATATCGATATATCGATAAATTGAATATGGCCACGCGCGAAGAAAAATATAACCTCGTTCGATCCAGAAGAAGAAATAAACTGTAAGAATTAATTAATTTGTCCGATATGATGTATGTACGACACACGTGTTTAAACAATAATATATTTTTCATTAAAAAAAAAAGGCGATAATCGATACATTAAGAGATCTATATGTGAATAATATAATAATAATAATATGACAATAATTATGATATTCTGATATATCATATCAAATAATATAAAAATATTAATGATCATAATAATTATAATATTAATATCATAATAATAATAATAATAATAATATTAATAATATAATAATAATAATATTAATAATAATAATAATAATATTAATATAATATTATCATAATACATATTGTATGTTGATTATTGTGGACATATCATGTTCTTATAGTAATATAATTATGTTCTCAGGTAAACAATTGATTCGATGTCGTTATTGATAAACAAATATGAGACTCTCGACTCGTTCAATTTGCATATCGGAGCATGAAGAGGATCAAGATCGTGCCGGACAGGCCGAATCGTCTGTTCGAGATCTGGTTGGAAGAATGGAGGAACGATGCGATGCTCCGAAACGCCAACTTGGGCAATCAGTTTACGAAGGCGTTGGATTCGCTGAAGCGGTACCCGCTTCCGCTGGAGTCCGGTAAAGAATGTATAATCCTGCAGCATTTCGGCACGAAATTGTGTTCGATGCTGGACAAAAAATTGGAAGAGCAACGAAGGCGCGAATCCGCGAAAATAGCTGACGCTCACTTTTCTGAAGCCACCACTAACTCGGATTATATTGCCGGGTGTAAGGAGCAGCCTGTGGATGACAAAGTTGATGACACACAGGAGAAAACAGTAAAAGTAGTCAGACAAGCTAACAATAAGAACGCTAAACGGAATGCAGCGAAGAAATTGGTAAATGTAAATGAAATTGGATCGCAGGAAAAGCATATTTGTTTAGAACCTAATACTTTTGATATTATATTATTGGTGGACACCCAAGAAACTTGTGGGTGAGTATTTATGGTATGGTAACTTACAGCGTTGCTTATAAAGAGTTTTTGGTTTTATAAGATATGTATTTCAGTGGAAAAACTAAGCCGCAATACGATGCCACTCTCAAGGAATTGACACAGTTTGGTGTATTGTTTGAAGTGCGTCGTTTGAAAATTGGCGATTTTGCATGGATTGCGAGATGTAGAAAAACTAATGATGAATTGATTATACCTTATATAATAGAAAGAAAACGGATGGATGATTTAAGTGCCAGTATAACAGATGGTAGATTTCATGAACAAAAGGTATTTTAAGAATATAATTATCTTTTTATCCTTATTTCTGCATATTTTAATTGTCAATTAATCGTCAATTCTTTTATTCCATGTTTCAGTTTCGATTGAAGCAATCCGGTATTGAGAATCTCATGTACATAGTGGAGAGTATTGACAAGAATTCTCGATTTTCAATACCACTTCCATCACTGTTACAGGCTTCTGTAAACTGTCTAATACAAGATGGTTTTACTGTAAAGTATACAAGAAATCATAAAGATTCTATGTCGTATTTATCACATGTGACAAAGATTCTAATTAAAATTTACAAGGTGTGTAAGTAATAGTGTGTGTATATATATATAAATGTTGTGTAAAATATATATCAATATACGTTATAATAAAATTATGATTATTTTACTTAGGATAAAAAACTTGTTGGATGTAAGAAAGAACATCTTCAGACTAATGATGCAGGTAGCACAATACAACGACTTTTAGAGTACAAAGAATTCAATCAGGCGTCTTCTAAACAGAGAGTAAGTATTAAAGATTTTCAAAATAATTCGTGTAAAAAACATGATTTATTGATATTCTCTTTTTAGAAATTTAAAGTAGGTGAGATGTTTATTCGTCAATTATTACAATTGAAAGGCATGTCTATAGACAAAGCGACAGCAGTTGTAGAACATTACCCCTCGCCACAGATTTTGATCAGAGCTTTGGAAAATTCTGATAACGGCGAGCAATTATTGACGAACATTCAACTAGGAAACAAAAAACGACAGCTCGGGCCTACTATCAGTAAGGCCGTTTATCAGCTTTACACGATGAACGAGCTAAGTTGACTAACAAAGATATACACCTGGATATTGTATATACCCTCCGCCTGTAAATAATACTCAATTTTCGTGTATACAGCAGGCGAAAATACATCCTTTTTAAATATTCAGTAAGAATGATCTTTTTTATAAAATTATCGCAATAAAACAATTAGAATACACACGTGAGAGAAAGAAATTATTTTTATATATCTCTCTATTTTTACAAATAAGTAGGATGTTCCATATACATGCTGATCCTATACTCATACACATTATCTTCCATAAAAATAATATCCTTGTACCACGTCACAATGTCATTTAAGAAATAGAGAGATATTTTCAGACGGAGAAAAGTCTAGAAAATAGCTGAAAGTTAACTACAAAATTCGTTTACTCTTTTTCTTATTTCTGGAATAAAAAAAAAAAAGAAAATTGCGTCACATTAGCTTGCACTCGTCTGTGCTTTTCTTATAGTTATAATACTCGAAGAGACGGATCGATGCTATTAGCAATTTAATAGAATTGCGTATGGAAAGTGTAAATACACGTTCGGCAAATAGGAGGGTAATTTGCAACACTTATTCCCCTTTACGTTGGGGGAAAATAAGAGAATTTTTTCGCGTGAAATATAGGAACGAATAGAGAGGGAGACGCGATTATGATATGCTTCTTTCGCGCGTCCCAGACTTTTCTCAGTCGTCGTTGGATCTTCGAAGTAAATGGAATTCTCCCTGGATCGGTATTACAAGTTGCAACGCCTGGTGTCGTCCATAGTCGGACTATGGCCTTATCAAAGAGCGACGAACGCTTGGATCCATCGAGTGCTCGTAACTTTTTGCATGATCTGGGGTATAATCGGTCAGGTACCTTAATATAAATCTATCACGTCTTTTTTGCTCCCCATGCATGTTTTGAAACTTTTATTAAATTTCATTAATTTGTATTTGATTCACATCTTATAGCTTTATTCATAAATATATATTCATAAGTATATATTATATATATTAAATATATATAATAAATATTTATATATATATATATATATATATATATATATTATATAATATATATATATACATATATATATAAAATATATATTATATATTCATAAATAAATATATATTAAATACATATTATAATTGATAGTCATCAATTTTGCCTCAATGGCATTTTTATGAAATAAAGAACGCGTAAATAATAGATGTTTTTCTAGATAGCTAAGATATATATGTCGGAAATGACTGTGGATTTTACACTCGATTGTTCGCTCATTCTTATTACTAGTATTGGTATATCACTGCAATTCTTTGATCGTATATTGATCAATCACAAAGTAAGAAATATTTTATTTGAATATGTTTCTTTATGGAATTGATTAAATGTGATATAATAAATAATATATCGTTTTTTTTCGCTATGATGTATAATTTGCGAACAGAATTAAGCATTTTAATTTGCAGTTGAGAATTTTACTCGACCATATTAAAGCCGATTGGGAACGTGTCACGTCTCAGGATGAAATTAAAATCATGCAAAAATATGCCGTGAACGCAAGAATAATCACGATATTGTTTATTAGTAAGTGAAATTGTGGTCTCAATATTGCAAAACGTGCAAATGAATCATAATATTCACAATAAGAGATTAATATTTTATCTTTAATATCGTTGATGTCAGTGATATTTTATTTGAAAGATTATTTTCTGAATTTTTTGTTGGTATAGTTAATTGATTAATTTCAATTGATTTTTTTACAGTTTATGTAGCCATAGCTACAAGTACGTATATCTTTTTCACAATGCTCCCGCAAATTCTTGATGTATTTCTACCATTGAACGAGACACGTTCGCGCGAACATCCGATTTCCGTCGATTTCTTCATCGATGAAGATAAATACTTTTATTTTATCCGAATTCAAATATATTTTATGATAATATTACTTATGGAAATAGTTCTTGCCAACGTGATCATGTTTATTATTTACACGCAACATGCAAGTGGATTATTTACCATATTAGGGTACTGCGCTTTCCTCTATGCATTTTTAGTGTTTAAAATTAATTTTTTTTATATTTACATTGCTTAATATTTAATAAGATTTGTGCTTAACTTTCGGGCGCTAGTTTTTATATTATTTTTATATTAATTATATAAGAAGTATAAGCACTGTATGTGGACGTTTGTGTACTATTATAATCACATATTCATCAAATGTCTGAAAATGTATATTAAAATAGCACCACAATTTATAATATATCATAGTAATACTTTAGCATAAAATATATATATCGAAATATTTATATGCATATAGTTGCATTAACGCGTTGCACAAGAAAGCATAGCAATTAAATACAGAAAACATACTGAAAAAATATGCTAATGGGTTCAATCTAAAAATGAGTTAATAAGTCTACACAGTTGAAAAATTTGTGTTAAATTATTTAATAAATATCACATGTCCCAAACCGTCCACAGAAATTTTTGTGTTAATTTAACATAATATTTTAAATAGTGACACGAATATTATGTTAATATTTTAACATAAAATAAATACAAACTTTAAGTAAACTTAAAATAAATTTTGTGTAAAATTAACATAGTTTTAAGGTAAAAATTAATTTTAAAAAATGTTGATTTTACATTTTATACCCACTTATATTATAAAATAAAATCAACATTTGTTTTCTGTAAATTTTAACAGATAAATCGTGTCACAAATAATACGGAACATATTTATTGTGTGAAATATTAAAAATATAGATGCACATTGTGTTATTTTTCCATTTTTTTCAGTTATTTTAATAATTTAATATTTGAGTTTAATTAACACAACAGTAATATGCTAAATTAATACATGAATGTGTTAAATATTTAACACAAAAATTTTAACAGAGACCATTTTTAATGAGAAAACAACTGTGTTTTCCAACTGCACCTCGTATAATCACTTTAAATATCATTTTGCATTGGATTTGGAGATACGTATCGATAATATATGTATTCTTGTATGCATTTACATAGATATCGTGCAGAGCGATTATTTAGCGAAAGTTCCCCCAAGATCGGACGATCTATCCGTAGAACTGAAAAAGATTACAGAAGCATCGTTCTCTTTGTCGAGGATCATCGCAACGTTTTACAGTTAGTATCTTTTGACAGTACTGTTCACAGAGAGAATTTTCTCTTAAATTTTACCTTGAAAGTAATGGCAATCACGGGATAAGAAATATAATATTGGACGAATTTTATAAGAGTTTTTTTGATGAATATTTAAACCACACTAAAAATATTAATACCACAATAAGATATAAAATATGTTCAATTAATTTTAATATTTTTTATTGTGGTAAATATTTAAATTAGAGCTAAAATTCTTCAAATATATCACATTCTCCCATGATTATCATAATTTTCAGAGTAAATTCTAAGAGAAAATTCTCTTCGTGTACATTATACTATAGTTAATGAGTACAATGATCACGTTTTATTAATCCATCATGATTTTTATCAAGGTTTGTGGACATTATTCAATCGAGCTACAGCAGGAGCCTCATCACTGAATATTTGTTCTTCATGATCTTGATAGGCCTGACGCTGGTACAAGTGAGTGTTTTGCTAAATTGATTAAACTATAATTTTCTCCGTGCATAAGTAAGATTGACGATAAATTCAACGAAGTTAACTTAATGAGAAAAAGGAGAAAGAGAGAAGAGAGAAGGAGTTAAAAGATAAATCAGCGTAGCCAAATATATTGTTGTTTAGAAATTTAAATACTCCGGATTTTCGGATCGATCTATTAGATCTATAGCTTTCATCGGCGGACAATTATTTTATCTACTTATATTTAGCTATATGGGTCAGCATATAATTGACACGAGCACACAGTTGTTCACGAAGATGTGAGTATCGCGAAACGCGTACGTATATTTCGTATAATATCGATATATCGATTATCGATCGATATGTACATGCACATTTTGTCCTTGCTGACAGGTGTGATTTTTTATCATTTATTATCTATATTTTTATCATATATTATATATATATAAAATAAAATAAAAATATATACATATATAACTATATTTTAAAATATACGCTTTAATCGACGTAAATCTCTAGATATTGCGGAAAGTGGCATAATATGCCCCTTTGGAAGCAAAAGATTATGTTATTCGTTATGATAAGGTGTATACGAACAGTTTCCATTAATTCGTACAATGTATATCCTCTGAGTTTAGAAGCTTTCTCGACGGTAAGCAATACCGGTGATAATCACGATTATAAAATGCTCTCCTCTTTCTCGATAATATCGCTGCGACTTTCATTTTAAGATCATACAATCGGGCATATCGGTTTGCATGCTGCTGAACCATATATGAAGCAAACAATAAATAGTTTATAAATAGTTTGGAAATATAGCCAGCGTTTTATCTATGTATTCGATATATATATATATGAAATTGATCACAATACACTTTTTTACATTTTGAGTCCAGAGAGAAAGAGAGTATAATCGTTCTATTCCCATATTTTTTATTCGAATACATATCCGAAAGATTGCGAAAATAGCTGGTAATATGCAAGAACCCTCTTTCTCTCCAATTCCTTTTTCCCTGTACATAATAATATACTTACACAATTTCACGCATTGTGTGTGTTATACAAATTACAAGTCATAATCACAAGCTATTTCTTCATGCATCTTTGTTTCGGACGATCGATCCATGAAATTGTTTCGCGTTTCCCTCAGCACACAAAACTATTCTCCAAGATATAAATAGCATTAAAAACCTCGAAGTGTAAATGTAACGTAAATGAACACAAAAATATGACTTACCATTTTTTTAAATTCTGAACAGAAAGGGAAAGAAAAAGAGAGAAGCAGTACATCAATGCAACATAAAGAGAAAAATATTACATGCATAAAAGACAAGTGGACTTATATATACTTTTTACTTGCCTGTCTTTCCTTTCGTGTCCACATTTATGTAATTTCTTATTATTTTTCTCTCCAAAGACCTATTCTCTTTTTAATCAGTATCATGTATATAAATAAATTTTCAGAGACGATTCTTAGTAAATGCATTGGATAATTTAACTTACGAAAATTTTGTTTCTTTTGACACAATCAAAAGTAAAAAAATAAATAAATAGATATAGCAAATGGACATGAAAAAATAAGATAGTTGATACAGATTAACAGCATAATTTATAGTTTTCAAAAATCAAATCCATCGACTTTAACATCACATATGAGATATATTATTGTTGAACTGTGAATTTTAAAATATGCATAAACACATGATTTATGGATGTCTCATCGTCAGTCTGATTTTCATTTTTAGGAAGACAATGAGAAAAAATATAAAAAGAAATTTTATGTGTAATAACATTATATTAAAAATAATTATAATTAACGACTATTTCTCTCAACATGATAACATTAATTCTGGAAAGAACGTAGTACCGTAAAATAAGACATCGATGTTTTCAAAACCTTTAAAAAATATCAAACTTCTCGTCATATATTCTTTAACATAATTACAAAATGTTATGTATATAACTAATTGTACAATATATACAAATGTACAATTTTACTTTACCGTTCCAAAATTTTCAATTGATAAGGTCATGATGTTGCCAGCAGTTATTTTGCAGGGCGACATAGTTCTGCCTAAAATTAGAAGAAAGATCTTTCTACATCTTCGAGAAGTATAGTACCATCTTCCTTTGCAACTATAATGCAAAATGAGATTCATATTATTTTAGATATAAAAACTAGCAATAAAACTTATATTTATAAGCGTTATGCTTCGCAATGAAGGACACAAGAGGATTTTCTGATAATTTAACAAAAAATACTGAATCATGACGTAAGTGTTCGCGCCTTACGAAAAAATATGAATTAAAAATAATTGACGATAAACGCATTCAAAGAAATTCGAAGAAATTCTAACATAGACTTATACGGAATATCGCTGTAATCCAATAGAAATTGAGCCTGCCAGAATTGTAGATAGAGATGGAAGAATTGTGCAAAATAGAGAGACACAGGTGCTACAATACTGTCTCCATTGTCTAAATTCATCATCACCTGGAAGACAAATTTAAGTTTTCAGAAAAATCAAAGTTTTTTTGTCTTCGATTTTAATTAAGGTTAATTGATTTTAGAAGACATATATGCAATGTTATAATGAAATTATGTGATTATTTGAAATACTGTCTTTTTCTTTTTTAACAGCTGTTGATATGTTCTTTTTGTTGCTGCAAAGATAAAGGTCAAGTCATACCTGTATACCGGATATAGTGCTAGAAAGTATCATTGAATAAAGACAGACCAGAAACAGATTTGCAAATAAGAACTCGATCTGTTCGACAAATCTGCAAAATCACGAATCTCAATGTGTTACAAGTAATTTACAAGTAATAATGAAAAATTCTCATTTGGAGCAAACATTATTTGTTTAATTAATGATTAACCATTAGGAAGATGGAAAGAGGGAAAGAGAGAGAAAGAGAAAAGAAGATTAAGCGATTAACATGTACTCTGCTACATGAAGATGCCTACGTAGGCAGTCCAGTGCGGCGTCATAATTGTTATCATCGATTCTTTGTACCTCTAGACGAAAATTGGCGTCATTATTTTTGCCAATGTTCTCCAGCATGTGTCTAGAAGCGTGTTCAAGTGTTGGAGCAAGATACTCTTGTTTCAATTTTGCAATATCGAGTCGTCATTTGATTCTGAATATCCTTACCCAATAATTTCGAACATTCCGCAAGCATGTTGGACCAAAGCATAATAGAAGCTATCAACAGCGACAGCGATCAAGGAATGAGACAATACAGCTAGAGAACTGTGAAGCATTAAGAAATAAAAGTGCTGCTCCATTTTCGCGTTGTACTCAAGTTGATAGGGCAATTTCGACAATGGTGGCATTGTTACGTTCTCCATACTTTTTTCCATTATCGTCAGTATGGTAGGTTTAAGAATGAAACTCAATGGCGTTAAAGAGAGGATTACTATAAATTTATATAAGCAACATATATTAAAAGAATGAGAATTGCCTATGATATAAATGACTAAAGTTAATACAATAAATTAAATACAAATTGTTACATTCTTTCAACTTTTTTAAAAAGAGTGGATATGTAATAAAAATAAGAATGGAAAGAGTTTTTGAGTTTCTTTCATATTTCGAAATTTCTATATTTAATAACATTTAATGAGCATCTGTATAAAAATGCATAAAGCATAAAAGCATTTTCCCAAAAATGTAAATTTTTCAGTTACATAAATTGTAATATCTTTATGATTTTTTCCCGATTCTACCAATACATACTCGCATAAACTTTCGTCAGATATTGTCCGTATTTAGTATGCCGTTGTAAAATAGTTTTTTCAGTCTCCGTGTTCAGCGAAAGCCAGTCCTCCTCCATTGTCTTAAAACAGGTTCTTATCTATATAAATATACATTTCCTACGTTTTTCTTTCTTATGTAAAACCACATCAAGTGAAATACGACGTTAATCGCACGACTAAATTTGCATGCAATCTCAATCTACCTACTTTTTCACTGTATATCGTCATATACACTACTTGATAACTGGTTAGTAGAGTGATCACCAACGACGGCACACCTTCGAATATGTTGTTGATGTCGGTCGCATGTAATAGATATAGCGTCTATGTTTAAATAAATATCGCGGATTATATCGACAAAATTGGGGTATGAAAAAAAATGTGCAATTAATTTTCTCTATACATAATTTTTAATAACTTCTTTACGTGTAACAAGAGCGATTTGAACGTCATACGCCATATACTAAAGGTGCAATGAGGAGTACCTGGGGTACAACAATACTGAAGGAGAACGTAAATACTGCCACGAAGATCAGACACTTAATACCGATTGTATGATATGGCCATATTCCAGCCAATATCATAAACACCTTGGAAAATGCGTAATAGTGACTTTGCCAACAGTCCTTTTGTGCCATCGTCGGAACTACTAGACGCACGAACAATGATTCTTTGTAAATTCACCGAAAAGTCCGGAAACATTAACAATTCTTTGTGTTACCCCTATGACTATAGTTCTTGTCATTATAATAATGAGAGTGTAATTATTTTTGTATAGCGTGTAACCCTGTATTCTCCCTCATTTCCTTCCCCTCATTATCTAAAGTCTTCCCTAAGAACAAATTAACACTTTTCCTGTAGCAATAATAGATACGACAGTCTGTTCAACAAACCGAATTTCTAAGTGACGACTATGAAAATTTTCTCCTTGGATAGTCGCGAAATAAGCGTTTTCTGATGGCAATTGCGAATTTGCAACGAAAGGTATGACATCTACCTGTCATATATTCTCGGTAATTTTAAATTAATTTCAAATTGATGGCAAAAACTGTGACGATATAAAATCATGTATAATAAATTTTAAAATTTTATTAATAAGCTGCATCGCACAGATGATAAATAATCGAAGTGTATAAAGATTGTGAACGAAGACATCTGTAAAAGCGTCGTTCTGTTTATTATTGAGAGAAAATGATTTTGACATCTTCTCAAAGTGCAATATCAATTTGCTTTGTTATTATATAATATCTATAATATCAATTTGTTCTGCAAATATATTAACAGACATAATTAGGGATTATAACAAATAATAAATCTAAAAAATATTAAAATTTATTATACATTTATTATACATTTTTATTTTGTCATCCAAAAAAGCAGGATATGTGAAACTTTTATTTATTTTGCAATATGTTCATGAAATATGTATGAACAAATTGCGATAAAAGAAGAATTAATAAAGGAGAGAAAGAATCCAAGTGCAAGTTATATGTGCGTATCAGTACAGAGTAATATGAATTGATTTTCAGTTTTTCACGGTTCCTAGTAAACGCACCGAATAATTTTACTTTTGAAAATTTTATGCTTCTTTTGAAACAATCAGTAGAAAATAAATAAAAAATACAAAATAAATAAAAAATAATACAAATAGATATCAAAATAGTTAAATAAAGATGTAAAAACATGAGATGCATTACTAATAGATAATTTGGATAGTCTCCGAAATTTACATCCATCGAATTTAACATCAGAAAATACATAATATGAGGTGCGTCATTTGTTGAGCTGTGATTTTTAGAATATTCATAAATACATGATTTATGAACTATGTCTGATCGGCAACCTAATTTTTATTTTTAGAAGGACGAGAAAACAAGAAAAAGGAAAAATTTTATGTATAATGTTATTTTATTAAAAAAGTTTATTAAGCATTGACTATTTTTGAAGATGATAAATCATCATCACTGGAAGGAACGTAACATCGTAAAATAAGACATCGATGTTTTCAAAACCTTTAAAAAATAACTAGTCTCTCACATATATTCTTTAACATAATTGCAAAGTGTTATGTATATAAATAATTGTACAATTATAATACAAATGTACAATTTTACTTTACCGCTCCGTAATTTTCAATTGATAAGGTCATGAGATTGCCAGCAGTTATTTTGCAGGGTGTCATAGTTCTGTTCAAAATTAGAAGAAGGATCTTTCTACATCTTCGAGAAGTATAGTACCATTTTCCTTTGCAACTATAATGCAAAAAGATTCATATTATTTTGAATATAAATAGTAATAAAACTGATATTTATAAGCGTTATGCTTTGCAATGCAAAGAATACAAGAGAATTTTCTGATAATTTAACAAAAAATACTAAATTATGGCGTAACTGTTCGCGCATTACAAAAAAAATTGATTAGAAATGATTTACAATAAATAATTTAAAGAAATTCGTAGAAATTCTAACATAGATTTATATGGAATATCGCTGGAATCCAAAAGAAATTGGGCCTGCCAAAATTGTAGAAAGAGATGGATGAATTGCCCGATATAAACAGACAAAGGTGATGCAACAGCGGTCGTATGTAAATTCATTAATATCTGGAAGACAAATTTAACTAATCAAATCGAATTTTATTTTGTCTCTGATTCAATTAGGATTAAATGATTTTAGAGGATGTACTCGTATATGCAATGTTACAATGAAATTATACTCGAAATTGCTGAATACAATACTGTTTTTCCCCTTTTTTAACAGATATTGATTTAATTAAGTTATGACATATTCCTGTTGTTGCTGCAAAGAAAAATGTCGTTGTTCATACCTGTATACCGGATATAGTGCTAGAAAGTATCACTGCATAAATAGTGAACAGAAACATATTTGCAAATAAGGACTCGAGCAGTTCGGCAAATCTGCAAAATCACAAATATCAATGTGTTACAAGTAATTTACAAGTAATCATGGAAAATACTCATTTGGAGCAAACATTATTTGTTTAGTTAATAATTAACCATTAGGAAGATGGAAAGAGGGAAAGAGAGAGAAAGAGAAAAGAAGATTAAAGCGATTAACATGTACTCTGCTACATGAAGATGCCTACGTAGGCAGTCCAGTGCAATGTCATAATTGTCATCATCGATTCTTTTTACTTCCAGACGAAAATTGGCGTCATTATTTTTGCCAATGTTCTCCAGCATGTGTCTAGAAGCGTGTTCAAGTGTTGGCACAAGATACTCTTGTTTCAATTTTTAATATCGAGCCATTATTTGATGTCGAATATCTTTACCCAATAATCGCGAACATTCCGCAAGCGTGCTGGATCGCAGCATAATAGAAGCTATTAATCGTGACTATGATAATAGAATGTATGACTATAGCAACAGAACAGTGGAGCATTAATAAAGCAAACTGATCATTCCATTTCTCGCCATAGTCAACGTAATAAGGCAATTTCGCCAACGATGGTGTTGTTGAGTTCTCGCTTTCTATTAGCGTCATTATGACAGGTTTAAGAAGGTAACTAACTGGTGTAAAAGTAATTAGAGCTATAAAATCGAACAAACAATAATATGTATTATCCGAATGAGAGGACCTCTAATAAGTGATTAAAGTTAATACAATAAATTAAATATAAATGGTTACATTCTTTCTATTTTTTAAAGAGAATAGATATATAATAAAAATATAAAAATGCAAAGATTCTTTGAATTTCTTCCATATTTCGATATTTTTATATTTAATATTGAACATCTGCTTGTATACATATAAATCTTTTTTCTACAATGCATAAAAGCGTTTCCTCAAAAATATAATTTTATCAATTACATAAATTGCAGTACTTTCATGAATTCTTTCTGTGATCCTATTTTAATACATACCCGCATAAACTTTCGACAGATATTGCCCGTATTCAGTGTGCCGTTGTAAAATAGTTTTCTCAATATCCGTTTTCAGTGAGAGCCAATCATCCTCTATTCTTTTAAAACAGACCTTTATCTATAAATATATATTCTCTATATTTTTCTTTCTTATATAACACTATATATCGAATATTAAACTATATACCTAATTAAATGCTTAATTACATTAATACGATATTAATTACACAAGAAATTCGCATACGCAATCTCAATGTACTTACTTTCGCATGATACATCGTCATGATCACTAATTGATAGGTGATTATTATAGTGAGCACCATGGACGTTAACCCTTTGAATAAATCGTTGATGTTGGTCGTTTGTACCAGATATCGTCCCTAAACGTTTAAATAGATATCGCGGATTACATCACCAAAATTGGAATATGAAGAAAATGTGTACATCAATTCCTCTATACATGAGTTGATCTCTAATATAACTTCTCTATGTGTAACACTTGCTTTGAAAGAACGTGCGATATACTAGAGGTGCAATGAGGTACCTGGGGATAAGCAGTAGTGATAGACAACGGTAACAGTATCACGAAGATCAGAACCTTACTGGTCGTCGTATGATATGGCCATATTCCCACGAACTTCATTAATATCCTAGAAAATGAGTAATAGCGAGTTCGAAAAATGCTGTTTGGATCCATCGTCAGAACTACTAGGCGCAAGAATAAGGATTCTTTGTCAATTCACCGAGAAGCGGAAACATTAACAATTCTTAGTGTTACACGTGTGACTATAATCACACGTATGACTATATCTTCTGTCATTACGATAATTAGAGTGTTTCCTATAGCGTGTGACCCTATAGTCTCTCCCTCCTCCACCCACTCATTATTACGTCTAAAGCCTCGCCTCTTCCGTAAGAACGATAATTAACACTTTCTCTATAGCGATAATGGATACGACGGTCTGTCTTTAACAAACTGAATTTCTAAGTAACTATACTATGAAAATTTGCTACCTGGATAGGCAGCCGTGACAACAAAAGCATTTTCTGATGACTCGTCTTCCCTAAGAACGATAATTAACGCTTTCTCTATAGCGTTAATGGATACAACAGCCTGTTCAACAAACTGAATGTCTAAGTGAAACGGCCAAGTAAAATGTCCAAGTGAAGAACAATAAATACTTACTTCTTGGAGATAGTTAGTTGTGAAAACACAAGCATTCTCTGATAGCTATTGTGAATTTGCGGTGAAAGGTATGATATCTTAAATTAAAACTTATATATCATATATTCTCGGTAGCTTTAAATTAATTCCAAATTGATAGCAAAAATTGCCATAATATAAAATTATGTGTAAATTTTAAAGTTTTATTAACAAACTTAATCACACAAATGATGTCGATATATACATTTGAAGAATTTTTTGTAAGCACTGTTTTATTTAATATATTTATTTCTTTTATTGCATTTATGATTAAGAAAAGATTTTGACATCTTCTCAAAGTGTAATATCAATTTGCTCTGTTATAAATATAATAACAATTTGTTCTGCAAATAAATATTAGATACAAGCTTAATTTGATTAAAACGAGTAGTGAAAAATTTTTAAAATATTTAAATTTACATTCGCTATACATTTTTATTTTGTTTTATCTAAAAAAGCAGGATATATAAAACTTTTTAATTTATTTTTCAATATGTTCATTAGATATATGAATAAATTACGATAAGAGAAGAATTAATAAAGGAGGTGAAGAAATCAAAGTGCAAGTTATATGCGTGTAATCATTTATAGTAACTCACAAAATGAATAACGTCTCAGATATCTCAGATAAATTCGAATGTGGTAATTAAGTGGAAATTGAACTTGTAGAAATATATGTTAATCGTTTTCCAAGAAATTATGATTATCAATAACTTTCTTTGCGAACGTTCGCAATTTTACAAGGACTTATCAATTTTTTCTCTCGCCGTAACATAAAGACAAATATTAACAAAAAACAATATTAAAAAATATAAACATATAAAGAAATTATTACAATAAATTCATGTGTAAATTTTATAATTTAACAAACTGCTCGCACAGATAATGTCGTTATAATTAATTGAAGGAGCGCAGCATTGTGAAATACGACATCGATGTTTTTAAAACCTTGGAGGAATAAAATTATCATTAATTTTTTTTAGCAAAATATATTTGTCATAAGATATTTTGAAAGTAAAACCGGAAATATTAACATAATTTTGCTTACCGTGCCAAAGCTTTCGATGGACAGAGACACAATCTTGCCAGCAGTTATTTTACAAGGTAACACGCTTCTGTTCATGATTAAGAAGAGAAGTTTTCGACATCTTCCCGAAGTATAATACCAATTTGATTTGCAACTGCAATTCAAAATAAGATTAATGACAATTCTGAAAAAGTAAAAAAAGTAATAAAAATGAAAAATTTGTAGCCCCGCAGTTATTGTGTCTGTAATTTGTGATTAAAAAATGAAAACAAGATTTTATCATAAATGTATAAAGAAAAATAAAGATATAAAAGAATTATATATTTTTTGATATATCATAATACAACCTTATGATAAATTTTATCGTAATATAAGCTAAGTTAGGAGAGAAGTGTATTCTTACATTGATTGGTAAGGAACAATACTATAATCTAACAGAAATTGAGCCGGCCAAAACTGTAGGAAAAGATGAATAAGTTGAGCGATATAGATAGCGAGAGGACCTACGATATCCTTCGCGTCGTTTAAATTCAGGATCACCTAAAATATATGTATGACTACTGTCTATTTCCAATTTTTCATAAAGACTGTCGAATTAGCTATTATTTTTCTTGTCAAGTATTTTTGTCAAATATGTACATATTAATGATTAATAAGCTACTGAAACCTTCTTCGTCGAAAAATTTTATCGCAAAATTTATAATATATAAATATATACATGTACACACATATCTATACCTGTATACCGATCATACTTCCACCGATCATATTCAGACAAACACTGACTAGGAAAATATTCGAGAACGTGGACTCGATCAGCTCCGCAAATCTGCGAAATTGAACGCGATTAAAAGTAATTAAAAAAAAAAAAATACGATTGTATATAATAATAAGATTCACGTCCAGAAACATTAATGTTAACGCAACTGTATCACATGCAGATGTTTGCGTAAGCAATCCAGAGCTTTGCTGTAATTGCTATCCTTAGTCTTGTCGGGTTTTAGTTCAAAATTGCTGTCGCTATCCTTGCCGATATGTTCCAGGATGTTTCTGGAAAAATCTCAAATGATAACACTCCCCCTGACAAAGATCGAAACCGAGTCTATTCGAGACCAGCTCGAAATTTGACGAAAACTCGAGCAGTTTAGCATGGGCATCCACAGGATTTTTTCGAGGAGGGAGCATAATTACATAAATTTGTTTTCTTAATTTTTATAATTTACTTTTTTTGTTATTTTATTTTCATTCTTTATAAAATATTAAATATGCAAATAAATTTCAGTGTTTATTCAAAGGGAGAGCAAACGCTGAATTTTTTAATTAATTCCTAAGAGAACAAATATCTCTATTTGATTTGCTTATCTATCCTCACCCAACAATCGCGAACATCCCGCACGCGTGTCGTACTAGAGCAATATAGAAGGTGTCGACCGCGATTGTGATACTGATATGAGCGAATACGGCCAAGTAACAGTGTATCGCCATCGGATAGAGGAATCGACCGAATTTCTCGCCGTATTCCACGCGAAACGGCAGCTTCGATTCCGCTGCAAGGGAAGTTATTGTCGCCTCGGACGTGTCTTCCAACAGTATCACGATGAGCGACTTAAATATCAGAAGAATTCCCAGAAACTGCATAAAGACTGGATGGAAATCGATATGATCGAAAGAGAGATTTTTCTGCCGAAAATTCCCGAAATTGTTCTGTCCTTCTCAAGACGTACCTCCGTATGTCATCGTGACATACTGTCCGTGCGCGCTATGTCGCCGTAGAATAGCTCTTTCCGCATCCGTATTTAGGGACGACCAATCGTCTTCTATCGTCTCAAGACAAGTCCTCAACTAGAAATATAAGTATATTTTCCGCGGCATCGACTATCTTTTATTATATTTATTATATGGAATTCACAAGCGCGATCATCACATACTTTCTTGTTGTTCATCATCAAACTCCATAATTTGAAGCTAAATATTATGGTGATCCACATCGATGGGGTACACGAGAATACATCGTCAAGATTCGCCGCGGTAATTAGCAGATACATTAACTATAGGTCAAAATTAATATATATATATATATTAAATTATTTTTAAATGACTGGTATTATGTAAAATTATGACAAGAAAAGATAATGTGTAATTAATCTTCTAAATTTCCAAATCGATAATTTGCAGGTACCTGAGGTATAAGGATGGTGAGGGAGAACGCAAACATCGGTACGAAAAGCAAGCATCTGTCGCGAAAAGTATGATACGGCCATATTCCTATCAAGCTCATATATACTCTGGGAATCGTGTAACAACGACTTTGCCAAATGTCTCTTCGCTCGGTCATCTTCGAGAATAACTAAGACTACGAACTATCAACGATTCCTTGTGAACGCCACTTGGCGAGGTATGATTATTAATTCTCTGTGTATCGCGGCATTATGCATGTCCCCTTGTGACATACACAGTTACGCCATTACGAAATTAATACGCAATTATTTTCCCCGCAAAACTACCCTGTCTCATGTGTCACTCTTCCCGTCTTTCATTCAGTCTTTGCTCGCGGCTTTGTTAAAAGTAACTAATCATTTGTCGATATACTGTTCGCGAACGAATTGCACAAATTAAACTTTTAAATGGTAATTGTTCTTATGAAAAAGTGCTGTCATAAGAAAAAAGATTAACTTCCGACAATGATTATACGCCTAGTTGGGCGAAGCCGCGATCCCTTAGAATATTGATGACTCTAACAAATTAGCTAAACAAGTTTTAATTTTTACTGTTGTGTGCATAAATGGGTCATGAAAAATTCGTTTTGCTTATTTTTTTATAGATTTATAACTGATCAAAAAAGTTGTTTATTTTAAAAAGTTTAGAGTTGCTGCATGCATATGAACTTCATGTTGCTTCTTTAACATTTGATGGTGTTTCTGTGAATATGTCTGTGATGAAAGACTAACTGGTTTTTAGATGAGTAATTTTCAGACATACTTTCTATATCCCGTCACTGAAGACAAATATAACGATGACGATAAAAGGTAAATTTGTAAATTGGTCTAAAATGTTTTATATATTTTTTCGGTACACTTTTAACAATTAAACACTCTACATCTACCGCTGCGTGAAATCATTATAATACATTGTAAATATGATTTTCAAAATTTTCTTATCAGATTCCTCGCATTAAAATTGTTAATGAAAGGAACGCAGCATCGTGAAATAAGACATCGAAGTTTTCAGAACCTTAGGAAAGAAATGGATTCGTTATCATCATTTTAAATATATTACAGCCGTAAAGTAAGAGATAAAGAAAATATACTCACTACGCCAAAACTTTCAATAGATAAAGTCACAACTTTGCCAGCAGTTATTCTACACGGTAGTACCGTTCTGTTCATAATCAAAAGTAGCAATTTTCTACATCTCATCGAAGTGTAATACCAATTTGCCTTGCAACTGTAAGATAAAATATATTGATAAGATAAAAACGGAAAATATTCATTTACATTTGCTATATCTGTACTTTAAAACCGAACAAAAATAGCGTTCCAAAAAAATACACGTGCTTTTAATTCAATTTAGAAGAATTAATTTCTTACATTGACTCGTATGGAAGAACGCTGTAATCAAGTAAAAATTGAGCCTGCCAAAATTGTAAGAATAGATGAGTGAGTTGAGCAATGTAGATAGCGAGAGGTGCTATTATATCTTTCGCATCATTATTTAAATTCATCAACACCTAAAAAAAGAATTTTTAAAGATTTTAAAATCATTTCATACACCATTAATTTTGTTAGAAGTGCGCCAATAAAATTTTAAAGTAAATTGTCTGTGTCAAATTGAACAAAAATTTTTTCTTGTAGTGTTGAGACAGTTTTCATAGTAAAATATAAAAAAAAATAATGCACACCTGTATACCGCATATGCTGCCACCGACCATATTTAAACTAATGCTGACTAGAAATATATTTGCGAATGTGGACTCGATCATTTCCGCGAATCTGTTAAATCGCAAAATTTAACGTAATTAAAAAAAATTACACTTATATAGTATATTTTTATTGAAAACATTAACACACTCTATCACGTGTAGATGCTTGCGTAGACACTCTAGAACCTTGTTATAATTAACATCCCTGATCTTGTCGGGCTTTAGATCGAAATTATCGTCGCTATCTTTTCCGATACGTTCCAACGAATGTCTGGAAACCGCTAAAATAGTAACACTCTTGGAAAATTATATATTTTCAGATTTCGGAAAAAATTTTATAAAATCGTCGATTTCATTTTTCAAGCTGAATCGGAAGGATCGAAAACTCTCGAATGGGAAATAATGTGCTTTCAATGACGTTAGTCACGCGACTTTTGTTCGAATTATCTGAATTCGTGAAACATCATTCTTGATCGATGATTAGCTTACCCGACAACCGAAAACATTCCGCAAGCATGCTGAATTAAGGTAAAATACAAGGTATCAGTCGCGACTGTGGCGGTCACGTGAGAGCACACGGTCAGATAATTATGGACCAGTATGAGATAGAAATATTGATCTATTTTTTGACCGTATTCCACGCGAAATGGTAATTTCGTTACGGCCAGTTTGGTAGAGTTTGAGGAATCCTCTATCAGTATCAACACGACCGACTTAATTATGTAGAGGAATCCTGTCAGCAGCATTAAACCTATAGAAATGTACAGAGAAATACGCTAGAAAAGATTCGACTAAATGATAAGAAAACAATTTTATCTCTGGCCGAAAAGATTTTCCACCAAAATTTTTATCTTTTTGTTCTCTTAACGCACCTGCGTAAAATATTGTCAGATATCGGCCATATGCAGCCTGTCGTTGCAGAATAGCCTTTTCGTTATCCGTACTTAATGACAACCAATCATCCTGTACCGTTTTAAGACAGGTTTTTATCTACAAATATATATTTTCGTAAGAAACAAAAATGTTTTACGATATCGATGTTATTTATTTATCAAAAATCAATCGATAAAATATCAAAAGTTTATTAGAAGACAAGTTTAAGCGCGATTAGCGAGAGTCAATTATCGTTACTTACTTTCTTACTATTTGCCATCAAGCTCGCTAATTTAAAACTAAATATGATTGTGATCAACATGGTTGGAATACATTCAAAGAGATCATCGAGATCCGTCAAAGCGATGTGCACATATAATACCTATATTATACAAAATAATGCAATAAATGTTAATAGTAACGCAATGTTAGTATATTTGTAGAAATTAGCTTTACAATATTTGCACAAAAAAAATCATATATACAAATGATTGTATTCAGACAAAAACTGTGTTAAACTTAATAAAATATTATCATTTTTAATATATTTTGATAATGTACCTGATTTATTGTAAAGATTATATATATGTATATATAAATTTGATTATGTACCTGGGGTATAAAAATAATAAAACAGACTGTAAATGTCGGCACAAAATGTAAATATCTATCGCGAATCGAATGATACGGCCATAATCCTGCTAAAGTCATATAGAATCTAGGAATCGTATAATATCGACTTTGCAAAATATCCTTTCCCTCAGCCATTTTCAGAAATACTAAGAACGCGAAATATCAAACGCGAAAGTAGCTTGTAAATTCTCGCTAAGCGACGCATGGGAACAATATTAGCAATTCCTTGTGCACAGCTATAATTATGTTATCATGGCATAGAGCGCAATTATTTGCACAATGCAACCCTCTTTATCGCTGCTTTTCATCGTAATACTTTGATAATAGACTCTTTTACAGTAGAGCACAGTAATAGCTTATTCTGTTGTTTGAATGATTCGCAAGTTTATCCGTACAATGTGCAATGAAAGATAGTGTTTGTGTGTTCGTGAAATATAATGAAGTAACATATCGTGAACAGAAAATCAAGAAATATATATTGTTATACACAAAATGTATCATTAATATATAATATTGTGATATAATTTAATTGTGTAAAAAAATTTATATTTGTTACCAATAAGTTCGTATATTTTTTTACCGATAAGATGTGTAATGTCAATATTATTTTGCACAGGAATTTAAAATAAATTCAATTTTTTTAAATATATAAGTGCTTAAATGATAATAGATAAATGAATAAATGTGAATGGATGAAGGCAAAATACAGATATATTTTTTCTAATTTGATTATTACGACATTTATGTAATTAATCATTTGATGACATTTTAATTATCTGTAATATCTATAAAATAACAACGATTAATAACATTTGTTACCAATATAAATTAATAAATGCATTAAGTGTAATAGTGCAATAAGAGTTCGTATATTAAGTGTATTTTATTGAAAATACCATCTTTAATGATTTACGAATTTGCATCGATTTATTGTACCTGCAATAATCTTTCTATTTTAATAAATATTACCAATAAAATGATAAAAGAAAATTCGTTAAAATAAAAATGTATAAGAAGATATAAAAATCATTGAATGTTTTGTATGCGTTCATGTGTCTAATAATTGTAATTTTTAAAGTTTTGCTAGAAAAATTTAATGTAAAATTCACAATATATTCTGCTATTATAGTAAATCATTTATGATATATAAGCAATATTGTAAAATATATAATTAACATGAATTTTTATTTCAATATTTCTTTCCTCTTTCTATTCTTTTGACGAGAGAAAACAATTAACCAGACGTTCATATTTTTATTTTTAATTATTCGAACATTTAATTACCCTATAGGAACAGTTGTCAATTACACGTGAATGAGAAACACGTGATTATTACGATGTGTCACGTGTAAAAAAACTCAATTTTTTAGATGTTCGTGATTTTGGTGAACATACTTGTGGCCAGATTCAACGGAACATTACATTAATCTTAACAAGAGATTGATAAGATAATATAACAAGATAATTCCATGCAAAATAATAGCTGGAGAAAACTGTAATATCGCTGAAAAACGTTTGCTACGAATAATATGCTCGCAATCAAATTCTCATCGTCATTTAAATCGTACTCTATTTTATCATAAACTGAAAAACACAACTTTTTTTTCAGATAATGCAGACAGCAATAACTTTACTTCACGATGTTGGCATAATTACGAAGTAAAGGTGTATGTACAATAAGATTGTTTGACTTAATTAAAGATTTTATATTTTATTACGATCCAATTTCCTGTCACAGGTATCTTTTTTAGTAACAATGCACTTTCATGTTAACAAATAAAAATAACTAAATAAAATTATTATTAATTGATTCAATACATATTTATGTTAATGTATTTAAGCTGATATGTTATATTTAACATATATAAATATAATTATTATCTTATGATGTTTCACGATTCTTACGCAAATATTGACGAAATAATTGGAGAAGAAGACGATACAGAAATATATTTGTAATATATATAATATGAAATTCTATATATGTATATATATAATATATAAAATTTATATTACAATATATATAAATACGAAGTAAGAAAATTATCACAGCAGTCGCAATTTGCAAAGTGCGGGGGCAATTGATTTGATATATCTCTGACTTTTTACATTTCCTATTTCTTTAATATATATATATATATATATATATATATATATATATATACACGGAACTTGGTTTTTGCCTTAGTCTAGGTCTTCAATTAAGGTGTCACATTGAAAAACGTCCATCGCGTCTGATCGTTTCGCGCGTCAGATCGATAGCGCAACCGCTGTTCGGATGACTATGTTAAAGAAATAGGTACTTGAGTGTAACTGACAACATAACATTATTGATAAATACAATATATCGCATCATTTTTACCAGGAATTTTTATTTCAGCGATATATCCTGCACGAAGCATCTGCTCCTCATATACCAACAGACCATCGCGACGAATGGATTCACCATGTACTCGGTCATACAACGTTACTACCGTGTTAACAAAACTTTCATGTCGCAAGTCGGTATTTGGCCCAATCAAAGCAGGCTCGCGAGGATATTAATACCGATGGCGATGGCGTTTATTGATGTCAGTTACGTTGCAGCAGAGGTAATCACTCAATGTTGTGACTATTCGTGACACGTGCGTAGACCCTTATAATAAATTTTTGTTCTGATTCTGTTCTTGTGAATATATTATCGATATAAGAAGAGATCAACTGAGATTTTTCTTAGTCTGTGAATTCTTCAATATGCTTTAGATATTAATTATTTATTAATTGTTTATTATATATAATAAATTATTAATTATATATATATATATATATATATATATTAATATATATTTTAATTATAATAAACAGTTGAGTATAATAAATTAATTATTAATGAACTATTAATCGTTGGAAAAAATATTGCAGTATTATACTACAATATCACAATTTTCCTCAAAAGAGAAATTGTTATTTTGCGTGATCTATTACACCTCATTTCTCCAGATGACACGAATGTTTGACACTTGGGGTGACGTCGACATCGCAGTTGAGTGCATAATTTCGACTATAATTGTATTCGCCTGTTTTACGAAGCTACTTAATCTAAGTTTTAGAATAAACGAGGTATACGTGTACACACGTATCATTACATCTCACACAAAAATCTTTATCTCTTTCCATATATGGTATCTTCTTCCACTTTCAAATCTTTTAGGTACGAAAATTATTTTCTCTGATGGAATATCATTGGAAAGTGTTTAACAATTTTACGGACGTCAAGATCTTAGAAAATTACGTTATATTCACTAGAAAAGTGGTAGTATTTTATGCAAGTAAGAAGCCAGTCATCCTCATTTTTGCTTAATCGGGTATTTAGAATATCGTAAATTTATTTATTTCGTGAATAGCTGTCATTGTAAATATTACATGATAAATGTGGATCGAGCGATAGCACAGTGCGAATCGTTGTTCGCAGCTTACGTTTACGTGTCGACGTCATTGTACCTGACAATGCCAATGACGCCGCAGATTATGGACCTTGTGATGCCTCTCAATGAGAGTCGTCCGCGAAAGTTTTTATTTGAAGTCGAATATCGCATAGATCGGGAGAAATATTACTATTTCATCTTATTTCATTCATATGTGGCAGTCGTGGCGGTCATGTCGATTGTGGTCTGTGTTGACACTACTTACATAGCTTACGTGCAACACGGATGCAGTTTGTTTGCAGCAATCGGGTAAACACAGTTTTAACAGTTACCATGATGTACAAGTTTTTTTTATTGTATTATAGAATGAAAATTATATATACAGTATCAAAATTTATATTTCATATTTAGAATCTTACGTTTATAGAGTGTAAAGTGCTAATTGATATTAATATTAATTTGATATTAATATTTCGTAGAGTGAAAAAAACTTTAATAGAAAATATTTTGGAAATTCAGTATCTATTGTTATTATATAATTGATTTGTTTTTTTAGTCGTAATATAATTTTTGGAAAACCTAGAACTCCGTTGAAACTTAATTGTTTCAGATATCGTTTAGAGCATATAGTTTCGAGAGAACTCAGTCAGAGTTACATGGATAAAAATGAAAAAAGAATAACGTATCGAGATATGGAAGATATCGACGATATTTATTTCAAAGAAACAGTTTTTCGTGAATTAATTATTTGCTTGCGAAAACATCAACTGGCAATACAGTTTGTACTGTTATTTAATTACTTCAATCATGTACATGCGTTCAGAAAAAAATTAGAATATTAATTTACCTAAAAATTGCCTTAGTTAAAAAATCGATTCGTCAAGAATTTATCGAGCATATTCCTAAAAATCATGAATTATATTTTTATCATCAGATATGCCCATATATTAGAATCTTCGTTCATGTTATCAACAGGCATTCAACTGGCATGTAATATGCTCGCCTTGAGCCTGATAGGAATTCAAGCAAGTATATAATTAAATGTCTTAAAAAAGAAAAGAGGAAACATTTATTTTTATCACTCCAGTATATATTGTTGTATCGAATTTTATTTATATCCAGGTAATAAGTAATCTTGATAATACCGAGGACTTCATTAGATATATCTGCTTATGCGCAGGAGCGTTTTTCCATCTTTTATGCATGTCTCTGCCAGGACAAAGATTGATGGACCACAGCGTAAACATATTTGATAAAGCGTAAGAATAATATATATAAGATATTTGACTGATAAAAGTTAAAAAAATTATTGTTGGGAAATATATTATGCCGTGAATAACATTATTTAAAATATATATAATATAGTACATATTTATAAATTTTACTCCCAACGATATGCAGCACACTCGGATATTTTTCCTGTTCAACATATAATGTGTTTCTCTATTAGAGATATTTTTTACATAGATAATATTTAAAAATATGTATATTAAAATATATTTTAATATACATACACAAAATGTGAAAAAATTATCACAGGTATCTCTTTAATAATAAATTCTCTGATCTTGAGACGATTTATCCTTAAGTAAAAATGTCGAGGCATTAATAATTTTCTAGTTATAAACAATTATAAAAAGGATAAAGTATATTTTATGAAGTTAACAAATATATACTAATTTAATTAATTTCAAGTAAAATTTATTTTAATAAAATTTCAATTCGAGAACTTAGTTACAAACATATATGAAGGATAAGGTAAGGATATGTAAAGGAAATAATTGGAAACATAAAACATATTATATTTTTTTTTTATATTTTTACTAACAAAAAGTCCAGAACACGTTATATTAATAATTATATATTAATATTAATGCATAAACAATTGAACAAAAACCCTTCCTCAGACAAGAAACCTTTCAGTTGTAGATCACATTGGTATACATTCTCGTTAAAGAGCAAAAGACTCTTAAGGATATTGCTTTACAGGAGTATCATACCTTGTACGTTAACCGCTGGGAAAATATACGTAATGTCAATGGCCAATTATAGTATGGTAAGTCACATATAACAAACTATATATTTACAACGTCCTCGTCTTTATAATGTAAGATATATAGCACTAAAAGAATGATATCGCCCTTTTTTAAGGTAGTACAATCAGCTATGTCTTACTTCATGACGTTTTCCTCTATAAAATAATTATTATATATATATATTATTATTCTAATCAAATTTCTTTTGTAGAGCTTTATATTGTAATAAAAATAAATTTTTAAATGTTCTTAAAGTTATATATAAAATGTGTGTGCCTTTTTTAATATATTGTATATCTTATAATTCTTGTAATTGCGTAAATGCGGTGTAAAATATAAAAGATTGATATATTCATCAATTACAAAATAATAACATATTATATATATAACATATTATATATTATTATATATTAATAACATATTATATATAATATCATATTTATATATTATTTATATAGAATGTTTCAAAACCACCAGATATCTTATTAATAGCAGATTTTCCGGATAATTTGGACTTTTCCTCAGTGGAAATATCGAGAAAGCTCATCATTTTTTGCAAATTTTTAACTTATATTTTTGTAATAAAACTTCAATTTAATTATTTATAACTTTAATTAATACAGCGACATTTTCGCCAAGAGAAGGATATTTTATAACTTTAAACTTTAACACTTGAAACATTACAAATAAAATATTTAACAATATGTGCATAATAATAGATTATTACAACAAACCAACCTAAGTGTAAAAATTAAACAACAAAAATGTTCTGCTTAAAAGTTGAGATAATTTAAACTTACTCGGTTCGTTTCTGTGCACGCTTATTTGAAACGACTGTATTGTTTTTGCTGAAGAAATGCTACTTCTTTATCATTTCATGAACAATTTGCAATTTCTATCCGAATTATTCAATCTTCTGCAAATTGCTGGAGTGTAGAGACATCTCATATCGATCAGCTAAATGCGTGCCAATGCGTGCCTCTTATGGCTCACTTAAGTTTGACAATTCGGTATTATCGTAACTACATTGTTTTCGTTATCTACGTCCGTTCTTCCTCATATTAGACATTTAAAAAGAAGATTGATTCGCGACGAGATATTCGTACAAGAACTACCTGCGATATGATGCACGCGGAAATGGAAAAGTACTATGCCAGAAATAAATTCTACTTGTCGAGAATTGGTAGTTGGCCATATCAGCGTAAAGTACTCAAAATTCTGCTACCATGTGTCTTATCAATGGTACAGTTTTCTTTCATAACAGCCGTGGTAACGTATCTACTAATATACTAATTGTGCAAGTAGTGTAGACGCGTTTTGGCAAATAAAATTCATTAAGAAATATATCATTCAATATCTATTTTTTATTATTTTTTTATTATTGATCGATGTATATGTATATTTAATTCATAGATACTTGTATTACATGACACTTGGGATGATGTAGATCTAGCTGTCGAAAGTGTAACTACCATTATTCCTATCTTTGGTTCCAACACAAAATTGTTTAATATTGTTGTATATAATGATAAAGTGAGTTTTTAAATACATATAATATATATGTGTATTTATTTATTGTTAATCTTTTCTTTTTCTATTGTTTATCAGTTTCGACGTTTATTGCAACTCATAAATGATCATTGGAATGCCTTTAGTAACAAATCTGATCGTTGTGTCTTGAATATTATGCTGAGATTGGTCAAAAGGTGACGAAATATTACACAGGTAATGAATAATATTTTGAAATGACAATAAAAAAACCTACGTAACACTATTGCAAGATTGACTTTGGTTTTTTAAATATAATTAAAAACACATTTTTTTAATTCGAAAGAAGTTGGTTCAATTTGAACAATTTACAATCATGAGTTATACATTTAATTTTTAGAGAATGATGGAAAATTACATAATAATTTATAGTAATCTAAAAATCGGGCTAAAATTTCTTTTTTCATCGAGCTGTCAAAGTCAACATGTCACCATTATGTTATATCAGAATATTATTATCAATATGTTTAGTACATCCTAAATACGGTACTTAATCGTTTTAAAATAACTTAATGTAATTTTAAAATTATTTTAACATTTTTGAATAAGCCTAACGTCTCGCATAATCCTTTAATATATTCGCGAACAGCTAATTTACAATACTTTTTTTTAAATTGAGTTTTAACATTATAAATTGTACTCATCCTGCTATTTTTTCGCCCGATGACTTTTCCTTTTTATTAATTCCTTGCAGCTCCTTCACCCTCACTCGCAAATTATCGAACATTAATTAATCGCGCAAGCTGATAATTAATTGTAAAAATTCGTAGTATATGTACATATGTCGCGATCGCGTATCGAGAAATAATGCGATGTAAGGAGCGGATCGCGCCGCTACCTACTCGTTCGAGTGTCACTGCACGAATGACAAGACGAGCGTGTAAACACAATATAGAGGGTGCTACAAAAATGTGCTGTTACTTCAGGAGCGTGCTTTGTTCATAGAGCAAAAATGTTCATATAAATATGTTCCAAAATTGCTAAGAAGAATAAACAGAATATTTTAGCTAAAAAAAGTCACTGAACATTTGCTTTGAGATTTGTTTTATTTCACTTTTATTTTCTATCTGCTGGTTTTTTTGTTGAAAATAAAATAATATGCTTTATAATTATCTTAAGTTTCAAATATATGACTAAATATGTGACAAAAACGGCGCAATGTTCAATGTTCTATTTTATGCTGTGTAATTACAATATATAAAAGTTAAATTCTATATGTGTGATAATTAAATGCCATCATAAATATAAATACTATAAATTAAAATAGATCAAGTTTTTTTCAAGTTTCACGTTTTTAATATTTAATTTATAAAAAAATTATAAATAAAAAAGAAATTTTTTGATATATCTAATGCAATATAAAATCAATATATCTTTTTTTCATAGCATACTGTTGCACAATGGTGGTGCTGTATTTATTTATTCCATTAATTCCGAGAATCTTAGATATCGTAAGACCATTGAATGAATCGCGGCCATTGAAATTCATATGTGAAGTTGAGTACAGAGTGGACAAAGAAAAATATTATTTTCCGATCCTGATGCATGCTTATTTGACGACTGTAACCACTGTCATGATCTTATTAGCCACCGATACCATATATATAATATGTGTGTTACATGCTTGCAGTTTATTCACGGCTATCAGGTGAGTGATATATTGAAAATAAACTATAAATTTATCATGTTTTTAAAATTTTCTTTATTCTTAAAAAAGAGCAAATAAATTTAAAGGTTTTCAATATAGATTACACTAATAGTTGATATAGATATTAACTTACATTTTATTTTATTTCCAAGCCATCGTCTTAAAATTATGGGCCAGATAAATGTTAAAACCAACAATAATGAGAAAATGTGCACAAGAACGCACAATCATTTATTAGAAAGATACGATGCTATCAATGACAATTGCGATGATTATCGCGAACTGATAATATGCTTGAAAAAACATCAACTTGCATTAGAGTTTGTAATTTTATCGCCGATAATAATATTAATGACTTTAATGATCATAACAAAATTGTTTGATTAATAAAACTATTTTATTTAATTTTTAATATTAAATTATTTTAATATTCTCTTAGATATGTTCAGGTATTGAATTCCACATTTACAAAAGTGACGTTTGTTGTTCTATTTCTGACTGTGTTAATTATGAGCATAATTGGATTACAAGTAAGAATGATAAAAAATACGATTTTATTGAAAAATCGATTTCTTAGCATTACGCAAGATGTTTAAATATGTCAAATGTTGTAACAATAGAACAGTTTTTGTCCAATTTAAAATCGATTTTACCGAAAATGTCATAAGACATCAATAATTTTCTAATTATATAATAGATAATCGAAAAAAAGTTTTTACAAATTAAATTTTGAGAAGAGTCAAATGATTAACAAAATATTGTTTTTCAATTATTATTTCAAGTAAAGTTAATTTAAAATAAACTTATAATTTAACATTTAATGATAAAGATACAAGTATGTGTCCAAAAATTAGAAAGTTACAAAAATAATAATTTCTTTCGAACTTAATTTTTATTTCAAAATTAATTCTAAATTGGTCAAATAATTTGTAATTAAAAAGACAAACTCGCCTTATTCTAAAATTATAGAATTTTAGACTAATGTATATTTTTCGTGATTGTTGCAGGTTATCAACAAACTAGGAAATACAGAAGAATTAGTAAGATACTTGACTATAGCTGTGGGTCTGCTTCTTCATCTTGTATGCATGTGTTTTCCTGGACAATTGTTGATAGATAAAAGCACAGAAGTCTTTGATAAGGCGTAAGAATTATAGTTCTATTATAGTTCTTAGAATAATAGTTCTTTAACCACTTTATCATAAACAGTTTAAATTGCATTGCAATTACAATATACACTGTCCAGATTCATTACTTCCGTATCAATCAACAAAATAACGAGAAATCTTAACATAATTAATTATTCCTTTAAAACTTTATTAATTATTCCTTTAAAACATGTATTATTATAAGCATTTTTGAATTTTTGCTATTTTAATGTTATAAACAATTTGCATAGTTGCTAAAAAAATTATTTGACTTTTAGCTGTAGTTGACGGTGGTACACCTTCTCCATAAAAAGCAGACAATTATTAAAAATACTTCTTTACCGAAGTCTCGTTTCTTGTACACTCTCGGCAGGAAATATGTTTATTATGTCAATGACAATGTTCACTACGGTACGCCTGGTTGAAATAGAAATACTCTTTACAATAACTATTATATAACGCTGCAAAGAATCTAATTTTAAGGTGATGCAAACTGCCATGTCGTACTTCACTACTTTAGGATCCATACAATAAAGACGCGGTTATAATATAGACGTCTTTGCAAAATCATCATAGTAACGAAATGTCATTTACGAAAAAAAATATTTATAACAATAATAAAACGACATATCTGATATTAGAAATATGAGTGTATATTTTATTTGTTCAATATCCTGCGAATGTCTTAGAAGAAAATCGTTGCCGTAGTTTACCAAGTCAGTTTTAGTCTATAAAAAATTTATAATTTCGTGTTCTATCATTTTCCTTTATACGACTGAAGATCCTTATAATAATTTTAGGTTGGTTCGAAAACGTTTGGAAATGTTGAAAAAGAGAGATATAAATATTTAATAGAGGACAATGACACACACACTCTTTCTCTTCATAGATTGATTGAATATCTACCTATCGTGGATAGCGTAAACGTTTCAAACGTTTTCTGACAACCCGAAATTATCGTAATGATATATCCTTCTCGCCACTGAATTCGCTTGACATTCTTCTTTACGATCGGGTACCTAACAAGAGGGCGATCAGTCTCGCGATTGTTTTGCGACATGCAAGGGGACATGCTAAAATACTACTCTAGAAATCAATTTTTCTTGTCGCAGATGGGCATTTGGCCTTATCAGTCTAGGATGATAAAGATATTGCTACCGTTTATATTTGTAAGCGCCGAGATGTCTGTTTTTGCAACTCAGGTGAACACAATATTGTGCAAACAAGTGTGTAAATAATATATATGTCACAGACAAATTAAGAAATATTGTTAAGCGATTTCATATAATTCTCTCTCTTCTTCTTTCTCATTATTAGTATCGCCGATCGATAATGTTCAGTCTTTAACTTATAGGTGCTTCTCTTGTATGATACTTGGGGTGATATGAGTATGACTGTTGAAGGTATAGTTAATGTTATCCTTCTTGTTGGTGCCACTATAAAATTAGTTAACGTTGTCCTAAATAATAAAAAGGTTTGACATCGATGTGTATGTGTATATGTGTAAATCGCATGTATCATTTTTTGTTCAACGACGAAGAACATTTTTGACAATCACGAATTTTTGACCAAATCATTAATCATTTTATAGTCATGTATACATATGTGGTAATTATTCAAATTATTTTTTTTTGTAGTAGGCACAAATTTTTATATTTTATACACTACTAAATTTTATATTCAATCCACTGCAATAAAAATTATATTATTACTTCGTTAATCCTTACTAATTTTTTTTCTTTTTCATTGATAGTTGCAACATTTATTACAACTGATGGACGAACATTGGCAGCTTTTTCATAGCGAATCCGAACTTCACATTTTGAGGCAATACGCTAACATTGGTCACAAAATAACAAAATATTATTCAGGTAATCGAATAAATTAATTTAAAATCGCAAAAGTTCATCAAATAATGTCTATTAATTTAGAGTGCATCAAATAAACTCTCTTAACTCTATTAATTTATTGAGATATATCAAATTTGAAAAAAACATTTCTATATTACGAAAAATAATGAGGAATAATAGGATTATTGTAACAATATGTGTTTTCTTTGCAGTGTACATTAACATATTCGTAGTAATGTTTATGACAATACCATTACTACCAAAAGTTCTAGATGTCATAATACCGTTGAATGAGTCACGGCCATCAGTATTTGTGATTGCGGGAGAATGGGGAGTAGATAAAGAGAAATATTATTATCCAATTTTATTGCATAGTTATGTTGCAGCTATAGTTAGTACCAGATGTATGGTGAACGTTGATACCATGTATATAGTATGTGTGTTACATGGTTGTAGTTTATTTTCCGCTATAGGGTAAGGGAGTAAAGTAAGGGATATATTATTTTATGTTCAATTAAGTTATTAAAAAATTAAAGGTTATTCCGGCTTGAAAAATATCTCGATGCAGACTGCTTGTGATTTTATCATATATATTTTTTAAGCATCCGTGTTGAAAATATTTTTGATAAAATTAAACTTAACGATGAAGAGGAAACAATGAGTAAAAAACACATAGTAATGAAAGAATATAATTCTGGAGAGTATTATGAGATGATTGCATGTTTGAAGAAACATCAAGTCGCAATAAAGTTTGTATTATAGAAAATTTTATTATAAATAATGATTTTATCAATATTATTCAATTATGATTTTACCATATATATTTTACATAAAGATTCTCGTATTTCATCATTATTTTTTTGTTATCTTTTAGCTTCATTCAGATGCTGGACTCAGCATTCAAAACCGCGACGTTTCTCATCTTGTCTTTGAACGTAATGATTCTGAGTTTAATTGGATTACAAGTAAACTCTTTCTCTAATATACGTCAATTATTAAAAATATTTACAATAAAAAAATTTCAAGTTTTTTATAATATTTTATGCGTACCTCTTTCGTGCGCGCATGCTTGAGTGTGTGTGTGTGTGTGTATGTTAAGAATTATAAAGCAATATATAAGTTTATATTCTTGTTAGTACGTATGGATCTTTTTGCATTGAAAAAAAATCGATAAAAAAACGAAATAAGAATTTAATAAAAAAATATAAATAAATTAATGAACAAACCCGAAATAAGAATATTTATAAAAATGTCGAAACTCATACACGTTGTAGCTTCTCAATAAAATGGGACAAACTCAGGAAGTGATAAGATTCGGATGCATAGCTGTGGGAGCGGTTACTCATCTCTTGAGCATGTGTGTACCAGGACAAGTGCTCTTGGATAAAAGTTTAGAAGTGTTCGACAAAGCGCAAGTATCAAAATTATACTTTGATCATGTTTTAAGTTATAATGATTTCGGGATGATAACACTATATCCTTCGAATTTTATCATACATAATATTTAATCGTGTAGGTATAATGCACAATGGTACACGTTCTCGTCGAAAACGACTAAATTATTAAGCATATTGCTTTATAGAAGTTTTGTGCCTTGCACGTTGTCAGCCGGAAATATGTTTGTTATGTCGATGGCTACGTTCAGTTCGGTACGTCTATTTTATTCAAATACACGTGAAAGATATATCTTGTATCCTTTAATAATATTATAACATATTAATGCTCCCTTTTAAGGTAATGCATACAGCCATGTCATATTTTACAACCTTGTTATCAGTCAGTTAGATATAGAAACTTGTAAAATATTCGCGTTTATCGAGAGACCGAGAAAAATACATTTTTAATTATTATATTACTGTAGAATATATTTTAATATTGAAGATATTATATATAGAAGATATTTTTGGTTATAATAAATGTTAATATGTTTCACACATTAACAATATGTAGTTTATTTTTATTATCAAAGTCCATTCATTCATAAGTATCGTACGCAACATTTAGATACGTTTAGATATTAAAATAAAAACTATTTAAGACGTTATGATAACTAACCGTGTTTTCTCACACAAAATAAGTATTATATAGGAAAGTTGTCAGTGGTATAGAAAATTATGTTATTATCAATTCTACTTATTCTCTTATATTCTTTCTGAATAAAAAGTGCGTATATACTTGCCGAAACAAAGTTTTAACAGAATACTAAGAAAATTATAGATCCAAAAAAATATTCTGACAACGAAATTACGAATTCTTATTCAATAATATAAAATCATAGATTTGTTTGATAAGTGATATTTAAAGAATAAATAACTCTTTTATCTTTCAGGCCTGTGGCCGCACCAAATGTGATTTGGTATTCATTTATATATAAAAAAGAGATTATCATATACTTCTTCATAAAAATCTTGTTCTTTGTATATTCTCATCTGGAAAAGTTCGTCCTCAAAGATTATATGTATCTTGGTGTATCTGGCTGAGAAATATAAATATTTTTTAATATTTTTAACATAACGTTGCGGCAGATTGATCTCCAATTTAATGACGATATTTATGATAATATTTCATTGCATTATCATCCACGTGAAAGGTCGATGAGATGGTAATATACAAACTTTCACAAAATCATTATATTTCGAGAAATCACTTTCCAAAAAAATATGTAAATCACCGCAATAAAACGATATATGTATATCATATTAAATATTAAACAATTATTTTTTTGTTTCCTGCAAATGTTATATAAGATTATTGTAATCGTTTGCCAACTAAACGCATTATATTTTATTCTCGAGAATTTATAAGAATTTATAATTTTGCATCTTATATAATTTATGTAATTTTTTTATACGAAAAACTTTAGGTAAGGATCTGAGATGAGAAAAATTTATTTTTAAATAATATCGTAACACGTCCTTTTGCAAAATAATTGTGAGACCAATCACTGTTTTGTTAAGTATTTGAATGTAAAAAAAATAGCAGGCGTGGCGAGAAAAATATATTATGACTATTTCGGAGAACGGTAGATCGATCAAACATTTTTTAACAGCCTGAAATTATCGTAATGATATATCCATCTCGCCATTGTATTCGCTTTACTTGTTTCCTACAATCGGATACCTAACAAGAAAGTCATCAGTCTCGTGCAATTATTTTGCGACATGCAAGGGGACTAAAATACTACTCTAGAAATCAATTGTTCTTGTCGCAGTTGGGTATTTGGCCTTATCAACCTAAGATGATAAAGACACTACTGTGTTTCTCAGTAGTCACCGAGATATTTTTTCTTGCAGATCAGGTAATGCAGGAATTATTATTTATCGTATAATTGTATTATTACAAAACGCGCTAAATTAACTAAGAAATATTATCGACTTTTCGATTTTTTTGACATTTGTGCAATATATTTCTCATTTTTTCTTTCAATGTCACTGATTGGTATTGTTTCCATTTTTAATTTATAGAGATACTTGAGGTAACACGATGCTAAATATGACTATATTTATCGAAGCTATAATTAATGTTCTTCTGGTCGGTATCACTAAAAAATTAGTCAACATTGCTATAACAACAGGTAAGTTTGATTTTATGTATATCTAATAATTTAATGGTTAATTATTTCAAATTTGTTGATTGATGATCCAAGACATAGTTAATTATTTTAGTGTAAAACATATCTCGATACAAATTATTTGTAATCTCGATATTGCAATCTTATAATTTTATATATTTTATTTGTTGTGAATCTTTATTTAAAACAGGGATGCTCTTCATAGATGATATTAAATATCCTTGTGAGGCGCCAAGTGAACACAGCATATTTTATTTTATTCCATGATGATTTCGTGTTCTCTAATTCAAATCATTTTCGTTCATACAATCAAAGATCTGTACAATAATTTCGAGTTGGCTGGGGAAACGTTTCTCGTCGCAAAAGGTAAAATTTTAATAGCAAATAGCATCTTATAGATCGATTGGATATTCAAATATCGTGAATAGCGTAAATGTTTCAAATGTTTTCTGACAACCCAAAATTATCATAATGACACATCCTTTTTGTCATTGCATTCGCTTTACATTGTTTTCTACAATCGGGTACCTAGTACCTAACAAGAGGGTGATCAGTCTCGTAATCATCTTGGGACATGCAAGGGAATATATGCTAAGATACTACTCCAAAATCAATTGTTTTTGTCGCAGATGGGTACTTGACATTATCAGTCTAGGATAATGAAGAAAATGTTATGTTCCTTAGTAGTTCGCCGAGATGTCTGGTCTTGTAACTAGATGCATTATTTGTGTAAATTATTATGTAAATGTAATTGTATTATCATAGAAAATCAAAAATATTGCTGGACAATTTGACTTAATCTTTCTAATAAAATATTTTTGTCATCTTTTTTTCTCAATATTATTAATTAAAATTATTATTCTTAATTTATAGTAATTTTTGCTGTATATAATACTTTAGCATGTCACTGGGAATGCAAGCTTCATATTGTATTTATTTTGAAGTATATTATAATATTTTATAATATTAGTTTTATATTCCATATAACTGTATTAAACTTTAATAAAATAGTCAACTATGTCTAATTTGTTAATTGGTGTTTGAAGATTTATATATAGTTGTTCCAGTTTAAAAAATATCTCGATGTATAGATTGTCACGTCTATAATTTTTTATAATAATGATGAATTTTTTTATGCAACTGTCTTGAAAATATTCTCTAAAATAATTTAAAAAAATGATTCCGAAGCTCATCGTGAAATAATTGCATAATTAATTACAGATCGTAACTCGTATATAAATGCTATAAAGATGAGAAACAATTCATTTCTATTCATTCAAAGTTTTCGATTTTTATTCAACAGCTAGATAGATTCAGCTATTTAATTGTAATGTACTTTCAGATATATAGAATGTGATATCAAACATCTCTTTGCAAAAAAGCAAAAAAGATCTTGTTTTTATTAATAAAATATCAAAAGCTATCGCATAACTCTGGCGAAATTCAATGCTTATAAATAATACGAAAATATTTACTATTCAATAAATTATAAATAATCTGTTTTCCATATAAGGTTTAAAATGCGAATACATCCTTTATAATTTTAGAAACTTACATATGTATTATGTATAACATTTAAAAAAATTATTCAATATTACATTACATTTTTAATTACATTTTAAACATAAGTATCACCAGTTGGTACAATACATCAAATACCTCAGACAAGATACCTACATTTTATCGCAAGCAGTAAAAGATAGACAAGACATTTTACCGTGTGCAGTAATATACAATATTACTGTGAAAAAAAGGAATCAAATGTTTTTAATTAAAATTATTCGAAAGATATTAACTTAATCTGCACTTTAAAATATTATTACGTAACGTTATCTTACCAAAACTATTTTTTTACGTGCAAATATTTAAGGTAATTTAATATTCTTTAAAAGATAAATGTTAAAAAAAGAGAGAGAAAAAGAGAAAGATATCTCTAAACAAAGAATATTCTAAAAAAATTATTTAAAGTGAAGCTATGATATTTATTTTTAATTTATTTCTAGTCACATAATTATGAACTAAAAATGTAAGAAAAAATAGATAAATAAGATTACACGCATGTTTATATAATTACATAAAAAACTGTTTCATTATTAATGTACATATAAATGATAAAATTGTAAATAAAATTAATGCGGACTTTGGTAACTAAAATGATATATTAATTAGTTAAAAAAAACTACGCACATTTATTTTGTTATAAAAACCGATTCTTATGACGTCGATTAATTCCACTTATTTTACGAAGATAAATTCAGTGTATTAAATAAGATAGTTTAAACGTGAGACCTGCAGTCTCAAAGCACATAATACTTTAAATAATTCTTTGCTATATGCGAAATATCTTCAAAGCTTTGAGCCACGAAGGACGTGCCATTATAAATTCTATTTATTCGTATGTTTCATATTTTTAATGTACCGCAATATTTTTATTAATATCGCGCTACGTCGTCCGTCTTAAAATATGCTCGTCGAAAGAAAGTTTTAACGGAATATTAAAGTAGCTATACATCCGCGGGACTGCTTTGTCAGTGAATATGAATTTTTATTCAGTATAGTAAAGTCATGGATTTCTTTGACACGCGATATTTTCGAATTAATAAACTCATTCTATCTTTCGTAGGTTTATGGCCGTATCAAAGGTCATTTATGAAAATTCTAGCTCTGTCATTCGCCATATTCGGTGTTACAATGGTGTGCGCGCCGCAGGTAAATTCTCGAAATAATAATATCTTAATTCATTTGTTAAATAAATTTAAAGAATAATTTGCAAAATTTATTGTTAAAAAATATATAATAATTGTTAAAATAATTATACATCTTTTTGTGCATAATTGTCTATAGAGTATATGTTATATGAAATACGCATATATAATCTCATTATTATATACACTGGAAAAGATGATTAAATTAATAAATATTTATTACAATGCTTTCTAATAAATCATTTATTTGAAACAAATAAGTATATATTTATCTGTTTTGAAAAGGATTTTCTTATAGGAAATAAATTTGTTTCACATTAAATCAATATTATTGGTTTAAAGTAAATGATTTATTAGGCAATATTGAAATAAATATATATTCGAATGAAATACATTTCTTTTTCAGTGTATAAACTCATTATTTATTAACAGATTACATACTTGTTCAAACATTTGGATGATCTAGATGGCCTGTTCGAGCTTATGCCAACTACGTCTGGCGGACTAATATGTGTTATAAAAATTATTACTTTGACTCGTAATTCTGAGGCGGTACGTAATGACAGTCGCATCGATCTCGTGAATTCGTTTTTGAATAGACTTCTTTCAGTTTAAGGTGCTTCTGGAACAGATGCACGAGGATTGGCGTCATCTGCTGACGAGACAAGAAACGCAGATCTTAACACGTTACGCCGAAAATGCACGAACGTTTACATTAGTTTATTCAAGTACGAATTAAATGTCGGTGAATACCGATTAAAGAATATGGTTAAGAATGTCGATTGAAGTTTTTCCTCTTTGATGAATCAAGAATCTACATCTTAATATATATAGATATATATAATATAATATATATTATATGTAATATATATAATATATAATATATATATATATATATATATATATTATAATATATATATATATATATTATAATATTATATATATTATATATATATATATAATATATATAATATTATAATATTATATATAGATGTATATATAATATAATATATAATAGATATGTGCAAGCTAAAAATAAAGGAGAAATGCTAAAATAATAAATTACGAATAAGTTTAAATTTATAATCGCAATTGAAACTCAATTATCGCTTCCTCATTTTTGATTGAAAAAAATCAAAGTATTGAGAAATAATTTGTCACGGTATAAAACATTCTTCCTTTATCTAGTTTCCCTCGTGGTATTTGTATCATGCTACTCTACGTTACCTCTCAGCGGGCCTATATTAGACATCATCTCGCCTCTGAATGAAACGAGACCGAGAAGAATGCCGCATCCAGCGGAGTTCTTTGTGAATCAGGACAAATATTTTTACGTGCTTTTACTAAGCACGTACATCGCTTACGCTGCATGCATCTCAATCGCGATAGGCACCGAAACTATGTATGTTTTGATGGTGGAACATATTTGCGGGATGTACGACATACTGTGGTGAGAGATAATTGATTAATTTTCATTAATTCTAATTAATTTTAATTAATTTTAATGAAATGATATATACAGTCAACCTAATTATTATAATTCATACGTACAGCCAATATAAATTTTAAATTAAAAGAGATCTGTAGAAATAAATGAACATAATTTTTTGTTCAGTTTCCGCCTGGAGAATTTAACGACACGCGACAAACTAGAATTAATTCAAAATAAAGATATATTTGGACATGATGAAATCAGACAACGTGTACGACGCTGCATTCAACTGCATGAAAAATTAAGACTGTTGGTGTAGACATAGATAATATTTCGAGCATAGCACACATGCTTTAATTTATGCATTTTCATTTAAATATCTCTTTAAATTTATGAAACTTTTTATTAATTTTTTAAATATCTGGATAGTAATATCTATCAATTTAGATTCATAGAGCTAATGGAGTCTTCATTCGCGTTATTTCTCCTTTTCGATATTGGATTAGGATGTATGTTGCTTGCTTCATCGTGCGTGATGGTAATCATTTTTATTAAAATATTTAATATAATATATATATTATTTTTTTCCTTTATTGTTAATTACTGCTAAAAGTTTAAAAGACACCAATGATATTTTTCGTAGTTCGTGGTTCGATTGGGACGATCGTCTGAAATTGCTCGTTACGTGGCTCTCGTGCTACTACAAAGTTGTCGATTATTTTTCAGCAGTTGGGCAGGACAAGAAGTAATCGATCATAGCGCCAGAATTTCGATGGCAGCGTAAGTTATTTTGAAAAAAATTTATATATAATATGTATATCTGCAATATTACATTTTATATATGGATACATTTTTCATACATGTATATGTATGAAAATTCTTGTGATAAAAATACTTGTTTTTATAGTTATAATGGAATTTGGTACAATGCGCCTATAGAGATGCAAAAATGTTTAATATTGTTAATTGCCAAAAGCCAAAAGGGTTCTCAAATAACAATCGCCAAATTATATGTCACCAATTTGGAAGGTTTCAGTATGGTAACGTAGAAATATTATATAACCATAATGCAAAAATTCACATAATTGTACACGTTTTACTGTACTGACAGAAAAACGTAATAATACAAAGGAAATATTTTTTTTAAGATAATGAAAACATCAGTATCCTATTGTACGCTAATGATTTCGCTACGCGAAACGTCTGTGTGAGAATAAATAAATTTTTGTGAGACTTTATAATCATACGTACTTCTATAGTGTTGCTTATGTTAAAAACTCAGGCGTTTAATATATGAAGATGATGTACTTATAATATAAATTTAGATAAGCAAATAAATATATTATATCATTAGCTACTGATCTACTAATCATCATGCATTAGTCGAAACCATAAACAGCAACGGTATCACAAAAACAGATCGTTTCATTATTCAAGTGTTTGTTGGATATAATAATAATATATATAATGCACGTTTCTCTATTATTTTTAATTACTTTACTCAATTAAAATAGTTTTTAAAGAAAGAGAAAGAGAGAAATGCTAGTTGTTATCATAAAAATTCTATTCCATTTCTTAATTTCTTTTCAATTAACTTTACTTTATGCCTGCACATGCTTTTATTATTATTATCTGTCTTAAAAATATTATTATATATAAAAAATGTACATTATAATATATGAAAAAAGAACGTGGCTTTTTTATTATTCTTTTTATAAGAATTTTCAATTATTAATATAATTATTTTTCATTAATTTAAATTATGTCGAAGTTAAGAAAATTGTTTAAATATTATGTTTTAAATCTCTCTCTCTCTATATAAATATATTATAAATATTTATATTAAATATGTGTTTTATACAGTTACCACTTGAAAAATGCAACACGAAATCTTTCAGAATAGGAAGTTTCTTCTTCGATAGTGTTATTTGACATTTGACTTACCTGCACATAAAAATAAATATATACAATACATTAGTACAAAAATATTTTCGGTATAATAAAGAAAGCGTATGAAAATAACGCTGCCAAATGATAAGAATTATATAATAATTAATATATAAGAATTATATAATCGAGAGGAGGACCACATTGAAAATAATACACATTTCATTTTTTCAAAATCGACTTAAGCTCTGTGTGATACGTCATATTTTATGCGTAACGATCAATCTATATTTATTTAAAATGAATAAACATGTGATGTTCGCGAAATAATGTCGTATTTTGAACACATTAATTAGTCGAAACTCATAGTGTGTTTTGATTGATGATAGAATGAAAGCCAGGAAATAATACAATATGAAGAAATAAATAATTACAAATTTCAATGTGTCCGAATATAATTGATACATGCAACAGAGAATAATATCATACAGCGTATGATCGCCGTTTCATCTGAAACGTTGATGTACAAGTCGCGTGTCACGCGAAACTAAACGTCGTCACTTTTTTATCTTTAAAATATTGACGAAATTAAAATTGCAACATTTTCCGCGTATTCTTCAACTATAGGAGACACTTTTTCCGTCCCATTAGCGATTCCATTTAAAAATCGGTCTAAAATAAAATAACGTATATAACGCTTCTTTGTATCGACGTTCCAAGGGAATACGAAATGAGTTGTAGACGGAAAGTTTTTTCCTCGGCGACAAGTTATTAAAGTATTCCTCTTCGGCGCAGCCTACCAATGGACGTCTTTGACACTCCATATTTTCGTACTAACAAGCTATTGCTGTCGTTTACCGGCTTGTGGCCGAGTCAATCGTCTAACAAGAACAGAATTCTTTATACGTGTACGATACTCGGTATATTGATTTTAATATTGCCGCAGGTACCTCTATGAATTAACATACGCGGATTGAAGAATCAGCTGATATTTCTCCAATACGAATTTTTTGATATTTTTTTCAATTCTCACCGTTCGAATTTTTTTCTTAAACTGATATCCAGAATTATGCACCTCAAATATATTACACGATGTTTTATCAACAGATCGCATATTTATTCAAACACGCAATAAATCTGACTGATTATTACGATGCATTACCGAGTCTCACTGGCGCATTTATATGTCTCATGAAAACGATCGGTATATCCTCTAAATCTAACGAAGTAAGAGTGTGTAAACCCATCAAAATCGGCATATAAAATCATTCTCCCCCATCGAAAAAGAATTTATCGTATCTCCAGTTTAGGATGCTTGTTCAGCATGTGCAATACGACTGGTGTCTATTAGGGAATCACGAGACGATTCAGATTTTAATAAAATACATGGAGAGAAGTCGAATGTTCACAAAGGCCTATTTAAGTATATCATAACGATCCGATCGTTTTTGTGTAAATCGTGCGAAAAGACACCATTTTTCTTTACAGTTTTTATCAGCACGGGTGCGATTAGCTTCGTCACAGCACCGATCACAATACCGATCTTCGATTTTGTGCTATCGTCGAACGTGACGAGACCGAAAAGTCTGCCGCATTCGAGCGAGTACTTTTTGGATCTAGAAAAGTATTACTACCTTCTCTTGGTGATCACGTTTATAGGATATTTTATAGCCGTTACAGCGGTGATCGCGATCGATATCATTTACTTCTTAATGCTACAACATAGCTGCGGTATGCTCGCTATATTAAGGTGAGAATATCAGAATTATTGCGAGAATTTATTTTATTTATATGAGAGAAAAGATTTTTCATACACATAATGTGCACCATGTGCTTGCAGTCACCGTTTGGAAAATTTTATTACATGCAACAAATCGAAATGCGTAGATCGGAATTCCATATCTAATAATCAGTGGGACGAGAGTATTGAGAATGTGATACAATGCGTACAGCTTCAAATCAGAATAGAAAGGTTTATATTTTTTAAATATTCAAAGATTTATTGAAAAATATTATAGTTGATAAAAAAATGTTTTTGTCATCTTTTATTAATAGAATGATACAGCTAATTGAGTCGACGTTCGCGATATGTTTCATTATTGATATTGGTTTGGGAGTTTTACTTCAATGTTCTGCGTGCGTGATGGTAATAAATATGTGATAAATTGTTATTATTTACTTAACAAATAAATTATTATTTCGTATTTTCTTTCGCAATCAAATATTGCACAATATAAAGTATCCTTTGATTTGTTAGCTTAAACTTGATAGAAGTAAACTTAATTACTGTACAGATCGTAACTAATAGGAATACTATGGTGCTAATAAAAAACGGTCCACTCCTGATCTTGCAAAATTTTCGAATTTTTTTCAACAGCTGGTTAGGGCAGGAAATAATAGATCACAGTTCTCAGGTTTCTATCTCAGCGTAAGTTGTCAATTTAATGAATTGACATTTGATCTGTACAACTGTACAACATACTTTCAGATATAATGGAATGTGGTATCAAACATCTCTGGAAGTAAAAAAGATGTTCTCGTTTCTACTAATGAAATGTCAAAAGCCGTATCACATAACTATGGCCAAATTATATGTAATCAGTTTGGAAAATTACAGTATGGTATGGCGGAAATATATTCAATAAGTTGCATAAATAATCTGTTTCTATGTAAAATTAAAATACATACGCGAATCTCCTTTATAATTTGATAAACTTACGTATAAAGGAAAATATTCACATTTAACATTATATATGTTATATTTTTAAGATCATGAAAACATCTGCCTCCTATGTTACGTTAATGATATCGTTAAATTCGGATGAATAGTTGTCCGACATCTGGAATTCTGCGATCAACTTTGTACATCAAACATAGAAGATTATTGTGGATATATTTCGGCGAATAAATATTTCATCTTATATGCATTGTCAGAGAATCTTGCATTTTAATCTGCCCATCCTCTAAAAGTTAAAAATTAGTATTGTAATTTTGTAAGTAAATAAAATTACATAACAGATTATCTGCAGAACGTAATAACAGTTACAGTTGTATTATTAAAATCCAGACAACTGTTAAAAATCATATTTGACGAACTTAACGCAGTATGTACAAATGTAATATTATTTTCGTAATTATTTGATAAAAACGTAAGTTTCTAAAATATTTCCTTTTTTTGCAGATCTTACAAGTTTCTACTTTTTATTTTACGGAGCTTAAGTCAATAATAATCATATCACTATAGTATAAAATTATTCACAATAAAAATATGTAAATATATAGTAATTACTAACTTATATAAATACGTGAAGCATTGTATTCATATCGGATTATAATCTGATACTTTCTTCAAAAAAAATATATAAATTAAATATTGTCAAAAACGATAAATAAACAAAAATGCAACATATTATATACAATTTCCTTAAAAGTACATTTACTTAAAAATCAGACTTGTCTTCATTTTTTAAAATTACATATAATAAATTTTTGTATCGTCAGTTGATATATCGAATCATTCAGACAGTTATAATACAGATAGATAATATATATTTTACCGTATATACGTAATAAAGTATAAAGAAGTGTAAACAAAAATAATCCAGTTAAAATTATTCAAAATGGGAAATTAGAAAATTGGAATTAATCCATGATTTGAATATTATAGTGTTTCATAATATTTTATTAAACCTATTCTGAAAATAAAATAAAAATCATTTAAACAATTTATAATAGATAAATTATTATTAATAGAGATAATTAAATAAAAAAATCCGCGTGCTGATCTCTGAATATGACAATTTGATTTCACAAAACAGTCTACAGTTAGACAGAAAATTAATAAAATAACAGTTTAGTTCACTACCATGTAAGATAGAATAAGAATACGAACTTTCCTTTTATATGTATATGGCTTAAATTATATAATATACCTTGGATCTACTTATTCGATTAATGTTGTACAAGAATGTTAAACTTTTGATAGAAATTTTGATTAATCCGACGAAATTATAATTATAATCATTTACAAAAAAAAGTTAAGTGAATTTAAATGCGGTTTGAAACTTATATAGTTGTTCTGTCAGCACATCTTCTGTTCCTTGGTTCTACAAATTTTACAAACTTCGTTTCATTAATAATGTGATGGATATGTAACGTGAATAGAGCAGATGTATATCTCCTAAATCAATCACAAAAAGTGTTATACGTAAAGAAACACACGATTCATTACTCGTAAATATAACATGCTTCGTCTCGCATATTACTACGTATTTTCTCTCTATCTTCGCTCTGTGTCAGTTTTCTTTTTCAACATATTTCAAAGTGAATACGCGATAAGGAGTAAATATTTCAGTAAATTCTCAGCGACAAGTTACCAGATCGTCTTTGACAATATTTTTTTGCTGTAATACGCTGTAATAATACAAAATGTCTCTCTACGACAATCGTTATTATCATTTGAACAAAACGTTTCTGTCTATTCTCGGCCAATGGCCCTTTCAATCGCGATTGGAGGGTAACGCGTTTCTCGCCATTACATTATTCTTCACTTGCAGTCTGACGGCAATAGAGGTGTTTGAAATTCATCATGATACAGGGTGTCCCATAGGAAATTGCTGAAACTGATCAGCTGTCATCTTTTAATACCTGCAGTTATTGAGAAAACAAAAATTGTGTTGGACAGAGGAAAGTCTGCAGTTTTTAATGGATATAAATAAAATGTTTGTGTATCAGTTTATTTTATTGAAAAAGTAATGAAAAAAGTGCTAATAATCACATATGTAAACTAATGATAAATACTTTCGAAGTGCGCACCATTTGAATTGGTACAAAATTCTGTTCTTTTACAAAAACTCGTAAAAACTTTTTCTAACATGTCATTTTTAATATTATTGATGATCTTTTTAATAGCTGCTATTAAATCCGGCACTGTTGAAAATTAATATTTATCATTAGTTTATGTGATTTTATATCATTATTAGCACTTTTTCATTACTTTTTATCAACAAAATAAACTATTATACAAATATTTTATTTATTTCCTCTGTTCAACACAATTTTTTTCTCAATAACTGCATGCATTAAAAATGACAGCTGATTAGTTTCAGCAATTTTCTATGGTTACATCCTGTATAAACAATAGTGATAAGAATTAGAACTAAAACCGATTGTCCGTTCTTGATATGTCGTAGTTGTGGGGCCTAATAGCCGGAATATCGGATATAAACATATTCATGCAGAATGCAGCCCCGTTATTGGTCAACAGCCTGGTCTTCGTAAAATTGTTTAACTCTATTTATAATAAGTATAAAGTTCGTACGTTACATTTTGTCGCGTCAAGTTAATCGAATCGTTCTGTAATTATAAACCGAACGATTTCTTCGAGCTGCAGATGAAGGCTCTTCTAGAGAACATCGAACAGACATGGAAGGCGATAAACATTGGACCAGAGAGTGATATATTACGGAATTACGCGGAACAAAGCAGATCATTAACGATAAAATATGCATGTAAGTAATTTTTAATTTATGACAATAAAGAATTTTCGCCATATTAGTTTGCTGAGTGATACTTTTACTAAAAATATTATCAATATTTTCATTTTATTTTTTTTTTACTTTAAATTATTATGGATGTTCCGAAAATGCATTTTGTTTTTATTTAAATAATATTATGTCAATATAACTCTCGTTAGCATTTTATTTGAAAAAATTTTTGTCTCTAGTAAATAAATATGACTTTTAAAATAACACATAGACATAACAAAAAAAAAATAATTTTAATTGTTACTTTAGTTTTCCTTTACTTTGGGTGGATCTTTTATTCGATGATGCCATTCTTCATCAAAGGAATATATTTGTTTTTACCTACAAATGAAACCTATGAAATTAAATATATATTCCGTGTAGAACACGTTATCGATGTGGACAAGCATCTCCATATCTTGATGCTTCACGCAGTTGTTAGTGTATTTTTTATAGTATCGATACCAGTAGCTGTCGATGGCATATTTATACTTTACATACAACATACATTGGCATTAATCGAAATCATACGGTATGTTTATTTCGCAAATAAAGCTACAGCATGCAAAAAGTGCATATAAATAAAATCATCTTTTGTTGAAGCTATAATTTGAAGCGTATACAAAGCTCGAAAATCGTGATACTCGAACCGGATATAGCTGACGATGAAGCGTATCATGTTCTAATTAGATGTATCAAATCCTATAATCGTGTTCTACAGTTAGTGCCAGTTTGTTTACTTAGGAATAAATGCACATTCCATAAATTGATACGAGAACACAAACAATATTCGTAAAGCATAACTTTTTATATATATGTTAAATTGAACTAAATTAATTACTTGTTTATAAACAAACTAATATACTTACTTCATCGTTTTACACAAAGATTTTCCGATCATTTATCATCTACCTTCGCAACATGCAATTTTTGTTATTAGGAAATATAATGATATCCTTAAGCTTCAGTGCGGCTGAGGTAAATATTATATATAAATCTAAAAATTTTCATAAATATATGTATACTTAAATATTTAGTAAACTCGTATATTATTTAAGGCACTAATGATGAAGAATCAATTCGACGAACTTCTACGAATGGTTGGCTCTAATGTTGCACAATTAACGCACGTTTTTTCTTTAAGTTTACTTTGCCAAAAATTGACCGATTACAGCAGCGGGCTTCAAGAAGCAGTGTATGTACAAGTTGATCCATAATATTTACAATACTACAGTGCAAGTTCTTAAATATTACTATTATTATTAAATAATTTAGAAAAAAAATATATATATATATATATAGAAAAATATATATGGAAAAATATATAGAAAAAATATATATGGAATAAATATAAAAAATATATATGGAAAAATAGAAATATTTGATAATTATATTTCATGTTATATTCTATTATATTAATATATTTTAATTTAAATTAAACAATCATTTATTTTAATAATTTAAGATTCACTATTAATAATTTGGCAAGCAAATAAAATTATATAAGTTATTCTGTATTCTGTATTGAATTAACAGTTATAATTGTAATTGGTACGAGATTTCATTGAGATCCAGACAATTGCTCAGATTTACGTTAATGCGAACTCTCAAACCGTGCCAAATAAAGGCTGGCAAATTACATGTGATGTCACTGCAGAATTTCGGCTCGGTAGGTGCGAATGGAATATTATTTTTGTAATTATTTTTGTGATTATAAATAACGTAAACCACTTATTTACAGATTTTACGAATATCTGTGTCTTACTTTACGATGCTCACATCAGTACAATAATAATCATACATAATCGTTTACATAAAAATCTAGTAATAATCATCCAGAATATAGTAATTACACACTAGCTTATATTATTTATATAATAGATCATTATTAAGCACTGTATAATGCATTATAATCTGATTACTTTCTAAAAACATTAATTTTTATATTATTATTCTCTTTAATAAAATGTTATTTCAAGCTAATCAATTTCAATGTAACGAAAAATAAATATATTATAAATATAAATATGTTATCTCACATCATTTTATATTATTGCACTTATAATAATAATTATTATTATTGCAATATTTGAAACAATTTACAAGAAATAAATAAATGTAGAAAAATTGTTATATTATTTTTATGTTAAACGTACGAATAAATTAGGTAACGTTATTACATTAATTAAGAAGCAATGTAATTATATCATAGGATTATTTATCGCACTAATGTTTCATATTTATTATATTGATGTCAATTTTGATCTCGACAAAACTGTAGAAATTGCCATATTCGAAAGAGTTTTTGGATATAAAAAATTATAATAAAATGTTCAATTTATTTATTTGACATATATTTATATTTCTACTTAATATTATATCAAATATAAATTTAATTTTATAAGAACATTAATCTAGTATTCACAATCAAATATTCGTAATCAAGTGAATTACATTAATTGATATCGTATCGTTAATTACATATCATCGTCTGTCAACTGAAATCATGTGGTTTACTCCGTGCATCATAAAAACGAATTATACATAGAAATATATATACAGTATATGTTTTTTGCTTCTCCTATTAAATTTTAATTTCGTATCAATTGCATTTTTCTGCACTAAAAATTTTTATTTAACTTGATAAGTTAATTTATCGAAACACTGATAAACAAAAATGCAACACATTATTATATACAATTTAGAATTATGTACATTTACTTAACAGTCAAATTTAGTACAAAAATTTGTCACTTTTTTAAATTTATATTAATAAATCTTTGTGTACATCAGTTGATATTGTATCATTCATGTAGATACATGAAGATATAAATGGATAACATATGTTTTACCATACGCAGTTATGTATGTGATAACGTAAAAAGAGTCGACAAAATCGATGCAGTTAAAATTATTCAGAAAATAGAATTTTATACTCGTGATTTAAATATTATAGAATTTTATAGTATTTATTGAAATGTGAATTTTTCCTAAAAATGTATCTAAAATTATTTCAAAAATTTCTTGAATAAACATAATTAAAATATATAATTTCTAATAAATATAATTTTATTTAAAAAAAAAAATCTGTATACTGACCTTTGAATATGGCAATTTGATTTAAATATAAAACAATTTACAGTAACATTGAAAAATATACAAAATAATTTATGTCACAACTATCTAAGATAGAACAATATATGAATTTTCTCTTTCTGCAAATAGCGTCTATATATTATCCACTCTAGGATATACTTACTTGATTAATATAATACAAGGATATTAAACTTTTGATAGAAATTTTGATTAATGCGACATGGATTATAATCATTTACGAAACTGAGTTTGGTAAAGGTGATAGTTAAAATGTTCTATAATATATTCTTTTCTCTGTTCCAAGTTTGACAAACTTTCATTAATAATATTAAGGATATGTAACGTCAATAGAAGACATGTATATCTCGCAAACTGATGACGAAGATTGGAAAGAAAAACGTGGCTCATTACTCGTAAATATAACATGCTTTGTCTCGCATATCACTACGTATTTTCTCTCTATCTTCGCTCTGTGTCAGTTTTCTTTTTTAACTTATATTTCAAAGTGAATACGCGATAAGGAGTAAATATTTCAGTAAATTCTCAGCGACAAGTTACCAGATCGTCTTCGATAGTATTTTTTTTTTTCGCTGTAATAATACAAAATGTCTTTCTACGGCAATCGTTATTATCATTTGAACAAAACGTTTCTGTCTATTCTCGGCCAATGGCCCTTTCAATCGCGGCTGAAGGGTAATATGATGGTCGGCATTGCATTATTGTTCATTTGCAGTTTGACAGCTTTAGAGGTGTGTGAAACGCGTCATGATGCGATACAATTTAGTGATAAGAATATAAATATGATGTTTTTTAAAATCGGCCAACAGAGCCAAAGCACGAAAAATTAATTATTCGGAACTGTATCTCTTGGTTTGAGATCACTAAGTTCCATATATTTTTCGCGCTTATTTCTCCATATGTAAGTTTCGAGATTAATTTATATATGGAACTTAGTGATCTCAAACCAAGAGATACAGTTCCGAATAATTAATTTTTCGTGCTTTGGCTCTGTTGCCGATTTTAAAAAACATCATATTTATATTCTTTATATTGAGAGCCGATAAAAATATTTCTTAGTGATAAGAGTTAGAACTAAAACTGATTGTCTGCAGCTGATTGGCTTGATAACTGGAATAACAGATCTGAGCATTATCATGGAGAATACATCGCCATTATTGATCAACAGTCTCATCCTCGTGAAAATGATCAACTCTATCTGTAATAAGTATAAAGTTCGTACGTTACATTTTGTCGCGTCAAGTTAATCGAATCGTTCTCCGATTATAAACCGAACGATTTCTTCGAGCTGCAGATGAAAGCTCTTCTGGAGAACATCGAACAGACGTGGAAGACGACAAAAATCGGACCGGAGAGTGAGATATTACGGAATTACGCGGAACAAAGCAGGACATTAACGATACAATATGCATGTAAGTCATTTTAATTTTACAATAATTTAGAATTTCTATTGTAATCAGCTGAATATTGTGAATAATATTGTATATCTAGAAATTCAATATTATTCGTTATCATGATCTCACTGATGTTTTCCAAGCAATTTTTCAATTGAAATATTTTTCATCATAAACATTTTTATTTTCTTTTTAATTTTGTTCTTATACTTTTAATTTTTGCAAATGTTCTAGAATTGCATTATTTTTATTTCAAAAAAGGTAAATTTTTCTAGTTTTTCCTATAAAAAAATAAGTTTCTTGTTTCTATTAAATTAATTTGAGACAATCTGTAAAAAATCTATGGAAGAAGAAATCATTGGTTCCAGTTGCTCTTTACTGTGCGGGATTTTTTTACACGATGATGCCGACTCTCACCAGTGGAATATATATGATTTTGCCGACGAATAAAACCTACACGGCCAAATTTATATATCGCTTAGAACACGTTCTCGACGTGGATAAGTATTTCAACCTGTTGATGCTTCATACATTCATCAGTGTATTCTTTTTATTATCGGTACCGATAGCCATTGATTGTATGTTTATTCTTTGCATCCAACACGCCTGTGCATTGTTTCAAGGTATAAAGTAAGTACCCTACTCTTCTTCAAAATTAAAGCGTGTCAAAAGAAATTCTAAACGAGTAATATTTTTACAAAAGGTACAAGATAGGATGCATACCAAGTTCCGATTTTGTCGTACTCAAGCCGAATATAGAAAACGACGAGGCATATCATATCATAATTGATTGCATAAAATCGTACAAACGTGCTTTAAAGTTAGTGTCAATGACATCTTTAAAATAGATGTTTTTTGTCTTGTATAATTTATGAAACATATAAATTTAATATTATGAAGTATTTTATCTTGATAAAACATTTTATAGCTTTCTGCGGCAGCTTAAATCTTCTATCTTTATATCGTCTTTGTATATTTTAAATTCAATTAATCTAGTTTTATAAAATATTTTTAAATAGACTAATATATTTGTTTTACTGTTTTATAGATTTTCTGATCTGCTTTCATCCACTTACGCAACATCTTTTTTCTTTTTATTAGGAAATGCAATAATAAGTTTAAGTTTCAATGCAGCTGAGGTAAATAGTCGATAAATATAACAACTTTAAATAATATTTGCCATTTCATTTGAAACAAAATAACAAAAATAATGTTGAAGATAATAATGGTGGACAATAACATGGATGAAGTTATCAGAATCGTTGCTGGTAATTTGGCGCAATTGGTACATATATTTTATTTATGTTTTACGTCTCAACGGCTGATCGATCACAGCAGCGAACTTCAAGATGCAATGTAAGTTCTTCAATAATATTGATAATCAGATAAGAAATATTTTTTATCGGCTCTCAATATTAATAATAATACAAATAAGATGTTTTTAAATCGGCCAACAGAGCCAAAGCGCGAAAAATTAATTACTCGGAACTGTATCTCTTAGTTTGCGATCACTAAGTTCCATATATAAATTAATCTCGAACTTACATATGGAGAAATAGGCGCGAAAAATATAGGTCCGAAAAGTCGCTGAAGCGGGAATATTGATAATATCAATAAATCTTACGCCTATTTTAAAAAATTTTTAATATTATAAAAGAAAGTTGAAAGAAAAAAATGTGTGCAAGTACAGATCTTTTGCAGTGATATATAATATTTTATATTTTATACACATTTGAATAATTTTTATAAATCATATTTGTGAGACTGAGAAATAAACAATTAATTGATGCATCAATTGCGTTAACAGTTACAATTCCAAGTGGTATAAAATTTCATTAAGATCCAGACAATTGTTGGCATTCACCTTAATGCGAGCTCTTAAACCATGTCATATAAAAGCTGGTAAAATATACGTAATGTCAATGGTGCACTTCAGCTCGGTATGTATTATTATAAATATATCACTATTTTGGCGATAAATGCAAAGTCTTTTTCTTATTATTTTCAGATATTACAAGTTTCCATGTCTTATTTCACTATGCTCACATCTGTACAGTAAGAATCGTATAAAATGGTATAATAATCTAGAAAAATATTGATTGCAAGCATAATTATTTAATGTAACAAATAATTTAAGCACTGGTCTAATGCACTAATTTTATACATTATTTTAAAAATATTAAATTTTAAATTAGTTCTTACTTTTATACGAAATACATATATAATCTTAATATAATGAATGACAAGTATATATGTGTATCTCATCATCTCGTTATCACAGTTATTAATAATTGACGTAATCATATAAAAAAGTAATAAAAAGATTAAAAAAAAGAGAGCACATTTTCTTTCTTCAGTCTGTTAAATAAATAGAGTTATATTATATAACTAATATATATCTAATAAAAATATAAAATGTAAAACTTGTTTAATGTCTTTGACATGTTATAATTTTTATTTCATTTGATAACTTATAAACAAACACTTGTAGCATCAGTTGGTATAATCGATACACATAGTATATGATACAGATAGACGATAAGGCAAATTTTACCGTATGCAGTTATAGTCACAGTAACGTATGAAAAGTTAAAATAAAAAAATAAATTATCACAAATGTTCATCTTAATCTATACTTAAATTTTGAAATTAAAAAACATTACATTATAAAATTTTAAATGTACATGTTTTCTATTTAAATGCAATTCGATTTAATATTTTTTAAGAGATATACTATAATCGATTTTGGACAAAAATATTCAACATACTAATTAAAAGTAATATTTAATATTTTACAATATATTATAATATTATTAATATTATAATATTTTAATTTCTAAGAACAAGATTTTTTTAAAATTATAGTAAAAGAAATTCGTATTATTTTTTTTATCCCTTGTATTCGTCCAGGTTTTTACAGACTTCGCTTACTTTCTAAAGCAAGGAATATAATTTCACATTTTACCGATCACAGAGTTGCGCGACTGAGAAAGACTCATTACGCATACATATGTAATGCTTTGCTTCGCGGTATCATACATTATTACGTATCCCTTCGCAGTTTTTTCGCTAGATTCTTTTTCGGAACCATGTATTTCCACAGAAAGAAATACACGAGAAATTACGTACGAATAAACGACTGAATATTCGACGAAATATTTGACGTTTGTCAGTATTTTCCTTTGGTTGATAACACAAAATGTCTTTCTACGACAATCGCTACTATTACATCAATAAAACGTTATTGTCGCTTATCGGACAATGGCTATTTCAATCTCGATTGGAGGGTAACGTGATGCTCGCCATTACATTGTTTTTCACTCTCAGTTTGACAGCCCTAGAGGTGTTTAAGATGCACCGTAGATATATACGATAGCGACACTTTAGAATTCGAGACTGATTCTCTGTTCCCGATATATGTAGTTTTGGGGTTTGATAGCCGGAATTAAAAATCTAAGCATCATCATGGAGAATGCTTCGCCGTTATTAGTAAACAGTATCGTTTTCATGAAGCTAATCAACTGTTTATGTAATAAGGATAAAGTTCGTATATTACGTTCTGTAGCGTGTCAAGTTAATCGTGTTGTTCTGTCATTTTAAATCGTACGATTTCTTCGAGCTACAGATGAAGGATCTGCTCGAACAAATCGAAGAAACTTGGAAGACGACGCAAATTCAACCAGAGAGTGAAATATTACGGAATTACGCAGAACAAAGCAGGTCATTAACGCTAAGATATGCATGTGAGTAACCTGTACAACAATTTTTGTCGTATCAACTTTCATTGAACTATATTCAATCAAAATGTAATTTTTTCCTTTTTATTTCATTTCCGATCATTATAAAAGAGATCGAAATGTTTGACAAATTTTGATTAGTTTGACAATTGTACTCAGAAATTGTAGTTCTTTATAGGCTCTCAACGTATGAGAAAAATTCTTCTTTTCTTTACTAAAATACCATTATTTTCGGAGCAAAAACCGAAGGAAGAAACATGATATTCTTTGCAGCTACAATTTATACATTGGGTTTCTTTTACTCCACGATGCCTATCGTCATCAGTAAATTGTACTTGCTTTTACCTACGAACGAAACCTATACGGGCAAATTTTTATTTCGCATAGAACATGTTCTCGATGTGGACAAGTATTTCAACCTGTTGATGCTTCATGGAATCATCAGCGTATTTTTTATAGTATCGATATGGATAGCTGCCGATGGTATGTTCATACTTTGCACTCAGCATGTCTGCGCATTGTTCGAATGTATACGGTAAGTCAATTCTGCTAATAAGCGAATAAATGTGTGAAGAAAAACTCTAAGCAAAATCCAATTAAATAGATACAATATGGAGCGTATACAAAGCCCGGATTTCGCGACTATGAATATAGAAGACGATGAAGCGTATCATATCATAATTGGTTGCATCAAATCGTACAAACGTGCCTTAAAGTTAGTTCCAGTAATGTTTTTAAATCTAGAGATACATGTCGTTGATGCAACAAGTCATAGAATGCAGAACTTTTACACACATAATATTAGTTACTTTGCTACTTTGTGTGGAGCTAAAATAAACATTGTACCTAAATAAATCTAATATCGTTAGTCTTGTTTAACACATAAATATATATATATAAATATATGTACATTTATATGTTAACAAGACTAATGATAATAGATTTATTTAAATGTAAATCAATATATTTATTTCATCGTTTTAAACAAAGATTTTCCGAACTGCTCTCATCCACCTACGCCACATATTATCTTTTTCTGCTAGGAAACGTAGTAATAGCTGGCAGCTTCAGTGCAGCTGAGGTAATTTTTCGATAAATTTTAAATAAAATTTAACATTATGTTTGCGATTTTATTTTATATAATTAATAAAGTCATATAATGTTTCAGTTGATAATGGTGGAGACTCAATTGGATGAAGTTATCAGAATTGTTTCTTGTAATGCCGGATTATTGCTACACATATTTTACCTAAGCCTGATGTCTCAACGAATGATCGATCATAGCAGTGGATTTCATGAAGTAATGTACGTGTATGAAATAACCATTAAAAAAATCGAAAAACCAACGAGTTGTGTTAATTTAAAAAAAAATGTATATGAAATATATGTATGTATTTCATAATTACACATACATTTTTTTCATACGATTTGCCAATCAATCGCCATTTGATAAATGACAATTAATCATTAATTCTGTCGAATGTATTAACAGTTATAACTGCAACTGGTATAAGATTTCAATCAGATCTCAAAAATTATTGAGATTTACGTTACAGCGAGCTTCTAAACCGTGCCAAATAAAAGCTGGCAAACTTTACGTAATGTCAATGGAGAATTTCAGCTCGGTACGTATATACAAATGTAGCATTATCGAATAATTCTTTGTTGTAAAATACAATCGCGTTTTTGAAATATTATTTTCAGATCTTACAAGTTTCCATGTCTTATATCGCTATGCTTACGTCACTACAATAATAATGATATAAGATCGAATATGTTCTTAAGAAAGTTGTATATTTTATGCTGATATCAATTATTAATATATACTTTATATAAAATATAATCTTGATAATATACGTATACAAGTGTATATAATTATTTCATTGTCATAATTATTAATAATTGACACAATTGCCTGAAACAAATTAAGAAAAATCAGCATGAAAGTGCGCACGTACATTATTTTCAGACTTATTTAATAAAGATGTGATTAGAATATTGAGAAGTTTGCGGGAAATTTTGCCGTGTAAGATGTACGTAAACCACAAAATATTTCATATAGAATATACATATATGTATATATAAAACGTATACCTTTAATACGTTTTTAATTTTCCTTTACGAATCGGGGATGAAAGAGACGATATATCCTTGATTCATCCCGAATTTCAACATTTCAAGTATTTTCTTATCCAAATGGGAAATAATTTAATGAAATAGTGTAACCCATAAAATGTACGCTGGTAAACTGCATTCTTAATAATAATATCTTTTAATAATATCTCTCTGTATTTCTACTAAATTTTCTGATAATCATCAATAGCAACGTATTTCATGCCGATAGTTTACGTGCAACATCTGCGATTCTTTTCAAACTCTAGAATGCACATTTGTCAAAACGCGAAGAATTATAGCAACCGTTGTGCATAAAATTCTGCAAATACAAATTTCAAATTTTATGTATGTATTTTTAAAATACGATTTTTTGACATGTCTTATTGACATGTATTATTTTATAATAATTAATAATACAAATTAAAAATACTACACTACATCCATTTGTAAATCAAATGCAATTTGAGCAGAGATCTCAGAATTATAATTGTTTTCAGGCACTCAAAAATATAAATCATATCCGCCACTGATTCCTTGACAAAAATATGATCTGAATAAACATATGGCAGTTGCGATATTGTTCTCGCGAGGCACTATTAAATTGAACGGTATTTCGACAATGAGAAAAAAGAAAAATATAGAGAAAATTCTTATTGCAAAGAATAAATGTATAAATTATAAGGTGTCATTTTCTAAAATCAATCGCGAAAAAAAAACAACGAAGATTTCGTACAATGAATATTTAATCATGCCTAAGTCTTTCATCATTCTACTAAGGATAATCAATCGCGCAAATATCCGCAATTTTTCTTATACTATACAGTTCAAACAGAATATGTCTACTTTGTTTTCTCTGACAGAATTTTTTATTAGATTGAAAATCACGAAGCGATATCGGCAGCACAGCAGTCGTGATCGAGTGATGAAAATGGATACATCAAGCGATATTTTTCAGTCTCGACAATACAAATTGAATCGTATACTGCTTTCTATGCTAGGACAATGGCCTTTTCAAAAGGAAAGATATAAGCGCGGTATCTTTGTTACAGTGGCATTTATTGGCATAACGCAGTTCATCACTCAGGTACTATACTGCAATTCTTATATATATTATCATTGTCGATTTAATATTATATATATTGTGCATTATATTTTTATATTTTTAAGATATATAATTTTTCTTTTTTTTAATTTTTTTTTAATTAAAATTTTTTTTTTTAATTAATATATTCTTAATATTAAAAAATATATATTAAATATATATAAAAATATATATTAAAAATATATTTTTTTTTAGTTTATTGTTGAAGAACAAGAAATATAGAAACATCTGAATATATTAAATGTATTAGAAGTTAATTATTGAGAATTAATGCGTGAAACACTATTTTTATCTTGTGCACCAATACTTTTATCTTGATAAATTCTGAAATTTAAGGTACTCGCCTTAGTAACATTACGCCACAATGTAGACGTAATATTCGAAGCCATAGCACCGCTTTTAGTAAATTCTCTTTGCGTCGTTAAAATAACGAATTTTATTTACAATACGAAGGAGGTACGTAAGTCGAAAATCTCGAAATATTATTTTCGACTGTCGCACATGTACAGAATTGCAATATTAGAGAAAGGATATTTCAAGCCGTAGATTAAGATACTTCTTATGCATGTACAAAAAGATTGGCAGTCGTGGGTCATCGACAGAGAATTCGAAATTTTGCATCAGTTTGCCGAGAAAGGAAGAACCATTACAATTCGTTATGCCAGTAAGATACTTGTATTGTTGATTTTGGTAGATTAATTAAAATATTAAAAGATGATATTGCATTTATTTGTCTATTTTATTGAGTATCATAAAATTTAATAATAAAATATCTAAGCTCTTGATTTTGCGCAAGCGCTCAAAAATGTCCTGTATAATATAATCCTTTGAAATAATTTTAAATAATAATGTGGAGTTTAGCTGGCATATATGCTTTCGGCTGTCTATTCCCGTTCTTGGCAATAATTCCGAAGATCGTTGGCAAAAATGTAACGTCCGCATATTCAACACGACCAGTGGGATTTCCATATCATGTCGAATATTTTGTAGACCTCAACAAATATTATTACCCCGTCCTGATTCATAATTATCTAGCCACATCGATTCGCCTCACGATCATAGTTGCAACTGATACCTGCACGATTATTTTGATTATACATTGCTGCGCATTGTTTGCAATCATCAGGTACGATATAACGATTTAAAGAAACTGAGCAAAATGAAAAAAAATTTTTTCTCCGCTTCGTTCTTTAGATATCGATTAGAACATATACGAATATCCATCGAACAAGACAAGAGGCTCGCTTTTCTCGAGGAAGATGAAAAGATGTACAAGAATTTCGTATACTGCATTAAAAAACATGAAGATGCCATACAGTTAGTGCTCACACGTTTATAAAACTGCATAAAAAATAGTAATTTTTTATTTATATTAGATAATATTATATAATATTAAAATAAAAGAAGTGGGAGAAAGTTGAGAAGAGAAATTCGTCAATTTTGTGGAATATTTTGTTTTAAATCAGATTTGCGAACTGTGTGGAGAATATTTTCAAGAATGCGCTTTCCGCGGAAGTCTGTATAACCGTATTCATGATGAGTTTGTCAGCTTTACAGGTTTGAACTAAATATATGGTGCGATGTATGTATGTGCTCGCGCAATTTTTGTAAATCAAATTATTAAAATTGGTGCATCTTGTAATATCTAGGCGACCACTGAGACTCTCACGCCACAGCTCGCAATTCGACATGGGGCATATATACTCGCTCAATTATTGCTTCTATTTCTTAAATGTTGGTTAGGACAACAAATAATCGACCATAGCGATCGTGTATATTCATCAATGTAAGTCAAAAAGTGTTATACTAATTTTTTTTAAACACAAATGAAAAAATAATAATGTAACAGAAATAAATCAACAGTAAACAATTTTTATTACAATTCATAATTGTATGTTAATAAAAACCTTAATATTAGTTATCGAGGCGAATGGTACGAAGCATCAACCAAATCTCAAAAACTCTTAAGCATGATAATGTTGAGGAGTAGCTCACCTTCTACCTTGACCATTGGAAAAATTATGGTCCTTTCTCTTCCCAGTTATAGCGCAGTAAGATATTATTTGACATGATTTCCTTGATTATTAAACGTTTCTAAATTAATAAGAATACTTTCTTTTCCCAGATCGTACGTGCATCTGCTTCGTATTTTACAGTCTTACGATCTGTACGATAATGTAAAACTCTAAAAATATATTTTCTGAAAAGTATAATATTATCGATGTAAAAAGATGTATAATAGAATGTGCTACTTACATTCAAATTGAAATAATTTAATAAAATCTATATATCTACTCACGTGTGTATTTTATTATCTTGACAAAACGTTACTACGGTTTCTAAGATACAAATCGCGATGTAATGATATACATGGCAGTCATCATTGTGATGCGTCGTCAAACTTGACAACATGTCGATAATATGAAAGACATAATAAAACATAAATACGGACTATAAGAGCATCACTATACAAAATCAATCGTAAAAAAGCATTATAGATATGTCTATGATTTATATATGCTCAATTGTTGAAGGCCTTTCATCTAGCAAAACAGTCAATCTGCTAAGCGTCCCCAATTTATCGTGATTATATTTCATTCAACCTATATCCATTATTTTCCATCTGAGAGAATTTTTTATCAAACTGAACTTTGTAAGGCAATATCGGCGACACAGTAGTCTTCGTCGATTGCTGAAGATGGATTTACCGAGCGATATTTTTCAGTCTCGTTTATATAGAGTTAATCGTACGCTACTTTCGTTACTTGGACAGTGGCCTTTTCAAAAGGAAAGACATAGGCGAGTTATCTTTGTTACAGTGTCTTTTCTTGGTATAACACAAGCCATTACACAGGTATAACCGTTTTATATGTTGCGACTTTTATTTAGTCTGTCATCTTCAATTTTATGCATTTTTAAGAGAGGGGACATCGTTCCTTTTATCTCATTGGTATATTGTAAAGATAACTTTAAGAACAGAATATATATATATATATATATATATATTATAAAGCTTTTTATAAAATTATAAAATTATCAGTTAAAAGAATTAAAAATAATTAAATTATTAAATTATTAAATTAATATGTTTTAAAAATTATTAAACTGGTTAATAGTTTTCGATATTTTTTTATATTGTGACATAAATCATTGGATTCAAGGTGCTCGCTTTAAAAACATTACATGGTGATATTAACGCAACGCTTGAATGTATACCACCGCTAATAATAGATGTCTGTTGCATCGTTAAGCTGGCAAATTTATGGTGCAATATGGAAAAGGTATGCAGATGGTCGGTATATCAAACGCAAGGAGTCACTATTTTAAATGAATGAAATTTCAAGTCGTAGATGAAAATGATTCTTATACATATACAAAGAGACTGGCAATTGTGGGCTATTGAAAGCGAATACGAAATTCTACTTAAATTTGCAGAAACTGGAAGAAGTATTACAGTCGGCTATGCTGGTAAGACATCGGATATAGAGAAATCATTACTATATTACGTAATGAAATATAGAAAAAGTAGAAAAATCAAACGAAAAAAGAAGAATAACTAAGAAATAAATTAATAATAGATTTAATTAATTTTGTGTGCAAACTCGTGTGATAATAACTGTCAAAAAATGAAGATACTTATTACAAATTCATTTAAATATGCCTATGTTGAAAATTATTCATATCGCGAGATTATTATTTATAATATCCTCGAACGTTTGTAAATTTAATTTCTAGCATGTTGAAAATTCGAACCTAACTTTTTCTACATATTACTTAAATTTAGGTGGCATGTACGTGTTTGGCTGTCTTTTCCCAGTTATGGCAATGATTCCGAAGATCGTTGGCAAAAATGTAACTTCCGAATATTCAACGCGACCAGTGGGATTTCCATATCATGTCGAATATTTCATAGACCTTAACACGTACTACTATCCCGTTCTAATTCATAATTATATAGTCACTGCTATTCGACTTACTACTATAGTCGCATCCGATACCTGCATAGCTATGCTGGTGCAACATTGCTGCGCACTGTTCTCAATCGTTAGGTACGTATTTAGTAAATAAACTAAGCAAAAACTTGATTTTTCCTTCGTTTCGTTTATTAGATATCGATTGGAGCATATACGAAAGTCTATCAAACAGGATAAAAAACTCGCTTTACTCGAGGAAGATGATAAGATTTATAAGAATTTTACTTATTGTATTCGAAAACACGAAGATGCACTACAGTTAGTATTGTACATACATTTGAATTAATTAAAAAATACATAAAATAGAAATTCTCAATTCACACATTTTCTAAAAGATTTAATAATTATTTAATTTCTTTTTCGAATAAGATTTGCGAGTATTTTGGAAACTGTTTACACAAAACAATTGTTCATTGAAGTCGGCCTAATTATAGGAGCTATGAGTATGTCAGCTTTACAGGTTTGTGTTGAATATATATATATATATATATATATATATATATATATATTCTGACAGTATATCTCAGTTTGTAAATGTTCTAATTGTGGTATTAAAATCGTTTCGGAACATTTAGGCGACCAATGAGGTCCTTACTCCGCATATCGCAATTAGACATGCTGGCTATATAATTGCTCAATTATTGCATTTATACATTGTATGCTGGTTAGGGCAAGAAGTCATCGATAATAGCAGTAGTATATACACATCAATGTAAGCCAGAATATAAAATTTCGGTCCATAAAGGTTCTTAAAATACAAATCTTACAAATATATGTAACAATAGAAAAATAAAACAAATGCACAAAAAATTCTTACATTACAATTTATATAATTATATTATTACACAATTCTCCATATTAGTTACCGAGGCGAATGGTACGAATCATCACCGAAATCTAGAAAACTTTTGAACGTGATGATGCTAAGAAGCATTTCACCCTGCACCTTAACTGTTGGTAAAATCATGGTCCTTTCTCTTCCGAGTTTTAGTGCAGTAAGACTTATCAATATAATCTATATATAATAATCTTTCTGTAATTACTGGCATAGGAATAATGTTTGAATGATCATTTTCTAGGTTGTGCGTGCGTCTGCTTCATATTTCACCGTCTTTCAATCCGTACAATAAAAGTATCGGAAATTTTTTATGGAGTAATATTATTAATAATAGAAGAATATGTATGAACAACCATTTTATTCAAATAATAGTAGAATGTCTACATTTACGATCCAAGACATAATTATGAATAAAAATAATCATCTTCGTGCAAGATATCGAATAAGAATATTATTAACACACACACACACACAATTTTTTAATTTTTAAAATCAAAATTATTAAATAATATAGAAACAAAATAAATTCACATAAAGGAGACCACCCGCGTTCGTAAAATAACTTTCTTTTCATGCGTAATGCGTACCAAACTATATCTTATTAATTTCCACATGTCAGCCGGTATTGATTTTTATTGCGTTACACATTCTATTTTCGCTTTATATGTGAGTCCTATATAATATATAATAAATAGTTAATATTAACAAAACAATAATTAAGTCAAATTTTAAATTCTATTATTATAGAAATTAATTAATACTTTTTTAAATTAAAATCTAAATGTTTAATTAATGATTATGTTTAAGTTGTTAAATGTTGATTAAATAATCATTAAACCAAAATGTTATTAATAATCAATGTGACAATATCAGCTGATTATCTTACAGTATTCATACATAAAAAACAAACAATAAAGTAAGAAACTATGTGGTAGAAGTCAATATGAGCTGATTAAGAAAAATCGAAAACAAATGATATATCCATTTTTATGTAAATGTATTTATGTTTTTGAGTGGATGAATTTTATGTAATATAATTGATCAATTAAAAATGTATATTAACTCATGTTAGAAATTAATAATATTTTTATATTCAAAATAATTTTGTTTCATCTTTAGCATGTAATTCTTCAAAATAATTATGCTATTAAGAGTGACGTACATCTTATTAATATTCATTGCTTCAAAAATAGATTTTTTTTCACGCTGCAATATAACATACATATAATAAAAATTCACGTGTATTCGGAAGTTGACAAAAAATCTTCGCAACCGTATTTAGGCATGTGTCAATTATTTCTCTAATTGCTTCACACACTAAAATTTGCGACAAAATGACTAGTTTCTAATCAATATAACGATAGCGAACAACCGCCGATTATTAAAATTTTACAAGTATATCGATTAAGCATTTACATACACGCGCGCATTTCGTTATTAAATATTTAAATTTTAAATATAGTCATCGGAATTGTGCTGCAAGTGTAAGATACTTTTGTGCAAACTATTCGGTGAACGCGACAACAGCCCAGACTTATTATTAAGATACAGCATAATTCAATAATTTTGTTTAACTCTTAAATAAGTTCGACTCTTCGTAATAATCTGTTCTTTATAGTTTATATGTTTCTCAACTGTACCTTCCATAAACTGTTTCTATCAGCGAATAAACGATTAAAAACTGCAAGTAGGTTTTATTAACAATTATTTGAAATAACGATAACTCTTTTATATATCTTTTACTTTCATAACTCTTTAAATTTATTCTTTTATTATATATCTATTTATTAAATAAAAATTTTTGTTGTGATTACGCTAGTAAGAAATTAACAAATTAGAAACATGAAGTGACCAACACTGGATCTATTTTTAATTAATGTGGAAAAAAATACAAAAAATTTTCACTAATGCAAACAAAAATGTGCAGTTAATGATATAAAGATCACAGCACTTATATTATTCAATGCAATCAACATAAAACGTATATACTTTTTCGTGACTGACTGAGTATTGATTTAGCTTTCTTTATTCAAGAATGAAATTGTCACATTTCTCTTCTTTTTATTTCGTACAAATCCATGAGGTATATAAGATAATATTTTCAATCATGCGATCGAAATCGTACAACTATCATTCTTTTTTCTCAAATTAGGAAATTTGCAAATAATTTTTTAAACAATCAATTCATTTCATTAAACATGTTAGCAATACAATTTCTTGAACTGATATCTTGAACAGCAATCAAAGTTAAACAGAATTCGTGATGAGATACTACATTTATGATCTATATCTTGTGTTGTTTCCATCCTCTTGCAGCAGTGATAGAGAAAAAAAACAGCATGGATAATGTTGACCAATTCTTTAAGAATTCACATTACAAAATTGTTCGCCTGCTTTTAAGTATTGTAGGTCTGTGGCCCTTTCATACTTTAAGAAGACGCTGCACGATATACTTCGTAATGATACTCTTACTCGGATCTGGATTTACATGCGAGGTAAGTGAAGAAGAACATGTCTTCTCACATTTTAAAGTACTTTAAATTTTTTTCAAATTTTTACCTGTCTATTGTGCCTACCAAAAACAGTAAAAATTAAATATTATGACTGACGGTAATTATATTGTTAATTAACGACAATTATAATATATGTACAAATATATATATATATATATATATATATATATATATATATATATATATATGTACAAAATATTTAATTTTAAAATACTTGATAAAATTAGAATAATTTATAATTCGATAGTTTAATTAAAATTACCTATTAATTATAACGTATTATAATTTATAATGTATTATATACATATAACCATTATACGATGTTTATATAAAATAAATCATGGAAAGTGTAGATATTAGGAATACTGGATATTTGGCGCGATACCTTCGAGCTATTAAATTCTCTGCCAGTATTTCTTTTCGCTGCATTAGCTATAGTTAAAACGATTTATGCAATATATACATTACCAAAGGTATGTGCAAACAATAGTGATTAATACTAACTAATGCATAATAATAAAAACAATAGCAATATACAACAAAAAGTAACATGTGGCTTGTGATTGTAAATTTTCTTTGTGCTACAGATAAAACTACTCCTAACTAATATGCGAGAGTACCATCTTTCCCCAAAATCGGACGAAGAAGCTAAAATACATAACTCGCACGCATTGTATGCACGAAATTTTGGATACATTTATACAGGTGAGTTCAACAATATTTTACTGTAACAATAATAATACAGTGTAGAAAAACAATAATAAAGATTCGAATATATTCCTCAATAAAAAAATGTCCCTTCTAAATAAAATATAAAAAAATTTTGTTAGTATTTTATAATACCTTTATAAATGTTTTTGAAGACATTTGACTTTTTATAATAAACTCATATATATATATATATATATATATATATAAACCATAAATTAGAAAAAATTGACTTTCTCAAATAAATTAGGTGTCGTACTTGGTCACCCCTTTATTTTTCAATTTATGACACTAATGGCCAAGATTAACTATCAGGAATCCGAAGAGAACGTAACGTCATCAAATAAAGCGCAAGGAATCCAATCTGGAATATCTCATCCCGTAAATTATATGGTCGATGTCGACACATATTACGTTCCAATTTTCATACACACGGCTGTATGCGAAGTGTGTTATGGGTTTCTATTAGTTACATTGGATGTCCTGTATATAACACTGATCGAGCATTGCTGCGGATTGTTAGAAGGCTTAAGGTGAGTATATAATGTGAGGTTGTTGATAAAAATCATTAATACATTTGCGAAAATAAGTATAATATGAATAATCAAAATCATATTTGTTCTCTACTAATATACATATATATCCTCAACATAATATTTGCTCCAATTCATCGTTCTAAATACTTAGATTTTAATATTAAATTTCAGATGTAGATTAAAAAATGCATTAAATTTCCAAGGGAATAATGATTTAATGTTTACACAAGATAAATCTTATTCAAATATCGTGTATAGTATTCAAAGACACACTGAAACGATGCAGTGAGTACACATTTAAATAACCATTACTGTTGAATAATAATAATGTAAAGTAATATCTTCATATATACGTACAAATTATATTAGATTTATTGCCATTATGGAGTCGGTGTTCAGTTTACCTCTCTTTGTACACGTGGGATGTGCTATCATACTCTTAAGTATTGTGGGATTTCAGGTACTTTTTGGGTGAAATTCATAATGACACTTTCTACATATAATTTTACATTATGCACCAAAACTATTTCATAATTAAACAATATAATTAATTTAATTTAAAAGTATATAAATAATGAAACTTTATCATATTCGTAATTTATTATTTTTTAGATAATAACAACTACAGGAAATATACAACATTTGATAAGACATTTCAGTTATATGAATGCAATATTAATTAATATATTTTTGAAAATTGGCAAGGTCAGAAAATCATAGATTCTAGCGAGAAAGTGTTCGACTCCGCGTAAGTATCGTGTAATATTTAAATCCAATAGTCAATCTTTTATAAATTCTTTTACAAAATCGCGCGTCGTATCGCGACAAAAATCTAACAATATAATTGTAAAATAAATATACAGAATAAAACATGAAAGATCTGTAAAATTTTCAGATATAACGCACAGTGGTACAATATGCCGATAGAGACAAGTAAGCTTCTTATAATGATACTAATGACAAGTAAAAAACCATTGATATTCACTATCGGCAAACTTTTCTCATTGTCATATATAACTTTTAATGCGGTAAGTATAATTATTTTATAGCGATACCCGATGCTTTATAAAATTTAAAAAATTTCTTTAAGGTATTACGCACATCAATGTCATATTTTATGCTATTACGGTCTGTACAATAAACATTTTAAACGTAATGTGCATTTATGTTCATACAGTTTGTGCATACTGTAATAATTAAAAATACTAATTCGTGTACACCTTATTTAATAAAGACCTTGTATTTATTTGCCTATTTTTATTGAGTGCATCTTAATTTAAAAATAAAATATCTAAGTTCTTAACTTTGCGCAAGTTCTGCTTCGTATTTTACAATCTTACTTGTACGGTAATGTAAAACTCTAAAAATATATTTTCTAAAAAGTATAATATTATCGATGTAAAAAGATATATAATAGAATATGCTACTTACATTCAAATTGAAATAATTTAATAAAATCTATATATCTACTCACGCGTGTATTTTATTATCTTGACAAAACGTTACTACGGTTTCTAAGATACAAATCGCGATGTAATGATATACATGGCAGTCATCATTGTGATGCGTCGTCAAACTTGACAATATGTCGATAATATGAAAGACACAACAAAACATAAATACGGACTATAAGAGCATCACTATACAAAATCAATCGTAAAAAAGCGTTATAGATATGTCTATGATTTATATATGCTCAATTGTTGAAAACCTTTCATGTAGCAAAACAGGCAATCTAGTAAACGTTCCCAATTTATCGTGATTATATTTCATTCAACCTATATCCATTATTTTCCATCTGAGAGAATTTTTTATCAAACTGAACATTGTAAGGCAATATCGGCGATACAGTAGTCTTCGTCGATTGCTGAAGATGGATTTACCGAGTGATATTTTTCAGTCTCGTTTATGTAGGCTTAATCGTACATTGCTTTCGTTACTTGGACAGTGGCCTTTTCAAAAGGAAAGACATAGGAGAATTATCTTTATTACAGTGTCTTTTCTTGGTATAACGCAAGCCATTACACAGGTATAATCGTTCTATATGTTGCGACTTTTATTCATAGACTCTCATCTTCATTTTCATATATGATAGAGAGGGAAGATTTCTTTCCTTTTATCTCACCGATACATTGCAAAGATAACTTTAAAAACAAAAAAAATATATATATATATATATATATATGCGTGCGTGTGTGTGTGTCTATGTATAAAGTTTTTTTATAAAACTATAAAATTATCAGTTAATAGAATTGATAATGATTAACTGATTAAATTATTAAATTAAAATGTTTTGCAAATAATTAAACCGGTCAAAATTTTTCGCAAAATTTTTTCATCGATATATTTTCTTGTGACATAAATTATTGGATTCAAGGTACTCGCTTTAAAAACATTACGTGGTGATATTAACGCAACGCTTGAATGTATACCACCACTAATAATAGATGGTGTTTGCATCGTTAAGCTGGTAAATTTATGGTGCAATATGGAAAAGGTATGCAGGTAATCGGTATATATTAAACGCAAGAAGTCACATTTCTAAATGAATGAAATTTCAAGCCGTAGATCAAAATGCTTCTTATACGTATACAAAAAGACTGGCAATCGTGGGATATCGAAAGCGAATACGAAATTCTATATAAATTTGCAGAAACTGGAAGAAGTATTACAGTCGGCTATGCTGGTAAGACATCGATATGAAGAAATCATTATTATATTACGTAATAAAATATAGAAAAAGTAGAAAAATCCAACGAAAAAAGAAGTATAGCTAAGAAATAAATTAATAATAATTTTAATTAAAAATTAATTGATACAAAAAATTATCATCAATTGATAATTTTAATTAATTTTGTGTGTAAACTCGTATAGAATAATATAATTGTCAAAAAATTAAGATACAAATTCATTTAAATATGCCTACCCAGTGAGAAATAATGGTCGAATCGACGTCGATTCGTTGTCGAATCGATGACGATTCGACTAATCATTTCTCTCTCACTAGGTATGTTAAAAATTATTCATATCGCGAAATAATTATTTAATCGTCTCCTGCAACGTTTGTAAATTTAATTTCTGGCATGTTGAAAATTCGAACCTAATTTTTTCTAAATATTGCTTAAATATAGGTGGCATGTACATGTTTGGCTGTCTTTTCCCAGTTATGGCAATGATTCCGAAGATCGTTGGTAAAAATGTAACATCTGAATATTCAACGCGACCAGTGGGATTTCCATATCATGTCGAATATTTCATAGACCTCAACAAGTACTACTATCCCGTCCTAATTCATAATTATATAGTCACTGCTATTCGACTTACTACTCTAGTCGCATCCGACACCTGCGTGGCTATGCTGGTGCAACATTGCTGCGCACTGTTCTCAGTCGTTAGGTACGTATTTAATAAATAAACTAAGCAAAAACTTGATTTTTCCTTCGTTTCGTTTATTAGATATCGATTGGAGCATATACGAAAGTCTATCGAACAGGATAAAAAACTTGCTTTACTCGAGGAAGATGATAAGATTTATAAGAATTTTACTTATTGTATTCGAAAACACGAAGATGCACTACAGTTAGTACATTTGAATAATTAAGAAATATATAAAATAGAAATTCTCAATTCACATACTTTCTAAAGAGATTTAATAATTATTTAATTTTTTTTGTGAATAAGATTTGCGCGCATTTTGGAAACTGCTTACACAAAAGCGTTGTTCTTTGAAGTCGGCCTAATTATAGGCGCTATGAGTATGTCAGCTTTACAGGTTTGTGCTGAGTGTACATATATATATTTTGACAGCATATACCATGAGTTTGTAAATGTTCTAATTGCGGTATTAAAATCGTTTCGGAACATTTAGGCGACCAATGAGGTCCTTACTCCACATGTCGCAATTAGACACGGTGGCTATATATTCGCTCAATTATTGCATTTATATATCGCATGCTGGTTAGGACATAAAATGATCGATCATAGCAGCAGTATATACACATCAGTGTAAGTCAGAATATGAAATTTCGGCCTACGAAGTTTCTTAAAATACAAATCTCACAAATATATGTAACGATAGAAACAATAAAACAAATGCACAAAAAATTCTTACATTACAATTTATATAATTATATTAATATTCAATTCTCCATATTAGTTACCGAGGCGAATGGTACGAATCATCACCGAAATCTAGAAGACTTTTGAACGTGATAATGCTAAGAAGCATTTCACCCTGCACCTTAACTGTTGGTAAAATCATGGTCCTTTCTCTTCCGAGTTTCAGTGCAGTAAGATTTATTAATTTAATCTATATCATAATCTTTCTATAATTACTGACATAGAAATATTTTTTGAATGATCATTTTCTAGGTTGTGCGTGCGTCTGCCTCATACTTCACCGTCTTTCGATCCGTACAATAAAAGTATCGGAAATTTTCTGGCGTAATATTATTATTAACAGAAGAATATGTATAAACAACCATGTTATCTAAATAATAATAAAATGTCTACATTTACGACCCAAGACATAATTATATAAAAATAATCATCTTCGTGCAAGATATCGAATAAGAATATTATTAACATGTACACACACACACACACGCACACACACACACACACACACACACTGATTTCTATTTTGTTGCACATTCTATTTTCGCTTCATATATGTGAGTCCTATGTGATATATAATAAATAGTTAATATTAACAAAACAATAATTCAGTCACATTTTAAATTCTATTATTATGCAAATTATTTAATCTTTCGTTAAATAAAAATTTAAGTGTTTAATTAATGATTATGTTTGAGCTGTTAAATGTTGAGTATGTTGATTAAATAATTATTAAACCAAAATGATATTAATAATCAATGTGTTAATATCAGCTTATCTTATAGTATCTATACATAAAAAAACAATAAAGATAACAGCTGTGAAGTAAAAGTCAATATGAGCTGATTAAGAAAAATCGAAAATAAATGATATATTCATTTTTATGTAAATGTATTTGTTTTTGAGTGGATGAATTTTATGTAATAATTGATCAATTAAAAATGTATATTAACTAATGTTGGAAACTATTAATATTTTTATATTCAAAATAATTTTTATATTCAATAATTTTGTTTTATTTTCAGCATGTAAGTCTAAAAAATAATTATGCTATTAAGAGTGACGTACATCTTATTAATATTCAGTGCTTCAAAAATAAATTTTTTTTCAAGTTACAATATAATATATATATATAAAATAAAAATTCACGTGTATTAGGAGGTTGACAGAAAATTTTCGCAACCGTATTTAAGTATGTGTCAATTATTTCTCTAATTGATTCATACACTAAAATTTGCGACCCTAGTTTCTAATCAGTATAACAATAGCAAGAAACCGCCGATTATTAAAGTTTTACATGCATATCGATTAAGCATTTACATACACGCGCGCAATTTCGTTATTAACGATTTAAATTTTAAATATAGTCATCGGAACTGTGCTGCAAGTGTAAGATACTTTTGTACAAACTATTCAGTGAACGCGACCACAACCCAGACTTATTATTAAGATACAGCATAATTAAATAACTTTGTTTAACTCTTAAATAAAACTGTTCGACTCTTCGTAATAATCTGTTCTTTATAGTTTATATGTTTCTCAACTGTACCTTCCATAAATTGTTTCTATCAGCGAATAAACGATTAAAAACTGCAAGTAGGTTTTATTAATAATTATTTGAAATAACGATAACTCTTTTATATATCTTTTACTTTCATAACTCTTTAAATTTATTCTTTTATTATATATCTATTTATTATATAAAAATTTTTGTTGTGATCACGCTAGTAAGAAATTAACAAATTAGAAACATGAAGTGACCAACACTGGATCTATTTTTAATTAATGTGGAAAAAAATACAAAAAATTTTCACTAATGCAAACAAAAATGTGCAGTTAATGACATAAAGATCACAGCACTCATATTATTCAATGCAATCAACATAAAACGTATATACTTTTTCGTGACTGACTGAGTATTGATTTAGCTTTCTTTATTCAAGAATGAAATTGTCACATTTCTCTTCTTTTTATTTCGTACAAATCCATGAGGTCTATAAGATAATTTTTTCAATCATGCGATCGAAATCGTACAACTATCATTCTTTTTTCTCAAATTAGGAAATTTGCGAATAATTTTTTAAACAATCAATTCATTTCATCAAACATGTTAGCAATACAATTTCTTGAACTGATTTCTTGAACAGCAATCAAAGCTAAACAGAATTCGTGATGAGATACTACATTTATGATCTATATCTTGTGTTGTTTCCATCCTCTTGCAGCAGTAGATAGAGAAAAAAAACAGCATGGATAATGTTGACCAATTCTTTAAGAATTCACATTACAAAATTGTTCGCCTGCTTTTAAGTATTGTAGGTCTGTGGCCCTTTCATACTTTAAGAAGACGCTGCACGATATACTTCGTAATGATACTCTTACTCGGATCTGGATTTACATGCGAGGTAAGTGAAGAAGAACATGTCTTCTCACATTTTAAAGTACTTTATTTTTTTCAAATTTTTACCTGTCTATTGTGCCTACCAAAAACAGTAAAAATTAAATATTATGACTGACGGTAATTATATTGTAAATTAACGACAATTATAATATATGTACAAATATAATATATATATATATATATATATATATATATATATGTACGAAATATTTAATTTTAAAATACTTGATAAAATTAGAATAATTTATAATTCAATAGTTTAATTAAAATTACCTATTAATTATAACGTATTATAATTTATAATGTATTATATACATATAACCATTATACGATGTTTATATAAAATAAATCATGGAAAGTGTAGATATTAGGAATACTGGATATTTGGCGCGATACCTTCGAGCTATTAGATTCTCTGCCAGTATTTCTTTTCGCTGTAGTAGCTATAATTAAAACGATTTATGCAATATATACATTACCAAAGGTATGTGCAAACAATAGTGATCAATACTAACTAATGCATAATAATAAAAACAATAGCAATATACAACAAAAAGTAACATGTGGCTTTCGATCGTAAATTTTCTTTGTGCTACAGATAAAACTACTTCTAATTAATATGCGAGAGTACCATCTTTCCCCAAAATCGGACGAAGAAGCTAAAATACATAACTCGCACGCATTGTATGCACGAAATTTTGGATACATTTATACAGGTGAGTTCAACAATATTTTACTGTAACAATAATAATACAGTGCAAAAAAACAATAATAAAGATTCATATATATTCCTCAATAAAAAAATGTCCCTTCTAAATAAAATATAAAAAAATTTTTGTTAGTATTTTATAATACCTTTATAAATGTTTTTGAAGACATTTGACTTTTTATAATAAACTCATATATATATATAAACCATAAATTAGAAAAAATTGACTTTCTCAAATAAATTAGGTGTCGTACTTGGTCACCCCTTTATTTTTCAATTTATGACACTAATGGCCAAGATTAACTATCAGAAATCCGAAGAGAACGTAACGTCATCAAATAAAGCGCAAGGAATCCAATCTGGAATATCTCATCCCGTAAATTATATGGTCGATGTCGACACATATTACGTTCCAATTTTCATACACACGGCTGTATGCGAAGTGTGTTATACGTTTCTAACAGTTACATTCGATGTCCTGTATATAACACTGATCGAGCATTGCTGCGGATTGTTAGAAGGCTTAAGGTGAGTATATAATGTAAGGTTGTCGATAAAAATCATTAATACATTTGCGAAAATAAGTATAATATGAATAATCAAAATCACATTCGTCCTCTACTAATATACATATATATCCTCAACATAATATTTGCTCCAATTCATCGTTTTAAATACTTAGATTATAGTATTAAATTTTAGATGTAGATTAGAAAATGCATTAAATTTCCAAGGGAATAATGATTTAATGTTTACACAAGATAAATCTTATTCAAATATCGTGTATAGTATTCAAAGACACACTGAAACGATGCAGTGAGTACACATTTAAATAATCATTACTGTTGAATAATAATAATGTAAAGTAATATCTTCATATATACATACAAATTATATTAGATTTATTGCCATTATGGAGTCGGTGTACAGTTTACCTCTCTTTGTACACGTGGGATGTCTTATAATAGCCTTAAGTATTGTGGGATTTCAGGTACATTTTGAGTGAAATTCATAATGACACTTTTTATATATAATTTTACATTATACACAAAAACTATTTCATAATTATATAATATAATTAATTTAATTTAAAAGTATATAAATTATGAAACTTTATCAAATTTATAATTTATTATTTTTTAGGTAATAACAACTACGGGAAATATACATCATTTGATAAAACATTTCAGTTATATGAATGCACTATTAATTAATATATTTTTTGAAAATTGGCAAGGTCAGAAAATCATAGATTCTAGCGAGAAAGTATTTGATTCTGCGTAAGTATCGTGTAATAAATCCAATAGTATCTTTTATAAATTTTTTTACAAAATTGCGCGTCGTAACGCGACAAAAATCTAACAATACAATTACAAAATAAATACACAGAATAAAACATGAAAGATCTGTAAAATTTTCAGATATAACGCACAGTGGTACAATATGCCGATAGCGACAAGAAAGCTTCTTATAATGATACTAATGACAAGTAAAAAGCCATTGATATTCACTATCGGTAAACTTTTCTCATTGTCATATATAACTTATAATGCGGTAAGTATAATTATTTTGTAGCGATACCCGATGCTTTATAAAATTTAAAAAATTTCTTTAAGGTGATGCGCACATCAATGTCATATTTTATGCTATTACGGTCTGTACAATAAACATTTTAAATATAATGTGCATTTATGTTCAGTTTGTGCATATTGTAATAACTAAAAATACTAGTTCGTGTACACCTAATTTAATAAAGACCTTGCATTTATTTGTCTATTTTTATTGAAAGTATCATAATTTAAAAATAAAATATCTATAAGAATGTTACTAAATAGGAATATTATTAACATACACACACACACACACACATACAAAATTGTTTAATTTTTAAAGACTAAATTTTAAAATGATATAAAAACTAAATAAATTTACATAAAGCTGACGGCCCGCGTTCGTAGAATAACTTTTCCTTCATGCGTAATGCGTACCAAACTATGGCTTATTGATTTCCACATGTAGGCTGGTATTGATTTTTATTGCGTTACACATTCTATTTTTGCTTCATATTTGTGAGTCCTATATACTATATAATAATCAGTTAATATTAACAAAATGATAATTAAGTTTAATTTTAAATTCTGTTATTATGCAAATTAATTAATCCTTTTTTAAATAAAAATCTAAATGTTTAATTAATGATTATATTTAAGATGTTAAATGTTGATTAAATAATTGAAAATAATATACATATAATATAAATTCACGTGGTTTAGAAGATTGACAGAAATGTTTCGCAACCGTATTTAGACATGTGTCAATTATTTCTCTAATTGATTCATACACTAAAATTTGCGACCCTAGTTTCTAATCAGTATAAGGATAGCAAGAAACCGCCGATTATTAAAGTTTTACATGTATATCGATTAAACATTTACATACACGCGCGCATTTCGTTATTAAATATTTAAATTTTAAATATAGTCATCGGAACTGTGCTGCAAGTGTAAGATACTTTTGTGCAAACTATTCAGTGAAACGCAACCACAGCCCAGACTCATTATTAAGATATAGCATAATTAAATAATTTTGTTTAACTCTTAAATAAAAATGTTCGACTCTTCGTAATAATCTGTTCTTTATGGTTTATATGTTTCTCGACTTTACCTTCCATAAACTGTTTCTATCAGCGAATAAACGATTCAAAACTTCAAGTAGGTTTTATTAAAAATTATTTGAAATAACGATAACTCTTTTATATATCTTTTACGTTTCCAATCGCATCAGCGAATAAACGATTCAAAACTTTAAGTGGGTTTCATTAACAATTTTTTAAAGTAAATAATATATCTCTTTTATGTATCTTTTACTTTCTTCTCTTTTCATATTTATTTTTTATATATATATCTATTTTTTAATTAATGTGATAAAGAAATGCAAAACATTTTCAACAATGCAAACAAACAAAAATATGCAAAATGTTATAAAGATCACAACACTCATATTATTCAATGTAATTAAAGTAAACCGTATATACTTTTTCCTGACTGACTAAGTATTGATTTAGGTTTCTTTATACAGGAATGGCATTGCCACATTTCTCTCTTTTTTTTATTTTGTACGAATCCACGAGGTCTATAAGATAATATTTTCAATTATACAATTGCAATTGTATAACTATTATTTCCTTTTCTAGAATTAGGAAATTTGCGAACATAATACTTTAAACAATCGACCTATTTCATTAAACATATTAGCAATATGGTTTCTTTGAACTGATGTCTAGAACAATCACAGCTAAACGGAATTCGTGATGAGATACTGTATTCATGATCTATATTTGCGTTTTTTCCATTTTCTCGCAAGTAAGAGATAAAAGAGACAGCATGGATAATGTTGACCAATTCTTTAAGAATTCACTTTTCAACGTTGTTCGTTCGCTATTAAGCATTGGAGGCCTATGGCCCTTTCATACGTTAAAAAGACGCTGCGCGATATACTTCGTGATAATACTCATACTCGGAAGTGGATTTATGTTCGAGGTAAGTTGAGAAGAAATGTCTTGTCACATTTTAAAGTACTATACATTTTTTTCAATTTTTACATGTTCCTGTTGTTATTAAATATTTAACCCTCATCAAAAACTATAGAATTTAAATATTATGCTTCACGATAATTATATTGTTAATCAACAATATTTATAATATATGTACATATAGATTTATATACATATATGTACAACATATTTAATTTTAAATTGGTAAAATTGATATAATTTATAATCCGACAGCACAATTAAAATTACATGTTATCATAATGTATTATAATTTGTATTTATTATATACAAACGTTATGTGATGTGCATATTAAAATAAATCATGGAAAGTGCAGCTATTGGGAACAGTGGATATTTTGCACGATACCTTCGAGCTAATAGATTCTGTGCCAGTATTTCTTTTTGCTGTAGTAAATATGTTTAAATTGTGTTATGGAATATATACATTACCAAAGGTACGTGCGAACAATAGTGATGAATACTAACTAATGCATAATAATAAAAATGATAGCAATAAATACAAAAAGTAACATGTGACTTTTAATCGTAAAAATAATTATTTTCTGCGCTACAGATAAAATTACTCCTAATTAATATGCGAGAGTACTATCTCTCTTCAAAATCGGATGAAGAAGTTAAAATATATAACTCGCACGCGTTGTATGCACGAAATTTTGGATTCATATATTCATGTAAGTTTAACATTAGTTCAATGTAACAATAGTAATACAGTGCAGAAAAATAAGAATTGGAATATGATTTTATATAAAATATTTTTGCTTCTAAATAAAATATAAAAAAAATACTTAGTATTTTATAACACTTTTATAAGTGTTTTATAATATTATAATATTATAAAATAATATTATATATATATATATATATATATATATATATATCATTTTATAATATTCGCATATTTCTTTGACAATAATCATAAATTATAAAAATTTGTCACTCTTAAATAAATTAGGTATCCTGATTAGTCATCCAGTTATGTTCCAAGTTATGACATTAGTGGCCAAGCTTAATAGTAAAGAGTCCAAAGAGAACTTTACGTCGTCAGATACAGAGTACGCAGCTGTGAAATCTGGATTAGCTCATCCCGTAAATTATATGGTCGATGTCGACACATATTACGTTCCAATTTTCATACACACTGTCGTATGCGAAGTAGGTTATACGTTTCTATTAGTTACATTCGATGTTTTGTATGTAACACTAATCGAGCATTGCTGCGGATTGTTAGAAGGCTTGAGGTGAGTATATAATTTAAGGTTATCGATAAAAATCACATTTGCGGAAATAAATATAATATTAATAACCAAAATCATATTTGACCGTCACGAGTATATATATCCTCAACGTAATATTTGCTCCAATTGATCGGTTTTTTAAATACTTAGATAATAGTATAAAATTTCAGATATAGATTAGAAAATGCAGTAAATATCGAAGAGAATGATGATTTAATGTTTATACAGGATAAATCTTATTTAAATCTCGTGTACAGTATTCAACGATACACTGAAACAATGCAGTAAGTATACATTTAAATGGGCATTAATATTGAATAATAATAATGTAAAGTAATATCTTCATATACATACAAATTATGTTATCAATTAGATTTGTAACCATTATGGAATCGGTATTCAGTTTACCTCTCTTTGTACACATTGGATGTTTTATAATATGTTTAAGTACTGTAGGATTTCAGGTACATATTTAATGAAATTTCTGATGACACTTTTTATATACAGTTTTACATTATACACATAAATTATTTAATAATGATACAATATAATTAATTTAATTTAGAATTAAATAAATTATGAAATTTTGTCATATTCATAATTTATTATTTATATTATATTATCTTTTTTAGGTGATAACACACACGGGAAATGTACATCATTTGTTAAAATATTACAGTTATTTGAATGGACTATTAATCAATATATTTTTTGAAAATTGGCAAGGTCAGAAAATTATAGACTCTAGCGAGAAAGTGTTCAATTCTGCGTACGTTTTGTATAACATTTGAATTCAATAATATCTTAAGAAAATTCTTTTATAAAATCGCGCGTCATATTGCGATAAAGATCTAACAATATATTTATAAAATAAACAAATGGAAACACGAGTGGCTTGTAATATTTTCAGATATAACGCAGAGTGGTACAATATGTCGAATACGACAAAAAAGCTTCTTATAATGATACTAATGATAAGTAAAAAACCATTGATATTCACTATCGGTAAACTTTTCTCATTGTCATATATAACTTTTAATTCGGTAAGTATAATTATTTTGTAGCGATACCCGATGCTTTATATAATTAAAAAATTTTCTTTAAGGTGATGCGCACATCAATGTCATATTTTATGCTATTACGGTCTGTACAATAAACATTTTAAACGTAATGTGCATTTATGTTCAGTTTGAGCATGCTGTAAAATTGAAACTATTAGTTCATGTACAAATAATTTAATAAAACTCTAAAACGGAATCCTTAATTTTAACAATAAAAAAAGTTCTTTTAAGATAAAAAACCAGCATTTTAACTTGCTAAAAGTCGTCGAACATTTATCAAATATATATTGATATATTATATATGATTTTATATTTTGTAATTGTCGTTATATTATTGTCAATAAATTTTTTTATATGTCGTGTCAAAATTTTAATGAGGAATACAATTATTTAGTAGTAATTCGTACTGGAACTTTATATGTCACAGATATAAAATACGTGTAGTGCATGAATTTACTAAAAAAATTAATGCACACAATATATAAAATTTTCAAAAATTTTTATCAATAACAAAATAAAAACTAATTGTAGTTGCATTATCAGCACACGAAACTTCTTATCTTTAAAAAAATATTGTTTAAAAAATAATATAAATTATATAATACATATCTAAATAAATTCATGCAAAAAAATCGCGCATTTGTAGAATACCTTTATTGTCTTCATGGCAGCTAATATTGAGTTTTATTGCACAACACATTTTATTATATACTGTTATACTTGTTTAAAATCATTATTTAAATATTTATCAATATAATTTTTCTGTCCAATTGTAACTTTATTAAAAAATTTTTGAATATTTTAAATTTCCAAGAAATGAAATATATATCTTTAACATTATTCTACAATAAATAGAATCTCTACGTATGTAAAAGATGCAATGTTCTGACAATTGAAAAAAGATAGTGCAAGGTATTAATTCTCTTTCTCTCTCTCTTTTTCTTTCCTTCAAAATATTTATAAATTTTTATATACTTATTATTTAATAACAATAAATGCAACAAATTTATATTGCAATATTTTTCATTTTCATCACAAAATGCCATTTCTTCTAAGGTATACAAAGAAATGAAGCCTTCTAAGAAACCATATGTTTGCAGAATAATCTTCCCTGTAATTTGCAAATCAAGATATTCTCTCTGATAAAAGTCTTTTGTCGACAGTTGAAAATCTTTCCAGTGCCAAGATAAAAAGAATTGACGAGAACTCCTACTATTGCTGTTACAAAATAATTTTAATTTTATGCAAATAACATAAATAGTTTCGAAAGAAACACTACCTTTGATCCTGGATATCTTCGAGTATAGACAACTTTCTTTTTACAATTTCTAGAAGACAATTTCATAATTTCGCGATCGATCGCAAATTACCTCTCTGTTTACTTATTTCATATCGCGTCGACGTGTATGTCGCGCACACACATGGCAATGAACGTTAAACGGAATTTTTAATGAAAGACCGCGATTGAGCTAATCTATAGCTTTTCCGTGTAAGTCCTTGTTCGAGTGAATTTCGCTCGCAGAAAATTCACAGCGGCGATTGAGAGGAAACATGCTTAATATCGACGAGTTCTTCCGTGAGTCGAACTACAACAACCTTCGCATTATGTTATCTATATGCGGTGTGTGGCCCTTTCAGGCGTTAAGTAAACGTCGCGTGATGTACGTCGGATTTACGTATCTAATTGTAGCTATGATAATATTCGAGGTACATCGAGAGACAGAAAGAGAAAGAGTGTGTGTGTGTTTCAAAGCATTGTGTACAGATGATAAGAAAAGTCTGTCGCAGCTTCTTCAAATAAATGTGCATTTTTGTTTTCTCGTAATACTCCGTGCGATATTTTCTTCCTTCTTTTAAATACCTCCATATATCAAATAAGAGAAAAAATTCAACTGAGGAAATTGCGACGATTTTTTTCTTTTACACTTTGTACACATATTATTATAGGAAATTGAAATTATACTAATCTTCGGAATTGTGATTGGTGGCAAACACAGCTAGTGTGTTTGTTCAGGGTCTGGCCAGATTTTTTCGAAGTATTCGACTGTTTGTCGATGCTATTTTATGCCATAACGTCGACATTTAAATTGATCTACACAGTGTATAAATTGCCTCAGGTGCGTAAATAAAAGCAGTGCTTTTCTATATATAGTTATCTTAATTGAAATAATTAAGATAAGAATGGAGCGTTACCAAGCATCGTATTTAAATTAACTTCGAGCTACAGATTAAGAGTCTTTTGGTGAAGATACAAGAGCATTGGTACTCTCCAAAAGTGGACCAGGAAACTAAAATCTTGACTTCGTATTTACAGTTCGTGCGAAGTTTTAGTTACATTTATACAGGTAAAGTCACTGATACAGTAACAAAATGTAGAATAAGTCTACGGAAAAATATTCTAAAAATACAAGTTTTAATGAACTATCTCATCAGAAATTCCTATTTCAAACCAAATTCTCAAATCAAATCGAAAATATATTTTCTACCGACTCTATGTAATTTTATATTTATAGTATATTGTGCTAATTATTTGAAGAGATTTTCTTCTCTCATAAAATATGTCTTAATACATTATAAAATAATTCATTGTATTATAATAAATGTGTATTATTTTTATTCCTCCTTAGAACGATAGATAATTACTTGTATTTGCGCATCAGTTGAAAAGTTTTAATGTTTGCATATGTATCTATCAGGTATTATAGTTGGCCATTCGGTGATTTTCGCACTCACGCCTATGGTAACTAAATTTTTCTTCGAGAAATCTGCTGGGACCAACACATCGAACCAGACGCAGGACGCACAACCTACCTATCAAATCAATTACATGCTTGATTTACAAATGCGCTATATACCACTTCTCATACAATGCTCTGTATGCGAGGTATATTTTACGGTATTACTGACCGCGTTCAACGTCCTGTATCTAGCATGCGTCCAACATTGCTGTGGCTTGTTTGCAGCTCTGACGTAAGTTTCACGAGAGAGAGAGAGAGAATTCGCGAAAGTATTCTAAATAATTTTTCTCCAAATTTACGTATTTATTTAAAATTAGAAAAAATACGTATTTATTTAAAATTAAATTTCGTGTGCATAATTATTTAATTTTTATATTATTAATGCAAAGTAACCATTTTCAACACCTGCACGTTTCTGCTTCAGATATCGTTTGGAAACTGCCATTGAGCTTGGAGACAACGATGACAATGTAGTAACGTCATTCACGCAAAATAAATGTTATTCAAATATCGTGTATAGCGTTCGAAGACATGTAGAAGCGATGCAGTTAGTATATGTTTGCATGCAATAATTCAAAACGTTTTCGTAAACAATCAACTGACGTGTTTGCGTGTCTTAGATTTGCTAGTGAAATAGAATCTCTCTACAGACTACCATTCTTCATACATTTGATAAGTAACGGATCACTCATAAGTATCGTAGGATTTCTGGTAATTTATATTCTTATTTATATCAGGTTATTTATAATATAACTATGTGTGAGCTCATAAATATATCATGTACACACACATATAAATGTATATATATATATATATATATATATATATATATGATAAAAAATTTTTAGATAACGACAAATAAGGAAAACATCACTCGTCTTTTTCCGTACATTAGTTATCTCAACGCGCTTTTGTTTAATACGTTTTTTGAAAATTGGCAGGGTCAGAAGATCATAGACTGCAATGAAAAAGTGCATGAGTCCGCGTATGTTTAATAAAAAATTCAAAATATTTTTTTAATTTTATATAATGGAAACTATATAAAAAATCGATTTCAATGCAATGTATCAAAACTAAAAATACATTTGGCTTGAAATCTTTTAGAATAGACGTGAGTATAATGCGATTTGTGTTTGCAGATATAAATTAGAATGGTACAAAACGCCTATAGTAACGCAAAAACTTTTGATCATGATTATGATGAGAAGCAAAAGACCAATAACGATAACTGCAGAAAAATTTATCGTTTTGTCCTTTGTTACTTTTAGTGCGGTAAGTTTATAAGACAAATTTCTTTCTCTTTCCTTTTCCTTTTTTTCAATAATATAAAATTTTATTTAAGGTAATGCGTACAGCTTTCTCATATCTAACGATTCTACAGTCTATGCAATAAAATTGTGATCGTGATAGACAATTAGGAGACATATTAGCGGCCAACATGATTTAGTAACTAATTCATTCGTTAGAAGATACGTATCTTATTATAAACTTCGTTGTATCTTCCATACAAAAATATTATGTAGCTAAATAAAACTAGAAAATATATTGCAATCGTATTTATAGCCGTCTTTTCTTCCCTGAATATTATTAAAATAATACTAATCGCGCCAAGAATACTTGGATACTTTGACTGTATCACACATCTTTGACACAGAAAAATGTTCACAGTAATAATACCTCTTTAAATTCTAATCTATTATAATTATACAGCTATAACTCACGAGTTGGGAAACAAACATTGCCTGTAACTATCGTCGATAGGAGTTGTCGAGCTCTTAAAGCTCTCACTGCATAGAACAGAGGACGGTGAAGTAGGAGAACGATGTGCGTACGACCTTAAAAGAAGATTATTCCGTCAATGTTTGCGACGAATAAAAATTGTATTCGAAGAAATTCTTGCTTACTGCAGCAAAGTTCTCCAAGTTTAGAGTGTAAATCTTTCCCGCGGTTATCCTAATCGGCACGTAACTCCTCAATAACATCATAGCAATCACCTTCTTTACTCTCTGCGAAGACTGATACCAATTTCCGTTGGTTCTGAAAGATCGATCAAACAGTGTTTCTTCATTGAAACGGTTCGCTATTTTATTTGTGAATCGTTATATTCCTCACAAATCTGCGTTTTTCCTAATGCAATACTACACGGAGAGAATTTTCTCTTAGAATTTACCCTGAAAATCATGGCAATCATGAACAATATGGTATTGAAAGAATTTTATAAGAATTTCTCTGATTAATATTAATCATAATAAAAAAATATTAATATGTACATAGTAAAATCTATCAAACATATTTTATATTTTATTGTGGTAGATATTATTATTTTTATTGTGGTAAATATTGATCAGAGAAATTCTTATAAAATTCTTCCATTACCATGTTGTTCATAATTACTATGATTTTCAGGGGTAAAATTTTAACAGAAAATTCTCTCTGTGTATAGATCGAATACACTAGTGATCTGAATACATATGTCTGAATTGCCTTTAAAATGACAATGAGTTATTCTGTTATTTCTCCGATACTCACGTGTATCCAAAAATTTTATCGGTATAATCCGACAGTTGCTGACCCGGCCAGCTCTCGAGAAAAAGAACGGAAAACAAGCACACCGTGAACGACATGAATCGCAAAGCCTCCTTTAAATCGGTTAACTTTACCACTGCCTAACTTGCAAATAAAAACTTTCTCATTATACTTGCATATATAATTATATATGTTTAAAGCCATGTTTTATTTTGAGCAGAATTGTGCGATCTTAAGAAGAGAGTGCGTTTAAACGTTTTAATAAATCAATAATAATTATAAGTGCGAGAATCTGTACTATTTCCAACACACTAACCTGGAATATTGTGAAAGTCATGCCCATCATATTGAAACCTAGTTGGAAAAAATATGATGTCGTATTCGCATGTTCGATTCGTTTAGCGTACCTTAATGTCCGAGAAAAAAGTTAATGTAACTGATTAATAAATAATCGATGAATTTATAAAATATGAATCAAACATACATATTAATTATCAAAAATATGTATACTGAGAAAAACACTAGATCAATTGATTGAACAAAGCAGACGTTCTTTGACGTTAATTTATTCATAAATATAAATTTACGAATTTTTGTACTTTGTAAGTATATAAATGTGAAAGAGAAAAAAAGAAGATATCGCAATTTTTATTATTTACATAAAAAATATGATAATGCATATTGCATACGAATAAGAGATAAAGAGACACGTAAAACAACAATTCAGGGATATACTAACTCTATTATGTGGGCGTGCAAGATTACACAGTTCTTCGCATTTTTGTACGATGCAGCCTCTTCTCTACTCGAATACGAATCTATGCCTAAAGTGGCTGCATCAACAATCCGCGCTAGTCGGTATCTAAAAAATGCTCATTGATGAAATCTGTATCTTAGGCACACAATCGAGTCCAAAGATGTTGAAATTTATGATAGCCTTAAAATATGAAAAAGTGTTAATATTGCTGCCTCTATATCGCTGTCATGATCATTATATGTATATCACATTCATCTACTGATATTATAATGGATGAGATGAATTCGGGTACATTAACAAGACATTCTATGAACAATGACAGATGTTTATTACAGAATCTCTTTCACCCCCAATCGATTTACACGACGAGGAAATGTATACTCCTATATATATATATTTTTTTTTTTGAAGAAGATTTATATAATTTATATATGCAAGAAACGCGTGATTTATTGATGAGATGAGACGAATATGTCGGGATGTAAATGCGAATTTCTCCAAGTACATGAAATGCGCTTTGGATGAGAATGCTTCAGTCTTACAAAGTGCCGTTATTGCGGAGTTACCCTAAGATCTCGCACATCCCGCACTCGTGTTGTATGTGAAAGACCAACATCGAGTCGATCGCTACGACGATCGTGACGAATCCGAGGGTGCCGATGTACGAGTGCACCAGTAACGGATAGTAATACTTCTGCGAATCTAGAAGGTATTCCGTACGGAACATCAAGGGTCTACCTTCGAGGGAAATGTTGTACAGACCCATACAGCTGGCTGTGTTTATTAACACCGGTATAATCAGAAAGGGAGTCATCGAGCCATACAGGGAGACTGGAAATAATATATCGATCAAGGCTCGCACTACGACTTGTCTGCTTAAAGGATATATATATATATATATAGATATATATATATATATATATATAGATATATATATATATATATTATATATATTATATATATATATTATATATATATATATATATATATATATATATATATATATATATTTAAATATATATATATATATATATATATATTGAAAATATTTTGTTGTAAAAAGTTGATTGTTATTTTATGAATGTGCGATTTGGAAATCTCTAAAAATATAAAAAGTGTCGTGAATGTTTGATACAATTTTTACCTGCGTAAGCGATCGTGACTTTTCTCCCCATCGCGTAACTTTTACACAGAATATCGTACTCGTAGCTATACTTGGAATAAATACTCCAATCGTCCGTCATTACTTTCGTGAGTCTCTTCATCTACATTTACGAACATCTATGCTTAAGTACGATGTAAGACGTATTAATGACGTCGCATCCTCGGAAATGAACATACCTGCTCATGATTGTACGTATAATTAATGTGTTTACAGATGCACATTAGACTAATTACGAAAGGCGATGAACTTTCCATAAACGCGTCGATATCACCTGCGAACCATGCGGTGATCATGCCGCCACCCTGCAAAATTTCTCAAAGTTCGCGCAAAGCTATGTCTAACACTTATTTAGGACCTTGCAAAAATCTCTTTGAAAATATCATACATTTATGCAATTTTAAACTTATCAAAAAATAACTCTTTATATTGTCATCCTCAAAATAGAGATGAAATTTTTATATAATTATTATATATAATTATATTATTATTAATAATATTATTAATAATACTATTAAATTTAATACAAATATTATTATATATAATAACATTATTCTATATTTTAAAACTTGAAATTCAATTTTGGATTTGGAGAGAAACAATCTTCGTGAACTTGTTACGTAACAAGTGCGTTATTAATGAACGCAATCTACAATCTAATATTCTTTCCTATTTTCTTTTATCACTTCATCGTCTATTATATTCAAGAATTTTCTTTTCAACAGGAGTCTGCGGAGACAAAAGAGAGAAAGAGAGAGTTTACCTGAAGAACCGCCTGAGAGAAAACCGCGGGCACGAAAACAATTTGGATGAGAAATTTCTCCCAAACCTCCTGATACGGCCATTGACCGATGATGCACATTAGCATCTGATTGATACGCATATATTGGCCTTGAACACTATCCATGTTGACTATTCCGCGGTCACTATGACACTGCACTTGCGGCCGGGCGGAAAACGCGGACGGAGGCAGAAAGCCTCTCATTAGAAATTCCGTTTGGACGACGTGCAATTGCGAGAAGTTGTATTGCGGAATCAGATCGATACATTATAACGTGCATTTAAAAAGAGAGAGAGATAAATTCTCGGCGCACCGTACGTGATAACCCTTTTTGTAATCGTGCACGATACACGAGGGGTCGAGTTAAAAATTCTATTCCGCGGAAAGTTAAAAGTGCATACGCAACGTTTCGCGCGATTGTATAGTTTCCTCATATACAGAGGGGCTAATTTCGCGAATTTCGCTTTAATTTATTTCCTATTGCTCGTAATATTGTTCCAGGATCTGTTCCGCTCCCTTTTCGTAATTTCGCGGAATACGTTTTACACGATAATATACCTCCTATTAGTACTCCGCCGCATGATATATGTAAAGTCGGAAGAATCATTTGCTCGATTGCGACTCGAGACGGAGATACATCGTCCACGGAATTCATAATTATTTCGAGAAATCAGATAACACTCGATCAAGTATATAAGAGACTAACTACTACTTCGAAATTTATTATGAACAAATTATTAAAAAATTATCAATATTATGAAAATATTATACAAATATTATGCGTATTGAAAATCTTTGTAATAATATATTCTAGGGAAAAATATACTCGCGTGTGCAATTTTGTGACACATATAGACGCAAATTGCATATCTTTTACTTTTTGTGTATATTCTACCACAGCATTAATAATGTGAACAAATTATGTTTTCAAATAATTAATATTAATTAGTTGAAAATATAATTTGTTCACATTATTAATATTCTCGTAGAATATGTAAAAAGCAATTTGCATATAATCTGAAATTCAGTGATGCAAATGCAGCGATATATTAATCATACAATTCGCATCTATTTAATAATCTTGACATCAAAGATACAAAAATATAACTTTGACAAAGAATAATTTTTCGCAATCATTTTTCGTTTCAGATGAACATTTTTTATTAGCTAATTGGTCGTAATCGCTGTTTCTTGAGCCCAATCACAACATCAATTTTCAAAAAAGGAGAATCCATCATTGCGCCGAGCGTAGGAAAGTGAAATATGATACAGCAGTTTTCACAATCTTGAAGAAAAGAAGGATCGACACACATTGTAAGCATAAAATTAAAATATAAAATTGATTATATTATATACGCGGTTGAAAACTTATCGAGAAATGTGTTTCAATTATATCGCGTGGCGGATAATTAATTTTTTTCCGAATAAATATTATTGTCCAATATTTAATAATAAAAGTCGACCAAACTGGCAATAATTTATTAATGATGCTTAATTGAAATACAACGTTTATTAGGTAATGTATTCTTAAATTACTAATGTTGGCGTTTATAATTTAAAATTATTTGAGTGATTAATAGTTGGATAAATGTTATAATTAAAATTTCATGTTAATGTTCATAGATTTACTTGAAAAAGATTGCAATGACAGTCGTTGTATTTCAATTAAGCATCGTTAATAAATTATTGCCAGTTTGGTCGACTTTTATCATTAAATATTAGATTAGTTATTACTGGCGACCTTCACAATTCATTATTTGAAATATTATTGTGCCATGTAATTACAAGTTCGGAGCAGAATGTCTTACCGTAGCGAACGTTTGCATGCATAAAACAAACATACCGCCGGCCGTTAATACACAGGGTGGTTGCGTTTTCATCATCATGAAAAGAACGAGTTTCTTCGTTCTGGGCGACGCATCATACCATTTTAAATTTATTCTGCAATTAAGAAAAAAAATATTCCAACTGTATAAATTTCGAAATCAATTGTTATTCTCAAACACTTCCTATTACACAGAGAGAATTTTCTATTAGAATTTACCCTGAAAATCGTGGTAATCATGTACAATATGGTATTACCACAATAAAAATAGTAATATCTATCGCAATAAAATATAAAATATGTTCGACGAATTTTATTATGTACATAGTAAAATTTACTAGGTACATATTAATATTTTTTATTGTGATAAATATTATAATCAGAAAAATTCTTCTGATTTTCAGGGTAAATTCTGAAAGAAAATTCTCTCCGTGTATAAATTTCATGATTTTTCGCCAGTATAATTTAATATTAATTATCTTGCTCTTTTTGCATACAACTTATATACGTACAGATTAGTATGAAGATATCCGCTATAATCTATTAATTTCTGAGCATTCAAACATTCGAAGCATAAATGAAATAGTAACGCCCACGATACCGCTACTAATTTAAGAAGCTCAGACGAGTCGTCCGATTTTGTCACAGCCTAAACAATTACGTTAATTGCATCAGAAATTGGTCAATTAAATTTTGTCGCAGAGGTAGTAAATATATTATCAACATCTAAATAATAATTAAGTACGTGCCAAATCGAATGATATTTCTATAATTACATACGTGATAAAAAGAGATTGTTTATATTTACTTGTTCTTTTTAATATATTATAGAAACCAATTCTAAATTCACGAAATTATCTATCTGTTTATTTGACGGGCTAATTTTTAATTGATGATATTCGCGTTATTGATTATATTACTGTAATAATAAATACGATGCACACATACCCCAACACCCGTAATGCTTATAGCCAACATATTGAGTCCAGCATGGAACAAAAAATGTTTGGAGTAGGCAGCTTCTATGAGATTGACGAACCTTGATTCAAAGATAAGAAAATGTGATACGTCGCACCCTCGATATTTAAACAAAAATTGATCAATCAAGAACATTCGCGTGAGACCTACATCATTTGAATTTGATATTTAGAAACAAAAGAAACGCTTTTTTTTATCCCTTTGTCGGCGGACACCGGGTCACTAATGATCTATATTTTAAAATTGTTTTATTTGATATTAATTATTTTTGTTTCTCTTTCTATTAATTATCATGTAGAAACTGTTTTTCTAGAAAGAAAAATATAATAAATCTAGATACATAAAATTAAAATCCACACATACATGGTGATTCGACAATTTGTCCTCAACGAACGAATTTTTTTCCTCAACGAAAATGTCGAGAGAGGCCATCATTTTTTGCATGTTCCCAATTTTTGCCATCATGTATCTTCGTAATAAACCCTTAAATTAAAATTCTATCAAAGTAAACTCTACATAAAATTAATAAAAAAAGTGCTTTTATTAATATTTTATTTTCACAAGGCTGTTTGCAAAAAACCCCTTATTTTCAAACGCTTATAACTCGAAAACTATTGATGTCTCGACTTTTTCGTTGAGGAAAAATCATCTCAGAATTCGTTCAGGAATATATTTCCAGGACATCAAGTTGTTTTGAATAACCCTGTATATATTATAAAATTTTTAGAATATTTTTCGGCTCTCAAATTCAATACGTAATATATATATAATACATAAAAATAAAAAATGTTCTTCTGCGATAATGTATAAATTTCCACTAGGATGAAAATTCGGGTATGTGTGACCCAGGGTCCGTTGTTTCGGGTTAAATATCGTATTATAATAATTGCACACACCTTATAGCCTCTCTGTGATTGTGAACACACTGTATCATATTTCGATACGCCTTATCCTCCGAAACCGGAAGATTGGCGTCCGTCAAATATTCTCCCTGCAACGCTCGTTCTATTCGCGAGCTACATAGGAATAATTAATCTCAGAGACAAATTCTTTCGTGAAATCTCTTGCCAAAGGAAAGAGAGACGCCTCTACTCACCTAGTCACGATAAACAGTCCGCAAACGTGTTGCACAAATATCACGAAAATCGCGTCGGTCGCGACGATGGAAGTGACGCAAATCACGGCGGTGAGATATCCGTGGATTAAAATTGGAAAGTAATATTTATCCATGTCGACGTAATATTCGACTCTGTGCAACATCGGCCGAGTTTCATTGGCAACGTGAAATATCAACGGTGGCACAGGCGTCAACATGAATATTATCGTTACTGTATACATCGCGTCTAAAAAAGATCAGACGTCGATCAGGCAATTTTTAATTAATCGCACAGAAGAAAAGGAATCCTTGATTATCAAATATATTTTTATTCTTGAACGCTATTTGATTGATTTAAGCATAGAGTGCTTTTTGTAATCACGAATCTTATTTTATCCTCAAGATGTATTCTTGTTTTAAAAATCGTTATATGGTAAAAACAAACTTAGTCACATTTGAACTAAGAATTATTATACACTTTGTTTTAAGGATAAATTGTCCTTTATCCAAAATTATATATATTAAGGCATATTATTTGCATTCTTTCAAGGATACTGTTTTTTCTGTGTGGATAAACCAAAAATTTCATATTACTATACTGACAAATGTAAATGGTCGAGAATTTTCTTCCGTTCTCGGCACACTTTTGAAGAATCTCTAAGTCACTGGAATTTCTCGACGAGCGAAAATCATCTCGTACTCGATCGAGTAATGCCCTCATCTGTATAAATTCACTTGCGTAAATTATAATTAAATCTGAATTAACGGTACGTTCTGAATACACTCGAGACAAATAACGGCGATTATACAGGGTGTCCGGTAACTAACGGACCAATGATTAAGGGCGGATTCTCTGGCCAATTTGGAGACGATTTTTCCTTAGCAAAAATGTTGAGAAGTCAATAATTTTCGAGTTATAAGCGATTGAAAAAAATGGGTTTTTTGAAAACTAAACGTTTTGGAGTTAAAAGTCTAACATAATTACATTCTTCAGTTAATTTCAGGTAGAGTTTACTATAATAAAATTTTAATTTGAGGCTTAGTTATAAAGATACATAATGACAAATATTGGAAAGTTGTAAAAAATGATGACCTTTTTCGACATTTTCGCCGAGGAAAAATCGTTCCCAAATTGACCAAAGAATCCATTTGTAATCGTTGGTCCGCTAGTTACCGGACACTCTGTATATACTCGTAGAAAGCTACGTGTGATCGATGAAATAATCGCACCTACCTCATTCACGCACAGCATGGAATTCATTACCTTCGTCATGCCTGATATGTCAATCATTATCGGAGTAAGGCACTCGATCACGATATCCATGTCGCGAATGTCGGAGAACATGCTGCATAACTTAAACGAGATAATTCTTATGACATACGCGGAAGAAGGATCGTTAAATCCAGCACGGGCGAGGATGATTCGCGGATTCGTTTCCCCGAAATAAAAGCGATATGACGTTAATCGTCGCTATATACCTTTGCGAGAAATTGCGAACAAGCTATGGCCGCTATGACGATGACTATAATATAGCTCGTCCTAGAGGATTGGTAAGGCCACTGTCCAATGGCCGATAATAGAATTTTATTGACTCTGTAATTGCGACCATCGAAGAAGTCCATTTTCCTTAAGTTGATAGAGCACTGACAGAAAGAAAAGCATCGCACCGGCCCTTTGATCCCTACCACGTCCGCCAGAGAGATACTAGTCGTATCTTATTGCATGTTAACAATTCTTTTTATGTAGCTCGACTTGGGAAACAATTCTGCCAATTAGATTACCTATAGCCAATGATTGCGAAAAGTATATAGCTAATTCTGCGATTTGACATTTCGCCCACGCAAAGTCAAATTACTAAAATTTGTCCTACCACTTTGTCTCTATTACCTGTCATTTCGATTGAAAGTAAGTCAATTTTCGAGATGTTCCTTCTCATCTGATGTCGTCTCGATCCGCATGTAAATCTTTCCTTATTACGCATTGATGAATTGAATTGTGTATAATACAGAAAATAAGCCCGGGAAGACTTAACGCTATCAATGTTTCATTATCATGTCTCGACGATGCAATCAGAGGACCTTGCAGCTTTCTTTTAAGAAATATATTTACAGAAAATAAACGTTTGAAGTGTACCAAGCATACATAGGGAACATGAGCCACGAATATGGGAGATTGCAATTTAGTATGTATGATTATTTTATTGGAGGAAATATATATATATGTGTTCATAATTTTAAAGATATTATAATTACATATACATTCTGTAGTGTTTTTAAAAAACTTTCAAAAATGATCTTTTTTTACACATGTTTTAAACAGATAAATTACTCCGTGAAATGTACCGCAAGGAATGTGCAGCGTAGTTTAAAACATTTTAAAGGAAAAATTTAATAGGATAGGAGACGTGTTCGGGATTTTGCCACGCGATTATGGTGCCATATGGCTCTCGGGAACGATTCGTTCTCGAAATAAGTGTCGAAACTGAAAACAGCAACAGTCGATCTATCACGCGCTCGTCACGCGCTCCACCCTATAGATAAAATTTCTAATTGGATGCGGAATTAAATGGAAAGCTGACGAAAAGTTAATGACTGTATGACGAGGGTACTTTCAATCATGGCTGCGGTTAAATTTATCAGAAAAATATGTCGAATTTTTTTCAATATATATCGTTATATATGATTTGATATTTCGAAAAAAAAAAAAACATCGAGTCGCGCGTTGTTCATCAGACATGTTTAAATATCCATTCAGTGCGGTATTGATTAAATTACTTTGCTCGTCCGATTGCAAGGTGTCTTTCCTCTCGAGTGCACTCGAGTTTCCTTCCCCTTCGACTTCTTTATCACGAAATCTCCCGCCTCACCAACACCTTACACCTTTCCCCAAACTGTAGCGCGAATCGTATAGGATTATTAAAAAACCTCTATCAACGACATCGCAAACGCGCATGTACGTAAGTGAGAAAGAAAGAGAGATATAATTAATTTTCATCCGTCGTCATTCCGCTTTTATTTCATTTGCAACGAAGAAATCTAAAGACAGCTGCACGCGCCGTTATTTCAACAAAAAAAGTTTAATTTTTTGTCAGATTTCGATATTTTTTCGTTCTAAATTTCTTGTTAATGCATTCCCCATATTTGCCTATCTTGTCTGCTATTAATTATCATTATCTCATATACTGAAATAAAAATTATTGAATTCGAATAAGTATTTATTTCAATAGCGCCAAGTACATTATTTATATTTAAAACTAATAATATTAATTTAATATATGAAAAATATTTATTTGTTTCAAATAAATGATTTATTATGCAGTATTGAAATAAACATTTATTAATTTAATAATTCCTCAGTGCACAAATAATAAATCACACTTTTCTAATTATACAAAAATGTTTAACATTGTTATATATAGATACATACATTGTAAAAAAATATGTAAAATTACATAAACAATAAATGTAAAATTACATGATAAATAATAAAAAGGTAAAAATTTCTATTATTTATCGTGTAATTTTACACTCATTATTTATGTACTTTTACATATTTTCCTGTAATATATTGCATATTTTTTTACAGTGTAATTATTTTCGTCTGGTTTAAGAATAAAAGCTAGAAGCTTGAAATATCATATTGTCACGATTCGGGTCCTATTGGTACCGCTAACATCAAGGCGGTTCAATCTTACGGTAGAGAGCATCGAACATCGGGGGTTTAGGTTCGAACGCAATCTCTCTTGCGAGGGCTTCCTTCCGGCGCGGCGCCGTGCGCATCTTTATCCCGAGATCTCTCGTCCTCGAGTCGGCTGGCCGACACCTTGCGGCTCTTCTCGTTATGCGCTCGGATGCCACGCGCGCCGAGTCTGGGCCCGTTCCGTTCCGTTCCGAGGGGTAGATCCCCGTGGGAGATGGATATCGCTAATTGTCTCAAGGCGAATGGGCCGTGATGGTAGCAGCACGCGACCGTTGTATTCTACCGGCCCTTTTCCTCCCTTTTCTCCCTCTTCATTCGCCTTTACGATTTCTCTATATCCTACAGACAGTGTTTGCTATTATCTAAATAAAATTATATAGTATATAATATATAGTATATATATTATATAATATATATTATATAGTATATAATATATATATATATATATATATTTATAATATATATAATATATATACTATATAATATATTATATAGTATATATATTATATAATATATATTATATAGTATATAATATATATATAGTATATATATTATATAATATATATATATATTATATATATATATATATATATATATATATATATATTTTATAATATATATAATATATATAGTATATAATATATTATCTAAATAAAATTATATAGATGATCATCTAAATGAAGTTTTGGCGTCATCTTATCTTATATAGATAATAAAAATATGTAATGATAATAAAAATAATATCTATGTATCTGCATCTTAGATGAAAAATATTATTTAGAATAATTTTCAGATAATTTTGATTTAGAATTATAGCATAAAAATACATAAAATTACTTAAATAGTAGAACTTAAGCAGTAAGCGATAAAAATTTATAAATAAAAATATGAATACATATATCTCTTTTATAATTTACATTTTTTTAAATAACTGTGTTTACATAAGCAGTTTTAAAAATTATTATCTAGTTTCTGAATGTATAATAGATGAATATAATTTTATCTCTTCACTATATATATTTAAAACAAAATCATCTTCATCTTATACAAGATGAATTTAAATATTTTTATCTCAGCTTTATCTAGCTAATTTTTAAATCTAAGCACAACACTGCCTACAGGGCATTCACTCGATCACGAATCGATACTGATCGATATCGTGCGAAATGCTTAAAGATTTTTAATGTTCTATAAACGTCACATCGTTATGGTGCTATATTAAGAGAAGAATAATTAGGAAAAATAGACTGCAATAAGATAAAAAAATATGTTAAATTGTTCAATGATATACTATCAGAATCGTATATTTTTATTTGAAAACTCAAACTCCTGACACAAACGGAACGCCCTATACATACAATCCTTCTATCTCAGTTGTTCACGTTATCTTAATTTCTAGAATTTAAAGACCCTTCGATGCTATCAAGGCATTCTCTCTCTTCTCACTCATCGCCGCCTTTTTAATCCTGTGTAAAAGTCTAATGAAACATCGGTGGCTTTAAAAGTTCGATTCTATCTGACTAATGATAACACGATGATACCGATATAAAGAACAGCGGATAATAGAATTTTAATTTTACCTATAATCCTTGAAAATAATAAATTCAAATAAAAATCATACGAAAGTGCATCAAAAGAATCATCGTATTCTTTTTTGTCACTTCGATATATATTTCTTATATGCCAATAAAAAATTCTAACACCTGAATAGAGTTTTACATAATATCGATCTATGCGCTAAAAATTGAAAGATCTTAATTCTGGATCGGCAATTGAATTTAAAAAAACCTGCAATTATACGCTCTTTCTTATTTTATATATATTTTCAGATTATGGAGGACGGAAAACCGCATTTTTGCGAGGATCGTGATGTCCGGTTTCCTCTTCCCGTGGTATGAAAAGAACAACGAAGATGTTCTTTTCATACTGCTTACACACAAATGTAGCGCGAATATAATACGACACATATAGTTATTGCACGTGGCGTGGTTTCTATTGTGGAAGCATCTGTCGTTCCGTCCATCGGTCGTCGTGACGAACCGAACGCTGACAGCGGAGGAAGAAAAAAAGGCGGGAAATCGGAAATTGAAAGTTAATTTCCGCGCGTATCGCCGCTTTCTTCCATCGTCCGATATATCAGCGGCAGAAAACTCGGAGGAAATATCGTCGCGATATTGTAATGGACTCAACATCCGCGTAAGCTTTTAACAAATCGGCACGGGTGAAAAATTCCAACAATTTATATTTTATCGCTTCTCAATCAATTTTTTATTAACAATGTAATATATATATTTACAGGGTGTCTATGACATAAAAAGTCATACCAGAAAATATACAGATCTCGTTATTTGGAGACGATTTTTCTTCAGCAAAAATGTCGAGGGAGACCATCATTTTTTGCATGTTCCCAATTTTTGCCATCATGCATCTTTATGACTATATATATATAACTAAACCTTAAATTAAAATTTTATTAAAGTAAACTCAACTTGAAATTAATTGGAGAATGTAGTTTTGCTAATATCTTGTTTCCACAGAGCTTAGTTTGCAAGAAACCCTTTATTTTCACAATCGAATATTTTTGCCGAGGAAAAATTGTCTCCAAATAACAAGATCTACTATATATTTTTGGTGTGACAACTTATGTCAGACAGCCTGTATATATGTATAAAGTATTATTACTTTTGTTAGTTTTGCCTGTCACTTTAAATATTGCCCGATAAAAGGAATGGGAAAAAATGGACTTTAAAATCCGCAACGATTTTTCTTCAGCAAAAATGTCGAGGAAGGCCATTATTTTTTGCATGTTCCCAATTTTTGCCATCATGCATCTTTATAACTAAACCTTAAATTAAAATTTTATTAAAGTAAACTCAACTTGAAATTAATTGAAGAATATAGTTTTGCTAATATCTTGTTTCCACAGAGCTTAGTTTGCAAAAACCCTTTATTTTCACAATCGAATATTTTTGCTGAGGAAAAATAGTCTCCAAATAACAAGATCTACTATATATTTTCGGTGTGACAACTTATGTCAGACAGCCTGTATATATGTATAAAGTACTATTACTTTTGTTAGTTTTGCCTGTCACTTTAAATACTGCCCGATAAAAGGAATGAGAAAAATGGACTTTAAAATCCGCGACGATTTTTCTTCAGCAAAAATGTCGAGAAAGGCCATCATTTTTTGCATGTTCCCAATTTTTGCCATCATGTATCTTTATAACTAAACCTTAAATTAAAATTTTATTAAAGTAAACTCAACTTGAAATTAATTGAAGAATGTAGTTTTGCTAATATCTTGTTTCCACAGAGCTTAGTTTGCAAGAAACCCTTTATTTTCACAATTGAATATTTTTGCCGAGGAAAAATTGTCTCCAAATAACAAGATCTCCTATATATTTTCGGTGTGACAACTTATGTCAGACAGCCTGTATATATGTATAAAGTATTATTACTTTTGTTAGTTTTGCCTGTCACTTTAAATATTGCCCGATAAAAGGAATGAGAAAAATGGACTTTAAAATCCGCGACAATTTTTCTTCAGCAAAAATGTCGAGGGAGGCCATCATTTTTTGCATGTTCCCAATTTTTGCCATCATGTATCTTTATAACTAAACCTTAAATTAAAATTTTATTAAAGTAAACTCAACTTGAAATTAATTGAAGAATATAGTTTTGCTAATATCTTGTTTCCACAGAGCTTAGTTTGCAAAAACCCTTTATTTTCACAATCGAATATTTTTGCTGAGGAAAAATAGTCTCCAAATAACAAGATCTCCTATATATTTTCGGTGTGACAACTTATGTCAGACAGCCTGTATATATGTATAAAGTACTATTACTTTTGTTAGTTTTGCCTGTCACTTTAAACATTGCCCGATAAAAGAAATGGAAAAAATGGACTTTAAAATCCACGCTAGCGTATTTTTTCTCTCTCTCTCCTTTTTCAGGCCACCGACCGCTTCTTGGCGAACCGCGGCGTCTCGCAGCGCGGGCGTGCCTGCGGAGCGGGCATCGTACAACCTGAAGAGAAGAGGGGTAGGTACAGAAGGAAACCGAATGAGCCGCTGCCAGGTGTACGCATCGCCTATAGGGATAGGTAGAAAACAAGGTGGGTACCATATGTTGATCTGCTGACGGACGCTCCGGCACGCGCCGAGCGCACTCAAACTCGAGCCTTTACACCGCGAGGATCTCGGATCTACCCTGGTGTATCCTTAAAGCGAGAGCGTCTCTGACAGTTCAATCCCGACGCTCCTTTTTGCGCGAGACTGCGGCATAAGAGACTCTAAGTGAACGAGGGAAAGATGAGATTAGCGTGAGAGAGAGAGAGAAAGAAATCGATCGGATCGATTTCGGATAGGTGATGTGCCGGATAGTAGGATCGATATTTTTCGAAAAATTTCCCTCCTGACATTTATATGTATATGTATCTCTCGTCAGGCATGATTTTAATTGAATTCGATAAACGAATACGATAAAAATTACTGAAGGATCAACAATAAAGATTGAAAGAAATTTGAATTCATTGATCGCAGTGTACATTAACATTAAGTAACAAAAATATATGTCGTTACTCGATTGCGTCGACAAACTCAGTAGAATGTGAATGAATCAGTGATGGATCGTGCTTTAACTCTTTCTTCAGCGTGACATCGAGAAAATCGAACAAGACTGCAGAAATATCATGAAAGTTCGCTTATGTAAAAGGTAGAAAGCTTATACATTTGCGAGAAAAAATTCCACTTAATGGGACAACTCTGAAGCAAAAGCAACTAAAATAACAATCTACAATTATGGCTCTGCTGTCGAATCATCATTGCAACTACCAGAACACGCAGTCCGAGATGCTGACACCCGCGTACGCGAGTTCGGCGAGAAGCTACGACCCTTTGTATCCGTCACCGTACAACTCCCCGAACTACGATTCCACGAGAATCGCATATCGAGACAATTGCACGCACGAGAACGAGCTCACGCCGCGACGGGAGGTCGAGACGCTGGATTACGCCAAGGACGTGGTGCCAGAATACACCAAGACCCCGGAAGGATACGAGCGCGGATCGTATGGCATCCTGACGCCTGTCACGCCGCAAAGGTAAGTTTTTCTACCACAGATTTTATTGGGGTGTTTTGAGGAGAGGACAGGAGATTTCATTCAGAGGTTCGTCATTATAAATAAATAAATATATATATATATATAATATAAATAAATAAGTAAATAAATAAATTAATTAATTAATACATGAGTAAATGAATAAATAAGTAAATAAATAAATTAATTAATTAATACATGAGTAAATAAATAAATAAATAAATGAATAAATTAATTAATTAATACATAAGTAAATAAATAAATAAGTGAATAAATAAATAAATGAATAAATAAATAAATAAATAATTTCGCAAATTTATTAGATACGAGCCGCCGCACTCGATGGACCAGGCAAGATCACCCCGATTGATGTTATACGAGGAAAGTTCGATGGACTATCACACACCGACCTATTGCTACGAGACTCCTCCGCAGGAACCGAGATACCAGCCCCTGGAGAACAGCAAACCGATCATCACGATTGTCGAACCTCGCGCCAATTGCTGGGAATCAATCATCCCGACACAAGTAAATTTGTTTGTCATATCGCTTTTTCAAAATTAATTCGGTACAGTTTGATATTGCGTTGCTCTGAATGAAATTAGTAATTAATCCTCTGCTAATAAACGCTGCATCATTCACGATCCATGTCTTAATTATTTCACAAATGCAATAATCGAAATAAATATTTCAAGGTGCATTATACAGAAATATCATACATTTTTATTTTGAAAACATTTTTCTCTCTTTTTTAATTATCACATAAGTATTTTTTTAGAGCAAGTATATATTTTAGAATACAATATAAATAATTAAAATCTATTATTATATAAGATTCTAATTTTTGCGAAAATATATATAAAAAAATTGACCCAGAATTTTTATCAATGCGATTATGTTACCCATTATTCGAGAGTTGAAGAAATATATAATTAATTATGATTCTAATAATCAGTCATAAATATTTTGAAAGAAATTAATTCGAATTAACATTCAAAAAGGATCTCTTTATTACTCTTTAAAGGAACTCTTTATTACTTTGAAAGAAAAAATGCTAATTAGTACTTTGCAGGACGGTGTGTATTTTTAATGATTGAGCGATAATTAAAAATGAAGCATGCGCGATTCGCTAATCGAGCCGCGAATTTTTTGCAGAAAATACCGACGACACCGCCGGTGAGTCCGCGAAAGGGTCGACGAAGATCGCGCGACGTCCCGCCGTCGCCGACGGTGCTAAAGCGTCGTCGTTTAGCCGCGAACGCGCGCGAAAGGCGACGCATGAACGGATTGAACGACGCCTTTGACAAGTTGCGCGAGGTCGTGCCGAGTCTCGGGACCGACCACAAGCTGAGCAAGTTCGAGACTCTACAAATGGCGCAGAGCTACATAGCTGCCCTGTGCGATCTTCTGCAGAGGCACGATAGCAAGAGATAGACCGATCCGCTCGAAAAAATGCAAGTACCTTCTTTTATTCCCTGTAAATTTCAATTTCAAGTCATCGAACATCGATATTTGATCGCTTGAATCATGAGCCTCGAGGAAGAGCCTTCGATATATTGTATATTATATAATAATCTAATTAATCGTTTTATGAGAAAAAATCTGAATTAATTTTTTTAATAATTTTCTTAAGTTGAAAAGTCAGTCATATTTTAATTTAATATGTTTTGAGAATCGATATTTGATCGTTTGATATCTCTGATCTCGAGGAAGCCTTCGGTATATATACAATAATTTAATTAACTATTTCTTTTTGTGAAAAAAGAATCTGAAAATAATTTTTTTAATAATTTTCTTAACTTGAAAATAATTTTTTTGTAAACTTTTAAACAAGTTCATGAGACTGCTGAATTGTTACTATTTGAAAGTTGAAATATGTCAGTCATATTTAAATTTAATATGTTTTGGGAACAACTTGTGTGTTATGAATAATTATATAGGAAGCAATAAGTAGTCGCTAACTAAAGTTAATTTATTACATGGTTTTAGAATGTAAAACGAAACGCACAGATTATATTTCAATGAATATCCAAAAATGTGACAAGCCATTTATGGCATCTATTGTAATAAGACTGAATTGCATAGTTAACACCACTATCATTATCATTCTCTATCAAACTTGCAAGAGCGATTTTACTAATAACTATTTCTATCATTATCGTGCGATACGTGACGAATTATCTAATTATGTTTTTAATATATATGTATATATAATATGCTGCGAATTTGCAGAAAGTATATATTTTTTATAATCTCTTATAATTTGAAATATATTTCTAATGCATTTTTATTAAACACTAATACATCGAAGGTAACATTAACTTCTTTTTTATATATATTATAAATATGTATATGTGCATCTGTGTCTTTATAATATTTATTGTAGTTTAAGAAGAAGAAACACAGCTAAAGATCCAAAGAGTAAGCGTGACAATGTAAAAGATGTATTTTTTATTTTAATTTTGTAATATACATATATATTACTTTATTTTTACAATTTCGCTGAAACTAAAAAAATGTAATTTTTTAATTATTTCCGAAAATATTGGGCAGAAAAAAACTGTAATTTTCCTCTCTCTCTTTTATTGTATTTTATTAGTTGCTAATGAAAATATTTCTTTAAGTTAAGAAAAGTTTTATATTTATTGCTATATTATATAGATTATTGCTATTCTCTTTGGCGAGTCATAAAACGTGTAAATCGTCTGTTGTAAATTTATAATTATTATTGTATCTAGTCAAGAGATTATTACAGTTATTAATTTTACTAATTTCTAGATGATAAACGCCAAAGATTTAAAATAGCAAGAAAATTGTAAAGAATAATGTCGAAGAAATTGCATTCAAAGAGATTATTGTATAATCGACCAAAGATTTTTATAAATAAATAAGAAGTGTTATAAATGTATTAAATAAGCAAATATGTCATATTATATATCTCGTAAAATTATTGATTTATTTTAAAATATAGATAGATGTAAGAGATTAATTGTATCAAATAAAAATGATAGAATGATTTTGTATACTCTTGTAAATAAAAAATTGTACATGGAATGTCGGATAAAAATATAATTAATAATAACAGTCTGTGCAAAAATAACATAATCAGATAAAAGATCTATAAGTAATAACCACTATATGTATATATTATGTATGAAAATTAACACTCGGCAAAAGAGTTAAATATACTTTCATTATCAACGCAAAACATTTTCGTTTGTTCTGCAATAATACAATTTTTTGTAATTTTGTTTCGCTACTAATTACAAGTAAATATCGATAAAAATCGTTTAATATATCAAAAGTGAAAAAAAAATAGAATAAAAGATAAAGAAATGTTTGCAATATTTTCCGAATTTTAATGTGATCGGTATTTTACAATATCAGTCAATGTTTATTATATAATTTGATTTTGTTGCATCAATTATTTTAAGGTGAATCGGATTTGATTAAGCAGAACGAATCGCTACGTAGCGCGACGTCGTACGCCAAACTGCATACTCTTCCGGTCATCTCGTGCATAAACGTTCGATTTTCCGGTGCTGCACGCGGGCGCGTGACCGGCACACGCACTTGTTGCTCACCTTTCCCCTTGAAAGTCCCCTCTTTTTCTCTTGCAACAAACTCCCTTCCGGATACGAACGATTGCCGCGCACTTGCCTCGGATGGCGCCTTCATTATTTTCAGTTTTGTCATCGCATACCGTCATTTTCTCTCTTTCGAGGCGTCGTATTTATATATAAGTCGCGGATATGACATATGTATGTATAATATTATTGTAAAATGTGCATTTTCGATACCGTGAGAATTTCTTGCCATTCCGTATATAATTTCGCTCTAATTACTCGCGTTTGCTTATTTATTCCTCGATTGTGTGTCTGTGTGTATGTATATGTACGAGTATGTGTGCATTCGTCATTTCCGAACAGACGAACGCAAATTAATATAGCGCATATGACAACTGACAGCTGTTACTGATACTATACTCAGGCACATTGTTCTCGTATTGAACTGTAATATGTGTATAATTTATTTATAACAGCTGTTATACTCTTGTCAAAAAATCTATTTGTCATTAAATCAATGATTCAAAAATGTAGCAATCATTCAGGGTCATTTACGAAATATATTTTTGCAAAATAAATGCGATTATATAAAGAATCGAAAAATGCAATTAATTTGTCTTATGTAAGCATATTTTTCACTTACACACATATAATAAATCATAAAATATTTCTATTTGTAATCAAAAGGCTTGTAAAAATATAATCATTTTTAAAATTTTATTTGTATTTTATTTCTCTCATTATATCACTGCTTTTCAATGACACTCGTTGCACTAAAATAGCACAATCAAAAATTAATAAATACAAAAAAAAATAAAAATAAAAAAACGAAATAAATTTTATTTGTATTTTATTTCTCTTATTATATCACCGCTTTTCAATGACACTCGTTGCATTAAAATAGCACAATCAAAAATTAATAAATACAAAAAAAAAAAAATAAAAAAAACGAAATAAGAGTATCGATGCTCCCTTTCTTAAATGGATATATTGAATTTCAGTAGAAGGGAATGTCACTTGTGCCCGGACGCTTGTCGAACAGCATCCGGGAGCGAGCGGACAACATTCCTGAGGACGATCTCGACGATGGGTCCTAAGAAGGCGATAAGAGTCACCGAGAGAACGAGAGGGAAACCGCGCGGACGAACGTGAAGCGACATAGTGAGACGTCAGGACGATTTGCACGCGTGAGAATATGACGCGGCGTCCTTAAAAGGCGCTCCCCTTTGATTGATCCGGTCGTACGGTCAATTAACGCACGTCAAATTGCTCTCGGCGGATTGATTATCGCTCTATACGACCTCTCTCGAATCGGAGCCTTTTGGTCCATCGTGGATGTGAGGCAAAAAAGATCTCGAGGATAAAAAGTAGGCAACGCACGTCAACCGGATATCAAGTTCTTGGCAGCGTGGATTTAACAAAAAAAAAACGGAAATCTTTTCCTCAGACCTTTTGGGGAAATGTTACGTAATTGAACGTTAAAAACAATTATTTCGTCAATATACGAAATATAGCAAAATGACAGACGGAGAGTTTCTACGGAGTTTCAAAGAATTTGACATTATATAGGGTGTCCCAGAACTAGCGGAAAAGTTTTTAATGGCAGATTTCTGGTATCATTTGAAGACAATTTTTCCTTAGTGAAAATGCATTTTTAGCATGTTCCCAATTTTTGTTATTATGTATCTTTATAACTAAGCTTTATATTAAAATTCTACTAAAGCAAACTCTATCTAAAATTAACTAAAGAATGTAGTTCTAATAATATTTTATTTCCACAAGGCTTAGTTTCTAAAAAATCCTTTATTTTCAACTGCTCAGAATTCGAAAATGATTGGTGTCTTGACATTTTCGCTGAGGAAAATCGTCTCCGAATGATACCAGAAATCTGCCATTAAAAACTTATTATAATTCTGCTTCGATATGAAAGATGAAGATTGAACGAACTGTCCAAGCTAGCCCGGAAAGAAGGGAAACAAACAAATCGGAATACGAAGACCCTCGATCGAACCCTTTCCTTCCGTTAGATTGGCGAAATCGAGAAGAAACAAAGTCAGTCTCGTTTGAAAATACGTAGGCGGACAGCGGCACGTGCCCCACAATAGAGCTCGTTAGCGATTTCGTATGATTTCCTTTTTCGTTTCTTTCTCTAGATGGACGTCCACCTTCCTGTCGTAAATAAGGATCCCTTCCAGCACCAGATGTCCAGTAATTAGCGATCATTAATTACCTGAACGGACGGACCAGCGTTCGGTTATACTGAGAAAGAAGGACAGAACTTTCGATATTCTACGATGTATTTATTCTAAACGTAAGCGATTTTTTATTCCTGAACTACATATATATATATATATATATATATATATATAATAAAATAATAAAATAATATACAATTAAATATTATATATAATATATATTATATGTATATAATTAAATCTAAAAACACAATTTAATGCTTTTTTGTACAATCTCACGCATTTTGAACAAGTTCAAAGGAAAATAAAATTTTTTACCTACTTATTAAAGTATTGATATTGAAAAATTTGATATGTTAAAAATATTATTTTAATAACGATAAAAAAATAATTGACTTTGATACTATACTGTAATATAAAACGTATGGATATACTGTGATACAATGATTTTACAGCGTATATAGCTTTAGTTTTGAGCGGAGTCTGTGCAAGCCAGAAGAGAAGCAAAGTTGATATCCCGTTAAAAAGAAGGGCGTATACAAGGGCGCGGATACATTTCCAAAAAAGAAAGAAGAGACAGCGGGGAACTGAGACAGATTTTGACCGAGTGGTCACTCGATCGTGGCTGTAGGGCGTGACCAGGAATGGTCAAGCATCGAAAGGATCGCTGAAA